CTAAGGAATCGATAGATGTCCTCAAAACGCGTGTAGTACAGTCTCTCATAGAGTTGTGACATTAAGAAAGGTTTCGGCATAGGTGCATGATGTTGCATGAGCATGCATGAAAGCAACGAAAACACTCTCTGGACCCACAAACCTCAAAAACTGTTAGAATCAAAGAAACCACACGTAGAGCTTGCTCATCCAAGCTCCCTCTATCTCATGGAACCCGGAGCTGCATCCTTAGTGGCTTCCAGGGTCCGTTTCTTTCTTAAACCTGAAATCACCTTTTCAGCATGAAGCGACTGAGGGAGGCCTTATGGCCCAAAACCGGTGGCACCACGTGATTGCTAAGGATAGGTATGATCAGTTTGAACCCTTACTCGACCTCCGAGGCCTTTATCTATGTTGTTTTAGGGGTTTTTGTCATATGGAGTTTGCGATTCGCGCGCACATGGGAAAGTTACGACAAGCATTTTGCAACCAGCTGTATTGCAACTGAGAGTAGGTCAAAGCTTCTCACAGATATGTGCATGTTGAGGACCATTGAGAGATCAGAGGGAGATCAGAGAGGAAGGGAGTGTCATATGCACAGCTACCGACCCCAGTTACTGAGGTCGGCTGGCTCTGTTTGGTGAGAAATTTCAAGGAAGGAGGAAGACCCTGAACGACCCACGCTCGTCATCGTATCTTGCAATTATATCACGTCGTGGGAAGCTTACCTTATCGTCCTCAACATCCATCACAACCGTACTGGCAAAGAATGACGCCCTCTAAAGGAAAGTCCACAAGTATTAAAAGGCACTCATCGCCCGGTTTCATACATTCAAGCACCGAGCATGCACTTCATCAGACGTTTGTCAGCGTCACAGTCACCGCCGAGCCCGAGGCCGTGAGAAACATGCTCATGTTGAAGTACTCGGTCGCAGCCATGATCCACAACTTTAAGTGCACCTCAATGGAGGTTGAAGTATAGATTACAGTGGTACAGAACTAAGTCCCTTCCAATATCTGAGTTGTACTTGGCATCTGCCATATGTGTTTTCAGTTGTATGGTTGGATAAGCGGCACGAGCCTGATGTGCCCGAGGTTTGGTCTGCGTGCAGGTCCAGAGGTTTTCTTTGGCAACGGACATGGTACGTACAAAAATCGCTCAGAGCAGCTGCGCATCATGCTCAATCTCGCTCAATACCATACCAGGTTGATTTGCGGAAACCTTCGCGTTGCCCGTCCCGCGTTTCTACTCTCGCAGCAAAGTCTGATCGACCAAAGAAGGAGGACTGGTCGCACTCTACCGGAGCCCGTAGGCGTTCTCAGCGTGAAGCAAACATCGAGTTTCGAAATAGATGTGTATTACTCCATACCTCATCCTTATCGTATATGCCCAGAACTTCGCACTCCATACCCACAACCCAGCTATGGCGTACAGATGCTAATACTCATACACTCATCAAATGCAGTTACCTCCAGTCTCGTACTGTCCACTTCTGACTTCCCTTAGTCCTTGTGGTAGGTACCGCTGCAACATCCGAGTCAGCACAGTCTCCGCAATACTCCTCGCGTGATCTTACTCATAGTCTCCCTTCTTAGCAACCTCAGCAGCATCCTCCTTATCGAAAGACTCATCGAAAGCCTTCTTCTGAGACTTAGGTTCAGTGTCCTTGACCTCACCGATCAAGGCATCGTGGACTTCATGTCTGGAGGTGGGGTTGGTCTGGGAACCAGACATCTGGTAGTTGAAAGCGTCGGACTTGGTCTCAGCGGCGGACATTGTGGATAGTAGTAGTGATATTGGTTGATAGAGGATCGATGGAGGTTGACTCTGGTCCTCTTATATCATGGGTCGCGCGAACTTCTGTGATGATGATGGCAGGTTGCCTGGTGGTTTACGTCATTCATCACGACTTCCGACGTTCGACAGCGAAGCTTCAATGGACAGGACGTTTGAACAGGCAGATCTAGGGATAAAATACAGTACAATTCATGCTCTCGTACACTACGTTTCACACTATACTCGTATCTTTACCACGTCCAAAAATGCCCATCCACGACCGCAACGTTAACAACGACTTTTTACTGCATGTCAACGACACAACGGACGCAAGAGCCAGAGTGCATGACGTGGAAAGCGTCGTTGATCTCAGCCAAGGTCTTGTTGTGGGTGACGAACTCGTCAACCATGAGCTCCTTCCTCATGTAAGCATCGACGATCTCGGGCAACTCAGTACGGCCCTTGACACCACCGAAAGCAGATCCCCTCCAGACACGTCCAGTAACGAGCTGGAATGGGCGGGTAGAGATCTCTTGTCCAGCAGCAGCGACACCGATAACGATGGACTGTCCCCATCCCTTGTGGCAAGCCTCCAAAGCGCTCCTCATAACGTTGACGTTACCAGTGCAGTCGAAGGTGTAGTCACATCCACCATCAGTCATCTCGATCAATTTGTCAACGATGGACTTGTCACCCAACTCGGTAGGGTTAACGAAGTCAGTGGCACCGAACTTCTCGGCCCACTCCTTCTTGTCGTTGTTGGTGTCAACAGCGATGATGCGGCCAGCGCCTTGGGCAACAGCACCCTGGACAACGGAAAGACCGACACATCCAACTCCGAAAACAGCGACAGAAGCGCCTTTTTCGACCTTAGCAGTGCGGGTCGCAGCACCGTATCCAGTAGTAATACCACATCCCAACAAACAGACCTTGTCCAAAGGCGCCGCAGGGTTGACAGCGACGACAGAAATATCGGCAACGACGGTGTACTGGGAGAAAGTCGAGGTACCCATGTAGTGCAAGATATCCTTACCACGGGCACGGAAGCGGGAGGTACCGTCGGGCATGACACCCTTACCCTGGGTAGCACGGATTTTACCACAGAGGTTGGTCTTTCCGGACTTGCAGAACTTGCATTCACGGCATTCGGGGGTGTAGAGGGGGATGACGAAGTCTCCGGGCTTGACGTTGGTGACGCCCTCACCGATGGACTCAACGACTCCTCCACCTTCGTGACCGCTGTAGAACTCTCGTCAGTTATGTTTCATCAGAATGAAGAACAGTAGAAAGGGATCTACCAGATCACGGGGAAAGCACCCTCTGGGTCCTTGCCAGAGAGAGTGTAGGCGTCGGTGTGGCAGACACCGGTGTACAGGATCTTGATACGGACCTGTTTGCGCAAAAGTCAGCCAAGATTCCCAACCCCCATCGATTCAATCCAACACACCTCGTTAGCCTTAGGAGGAGCAACCTCAACATCCTCAACACTCAAGTCCTCTCCAGGACCCCAGGCAATAGCAGCCTTACAGGTAATACTACCCCACTAAGTCAGCCTTCGATCCCTCGATCCCAGTCCTCAACGGAGTGCACATACGTCTTTCCCTCGAACTCGCTAGGCTGAACAGACATTTTTCGATATGGTTTGATTTAACCTTGGAGGTTCTTTGCGAGCAGGTCTTATGCAGCGGGGTGATACAGGACGTCACACCCTGCGTGCTTAGTAAGGTTCGAGCTAGCGGGGAGTAAGAAGAAGCTTTGGAAGGACAGTGTCAAATTTTTCCGCCGAAGATGACTGTAGAAGGATGACAGTTTGTAAGCAATGCAAATGCGTTGGGGTGGCTTTTCCAGGCCTTGCTTGACTCTGTATCTGCGGCTGGGCGGCTGGAGGGTATGACCGTATCGATGTCAATTCTCCTGTATATAATCGTACAACTCCTCTAGACTCTCCCACACCGTCTACCCTCTTCTGTATATATCATACCTAGGCCTACTATATGGCTATGGCCACTTAATTGTTCGCAACCTCAGCCGCTGCATACCCAGGAACCTGTCCCCCCGTAACACCCCCATACTCAAAAACCGGGAACCCAGCCGTCTTCTCCTTCTGTTCCGCCATCGCCGCAAACGCCTTCCCACACTCCTCCAAGAACCTCTCAACGACCTTCTCATCACTCGAATCAAACGGCTCCTTCCCGGCCGCGATTTCAGTGATCTGGGATCCTGCGCCGACAATTTGCATACCCATGTCCGAGGGGAGCTTGTTGTTGAGACAAGCGTTGACGGATCCGGAGAGGATGTCGCGACAGAGGAATGGCTCGGCGGTAAGAGGGCGGCCGAGACCGATTCCGTGGCAGGAACCTGAGGAGACGGCGTGCACCATCGCGGGAACGGTACGGAATCCACCGGTGACGTAAATGATTGTCTTCTTGAGCAACGGACGAATCTCATCCGCGAATTCGAGGAAGAATGCTTCGCGCTTCTTGGTGCTCTCTCTCTTGTGCTCGAACGCTAACTCCTCATAGGTACCGCCGGAGAGATCGATAAAGTCCACGCCAGCGGCTTCGAGGGATTGACAAAGTGCAGCACACTCGCTCGTCTCGAATCCTCCGGATTGGAATTCGACAGAGTTGAGTTTGATGGACAAGATAAAAGAAGGGTCGGTGATGCGCCTCTTAATCTCGTCGATGATCTCGAAGATGATTCTAGAGCGGTTCTCGAGTGACCCACCATATTTATCGGTACGTTTGTTGGTGGTGTTGGCCAAGAACTGCGCGATCAAATACCCATGCGCACCATGCAACTGGATCCCGTCGAAGCCGGCTTTGTGCATCAACTCCGCCGTCGTGGCGAATTTGTTGACGACGTCCTTGATACCGGCTTCGGTGAGGGGCGTGGGTTTCGCGAACGACATACCCATCGTTTCTTTGAGCTGGACATCGGATGCGGAGACGGGGTAGGGTTGAATGGTATCCTCCACCTGCCTTCCCGCATGCGAGATCTGCCCAACGAGCAAAGATCCATGAGCCTTCGCAGCTTTTGCCACCTCCTTAAACTTCTGTAAACGTCCATCATGGTCCTCCGCTAAGATGGGGTTGCCGGCCGCCTCGAGGTTCTCGTAATCAACGATGATGTTACCGGAGATAATGCAACCAATCTGGCCCTCTCCCCAGTTTTTGTAGAGGTTGATGTAGCGGTCGTCGGGGACGCCGCGGGCACGGGGGTCAGTGTTGGACCAGGAGCAGAGACGCTCGGTCATGGGCGCTTTCATGAAGCGGTTTGGGGCCGTCTTACCCGAGAAGGGGAATGTGATGGATTCGCCGAGGATGGAGGGGTCGACTTCTTCGGCGGAGTAGCGTTCGGGCATCTTTGATCTGTGGTTGGTGGATGTTGGTGATGGTGGAGACGAGAGAGGAGCTCGAGGAGGAGTTACATTTTTGAGATGTATGACGCTGTGAATGATTACGGTGCAACTGATTTGTAAGGCGACGCTAGTGCTCGGCAGATCTGCCGCGCTGCTCACCCGGCAGTTGCAAGACCGCGAGATCCGGCTTTTCCAGAGACAGGCTGTCATCCCATCTTCAAGTCAATTGGGCCCTTCCTCTTCCGGGTAGTTTGACGTTCGGTGCTTTACCCCAACCCAAATAAAGTTCAGGCATGCGTCGACGACGCACGGGCCACCTGCACAGCCATGCACTCCCCAATTCCAGACGCACAAAGAGTCGCCCTCCTTACCTTCCCTTCACACAAACTCACCCAGCCCTGACAGCGATCACGGCGAACGAAGGGAGTGTTGCAGGAGATGAAGGGACCCTTGCTCGAGCTGTCACACGCACAAAGACGCGTTGCGGCGCCATGGCTGTGATCACAAAGGCCTCGAAGCGCTTTGACGGCGCACGGGCCACCTATAAGGATGGGTTGCGACCCGCCTCCCTCTGCGGTCTTTCAACCAGCTGTTTGATACGGACGGACAATCACACTTTCCACTCGGCAGGCCCGAGTTCTTCTTCGCATACGCAACCGCAATTGCAATTGGCATCTAGAGCTGTGCTCCCACCAAAATGTTCGCGCAACTCTTCGCAATCACCACCGTCCTTTTGGGCGCCGTCACCGCCTTCGACTCCTCCGCAAACAACAACAACATCGTCTACTGGGGCCAAGCCTCCGCCGGCTCCCAATCCTCCCTCGCGACATACTGCGCAGACCCCTCGGTCGACGCCATCGTCCTCTCCTTCCTCACGACATTCTTTGGCACGAACGATCTGCCTGAACTCAATTTCGCGGGTGCGTGCGCGGGGAGTGTAGGGGATGGCCTTACATGTTCTGAGATTGCGGCGGATATCCAAAGTTGCCAATCCAACGGAAAAGCCGTCCTCCTCTCCCTCGGTGGCGCGATTGGAGCGTACGGGTTCGACTCGGACGCGCAAGCTGAGAGCTTTGCGGACTCGATGTGGTCAACCTTCGGACCATCCACCACTTCCTCGACCTACCGCCCCTTCGGCTCCGCAGTCGTCGATGGCTTCGACCTCGATATCGAGCAGGGATCATCCAACGGGTACGCGGCCTTCGTCACCCAAATGCGCAAAAACTACGAATCGGACACGTCCAAGCAATACCTCATCTCCGGCGCCCCACAGTGTGTATACCCAGACGAATGGCTCGGCGACGCCCTGGACAACGCGTGGTTCGACTTGGTGTTAGTCCAATTCTACAATAACCCTTGTCGTGTGGGGACTTCCGCTTTCAACTTCGACTCGTGGCAAAATTGGGCAACGACAACCTCCGTGAATCCGGATGCGAAGGTGTATGTCGGTGTCCCGGCCTCGAGCGCGGCGGCTGGATCGGGGTATGTCGATCCCGCTACCCTCGCTACCATTATCGCGAGCGTGAAGAGCGAGACTGCGTTTGGTGGTGTTATGATGTGGGATGTCTCACAAGCATGGGCAAACACGGGGTCTGATGGGTTGAATTTTTGTCAGGCTGCGAAGGCTGCGCTGGGTGATTCGACGGCGGCGCGTGCGAGTGCGAGCGCGGCGGTGAGCTCGGCCGTCGTGAAGGCGTCGCGCATTGCGTCTTTGCTTGATGCGACCACGGCGGCTGGGAGTGCCACGGTGCAGCAGACTACGTTGGCCACGTCGTATGTCGTCCCGGCGAGCAGTGCCACGGTCGAGGCAAGCAGTATCGCTTACAACCTCCCCTCCGACACATACACTTCCTCCATCACCACCGTCACCACCACCTACCCCGCTCCTTCTTCGACCACCACCACCACCTCGGCCTCCGCAGTCGAAACCGCAGGCTTAACCGGTACCCCCCTCGCCGTAGCCCTCAACACCCTCTACTCCGCCCTCTCCCCCTCGTCCCCCTGCGACTCCTCCCTCGACACGCAAACCTGTCTGAGCGATGGCTCTTTTGCGCAGTGTGTGGGTGGGGTATGGGTCGCTCATGCGTGTCCCGCTGGAACGAGTTGTTGGGCGTTACCGGCTGGGGAGGGGGTTGTTGTTGCTTGTGATACGGAGGGGGATGCGTTGAGCAGGTTGGGGTTGAGTGGGAGTGTGGAGAAGAGGGATGGGGGGAGGAGGAGGGGACATGTGCATCATAAGAGGGCATAAGGTCTTTTGATGAGGGGTGCATCACAATCGATGACGGGAGTATATTTATTGGGACTTTTTATCCGCTTCTTTTTTGTGCACGCCGGTGTGCTTTTTGATCTTTTCGATCTGGGATTTCTATGAGCGGCTGAAGCAGCTCCTGAGGTGCAGGACATCACATTCTTTTGGATATTTGGGACGGATGGGACGGGGGTTGGATACAGGACACATTCTTTTGGTTTACCGGCGTTCTTTTCGCACACGACACTCTTTCGACATATTCGTTGACATATAGCATCTTGACTTACAGTACGTTTATCTTAGCAAAATCTGATACCCTCAATTGCAAACAAACTTAGGCTTGCGCATCTGCTTGCTGAATCCATTTTGATCACGCTCCGAGACCTGTTGACGAATTCCGGATTCACGGCCGACTGAGCGGTCTCGATGTCGATCTCACCCGGAGGAGACACGGATTCGGAGTGTGTGTCTTTACCCCACTTCTCATCACCGAAGCAAAGCAAGCCCCTACACATATTACGATCCCGACCATTCTTCCATCACATTCCCGTGGGCCAATAGTAATGCGATCTGCTGTCTTTATTTCTGCTCGCACCACGCGATATACACACCTACGAAAATGAAATGAAAATGCTGAGCCTTCGCACAAACGAAATGAAAATGTTCGTTCGAGATGTTGAAGGGTGTGAGGCCACGACCGGCTGAGCCTCGGTTAAGCATGACTGAACATCGGCAGCGCATTCCAGATGAATATCGTCATGCTTATGTGTTCTTACCCCAGATCGACGGATGTGAAGCTTACTTAACCCGTAAGCCAAAAGCCAAATCCACCCCCACACTCACGAGTCTCTCAAACTCGAGGGTTCGAAGTCCTCGGAGGAGGAACTCCGACGCCTAGTTTTCTACGCAATTGCACTCACTGGAGCATGAACGCAGCTGAAGCACACTTAGAGCGTGCCACACACCTCCGACTTCGTCATGCCCTGTGCTCTTAGTCTCCGCCAGTCGTTCCGTTCCCCTTTTTGATTTGTCAGCACAGACGCCGAGACACGCTAGGCCCGGGCAGAGTGGGAGGAGGTCGAGATTCACGGGGAGCCCTCAAGCTTTTTTGCACGTTATGTATGAGCTGAGCCTCCACCGTCAATTCAAGGAGCATGTACTTTGGCATGAACACGGACGAATGGAGAAAGTCGTTGCGTCGTTGGATCACGGGGGGATTCGCTCTGTCTCAGCGGATTTCGGGGAAATGAATGTGGGGAGGGTCAAGTGTGGTGTGGCAGGAGCACGACGATTGAGCGAAAGGACGGGCCGGAAAAACCGAACAAGGGATTTGCGATTTGAGACTTGGGTACGGTGAGCGACTTACGCAGGGAGTCCCCTTAGGTGTAGATCTGGAGAGGGAGGGAGGGAGCGTAGACGACGATCATAGCATCATCAGCAGCTCGGCAATTCCTTCAAGTCCCATTCGCCATCGCCATGTTGGTCCCTCCATTCGATGTCGGTGGTGGTTGTACTCGTGCGCGCCACAACCCCCCACACCGGGCAGCTTTCTCGATGTGCGATGTGCTGCAGACTGCCTTTAAACGAAAAAGGCCCGTATCCCGACACCACCACCAACATCAGACACGACCCCGCCCCCGGAGTACTCATATATATCGACCGGATCAAATCGTGACGAAAGGTCACCTGGACACATCCACATCGCCGGACCTCGTGACGATACCCAACACACCCAACGGAGTGCAGATCGCGGGAACGGACCCCGGTTAGCGACAGCGACAAGCGAAAGACCGGTATTAATCTAGTGGGGCCCCCAACAACAACATCGGAACCACGGAGGACTCGAGATCCAGTCGAAACCATCGACGGAGGACATAGCTAGGATGGAGGATTCACCAGAAGACGGGCAGCCGTGGTATGGGTTAGGCGCCTTGAGGACGTTTTACAGACAAACTGACAGCAGCTCGCGTTACAGGAAAATAATTAAAGTTGGACATGGCGGCGTTGGCCGAATAGCGCAAGCTTGCGATCGCTGTCGAAACAAAAAGGTATGATCACTCTTCACCTCCACGGCATCGCGGCCGGAACACGAGCGCTGACACGATGCCAACCAGATCAAGTGCGACGGTAAACGACCAAGCTGCACCCAATGCGAAAACGTCGGCTTCGAATGCCGCACAAGCGACAAACTCTCCCGACGCGCCTTCCCCCGCGGCTACACCGAATCCCTCGAACAACGCGTCCGCGAACTCGAGAAAGACCTCCGCGATGTCAAGAACCAGCTCCACGCGAAAGACGAGACAATGCAGGGTCTCGTACGGACGGGATCGATTGCGGAGGGCGCACCGGGATCGGTTGTCGGGGATGGTGCATTCGTGGAGGGTGGAGCGGGTGGGAATCTGGGCGGTGTGGGGACGGAGGATGATGAGACGTATTATATTGTTGGTGAGGTGAATCGCCTGATTTTGAACGATGAGGATGAGGGGTGTTATATGGGTTCGTCATCTGGACGGTATTTCATTGGTGAGTTCGCAGTTCGCACGGAGCATTTTCGCTCGTATCTATTGGTCATGAGACGGGAATACTAATGAAGTCATACAGAGATACTGAGGAAGAAGTTGTTGGAGCTACGGAGTTTCGACTTGAAAGTCGAGGATGCGTTATTGTTGTCTGCGGATATCATTGTTGCGAATAATGCGCCGGTGGTACATCTTCCTCCGCCTTCCTCGTCCGCCATCGCTCGCCGGAACTCGTTCCATGATGGATTGCCTGTTCTCCCGCCCCGTGCCTTCGCGGATCAACTCGTCCAGTCTTATTTCCAAAATTGGCAGCCCCTCTTTCCACTCCTTCACAAACCGACCTTTTTCAAGACTTACGAAGCGCTCTACGCCCGCGGCGCACCGTGTACTGACCCATGCTGGTTAGCGCACCTGTACCTCGTGTTCGCCATCAGCTCGCACGACCTCGCCGTCGAAACGGGAGAGAACCCGGATGATCACGCCAAATACTACCAGCAGAGTTTGACATACATCCACCAAATCGAACACCGACCCGCACTGGACTCGGTACAAGCATTGACGTTGGCGTGTTTGTATCTGTTTACGCAGCATGACGCGACGACGCTTTGGAGGTATAAGAATGCCGCGGTGAGTACTGCGCTTCAGCTCGGGTTGCACCGTGATCCTAAGCGATTTGGGTTGAACCCCCTGGCGAGGGAGATGAGGAAGAGAACGTTTTGGAGTGTGTTCGTGATGGAGACTTTCTGTTCCGCATTGCTTGGTTTACCGAAGGCGCTCAGGGTAAAGGACATCGAGACCGAGCTACCGGCTGATATCGATGATGAGTATGTTGGCGAGACCTCGTTTTACCACATGCCTGGATCCAGTACTAGGATCTCTGCAGCATTGGCGTTGGCGAGATTAGCGAGGGTGTTGAGCAACGTTATCGAGAACTTGTATGGACAGTCGCATCAGCCGCACTCGAAGTTGCGTGCTTTGGATGGGGAATTAGAGGCGTGGAGGAAAGGACTTATCCCGAGTCTGCAGTTTCCGCTTAACCCGATGGAAGCGACGGGATCGAGGCCGGGGATGCATTCTCGTGCGGCTTTTCTGGGTCTTGGTTACCACTATACCCGCACGCTGATCCATCGCCCTGTCATCTCTGGACGCAATTCGAACTCGGTTAGTAGTCCGCCGATTATCAATGGCGGTCTCAACCCTACTGCGATTCAGAAGGCTCAGCAGCAGGAGGATCCCTGGGAGCAAGCGTGTCTAAACATCGTGCTCGAGAGTTCGCGTAGTGTTGTGGCGTTGCTGGATAGACTCGCTGAGAACAGAAGTCCCTTTACGTTTTGTTTGTCCCAGGGATACGTGTTGTGGACGAACGGCATGATGCTTCTTTACGGTGCGCTGACATACGGCGAGGGACCCATTATGGATGAGACGAGGCAGCATATCGAAAAGTGTCTGAACCGCCTTCGTCGTTTGCATGCCACGAGTACGAACGCGAAGAAGCGCTCGGAGTTGTTAGAAAAGGCTGCAGGTGCTGTCTTTGCCGTCCCTAGAAACCAGCAGGCTGCGTATGCTGTGCCACCACAGCAACCTGCGCTTCCCACTGCGGCGTTGGCTGGGTTACAGCCATATCCGCAGATTGCGCCTACGGCGGTTGGACAGCATCCTCAGTCTATCCTTCCCACGCCTGCCCAGCTCGCGAACTTCGTGCCGTTCCAGTCGAATAAGTCTATCGCCATTGCGGCATCTCGTGGGTCTACTAGACCGAATACTCGACCTGGAAGTCCGAAGGCTGGGTTTGCGCACCTGACGCAAACCGAGCTCGACTTCATTGATTGGCCATCTAGCAGGAATTCCCCGACGAGTAGGTTGGCGTACGATGATAGCGATCTCGAGGCTTTCTTGGCTAGTATTGAGAATGGTCAGGAGCCGCTGTTTGGGACTGCTCCCGCTGTTGTGCAGAACCAACAAAATGCCCATCAAGGGCCTAATCCAGCACAGTTGGGCATGGCACTCGACGGTGCTGCATTCCCGTCTGCACCGGTCGTGAACCAGGCTCCGACAGGTGTGCCGAATTGGGATCCTGTCGTCGTCGATGGTGCTCCGACTGCGTCGACGTTGATGGGCGCACCTGCACCAAGACAGTCGTCTCATATGAGTACTGTCCAGTCATCTCACATGGGTACCGTACGACCAAGGGACGACGATGATGATCCCCCGAGCAGTCCAGACGTGATCTGGGATGGAGGAGGTCCTAGGCCCGGAAAGAGGATTAGGCATGAGGAACATAATGGTCCGCAGGTCAACGGGCAGGTCAGTGGACAGGTCAATGGGCAGGTGAACGGCAAGACTGGGGAGGCGATGTGGGGTGTTGAGATGCAGGTCAGTCAATAATGGATGTGGCGAACTGAAAGTAAAGGGATGTTTGGCAAGTGAAGTGAAGGGTTATGTAAGAGTATGCTGAGAAGAACTTGTGATTGATAGGCCTAGGACGGCGTTCGTTACCTTTGAGTAGTTTATGAGTATGAAATAGAACAGTTTTGGTATTCTCTGCGACTGCGTCAACGTCCATCGCGGAAAGTTGTGCCCATGATCCTGGCCATTTCCCATGCTCATTTGAACATGTCGTCTATTCTCCGATCCATTGAATGCTCGTCATTTCAATGACCCTTTCGCGCAACTTCTAGGCACTCTTCCTCCAATCCCTGCACATGCACCACCTGAATCCCCGCATCCTTCAACTTTCTCACACCCTTGCACTCCACAAAGTCACTTGGCTCTTTCACGCCAAGATACACAGAGTTAAATACCTCCTTCCCATAATCCAGTATCCGGTCAGTGCATGGTTTATTTCCACTTAGCCGTTCTGAACATGGCTCCATTGTGGTATACAGGTCCAGTCCTTTCGGTAGTGAACCTGCCCATGCTGAAAGTAGTTTCTCCAGCGCACATTGTTCAGCATGTGTATTCCCTGGCAACTCGCGGGAATACCCAGTGGAAAGAACTCGGCCGTTTTGGACGATGAGACAGCCAACACAGAACGCTGTTGGTGTTGGTTCGCACTTCTTGGCTTCCTCCAGCGCCAGTCTCATGAAGTCAACATGAACGCTGTCGATTGTAGTCATCGTTTCTGAATGTAAACTGCTCGTACGCTCAGGTTCATCAAGGCAACCTGGACGACATTGCTTGTCGAACCGACATTTGGATAGCCTGCATGCCAGGAACGACGTCGGCTTGCGGCACCCCACAACACCATACGACTTCCAAAACACCAAGTAGACGTCAATCATGGTGTCCGCCGTGTCGAATGACAACTCCCTTCAGCGGCTATATGCCCTAGTAGGCGAACTCGGTGAGCAATTGGCAGCCAACCGCGAGGCCACGGCTATGTTACGGGCGGAAGCGGATGCGTTGAGGGTAGGCTCTTGAACTTCAACCCAGGTAGACGAAGCTGACGGTACCTACAGTCTGAACTAGCGGACCCCGCTACTACGAATGGACATGTGTTCCCTGGAGTAAACGGAGTTGAAGGTACGATCCCGTCAAAGCATGATTCCAACGGACCAAGACTGACGGTTTTCGTACAGGCGCAGAACCACAAGACAACGGCGAACTCGTCCGCGAACGAACAGTCCTCCAACAAGAGAACCGAACCCTCCGCAAAGAAAACGACGACCTCCTTCGTCTAGCCGGACAATACGAAACCGGGATGGAAATCATGGTCGCGAAGTTACGAGAGTACGCTCACAACGCAAACGAGACAATTCTCGGTCTTCATCGAGATTATCGGGAGCAGTTGGCAAAGGCACGGCAGGAGAACACGGAGTTTCAACAACAGGCCATGCAGGATCAGGAAAGAATCTCTGCGATTGGGAATATGCTACGGCATGCGTATGCTGAGGAGACGAGAGTGGATCCGGATATCGTGATTGAGACGCTGCAGGTCGAAAACATGGGATTGAGAGAAATCCTGGGCTTCGTCGGTGACGATGGGCAATTTTAGAGTGCTGTATGCGCAGGTTGTCGTAGAATCATTGGGATACGGCGTTTGGTTTGGGCGTCCGAAAGGGTCGCTTCTTGATTTTCTATACCCAGGATCTAGGAATATTACTGTGCCCGCACAGCCTTTGTCGTCTTTGCGAAGATCTTGCTGAAGCTATTGGAATGTTGTCAGCATCATGTTTCGGACTATATGCGTGCACAACGAACCTCAGGACTCCGGACATGAATCCCAGAGAATGTTGGTAACCCTCTGTGAACTTCCAGTGGAAAACATCGTATGCTATTCGTCAAGTTAGCCGCTACACTGGGTCGAACATTTCGAGGCTCAATTGACATACCCGAGAATCCACAATCACAGAGTAACTTGTACCCACTCATCCTCACCCAAAACAGCTCATTCTGCAACGCACCCATCTGCTTCGAATACTCCTCATCACTAACTTTCTGCTCCATCAATATCTGTCTCTTCGCCTCGACCTTCGCCGCCAACTTCGCTTGTGAATGGAAGTTCAGTCGTAGATCGAACAAAGTACCAGTGAACCATGCTCGGTTCGCCCAGATGTCCGCCCAGTCTCTGACTTCCTTTCTGAATACGCCGACGCGGCCGAGACAGTAGATGTCGTCCAGGACGTCGTTCGAGATGCTTAGGAGGGTGTGCACGAATGCCAATGTCAGGAGCGGGTTCCGCTTTGAGCCCGCGTCCTTCTCATTAAGTTGATATGATTTGAAAGCACGCAAAATATCACTCAGTTCGGAGATAGGTTCCAACACATGTCCTAACCGGATAACCTTTCGCGTAGTGGACAGCTGGGTAATGAGTGGCTTGAGGCTATCGCGCAACAAAAGACGATTACTTGTCTTATTCCCTGGTCTGTTAAGGAATGCCCAGACGAGGAGCTTGCAGAAGTATTGGATACTATGCGCTGTAAGCTGGACTGTTCAGCGCTTCGATGCCGCAAGAAGGACTTACCATTTCAGGGTCTTGTCTCGGCCGTCGGTGACGGTGAGCATCTTGCGGAAGATCGCGAGTTCGTCTCCTTTCATTGTCATTACAGCTGTGAGTTGATTGGATTGGGTTGGATTCCCGTTTGTGTTGATCCCCAAAAGTTTATCGCGGGTGTTATCGGTCTGCATGGCAATTGAGGGGCCGTGCACCGACGGGAACCAACAGCCGAAGCTTAACCGTAAGCTCAAGCAGGAGAAGACAGAGAAGACGGAGAAGACTGAAGGTTAATATGGTTCGTAGGATGGAGCAGGCAGTGATGAGAAGAGACAAACCTTTTGAAGGGATAACTGGCGAACTCAAGTCCGCACGAACGCAAAACTCTGATGGTATAAAATGGAATCTAAGGAAACGTGTCGTATGAAATCAAAAAAGAAAGATAACCATGAATAAAAGCCCGTACGGCCCATCAAAAATGTTCCCCCGCCTCCGTTTAACCCTCAATAAGTCCAAGACCCTTCGCAGGTTCCGCACTCTCGTACCCCGACTCCGCTCCGGCATCCAAAACCCTCACGCAGTGTGCGATGATCTCTTTTCTAGTGTTCAAGGAAAGACCGACTTTGTCGGCTTCGGCACCACCGATCCAAATCCTGATGCTTGCGGCGATCTTCTCCGTGGTCAAGACCGCACGCTCGGACCTGATGGCAGAGGGCTGAGCCTCCAATGCAGACAACGCCTTCCAAGCAGCCAAGATACCGAGCAAACCTCCACGGTCCTCGGAAGAAGACTTCCACTTGACCTCACGGAAGATGTTGGCAGCGCGCTTAGCTTTACCAGGTTCATCGGACTGAAGAAGCCAGAGAACCATGGCGCAACGAAGACCGACACGTGCATCCGTAGTGATCTGAGTAGAAGGCATGATAAGAAGAGCCTCCTCTTCTTCAACCTTAGCGTTCATGGGCAAGTTATCATACCAAGCCTTCATGGCGTCCCTCAAAGAAGCACCCTCAGCATCGGGGTAAACCAAAGCCTTGGTAAGCAACCCGGTCCTGAGAGCAGCAGAGTTGGGCGGCGCGATCTCCAGAGCGACCTCAAGTTCATCCTTCAGTTCCTCCATCATCTCCTTGTCCGCATCTTTTTCCTTCGCGACGAACGCAGCCTTGAGGACCTTACGGGCGATCATGCACGAAGACCAAGCGGCCAATGCGTCGAGAGGGGACTTGGCAGCGTCATCCTCGACAACGAAGTCCATGTTCTCATCAGCCTCCTCGACCTCATCCTCGTCGAGAATGTGTCCAGAAGCAAGCCCATAGGCCCTCCTTACAACCTCAGGAGTGAAGATCTCAGCGCTGTTATATTCAACCAGCAAGTTCTTGATATGCTCCGGCAACACCTCCTCATCCCCAGCAGCCACCAAAACAGCCCTCGCCTTCTTCCAGAAATGCGCACTCAACTTCCTCGCCAAAGACTCAGGCGTGACTCCGTGCAGCAAGACCTGGATATGAAGAGCCTGGAGCATACAACGACTCGCACTCGGAGGCAAGGTCAACGAAGAGAAAAACGAGAACGCGAGGCGCGCACGATTGATTTTCGAATCACCACCAGCAAGCTGCGCATCCAACGCACGCTCCCACGCGCTAATCCGCATCAAATCCTCAGACTCGTTCAAGCCAGCCAGGGTCTGGAAAACCTCATGTCCACACGTCATACACAACAAAGCCTTACAAAACTTCGTCAACATCGCCGTGCAGATCGGAAGCCTAGCACCGGCAGGCGGCATATACACCGTCTGCAACGCCGTCTCGAACGCTTTCTGCCTCACACAAAGCGGCGAGCTAACAGCCGGGCTCGTCTTCTCGCCAACAGCAGCAGCAGTCTCGGTACCGGTAACAGTCCTAGTCCTCTGCTTCTGCGCCACAACACCCTTATTCTTATCCTTCTCCTCGCGATCAAAGAATGCAGGGTTTAGAATATACGTAACAGCCCCAACCACCAACAACACCTTCAACCCCAACATAAAAGCGTCATACGTCGACCATCCACTCAAACTCCTGAGCGTAACAGCCGACATAAACCCAGCATTCCCAGATCCGAGACGGAGGAATCCGGGAAGCGCAGCGAGACCACGGGCGGAGTGTTGCTGTCCGTGGACGGGGACGCCGCCCTGGTCAGGGTGTGCGCCGAATTGTCCAGCGCCGCCCATAACCATCATACCCGCCATCGAGCCAACCATGACCTTGGACATATACCCACCACTCGACCTTTGACGATGACCACGGGGCTCGTCCGGCGGTTGGTGCTGAGGGTGCTGCTGCTGGTGGGGGTGCGCATGAGGATGCTGCTGGTGCAGATGCATACCCGGCACGCCCTGACCTGGCACCATCGTCCTCTTCCTCTGAATAACCTGCTGTTGTGCCTGAGCAGCAGCAGCCTGCGCACTCAAGTAATCCCTCATCCTCCTAACCTCATCTTGTAACTGCTTATTCCTCGCCTCGAGATGGTAGATATACTCCGTAGCCTTCGACAACACCGTAGCTTTATTCAACTTCTGCGCGGGCGCCAAGCCATCGAGGTCAGGGTCCAATTCGGCGTCAGACAAAGAACCGGAGCCGCCGATGCCGGCACAGCGGAGAGCGGGGACAGCATCACGGAGTGCGCCGATTTTGTCGTTAAGGTTCGTACGGTAGCGTTTTTCGATCATGTTATGTGCTGTCTTCTTGGGTTTCAAAGAGCTGTTCAACTTTGCCTTCGCGTTCTCAGCCCCCTTGCCGCCCTTAGAGCCTTCCTTCTTCTCAACAGTAGTCGTATAGAAAGGAGTCTCGTAATCGTCGTCAGCAACGGCGGTGGAAGCGTCGCTGGTACGCTTGGCGGGGACGGTAGAGGTCGTCTGGTTGCTGGCCATGGAGGACATAGACGTTCCCGGACGGTCGACTTCAAGAGGAGAGTGGGGTCCTTGAACTGGGCTGGGTAATTGACAAGTACTCGCATTGCTGTTCGGGAAGGGCGGAGCACGGTCGTCGCGGGGTGATACGAGGGGTGGTGACGAGTGATGCAGATACCCACCACTGAAAGCTACGCCGGCACTCGCGAGCGGGCTCGGTGCCGAAGACTTGCGGCGCTTGAATGGGTGCATTGGCGGCGAAGGATAGTGCTGCGAGTTTCCCTGTTGTTGTCCTTGTCCTTGTCCCCCGTTATTGTTAAACTGAGGCTGCCAATTCAAATCCAATTGTTGTCGTTGGAAGATCGCTTCCGGCACAGCAGCCGCGGCTTGTTGGGGAATAGATTGCTCGTGTCCGGGTTGGGGCATATCGTATATCCCCGCTTGCTGTCCGAAGTTGAACTGCGACATAGATTGCTGCGCTTCGGCTGAGAGTTGGGGATCGAAAGCGGGTTGGAGGCCATGGTTTTCGTCGTGGTCGAAGGTGTCGTAGCGGGGGGGTTGGAAGGTGTAGTTCATTGTTGGCATTTGTTGTGGGATCATGGACTTGTTGACGTTGACGTCTTGCGGACGCTGCATCGGCATCGTGTCGACTGGAACGGCCCAGGCGTCTTGGACGGTGTTGTCGTAAAGTCCTGCCATCGTAGGATCCCCGGTAAACATCGTCGGATCGAAATCGTACTGAGCCGAGCTGGGCGAGATCGATGTAGACGACAACTGCGGTGGAGAGCTGTCCGCACCGGAAGAATACTGGTTATCGAGTCGATTCAGGAAATCGACCATCTGTTCTGGAGATTGCAATTGAAAATCTGCTTCACCGGCCGAATGGTGCGAATGAGATGAAGAAGCCGATTTAGAATGATGTTGGTGATGGTTGTGATTGTGATGGTGGGTGTGGTGAACACGTTGGGATGACGGATTGCAATTGTAAGAGAAGGGATCCTGCTGGTGACGGGACGAATCCATATCTAGTTACGATAGATGCTGCCTCGTCGAAAAAGCTGGGAAATTGTAAATTCGGGCGAGGCGAACAAAGCGGCGTGATCGCCTATAACGAACGGTAATGCGGGACGGCCGTACGTGTAGGAAGGAGCAAAGGGAAGTAAGGATTGGTGTATAAGGTGAGAACCGGGACGATCGGGGGAGTATGCTCGTATGATTTTGCGGAATGTCGGTCGTTGTTGAGTGCGAGCAGATTTGATGGAGGTGATGTTTTTCTGAGGGTGGGTCGACCTCTTTCATTTGGGTGCGTTAGAGTGGTCTGATCTGGATGCTGCGGTTGTCTCAGGCAGTGCCACCGTAACACTCCTCGAAAGGGAACGAAATTCTCCGTTTCCTGTCATCTCTCAATTGAAGTTCGCTATCTGTCTACAGTACTCGTAGGTTCACGTTCAACGGTCCACTCTCTTCATATCCTTCGTGAGCCTCCTCGCACGCTTCGATGTCCTATGTACCACGCAGCAACATTTCCGGTCGCGGACGCAACTCTAATCCCAATTCCGGCGGAGAGACACAAACCTCCGCCTAACTCCATGCCAACCCTCGAGGTCGAATCCTCGGCCGCGGTCTTAGGTGCACGGACCACCCCCTCCGTAAGCGAACTCCAAGCCGAGCGAGGCTCCGTGTCCGCGATCACATGTTCACAAGTTCACCTCACCCCTCCTCGTATACGGAAGGTCGGAAGATACACTCAGCCAAGCCAAGCTTGAACGTTGACGACGATCCCTCGAAGTCCTCCCTCCATGCTCTGGAGCTCGTGGCGCGCCTGCGTGGCCGTGGAAGGCTAGCGTGCGTGTGTGTGTGTTAAAACACAAAATTGCAGGGGTCTTGATCATTCCACACCCCATTTTCTTCATTTCACACCCCAGCGCCAACAAAAAACTCAGGATATCTCGCCAACCACAAATCGGATCTCGGAGGGTAGAGAGTATATAGATTGATAAAAGTCCTCTGAATCCGTTCCCACCTTCAAATTCGGATTTGAAGGTTCCTGGGAGAAGATACCAACTGTTTCTCACCTCTCAGCGCGGCTGGTGTGGCACAGCGCATATATGCCTAAATCTGCACATCACATCTCAGCAGTATTTGGCAGAGTACAGCAGCTGGTGGAGTGAAATCTGCGAGTTAAAGGTATCAGGATATTCACAAAGTTACTCTCTATCTCTCTACGCTCTTACCGTATTCCCAAGTTCAATGGCTGTTGAGATATCTTTGGAATTGTGAGTGCGCTGGGGTGTGAAATGAAGATTTAGGGGTGTGGAATGATCAGGACCCAATTGCAGTTCGCCAGATTAGGCTCTGTAAGCGGTGAGGGTGAGTAGGCTAGAAAAGGTATAAGCCAGAACAGTAGTATTGGTAAAGAGCAACTAAGAGAGCGAACCTTATACACCCTTAAAAATATGCATGGTGCCTGGGCTAAGCCCATTACGAAATAGGGCGCCCACAGCGGACTAGCTATGCTAGGGAAACGGCCGAAGGCACTAGAAGAAAAAACAAAAATAAGCAAAGAACCAACACTTATAAGAACCTACCCCTTCCCTGCCCAGAGTCCGAAGATCAGCACCGCAAGGCACTGAACGAACCCAGACAGAGAGGACAGAGACAAGAGGAGGAGTACGAGACTCTATGAGGGATTTGTAAAGCATCTCTGCAGAGTGGTGATCCCACAGCAGAGCTTGTCAAAAAGAGGTAACTAACTCCGCCCAATTCCCTTTCAAGCTGGACAACTTGTCCAGGAACTCCAGGCTGAGCTTGCGCGGTTCAATGGAGGGGCACAGGAGAAGAGCGTGGATTTCTGTCTCTAGATAGTCCTTGTAGCGGCGCTGCTGGCACGGCACACACACCCGGTCCTCCCTGGACAGTCCAAAGTGACGACCCATTTGGATAGCCAGATTATGAGACGACAACCGAAGTCTTGCCATAGCCTGCGCCCTTGTGAACGGCAGGAAGACATACGGGTGGGGTCTGACGGGTGTGGAGAATGGAGCGCAGTCTAGGTGGGAGAGTCGGCTAAAGCGACTCACCGCTGCGGCATAGGTAGAACAAACCTTTTTCTCCGCATTCAGCTGAACAAGAGAACGAAAGGGAACCAGCGAGAGGAGGTCGACGCCAAGGGTCTGAAGGCGCTTACGGGTGGAAGAGAACCTCCCACCACGACCTTCGTGCACAATGGTCTGAGAAGCGAAATAGCCTTTACTGGTAAGTCGATCGCCCGGCAAAGACCAGAGGTAGTCTATATCCAGCCATGCCATAGTAAAGCGGAGCAGTCACAGATCTGGGTGAAACCCCAGCAGCAGTCCGCATAGCAGTCCTATGTAACACGTCGAAATCAACCCGTAACGGCCCGTCAAACATGACAACCACACCATAGATCAAGTACGGTTCCACCAGGGCATGGTATAACCGCATGTAGACCCTAGGGAGGAGTGGACCAACCGTATGGTGCAGAGCATGAATGGAAAGAAGAGTCTGCCTGGCTTTCGCGAGGCCTCTCCGACAGTGGGAACTGGAATTCCACAGCCTTGAAGCTGAGACTACAGCCAAACGCAAAAGTCATGCGAATCGCGCGCAAAGCTGAATGCACCCCCGCACATTCGTCGACAACGGGAGATTACAAAACGCGTCCAAACTCCATGGCCAAGGAGTCTTAGGAGCAGGTTTCAATTAGGACAGCTGTAGAATGACGTTGGACTTCTGCTCATACCCTAACATCTCCGCCTGCATCGTTTGCTGCACGTCAATCCAGTGTTACGCATCATGCGATGTCATGCACGTGTCCCTGTAACGTAGATACGACGGAAGCAAAAGGCAAGAAATCTTGCCTCACAGCATATGGCGCGTGCAGCTTGGACTACAAGAAGACGTAGATTACCCTTGCGAATCTTATGATCTCTTGACCTGCAGCTCTGACTTTGTACATGGAGAGATTTGTTGAGTTTTATGTCTACCCGCGCCCTTTGGTGGTAGTGTGTCGCTGATTCTCGCGCGATTCGCAGGACTTTTGCTTTTGGCTGTACCACCCCGACGTAAACGGAGTCCTCAACCACCGTCAATGGAGGAGAGGACCTGTCGACGTAAACTCTAACCGGGTTTCTTGTAGTAGACGACAGACCGGGAAAATACAGGACCTTGGACTTGTCTCCATTGATTAACAACCTCCATTGTGAACAGAAGGTCGCGAGAGAGTCTAGTAGAGCCTGCAGTCCAGCTTCAGAATGAGAGAAAAGAGCAATGTCGTCAGCCAGTAACAAGCATGGGACCTTGAGCCCAGTGAGGGCTGGAGAGTGTGCCCTGGAAGGGAACCATAGATCGGCAAGAGAGATAGCAAAGAGGGTGGGTGAGAGGGGGTCACCTTGAACTACTCCATGATCGTAGTAGAACACAGGGGAGTCCCCCCCGGAAGAGCGAACCACACTGGTAGTATTGGTATAGAGGGCGGCAACGGAATCAATGATCCTCCCCGCACCCCCGAGAAAGCGGATCTTGGCCATCAAAAGGTCCCTGTCGATGGTATCAAAGGCTCTGACCAAATCGATAAAAGCAACATGCAGAGCCTTCTTTTCAGACTGAGAGACGTCGGACAGGGCCCAGAGGATGGACAGATTGTTCAGTAGTCCTACGGCCCCGTCTAAACCCGTTCTGCGCGTCCGGGAGGAAAGAGTCAGCCCAGCGTCAGACTCCGCCATTTAGGAAGGCAGTAAAGATCTTCCTAACCACAGAAAGGAGAGTAATCCCCTTGTAGTTGGCAGGATTATGTAGGTCACCTTTTGGGGGGAGCGGGATAATAGCGCCAAAGTCCCAAGCAGAGGGGACTGAGCCGCTATCCTGAAGTTTATTGAAGAAAGAGTGGAGCTTCCCATCTGGGAGGCCTCAAACAGCATCCACAGAGATTGAGTCGAGACGAGTACGATGACATCAGAATCTTTACAGAGGTCAAGCAATAGCCTGTCTCTGGGAGAAACCGTGCCATCCAATGAGGACCTGGGGGAAGAGGGAAGGATGAGGGCATTGTTTGGGCCCAGTACTGGTGCCGTGGCGTCCGGAAGAGGAATGTCTGACCCAGTATGGGAGTGTGAGCAAGCAGGAATGCGGATGAATGCGTGGAAACATTCGTCTAAGTTGAAGTAGTGAGAGGGATTAGCCTTAAGTGCAATACATAGCATCCTCGAAAGAGTCCAACGAGAGTCGTTGGGACTAAATGATAACCCAGCCACCTCCAAAGCGTGACAGCTTGCAGTAGTAAGAACTTGTTGAAGAACAGAGACAATAATGCCGTTGTCATCCGCTGGGGTGCTTGAGGGGCATTGTGATCCCGCCTAAGTAGCGGTGGGAGGGGATGTACGCCGTTCATCGGTAGGGGCCAACACCAAGGAAAGCGAGTTGGAGGACCGATGAGAGAGCCGAGGAGCCGTAGATAGACGAGAGGAGAAAAGGGAAGTGCGACGAGGTACTTCCGGAGGAGTTGAATGAGGTTGGCTCTGAGTCCGGGTTGCCAACAACCATCAAAATGGGGTTGGAGGCCTGGCCAGGAGTATCTGAATCAATTGGGTTTGACAAAACAAATGACCTTACTGATTATCAAAGGTTAGATGCTATTTTTATTTCGTCGTTGGTGTGGTATGTAGTGCGTTGAGGGTCTGACTGAGTACAGAGCGTGAGAACCAGGCACGGACACCCTATCCTGGTCCCTGGCTAAAGGGGGCTCTCGTAGCCGACGCACATCTACCGCAGCCGGTGCCCCACAGCCGGCCGTGCATGACCCTGCCGAAAGCTCACGTCGGCAGTTTCCTCCACAATTACCGAAGCTGATCACACGTCAGTCCATTTCGGCTCTCCACCTCCCTCGTATAAAGGCCTCGCCATGGCCCTCCATCCCATACCCAAGATCAACCAAGTACCTGATCAGATCACTCACAATGCCCGGCGCCGGTCAATCTACCAAGTCAACCAAGTTCGACAGCAAAACCTTCCACTTCACCGACACCCAGTCCGCCTCCCCCGTCGCTCCCAACGACCCGTACACCTACTACTCCGGCTTCGGTAACCACTTTGAATCCGAAGCGATTCCTGGTACCCTCCCCCGTGGCCAAAACAGCCCTCAGAATGTCAAGTATGGACTCTACGCCGAGCAGATCACCGGAACGGCGTTTATTGCCCCAAGGGCGCAGAACCAGAAGGCGTGGTTGTATCGCATGAGGCCTGCTGTTGCGCATCAGGGGTTCAAGGATATGACGGATGCGCCGGAGACCGAGTCCTGTTTCTTGCCGCTCAACCCGAAGGTTCACGTCTCGCCCACGCAGTTGGCTTGGACGCCTTTCGACATGCCCTCCGACGACGAAAAAGTCGACTTTGTCCACGGTCTCCGCACCCTCGCCGGTTCAGGCGAACCCACCCTTCGCGAAGGACTGGCGACCCATATCTTCACCTGCAACACATCCATGTCCCCCGCCAAGACCTCCTTCGTCAACTCTGACGGTGACATGCTCATCGTAGCCCAGGAAGGCGCCCTCGACATCCAAACCGAGTTCGGGTGTCTCTACGTCCAACCCGGTGAGATCTGTGTCATCCAACGTGGAATCAGGTTTAGTGTTAATGTCGAGGGTCCCACACGTGGGTATATCCTCGAGATCTGGGGTTCGCATTACGAGTTACCCGAGTTGGGGCCATTGGGTGCGAACGGGCTTGCGAACCCGAGGGACTTTTTGGTGCCGAAGGCCAGGTATGAGGTCAACCCGGGAGAATGGAAGATTGTGTACAAAGTCGCCGGGAAGTGGTTTCATTCCACGCAAGGCCATAGTCCGTACGATGTCGTCGCCTGGCACGGAAACTATGTTCCGTACAAGTACGACCTGACCAAGTTCGTCAACGTTGGATCCATCTCCGTCGACCACATCGATCCCTCCATCTTCACCGTGTTGACAGCGAAGTCCAGGGACCCGGCTGCGCCATTGACAGACTTCCTCATCTTTTCCCCCCGCTGGGATGTAGCCTCAAACACCTACCGCCCCCCTTACTACCACCGCAACACCGCCTCCGAACTCATGGGCCTGATCTATGGCTCTTACGGCGGTCGCTCCGACGAATTTGCTCCCGGCGGCGCATCCTTCGAAACAGGTTGTACCCCCCACGGTGTCGCGTACGAAGAATTCAAAGGGGCGACGGAGGCACCCTTGGGAGCGATGAAGATCAGTGAGGGTACGATTGCGTTTATGTTTGAGACGAGTCGGGCGTTGGTGATTACGGACTGGGGGATGAAGAGTGAGAAGAAGCATGAGCATGATCCGAGGATGTGGGATGATTTGGTTAGTAACTTTGAGAAGGTGATGAAGGAGGAGGGGTTGGAGGAGAAGGGGGCTGCGGAGTGAGCACGGATGGTAAGGGGACGTGTAGGATATGTGCGGGTGAAAGGTGTATTGATAACCGAAGGTTAGGTAGGTGATGTTTGGATACTTTATCGAAACCATATATTTCTTTAGCCCGACTTTGGTCCCAGGCTCGATGTGAAAACGTTCATTTCTTCATCGCTGCCGTACCGCACATAACCGCAGCTGCGATAGGAATTCCCCAGCGTCATATCCACACGGCTGATTCACCCGTCTACGCTGCAGAAGATGGTGCTCGATCGTTCTGACCGGAGCGTTTGCTTGCGGTCATCCTGCCTGCCATGTCTCTAGAGGTCACGCTTCTTATTCTCACGCACCCGGAATACCGACGGCGATAGTCATATCATGATTCATGACTTCCCTCGGCCTGGCCTGATACCTCAATCCTTTTTGCGATTTCGCGAGATGTACGTCTTTATACTGGCGTTCCCAGCATCTGATACGTAAAACCGTCTTGTTGCGGCATTTTCCCACAGCACAACACCCAGATCCTTTCCATACTTGAGCACAAACTCATAATCGTTTGTTGAGGCAAAGTCATGCCACAGCCACCCTTCACTTGCCCGTATACGATTCTTATCCAGCTCCCATAGCCGTATCTGATCCACAACACTAGGCGGCAGCAGAGGCTGTTGTTTTCGCATTTGAGGATGTGCGTGTGTGGTCAAGTACTGAATGATCTGGTCGGCGGTGATGCCGTTCTTCAAGGCCTCCAGAATAGAATCGCGAGAGATGATGCCTGTGACCATGTTCGGGAAACGTGCCTTCAGATTCACGAAAAGTTGAAGAACGGCAATCTGAAGTGGTGAATTCGTATATGCGTATACCTTGTAGTTTGTCTCCAGCACAATGAATCCGCTTTCTGAGCCTGGATCTGGTTTTGCTGATAGTGCACCTTGAAGGCTGGCAGCTGGACGTTTCCAATGTCCAGCATGTGCTGTTAGAGTTGTGGCCAATCGAGTTGGATAGAATCTCCGCGACGTGCTCTTTCGTTGATAGACGACGCCATAGTCTCGAAGATCCTCCAGCATGATCTTCTGTGTCGGAGTTAGGAAATCGGTAGAATAATCCTGGCCGAGCTCCAGTGATCCAAGCATGAAGAGGAAGTGTAACACCTCAACTGGATCCATCTCCAACTCTTCTGCAACAGTCAGATACTGCAATAATAGTGCCCATATTTGCGCATTCACATCCTGCAGCAGGAACTGGAAACCCGCATTCGTGATGCTCATTGTCTCTTTCCTCAGAGGATTACCTTCCATCAACCCACTCTTCTCCAGCAACCGCACCACACCATCTCCAGGCATTCTGTCCATTGGAGTATTGACCATGAAATGTAGAATCATCTCCCACTGCTCTGTCGCATGCCTGTCCAGGAACTCAACTGTCACTGCGTTGTTGTCGGCTGTATTGCATGGTACTCCAAATGACTTGTGGTCGCCCCCACCAGTCAACGCAGTGCGGAAATTTGTCCGAAATGCCAGGTTCATTGTCACTTCTCCTTTATGCTCCTTGTACACATGCATCTTCTTCAGCTTTTCCAGGGCGTTGTTCTGCTGTCTCTTGCTTCCTGGCTCCACCCATGCATCGATATCTCTGACTTGTACTGGTGCATCATTGTAAAGCGTACTCATGACAAAATGCTTTGCAAGGTTGGGCAAGAGTCGAAATATAGCCAAGCATGTTGCAGGTTTTTGGTACAAGCGGGAGAACACCGGTGCAGGCAAGCCTTCCAGGTAATCGTTCTGGGAATCAGTTAGCCTAAATCACCACGGGTAGAATGCCAAAACAGTACAATGCTGGTCTTGAAGTCTAGCGTCTTGCTTGACATCCAGGAGTCGACTTATCTGGTATACCGGTCGAGGAGCTGTGTTTGGAGATGAATCGCTGAAGGTGCACGACGTGACGTCTGTGCGTACGGCACTTGTAACGTCGATTCAAAACACGTGAAAGGCCAGCAAAAGGGCAGAGAGGAGGAGATCACAGATCCTCAGCTAGATATATTTCCCGAAACAAGGCTTCAGTAAGGCCATTCGCAGTTTCCGTCGTTTACCGACGCATGGTGCTGCCGAGAACGTCATCGCACCCTCCCCGCGTTCTCGAAACACACACACAAACGAGACACCAATTGACCTGCCATTGCGCACCTTGATGCCCAGGGAGATGTCAGATGCGTGTGCGCAAGTGTTAGGATGGCTAAGACAGGTCGTGCAACCGGTACTTCGCTTCGGATGTTGGTCTATGATCCGTGGGTTAACAGGAGCAATGTACAGCTTTACCAAGATCCACAGAGAACATATGCGGACTCCGCTGCTCTACTACAGAAATTAAGATCTCCACAGCCGTCGACAGCGACATTCACGTTCGATAACGGACATTCGGCGCTGTTGCTATGTTTACGAGGGAACCTCCCCATTTCCTTCCGCGGCGGAAACTACAACATCCCTGTCGCTGTGTGGTTACCCCAATCATATCCAAGAGAGGCACCTCTGGTATTCGTGGAGCCAACTGCCGGTATGATGGTGAGAAGAGGGAACTACGTTGATGGGGAGGGAAGGGTATATCATCCGTGTCTGGCACATTGGAATGCGAGTGATCCGATGGTATGTCGTTGGGATCTGATAGGCAACCATCTGGAGTCCTGACTGACGTACGGTTCATATAGGCGAGTAACTTGGTTGAAACCTCCAAGCAACTCCAAGAAGTGTTCAGCAAAGAACCGCCGGTGTATGTTAAGCCTCCGCCTGTACCAGCACCAGTACAAGGACAGGTTCAACAACCACCTCCATCATCACACGCATCTCAGCCAGCATCACCAGCAGCACCAGGTAGACCTGCACCAGCAACCCCAAATCAAAATGCGAACCCACCGCTACCACCAAAACCCGGACAACTTCGATCACCAGCTCAATCACCCCAATATCCGCACCGCGCAGTGCCAGTCCCTCCACCACATACCAACGGGCATACCATATCACCACCGCCGCGGCCTCCACTACCGCCGCAAATTCAATCTCAACGAACGGGTGTTGATCCACGGTATGGCCATGTACCATCACCGAGTTACGACTGCACCGAGCGACCACAGATCCAGCACGCACAGACCATGCCAGCAAGTTACGATACCAGACCACCACCACCAATCCCACCCCTACTGGGGCACACACAGGGGTTGCATAGGCATGCGACGATGTCTGGAGCCGGAGCGAGTTTATCGTATTCTACTGGGGTTGGAGGGAGACCCAACCCGCTACAGCATCAACGACCTATCTCCATCGCCGCCGTCCCGCAAACCCGACCACAACCACAACCACAGCCACGACCACAACCGGTTGATCTCTTGTCATCTGACGATTTAATTAGCACGATGGAAGAGAGAGGCGTAGCACCACCGCCTAAACCACCGAACCCGGAGCATGCGATGCTATTGCAGCATATAACCTCGAAACTCGATATGTTGGCGAGGGAGTCGTATGAGAGGACGCAGCGGACGCTGGAGGAAGCGAGGGTACGGAGGGAGGAGATGCTTGAAGTTGAGAAGGCTCAGCGGGAGGAGAAGGCCGAAGTCGAGCATTTGGATGCCTTGGCGGAGCGAAACATCGCCATCCTACGTAAATCGATCGCAAAAGCCGAATCCATAACCACAACAGCCCTCTCCACCCCTCTCCCCGACCCCAGCGCCCTCCTCACCGCTCCTTCCGTTGTCCATCAACAACTCTACGAACTCGCGGCGGAAGATGCAGCGATAAGTGATACGATTTATGTGCTCGGGCGATGTTTGGAGGGAGAGAGAGTGGGATTCGAGGGGTTTTTGAGGGAGGTTAGGAAATTGGGACGGGAGCAGTTCATGAGGAGGGCGTTGATTGGGAAGATTGTGGAGGGGTTGGGATTGGAGAGGGGTAGTGCTGTGTGACCCAAGCACTAGACAGACCGATCGGATCAGATGTTGGTATAGTGAATGATTTGACATTCTCTTCATAGATTCGTATATGACAATACCCGACTCTGACATATGCACCCAGTGGTCCTTCCTTCCCCTCTTTTAGATGATGATACAATGAATAAAACAGCCGCGGCAACAAGATCGGCACAAGGCTTTCCAAAACATAACGCCAATAAACCCAAACAAAAGCAATATTTCCACCACCCCCTCTATCTCCGCCGCCCCAACGCCCATGCTTCGCACACACGCATTTAAAGATACTTTGATAGACGCGCCAGATGGTAGTTGATGGTCGTCGTCGTTTGCACCTGTTGCTTAGGCTTGGTCATACAAAGCTTCAACGTATCGGCCACCTTGACACACATCTCCGCATCAGGACCACCGCTGGATGCCCAACAAGAAAGCAGAGAAGCCATCTCGACAGCCTACGAACAAATGTTAGGGTCTCTGTTACAATTGCGGCAAATGCGTGCAGTTAGGGAGGAGGAGGGCGACGTACGCAAGGTTTGCGAATTTCGGGCCTGGCTGGCTTGACCTTGAGCTTTGGAAGACGGAATTTTGGGGCGTTACTGATGGGGGACATGGTGGATCGTGGAGGGAGTGTATGCCGGAGTTGTCGAGGTCGTGTTATTCAGGGGCACTTTTCCGGGTGGGATGCAGGAGTGAGGGACCGAGACTTGATGGGAGGTTTGGGAAGAGGAGAAATTGAAACGATATGGCCTATTATGTCAGTTTTTATTGCGACTTTCTGTCGCCACCGGATCTGTACTCGGGACCCTTGATCGAGCAGCGTCCACCCCGCACAGTCCCTCGGTCGATCTCCCGAATTTGAGCATCAACGTTACCGGCAGTCCGGCAAAAGTCTCTCGGCAGTCCCACACACCCTTCACTCTCTTTAACCCTCCGATCCCATGTCAGTAGCAGGCGACGAACACTCTCCAATCCGCGGTTTCCTCGCCGGGACAATCTCCGGCGTAACCAAACTCGTCGTAGGCCACCCCTTCGACACAATCAAAGTCCGTCTCCAAACAAACCCCGCTTTCACCGGTCCCTATGACTGTCTCCGACAAACGCTCGTCAAAGAAGGAATTCGCGGGGTGTACAAGGGCGCTACACCACCGCTTGTTGGATGGGCGATGATGGATAGTGTTATGTTGGGGTCTTTACATAATTACCGGGAACTGCTGAGGAAGTATGTCTATAATGGCGGCGAGCTGCCGACGGTTGGGCATGCTATTGCGGGAACTGGAGCTGGTGTCACGGTTTCGATGATTGCGGCGCCGATCGAGCATGTGAAGGCTCGGTTGCAGGTTCAGTATGACGCAAAGTCGAGGGTTTATACGGGTCCCATCGACTGCGCAATGAAGCTGTACAAGGGACATGGTGTCGCAGGTGTATGGAAGGGGTTATACGCAACCATGATCTTCCGCTCCTTCTTTGCTGTGTGGTGGGGAACATACGATCTCTACTCCCGCTGGTTCCGGGAACACACCTCCATGACTCCCGGCGCGATCAACTTCTGGGCGGGTGGGTTGAGTGCACAGACATATTGGTTCTTTGCGTTCCCGTCGGATGTGGTGAAACAGCGGATTATGACGGATTCGCTGACGAATCCGAGGTTTGTGACGTGGAGGAGTTGTGCGAAGGAGATTTTGGAGCAGAATGGGTGGAGGGGGTTTTACAGGGGGTTCTTGCCGAGTTTCTTGAGGGCGTTCCCGACGAATGCGGCGGCGTTGTTTATGTTTGAGACGACGATGAGAGGGTTGAAGGGTGTGGGCATCTGACGGAGTTCAGCAAAAAAGTTTACGGTATAGGACATGGGCTTTGGGAGTATGTGCAGACGAGGACTGTCCGACGAGCACATGAGACATACTGGCGATTTGTAACATTTACAGGAACACAACCCGTGGGACATGGGTACCAAAAGGCGGTGCTCTCGCCGACCGCAGCACCTGATGGACAGTCAAGAGCAGAGTTTGCATAGAGACATATTTGGTGCAGAGCAGGGCATTCCGAGGCTGCATATTTGTGTTGGTGGACACAGTAGACGATACTAGTACTGCTTGATTTTGTAGCCAATCGAAGACACATGGCCTAGCAATTTACTGAGTTCTTGACATGCACACGGCACAACTACGTACAGCCGTCCTTTAATCTTCACTTCCTTTGACACAGACCTCCGGGTACCCGATTGCCGTATTGGGTGTGGCTGATGGGTGGCTAACGTCGAGTCATCCAAAAACACAAGAAACAAGAAAGTCATCTGAAAGTCGTCTGAAAGTCGTCTGATCCGTGCGACTTTCCCTCATAATCAATCCTTCAAAATGCGCCCCACGGTCGTCATTGACAACTACGACTCCTTCACCTGGAACGTCGTCGAATACCTCGATGCCGTCGGCGCTGTCGACCTCCAAGTCTACCGTAACGACAAGATCACCCTCGAGGAACTCGTTGCGCTGAACCCGAGTAAACTGGTTGTGAGTCCTGGTCCTGGACACCCCGAGACGGATGGTGGTATCTCTCGAGGCGCGATTGAGTACTTTGCGGGTAAGATCCCGATTTTGGGTGTTTGTATGGGCGAGCAGTGTATCTTCTCCGTGTTTGGTGGAAAGGTTGAGTTTGCGGGTGAGATTGTGCATGGAAAGACTTCGACCATTACGCATGACGGAAAGGGTATCTACCGCAACGTTCCCCAGGACATCGCCGTGACTCGTTACCATTCTTTGGCTGGAACGCATGCTACGCTCCCGCCTTCATTGGAGGTCACCTCGAGAACGGAGAGTGGTGTCATTATGGGTGTGAGACATAAAAAGTACACTGTCGAGGGTGTCCAGTACCACCCCGAATCTATCCTCTCCGAAGAGGGTAAACGCATCTTCCGCAACTTCCTCGACCTCGACTGCGGAACCTGGGCTGAAGCCGAACGTCTCCAAAAACCCGACGCATCCGTCTCCTCCGCCGCCCCCGCCAAAAAGTCCGGCTCCATCCTCGATAAAATCCACGAGCAGCGTTTGGTCGATATCGCACAAGCCAAGTCCACCCCCGGATTCCGTCGCGAGGATTTGGAGACGTTGGTGAGGTTGAACGTGTGCCCGCCACTCATCGATTTCCCTGCGAGGTTGCGTCAGACGTTGCCGGAATATCCTGCGCTCATGGCTGAAGTTAAGCGTGCGAGTCCTTCGAAGGGTGATATTGATATCTCGGCGAATGCGGCTGCACAGGCTTTGCTTTACGCTCGTGCAGGCGCGTCGACGATTTCTGTCTTGACAGAGCCCCACTGGTTCAAGGGATCCCTCTCCGACCTCCGCGCCGCACGCGACGCAATCGGAACCCTCCCCAACCGCCCAGCATTGTTGAGGAAAGACTTCATCATCGACACCTACCAGATCCTGGAAGCCCGCGTCGCGGGTGCCGATACCGTTCTCCTAATCGTCGCCATGCTCTCTGACGCCGAGTTGAAGGAATTATACGATTTCGCCAAGAGCTTGGGCATGGAGCCCCTTGTCGAGGTCAATAATGCGGAGGAGATGAAAAGGGCGTTGGCAATTGGATCAAAGGTTATTGGTGTTAACAACAGGAACTTGCATTCGTTTGCCGTGGATTTGGGGACGACATCTAACTTGGCTACTATGGTTCCAGAGGGTACGACGCTGTGCGCTTTATCAGGTATCACCGGTCCCGAGGACGTGAAGAAGTACGTGTCGGAGGGTGTTGGAGCCGTGTTGGTTGGTGAGGCATTGATGCGCTCGACGGATAAGGGCGAGTTCATTGCGTATCTCTTGGGGTATGCGGAGGAGAGAACGAAGGTCGCCAAGACTGAGCCGTTGGTCAAGATTTGTGGAACGAGGACAAGTGAGGCGGCGGTTGTTGCTGCGGAGGCTGGTGCGGATTTGATTGGGATGATTTTCGTGAAGGGGAGTAAGAGGTGTATCTCTGTTGAGACTGGAGTTGAGATCGCGACTGCTGTCAGGGCACGGGCTGGTGAGGTTAAGGAGTCTAAGGTGTCTGCGGATGTGCGGACGGGAAAGATCCCGGCGGCGAATGATTGGTTTTCTTATCATCTTAACGCTATTCGGTCTGCACCACGGAGACCATTGTTTGTTGGTGTTTTCCAGAACCAGCCGTTGGACTACGTGTTGGATGTCACCAAGACCGTTGGATTGGATTTGGTCCAACTTCATGGTCAGGAAGCGATTGAGTGGGCACACCTCATCTCCGTACCCGTCGTCCGTGCATTCAGACCTGAAGACAGGGATATGTCAAGACGGGGATACCACGCCGTCACCCTCCTCGACGCTACCTCATCCAACGGACAGGCCGGTGGACTGGGCATCAAGTTGGATTGGGGTGCAGTTAAGAAGGTCGTGCAGGATGGAAATGATGTTCTCCTTGCTGGAGGCCTGGAACCGGAGAATGTTAGGGAGGCGCTGGAGAAGACGGGTGCGGCGGGTGTTGACGTGAGCAGTGGGGTTGAGACGGGTGGGAAGCAGGATTTGGAGAAGATTAAGAAGTTTGTCCAGGAGGCCAAGTCCGTGAAGGCCTGAGCATGAACAGCGAGTTTAATTAAGATGACATGAATAGGAGAGGGACCGGACGATATTGGGTAGAACGTATATTACAGCATGACATAACGAAAGAGAAAGAAATGCGATACTTTTGAACGTCGATTTCTCCGTCCATATCGGTCGTTGTCCCCGGGTGTCCCTCCTTTGACCCCTTTCATATGCCTCTCACACAGGGGCGCTGCACCGCTCGGTACGGTAAACGGACTCTGCGGTCAGCAGCGAAACTCTAACAACGTCCCATCGTCGGACCAACTACCATCAACCTACATCTGTCACTCCTTTACCAATTATCCAATACCGTTTATCGACTTCACCTTTTCGCGTTTTATTTGAGAGATAAGATACAATGGGCGCTGGATTGTCGCGGTCACTGGCGAAGCTGTTTGGAGGGAACAAAGAGATGAGGATTCTTATGCTGGGGTTGGATGCGGCGGGGAAGACGAGTATGTTCTTCTCTGCAATTTCGTGTTCGGAGTGCTAATTGTGGAACAACAGCGATTCTGTATAAGCTCAAGCTTAACCAAAGGTTCGTTCGCACGTGGAATGGGGACGCGATGAGGTGTACATGTGCTGATATTATGCGGTGCATAGCGTGACGACAATTCCTACGGTCGGGTTTAATGTCGAGACGGTAACATACAAGAACGTGAAGTTCAACGTCTGGGTACGTCCCTCCCCCTCCCTTTCCCACCAAAGCTCTCGCTAACGCTCACGCTTCCAGGACGTCGGCGGCCAAGATAAAATCCGCCCCCTCTGGCGCCACTACTACACCGGCACCCAAGGCCTCATCTTCGTCATCGACTCCCAAGACCGCGACCGCATCGACGAAGCCCGCACCGAACTCCACCGCATCATCTCCGACCGCGAAATGAAAGAAAGTCTCTTGTTGGTGTTTGCGAATAAACAAGATTTGGGGGGTGCGATGACGCCGAGTGAGGTTACGGAAAGGCTGCAGTTGGGCAAGTTGAAGGAGAGGTTGTGGTATGTGCAGCCGAGTTGTGCGACGAGTGGGGAGGGGTTGTTTGAGGGGTTGGTAAGTACAATTGAACGAATCCAAGTTTTTGGAGGTGAGGGTTAATCTGTTGTACAGGCTTGGTTGAGTAACCACGTTAAGACGCCGGCGAAGAAATAGAGTGGTTCAGCGACATCACTGCACAGCTGCACGAGAAACAACACGTTTTGCATCGGAGAGCGTTAGAGAAACGCGAACGGAAACAGAAAGCTGGAGGAGCAGGTGTGAGTCACGACTGGGTTTTGGCTGCTACACGGGGTTTGGTCTTGATGACCTCCCGTTTATTTCTCTTTTCATTTGCTTCAGTGCTATACCCACATGGACTCTTTGCCATAGCGAGATCGAGTTATTATAATAATGCAATTTGAGTTCAGTGCTCTATACACACGGACTTCTCTTGCAAATGCTGACTATATAGACGCAATATGTGTACTGTTTCCAAGATTGGGGCTCATGAACCTCCGTGAGTCTTTCGGGCAATACAGACTCGTGTAATGCTCTACCTCCTGAACTCTGCTTCTGTGCTTTTCTTCTTTCCCCGGCGCCGACTTTCGCTGCAAGCAGTCGGCTTTTGATTCAAGATCAGCAATGACCCGAGAACGTTTAAGCAACGTTAGTATGGTGTTCCTGAGGGTATGGCGGACGGAGAGGCGTTTTTCTTCCTCTTGGTCAAAGCCGAACGTGCTCCTGGTCTACGTGTTTCGTGATAGTCTGACAGACAAGTCACTTCATGGTTCTTCCTCTTCCTCCCCATCGGGTCCTTCCTTGCTGTCAAGATGCCCACACGCATACCTCCCAACATAATACCTAACCAACCCCTCATACCCTACCTCCTCCCCACTCCTCCACAACACCGCCAAATCAACATCCAACGGACTCTCCCACCCGGGACTCTCCAACAACCCCACAACAGCCAAACACGCACTCCGAACCCCCCACGCAGGCGTCCATGCCTCCTTTAGGACATCGAGGCAGATTTCACCAGTTTTGAAGGCGACGTTGGGGTGTGCGATACGGGTTGTGAAGGAGATGGTGGGTGGGGTGAGGGGGTAAGTTGGGGGTAGCGTTATTGAGAGAGTGTAGTAGCCTGGGTGGTAGAGTGTATGCGCCGGGGGAGCGATGGTTGCGGTCCACTGGGTTAAATCGTCGGGCGATATAGGAGCGAGGTGGAGGAGAAGGGGGTCGGGTGGTTGGCGGAGGGTGTCGAGGTATTCTTTTGAGAGCTGTTGGATGGCATAAGTCAGTGAATGCATAATTCGCTCGGATGCTATCCAACCCGTTTGAGAGCTTGTGAGGATAATGCCATGGTTGTGTCGTCCAATTACAACGACAACGACCGGAGATGTATGCGTCGGGGATGTATGCTGTTTCCTGAGCTCGAGGTGAGGGAGGCGGGGTGGGACTGCCCCCAATCAAGTGTTTTCGCGGTCGCTTATTTCCGATCGCGGGGTGGAGTCGGTATACCGGTAGCTGATGGATCGAGGGTCCACCCGCGCAATCCCGCGCTGACCAGGACAAAAAACCGACATCCATCCTCCTCGTCCCCCATCACCTCTCCTCTTCGATCATCCAAGGTCAGCAGTGTCTCCGCTCGCCGTGGACTCCTCAAACCCGCCCAAAAAGGCCTGGGCCTGCCTCCTCACCGGCTCCCCCGGCTACCTGTCCGGATTCCTCACCCTCCACTACTCCCTCCGCAAACATGCCTCCAAGTACCCCCTCATCGCCCTCCTCAACCCCTCCGACACGCTCTACCCCCTCTTCCTCTCCGCTCTTCAGCAGCGAGGGATCCCGCACAGGGATATTGAGGCCTTGAGACCGGTGGAGGATAGGGAGTTTGAGGGTGATCCAAGGTTTAAGGAGTGTTGGACCAAGTTGGAGATGTTTGGATTGTACGAGTTTGAGCGCGTGGGATTCTTGGATTCGGATATGCTCGTTCTACAAAATATGGACGAACTCTTCGAGATACCCCTCGAACCACACCAAATCGCAGCGTCGGCGGCATGCGTGTGTAACCCCCGAAAGAGAGCACACTACCCCCCAACCTGGATACCCGAGAACTGCGCGTACAGCAAGCAATGCTACGACCCCGCTCTCGCTGCCACCGCTGCTACGGACGCAATCCCCCCCACCTTCGGCCTCGGCGCCCTCAACTCTGGCCTCGTCATCCTCCACCCTTCACCCGAAAACTACAAGCGCGTCACCGCACCTCTTTCCAACCCCCCTCTCTACCGCACCTTCCTCTTCCCCGACCAAGACCTCCTCGCGCACGTCTTCAAGGGGGACTGGATCCCGCTTCCCTACGTCTATAACGCGCTCAAGACCCTCAAGGGGCAGCATGCCGAGATGTGGCGGGATGAGGAGGTGAAGAATTTGCATTTTATTATTGATAAGCCGTGGGATGATGTTGATAAGAAGGGGGAGGGGAAGGTGTTGCATGGGGTTTGGTGGGGGGTTGATGGAGAGAGGAGGGAGTGGGAGAAGGGGGTGTATGGGATTGAATCTGAAGAGTAAGGATGAGCAGTAAGGCGGAAGGTGGGGGGTTATAGGGGATATGTATGGGATAGACATATGCAGATATAGTCAAGTGATGGGCGACATACCATTCATACCGCTGCCGTACCTGGAAGGGCAAGACATGGTGCATCGTTATAAGAATTCAAAATCGCTATGGCAAAGCTGCTCCATGGGACCCTATAACTGAACCTGATCCTCGAGGTACTGACAAGGACTGCCTAATTATCCGTATGGCGGTCCTTTGAGAACTTGTCCGCCCGTCCTTCATCCTGACCGTCCGCCAAGCAGACACCTAAAACACAGAAAAACAGGCAGAACGCTGTCACAATACCATAACCTGTATATGATCCCTCGTACGACTTCGGGTAGAGATTCTATTTCTGGCGGTTGTATTTAGGGTTGCGCTAGTGCTTGATCCCGCTGTAAATTGAAGATCTGGAACGCGGGGAGGCGAAGCGACCATACACCGAGGGACTTGAAGAAAAGAAGCTTATAACCCCTCGATCCCCCTCCTCCTCTACACCTTTTACCGATCCCGCGCCGTTCTTTCCATCCACTCTCTCTGCGATGTCCCTCGTCGACTCCATTCTGAACAACGCTGCTTCAGCCTTTACCGGCTCGCTCAACGACCGCTCTCTCCCAACCTACTCCCCCTCCGCAAAACGCAACGCAACACCCGAAGACGAAGCCGAATACGACCGTCTCCGTGCCCTCGCCCGCACCGAAGGCGACAAACGCCGCACCTGCTCCGAACAATCCCAAGCCGCCTATAACTCCGGTGATGGAGGACGTGCGCACGAACTCAGCGAACGCGCGAAACAGCATGCGGAGAGAATGGAGGGGTATAACCGCCAAGCAGCCGAATTCATCTTCCGCGCGAACAACGCCGATTCTGCAGCTGACGAGATCGACCTTCACGGACTTTTTGTTGACGAAGCCATCTTCTTCACGTCCCAACGCATCCAAGCCGCTCGTGCACGTCAGGATCGGGTACTACATGTCATCGTCGGGAAAGGAATTCATTCCCAGAATCACAAGGCGAAGCTTAAGCCTGCGGTTGAGGAGATGTTGGGGAAGATAGGGTTGAGGTGGGAAGAGGAAGAGAATGCGGGGAGGATTAGGGTTCATTTGGATGGTGGGAATGCTGGGGGGTATGTGCAGCAGCCGCAACAGGCGTATCATCCTCAGCAGCAGCAGCAGCAGCAGCAGCAGCAGCAGCAGCAGCAGGGGTGGGGACAGCAGCAGCAACAACAACATGGAGGACAGCAGTATGGAAGTCATCAGCAGTCGCAGGGACACGGGCAGTCCCAGGGACACGGAAATGGACAGAACGCTATGGTGGAGAAGCTGGCGCGCAAGTTCTTGCCGATTATTTTCCGGAAGTTGGTACAGGTCGTTCAGCAGTGCTTCCGTTAATCGTTCGCATTTGGGCGGGCTTGGTTTGTTTTTTGGCGTAATATGGTAATGGGTTCGGCGGGAGACAAGGGTTAGGCAATTAGATCACCGTACAAATATATAATGAATCAGCGTGTCTCGGTGCATGACCGTTAAGGACGATGAGGAAGAAGGACTACTGGTGATGGCGGTGATTCCACGAACTCCTCTTCATGACTGACATCAGCCAAGTAAACACTCTCTACACCCACTTCTACTCCGGATCCCCAACATGCTCGGAGGCGGGGGTTACGGGTGGGCGACACGAAGAGGAACGAAACTGAGGCCTCGTGCGGTGGAGCTGTACGACCGCGGATGATATTCATGATATCTAGACAGCGGAATCGGTCGATCGCGAGGAGGAACCGAGTTCGAGGTGCTCGACACCCCAGTACAAACAATTGCCATGCGAAGAGACCGAAAGCCAATTGACCCAATACAGGGTAGAATCAAGGCATTTTCGATACAAAATAAGGTTCAGAGCCCGTGATGCCGGGTCGATCCTGCCGTCGATAATAGCCGAGTTATCCGGGATGTGTGCGCTAGTCTGACGCGCTGCGACGCTCCTGGAAACACCGCAGAGTTCGACGCTCAAACCCATCCTTGATCAATCCACCACATATATCTGTACGTCCCTCCTCCCTTCACCTCAAGTATCATCTTCTAACCCGTCAGTCCACAGATCAAAATGACTTCCGTTATCAAGCCCGCCCCCTCCCACACCCTCCCCAAGTGCTGCGCCATCCCCCCTCTCACCTCCACCTACGAGCCCAAGGGCTCTATGGTCAAGATCGCCGACCTCGACTGTTACTCCGCCGGTCCCGTCGACTCTGAGACCGTCATTGTTGCTATCTACGATATCTTCGGTATCCTCCCTAACACCCAGCAGGGCTGTGATGTCCTTGCCGAGACCTTGAAGTGCCGTGTTGTCATGCCCGATTGGTTCAAGGGCAATGCGGTTCAGATGCCGATCACTGATATGGATGCTGTTTACAAGTTTGTTTATGCCAACTTGGTATGTTTTGCTCGACAATCGATCTTTGGATGTGTGTGTTGATCAGGGAATATAGTACCCCGCTCATGAGGCCGCCTTCAAGACTTTGATCGAGCAGCTCAAGACCGACGGCGCCAAGAAGCTCGGTGCCTACGGTTTCTGCTGGGGCTCCAAGATCCTCCTTCAGGCCGACGCTTTCTTCGGCGGTATCGCCCTCGTCCACCCCTCCCTCCTCGAGGACTCCGACGCCGACAATGTCAAGTGTCCCGTCGCCCTCCTCCCCTCCAAGGAGGAGACCGTCGAGAAGTGTGCCGGTTTCTGGGAGAAGCTTGAGAAGAAGGAGTTTGCGGCCAAGAACATGTACAAGCGTTACGATGATGTTGCTCACGGATTCGCTGCGGCTAGGAGTGACTGGTCTGAGGGAAAGCTCGAGGGTGAGCGTGCCAGGGATGTCTACCAGACTATGTCTGAGTGGTTCAAGGCTGTTCTCTAAATGAGAAGCCTGTAGAACAGAACTATAGTATACGTACGATATGGCGAAAATGGAGATGTAAGATTGATCTTGTACATTTCTTCCCGTCTATCGTGGCAATCATCGTCTCGCCTCATCGGACGAACATCTAGGCCTTGACCCACTCGATATCCCACTGCAACTCCTCTGTAGCCATGAAGGGGACAACGACGAGCTCTCCATCCCTGACCTCACCCTCAACCTTGAGCGGCTTCTTGGTCAATTTGACCTTCTCAGCACCAACACCCAATCCCTCAACCTGGTAGAACTTTCTACCAAAGTTGGAGACAAAGTCCTCAAACTTATCCATCTTGCCCTGCTTATCAAAGATCTCGGCAACATACGACAACAACCTTGACTGGGTGAAGACACCAGCGGCAGTACGCGCCGCACCACTCTTCTTCTCCCTGGGGTGAGGTGCAGAATCCGATCCAAGGAAGAACTTGGGATCACCGGAGACGGCGGCCTCGATAAGCGCAGCCCGGTCTTCGGGGGTTTTGGCGACAGGCTTGCAGTAGCAGAAGGGGTTGTCAGCCCATGAGTCAATGGTGATGTGGAGGTGGTGCGCGGTGATTGATCCAGCGACATTGGGTCCACATTTCTTCACGGTCTCAATGGCATCTTTGGTTGTGCAATGTTCAAGGACAATGCGGAGTTTGGGAAAGCGCTTTGCAAGGTCGATGAGGGTTGGAAGGAAGTCATGCTCTGCGGTCAAGACAGAGTTGGTGGGGGAGGGAGGAACTTCGCCATGGAGGTTGAGGACCATGTTGGCTTCTGCCATTGCAGCAAAGATGGGATAGAAGGGCTCGTAGGTAGAAACACCGGCGGAGGAGTTGGTGGTGACGCCGGCGGGGTAGACCTTGACTCCGCTAACACCAGCTGCGGCAGCCTTCTTGACCTCCTCAACTGTAAGATCCGCAGTGAGGTAGAGTGTCATCATGAACTCAACATTAGGCTCGATAGCCTGGAGCTCCTTCTTGTAGTTCATTGCCATCCCAGTGGTAGTGATAGGAGGAGCGAGGTTGGGCATCACATAAGCGATGGAAGCACCACCCTGGCGAACAGTGGGGGTAACAAGACGCATGAGGGCATCCTGACGAAGATGGACATGAAAGTCAGCCGCAGGAGTGATTGTGATCGACATTTTGAGGTGTGCGGGAGTGTGATGATGGATCTCGAGGCTGCTTCAAGCGTCTCGAGGCACGACCGCGCACGGGTCTAAAAAAGTCGCAAACCTTAATTTTTGGGATGTGGGGAAATGAGCACGGGCCGTGTGAGCGAATGATTTCTTCAGAAGTGTTCTTTTTCTTGATTGGGATGCTTGAATAATCTAGACCTCGGCGAAAGCCCTGTGAAGAACAAACTCCTCGCTGCTGCTCTCCAACTCCACCTCAGCATCGGCACCGACAAAGAACACGTATCCCCCCTTAACCTCCTTCTTCTCGTTTCCAACCTTGATGCTTCCACTACCCTTGGTAGCAATGACGATACTTGGTCCCTGCAATCCCTTCGTAGTCTCCTTCTCGCCTTGTCCCAACACCGTGCGCAAAACAGAGAACTCCTCAATTGGAGGGTCGTATAGGGTCGTCTTTCCACTCGCCCTCTCGAAGTTCTCGGGCTTCATCTTCTGCTCTGTGGGACCCGCGTAGTTATAGGTCAGCATGGAGACAAGGTTCTTCACGTCCTTGAACTTGGGAGTGAAACCAGCACGAACGACATTGTCAGATGCGGCCATGCACTCGACGATGTCTCCGGAAAGATACGCGTGAATGTCGAGAGCGCGGAGGAACATCGCCTCTCCGGGCTTCAGCTTGCAGTAGTTGAGGAGGAAGGTGCAGAAGAGCCCAACATCCTTGGGGAATTGCTCGTTAAGACGGATCAGGAGGTTTGCGATCTCTTCACCGCCAAACTCGCCACCGAATGAGGACTTGTCCTTCTGTGCAGACTCGAGCAACTCGACTGAGGTCTTAGCAACCTCATCCTCAGACTTGGTCATGAGGGACTCGAACACGGATCGGAGCGCGGCCTTGTTAGCCTTAACGACCTCCTCATCCTTCGAGTCCTCCTTACCCTTGACAGTCTTCTGAAACTTCACGGCAATCTCCTCGCCGATAATTGAGCGTAACGCAGGGACGGCGGAGAGGAAAGAGGCAATCTCGTTCACGGGCCGGAAACCGCAGAACCCCTCGAAGTCGGTAAGTGCGATAGCCATCTCGGGCTTATGGTTGTCATCTGTAACATATTTATTAGCCCGTCCAATAGACGGATCTTTGTAAATAGTACCTTTGTAGTTCTTCGGATCATCCGCGTGCAACTTCTTCGCCAAAGTCTTATCCGGGTGTGCTTGAATACTCAACGCCTTTCCCACAGACAGGATCTTGAGCAAAAATGGCAAGTCTCCATACTTATCATTGACTGTCTTTGACAATAATGCCTCGTTGTCGTCCAACAATTCCTTCAAGGGACGTCCAGAGCTGATCTCGGTAGCGGGATGGTGAAGGGTACCCATCCATAACTCGGCATATGGCTTATCTTTAGAGATCTCCGTGTTCGAATTGGGTGTTGAGGCGGCGAATTGGGCGACGAGAGCGTCCTTGCCATTCACTCCCCAGTCATAGTTCTGGACCTATACCAAGCCGACGTGTCAATATCGCGTTTTCTTCAGTACAGTGACGAAATTGCGGCCACATACCACCGGCGCAATCTGGAAAAGAGGAACAGGCAAAACCATCGTGCAATTGAGCAGCTGTGGTAGGATGGAGAAATGTGATGGTCGTAGGGTATGTACCACCGGCGGCAGGCGGGTCAGTTCCGTGTGGCGGAGACTGGCGGTGCAACCTTAACCTAGATACGGCAACTCATTCCTCGGGTCCTCCTACCTCCCCAGCTGCAGTTGGGTCCTTTACGCCATCAATCGTCGAGATGGCTTCTTCTCAGTCAGGTTATATCATCACAGATACTGGGAATAAAGTATCTCGGAAAGCGGAGATCCTGGGGTTGCGCAACATTGTGTTGGGCGGGAAGACCATCATCAAACCCAACGTCCAGATTCGCGGGGACCTCGTGCGAGTTAGTGCGAGCGGCGGCGGAGCAATCAGTGTTGCAATTGGACGTTATTGTCTGTTAGATGATGGCTGTCTTATCAAACCGCCGGCAAAACCCTATAAGGGGTGCGGAAACCCCTTTCGTCCAAACATTGCTTCGATGTGTGCTAATGTCGAAGCGTAGTCAACTCTCTTACTATCCTATCAAAATTGGTGACCATGTCCATATCGGAGCCAACACGACTATTGAAGCAGCGCAGATCGGCTCAAACGTGATAATTGGCAAGAACTGCATCATCGGCAAATTCGCCATCATCAAAGACTGTGTCCGGATTGATGATAACACGCACATACCAGCTGGGATGGTCATTCCGCCCTTGAGTTTAGTGAGTGCAAGGCGCAAGGGTGGCCCTAAACCTGAGGATGAAACGGGCAGGTATGCTGGTGTGATCCATGGTATAGGAGAGGTTGTGGAGGAGCTGCCAGAGGTCACGCAGCTGTTGATTGATGCAGAGACGAGGGATTTCTACACTGCTTGGAAACCGGAACAATGAGAAAGTAGGATTAAGCGATGCGGAGGAAGGCTAGGTTCACGGCGTTTTGTTTATTGCATGGGATACCATATGGCATAGTCGATGGTAATCGGCTTCACACAGCGGACAGACTGAGGATAAGGATGCAAGCTTCTTCATTCATGCTACATATCATACTTTTAATGCACACCTGGTGATGATGGTATCCAATCTAATCGTACACTCCCTCATCATTTTTCCCGGCTTATTTCCTGGCATCAGACAAAGCACTCTGGGCCTTAGCGGTAGGTCCACCTTTTATAGCGTGGTCCTCGCCAGTGACCCTCTTCTCTCCTTCAGTAATGTCATGGAGAACCTGACTGGTGATAGGGTTGTTGGCATGACCCTGAGCCTGCGCCGTGGGACCATCAGCGACAGGTTTGCGCTGACCAGTCAACTTTGATTCGGCATCGTTAACAGCGGAGAGGGTAACCGAGTCGACTTTGCCAGATCCTGTGGATCCAGACGCAGAAGTGGTCTGATTCTCGTTCTGACTGCCCTGTCCGCCCTGACGTGAAGCCGAAAGTTCGGACTGCGCAACAGACGTAGGCCCGCCCTTGATCGCATGATCCTCCCCAGTAACTCTCTTCTCCCCCTCCGTAACATCATGCAACACCTGACTCGTGATGGGCTCATTCGCGTGCTGCTGTGCACGAGCAGTGGGTCCATCCTTCACGGCATGGTCCTCGCCGGTGATTTCCTTCTCGGCAGCGGTGATCGTGGAGATCGTTTCGGAGTTCATGGCTTTGGAGAATTGGGCGAGGGAGGTGGTAAAGGTGCGCTTGGAGAGCTGGGTGAGGAAAGACATGATTGTGATGGCAACGTGTAACGTGTTTGGTGTCAGGTGTTTATTCCCGTCGAACCCAGGATATATATGGTTTTTCTCCGTCGATACACCGATACCGATGCACTATGGAATCGATTACGTCATTCAGGACATCGATCAACAAGGAAATCCGTTAGACAGAAGTGTTATGCGGCCAAGTGACTCCTTTGACTTCAACTGTACCCTGTTCCGAAGGGTTGATCATCTTTGGTTGCGCATGTCGTGCTGCACAGCTTTAGACCCACGGCAATGCGGATTTCGCACGGTCGACTCCGCGCGCGAAGAACGGACAGCACTTCAGAAAACGCGTGCAGGAGCGAGGGTTACGGGATATCGTCTTGGGTCAGCAGATTCGGTCTGAAGTCTATCAATGTTCCTGTATCATAGATCCACAAAGTCCTCGTGATAAACCATATCGTGTTTTGCGGTATAGCGATAACGTGTGGTGATACCAATAACGAACCGTCCCTGCCAGTCGCACCTCAAAAGCCATAAAAGAAAAGAGACTGAATCCCATCTTAAAAAGCCCAGAAAGAGTCCTTGCTCATGCATACCCCCGCCGCGCAATGTCCCTCCTTCCTCCTCCCGCGGCTCCCTCACTGCTGCGTCTCCTCCTTCACCTCCAACTTGTCGATAATCGCCTCCAACGCCTTATTCCCACCCTTCACCCTAACCTCCTCCCTGGCGCCTTTGAACAGCACCTCCAACACCCCCAAAGTATACTCAAAACTCCTCGTCTCCTCCCTCATATACTTTACCGCATACGCCTTAACCTCCACATCCCCCGTCCTCTGCTTCAGAATATTCAAAATCTGTCGGTTCCCACGATCGGCCCTCACAGCATGAATAATCGGAAACGAGAATTTGCCTTCGGTGAGGTCTTCGCAGTAGCCTTTGTTTGCGGTCATGAGGGGTGATTGGAGGTTGAGGTAGTCGTCCCGGATTTGGAAGAGGATCCCGATTGCGTTGACGAGGGGAACGTAGTCTGTTGTGTTTGTGGGGGAGGATGCTTGCATTAGTTTTACGGCCAGGCGGAGGAGGCCACCGGTTTTGTTGGCGACCATGGAGACGTACTCGGGTTCGGTTGGGCAGGTGAGGGTATCTCGCCAGAAGAGGTCCATGCCTTGGCCGCGGTGGAGGTTTAATAGTTCTTCGGTGAAAATTGTTAGGAGGCTGGGGTTGTTGAGTTTTCCCAGTTCCTCCAGGGCTCGGAAATACACGTAGTTCGCGGTATTGACGGTTTGCGCGACACCGTATATCGCATGCGCAACTGGGACGCCTCGTCTCAGCGTCGCGTTATCCTCTACGTCGTCGATGAGGAGGGAAGCGGTGTGGAGCATGCCCACGACGGAGGTGATGATAGAGAGGGCAGGGGCGGGGACTTGGAGCCAAATGTTGAACGCGGAGATAAGGAGGGAGCGAATATCTTTTCCGGGGTGGGAGTCGAGGTAGGTGTAGGGTTCCATCACAATCTAACTTCCACATCAGCATTGAAAGGCAAAGTGACCGGCACATGTACATACCGATTCCGATTGCGGACTCCACGACCGCCGACTCTCCTGTGCAATATTCGCATAAAAACTCAATGGCGGGGAAACCTCCTCCTCATCCTCCACGTTCTCACTCGCTCGACTCCCTGTCTCTGACCCCGTTCTCGAGCCATGGGATCCAGAGCCGTTCATGGCCTTGTATGCGTTCGCTTTCAAATCGTCAATTGAGGGAACGGAGGCTCGTCGAATGGCTTCAGAGAAAGCCGAAGTATCCATCATCATCAATGCCAATTGTCAACTGCCCTTGTCAAACGTCCTTGTCAAGGTTGTTCTGTGTATCTCGCGGCTGAGCATTCATTGCGTCACGATCTCCACCTGACCAAATCGGGGAACTGCATGCAGCGTTCACGATCGAAACCACCAACAAATTCAAATGGAAGGTTTGTTATCTTCAGCATTCGATCGAGTGAGTCTCTTGTCCACCGGAATGCAATCGGATATTAATGAGGAGATAGTTGAGCTCCTACGATCCGGCGCATATCCACGGCGGCCTCAAACAACTCGACACCCTCCTCGCGAAACTATGCCTCGGCCCCGGCAAAGAAGGCGCGATCCCCACCTCTTTTTCAGATCCCGCGATCCGGGCATTCCTCACCCTCCAAGATTCTTTCCAATATAACGGTATATTCCCTCTCCTCCACTCCTCTTCCCATGAATGCAGGCTGACAAGTAAGTGGTAAAGCCGCATCAATCCTCCTCCAAACAACAAACCACCTCCTCTCCCAACCCCAAAACCCCCATACCTCCCTCCTCCTCCTCTTCACCCTCTCCACCCTCCAAGGCCTCCTCCTCCTCCATCCCCCCTCCCGCCATCTCTTCTCCCGCGAATCAAGTATGAACACCCTCCTCGATCTCCTAGAGCTGGAAGTGTCGCTTGAAGACGGAGGTGGGGATGTGAGTGAGGGAAGACTGGAGTGTGCGGTTGTGCAGACGTTGGTGTGCGTGATGGTCGATGAGTGGGATAATGTTAGGTTGTTTGAGAGGTTGGGTGGGTTGGCGACGATTACGGGACTTTTTCGAAGGGGTACAACACCACACGTTGTCAAACTCAAGATCTTGGAGTTTCTGTATTTTTACCTCATTGATGAGACGAGTCCCAGACTTCGATCCGTGGGAGCGGGATCGGTCGATAGCGGCAAATCTGGGGACTTGTGGACGTGTACGGGAAGCCGCCATGGAAAGGAGGGAGGAAGATGGGGAGGAGAAGGGTTGGGCGTAAGAAGGACGACAGAGGAGAAAGAAGCGATGTTGGGGGAGTATTTGCAGAATGTGGATGGGTTGGTGAGGGATTTGAGGGAGTTGAAGCCGTTTGGGGATTTGTGAGGTACCGAGCATGGAGCAAAGAGGTGAGGGGATAGAGTCAGGTGTACGATTAGACTGATTCGGTGGTACAATGGGTATGGACAAGGCATGGCATGGGATGGACAGGTATTGGTATTGGTATTGGCGTTATTATTGTGTTTTGGGGTATTCATATCACTTCTTTCTTCTACGTTCTGCCGAGATCTTTCATACTCCCGTGTATCAGCCATGTTCTTCTGAACCCCATGGCCAGTACCATACCGTCACGAGATGTCTTCCTCCTTATCTCATCCACCTTACTCACACATCATGAAACTCCTCAACCTTATGCCTCGCCCTCTCCTGCTTCTCATTAACAAACAACCACTCCCTCAACGTATTCTTCACCACAACCCCACCCATCTCCTTCGCTTCCTCCTCCGTCAACGCCGTCACGACCTCCTTCTCATCTTCCTCCCCCTTCACTCCTCCTTCCGCATCCTTAATCACCATAAACGGTGCATACAGGTACGGAATCAGTAATGCCATCGTATTCGAAGACGCAGTAAAACACAATACATGCACATACTTCCACCCCGCCCGATGTGGATACTCCATCGGCGGCGAAATCATAATCTGCGCAATCTTCGACATGTCCATCCCCGTACCAACCTCGACACGATTGCAAACGTCCAACCCCATCTTTGCCTGTTTCCGACTCTGCGTTTTGATTGCATCTTTTTGGATGGGGAAGGAAGGGTCGGAGGGATCTGAGTCGAGGAGGATTCCGAAGTTTTTGACGGGGAGGGGGATTGCGCGAGCGCCGGCTGCGGTGATGCGGGTGGATTCCTGTTTGACTTGTTGGTCGATGAAGGAGGCGGCGAGGGCGTCTGGGGTGAAGGAGGTTGGTGAGTCTTTGTACATGTTGTCTGCCGTGGGGTGGAGGAGAGATGAAGGTTTGGAGGGCGAGCGTACGGTACCGGTACGATTCCCTTATCGATAACAAAATTCGAGCTTTGGCCTCGGTGCACGTGAGTGACAGCGCGGATACGGAGTACAGCCGTGACGTGCCTCGAACCCCAAAACACCAAAACACCAAAGTACACCCTTCCAATTCTCTACAATGGATCCCTTCGGACACGCTGACGGTAACCCACCTCCACTCAATTGCTTCATGAGTTTAGCTAATGGCCTCTGACAGACCTCTTGAACATCCGCACCGCCTTCCACACGGGCGCATACTCCACCGTTATCGGAAGTGATTTGTCCTCCCTCACCGGATCCTCCCGCAAACTGGGCGAACTCTACATCTACCGCGCACGCCTCGCAACTGGGCAAGACCCAGCCTCTATCGCAAAGGAAATCACCACCTCCGACTCCGCCTCGAAAGCCGTGAAAGCACTTGCGGAATACACCGCTGGCGCCACCGATAAAGCCCTCAAGACCATCGACGCGCTCGCCGCCTCCGCGGCCGACGCTGCTGATCCCACGGTGCAGGTCGTGGGTGCTACAGTCTTGGTGAGGGCGGAGAGATATGAGGATGCCCTTGCACTACTCGGAAATCACGAGAACAATTTGGAGGCTGTAGCGCTTCTGACACAGCTCTACCTCCACCTCAACCGTACGGACCTCGCCAAGCGCGAAGTCGAACAAGCGAAGAAATGGGCGGATGACTCCATCATCATTCAATTGGCTGACTCTTGGGTCAACATGCGTCTCGTATGTCCCCTAACACTGCACACTGCGTATGGGAAAGCTAATGATGAGACCACATAGGGCGGAAATGGATATAGCCAATCCTTCTACCTCTATGAAGAACTCTCCCAAACACCCTCGACACGAACAGCACTAACCCTAACCGCCCTCGGCGTCGCACACATTCATCTCTCGCAACTCGAGGAGGCGCGGGCCGCATTTGACGCCGCTCTCGAGATCGATGAAAAGTACGAGGATGCGTTGGCGGGGTTGGCGGTGTGTCGGGCACTTGAGGGAAAGGGCGCGGAGGGGGTGAAGGGGTTGAAGGTGGGGAGGGAGTGGGAGGAGATGGGGAGGGTGTTTGATGAAGCGGCTGGGAAGTATGGTGTTGAAGCTTAGGCTTGGGAGTGGTGGTAGGAGCGGGTGGCTATAGACAGCACGTGAATGATTGAATTACATAACCGAGCCGTTCGGACCGCGGATGTGATACGGTGTACGACTAGCTGCTTCCTGAACTGTACCATGAGGACCCTTCCGCTCTCGCTTTCGCTTCCCGTGGATCGCGACACCGTCGATATCACGATCGCTCGGCTACTCTCGTATCGATATCGGTAACGCATGTAGCGACGGCCTCGGGTAGTGATATAAGTCCGTCCCTGACGTCGAATCCAACCAGCTGCAGGGTTGTAGATCAAGGCGGAACCGACGGAGAGGGCTCCGACACCTGAGTAAGTTAAAGATCAGTTCCTGTTTGAAATTCACATTCGTGTCCGGGATGAATGCGCGCGGGAGGTGCGATCAAACGACCTCGAGCTCGGGAAGGATACGAAGCACCTGGGCATGCAATAGCAATAGGCAAGTTAAGGCCTCCCCAACGGATTCGGAGGTGTGAAGACAAGAGCGGACACATCCGGTGAAGGTTACGTAAGTGGATCGTCCGCCCCCCCCTCGAAGTACAGGTATGGCTAGAACCCTTACAGCTGTCAATCTTGTTGCTTAGGGAGGACCCTGTGCGCGATCTTGATCAGGGAAGATGATTAAGAGGAGCGCGTCGGTGAGATTGAAGGTGAGGGGTATCGGGAGGAGGGAAATTGCTCGTGGTCGGGTATGACATCAATGAAATGCTGCGCACAAAGACGGTCGAAAACGGTAGCTGGTGAAGACTTGAGAGGCCACACTGACCAACCCCGTAAGTTTAAGCTTCGTCCACGACAGGGCAGTTAGGCGCGGAATTGAATGTGTGTTTTCCGCGGGAGACAGAGTGCGAGACAGAGTGCTACTACCAGTGACGTTCCTGCACTAAGCCATTGACGACGCTCACGTGCATAAGCGGCCAGGCGGATGATCGAGTGCCGCTCTAAATGAAAACGATGAACTGGGTGGCTTGTCTTTTTTCACATGCGGTCAAAGTGCGACATGCATGTGAGTTGGTCCCATGACTCCCAACGAGGTGAGAGTGGGAGGCGTCACCTGCCCTCTCTGGGAAAAGGCGGAGGCCGAGAGAATCACAATCACGATTACGCGATTGCGGATACACTGCCCCTTAAGGTTCTCGATCCCGGCCGCGGGAGCACATGCACCTTGACCTCAGATGGGATTTGCAGGCTGCACGCTGATAGGCTTAGCAACGTTAACTCGAGCTAGATCAACCCGCGGCGGATCAAGCGCTCATGAAACAGGTAAAGCGCCATATGACATCGACGATGGTGTATGCCCCTCTCGCAGCGAAGCCTCTAGACGTAAAGGACTCTCACCCATCCCGTCCCCGGTCCCCGCGGAGCGTATAAAAGTCCCTCGTCCCAACCACACCACCCGCCTCATCATCCCTTCCTCTTTCATCGACACACAGCATACATACAGCATACAATACACGAATCATGGCGCCCTTGATGGATACAAACACCTCTTCTACCTCGACTGCGGCTCACGTCGGTAGTGCCGAGGTTGTCGCCTCGAACTCGAACTTGAGTGTGTCTAAGCCCAGTGCTATCAAGCTCGATGGCGTTCGTGGGCCTTCGAGCCGTGATATCATGATTTTCTCGGATTTCGATGGTACTATCTTCATGTACGTCTCACCCCTCTACATCTTCCTCCGGGGTGTATACTTTGTTATTAGGGACTCTATGCTAATCGTTACATGGAACAGGCAAGACTCCGGCCACGTCCTCTTCGACCACTTTGGCTGCGGCCCCGAACAACGCGCACAATGGGACCGCGAGATCCACGACGGAACCCGCTCCTTCCGCGAAGTCTCCGAAGACATGTGGAACTCCCTCAACGTCCCCTTCGACGACGGCTTCGAAATCATGCGCGAAAAAATGGAGATCGATCCCGATTTCAAGCACTTTCACAAATTCTGCTTGAAGAACGAGATCCCGTTCAATGTTATCTCTGCTGGTGTCAAGCCCGTGTTGAGGCGCGTGTTGGAGGACTTTTTGGGGGAGAAGGATGCGGCGCATATTGATATTGTCGCGAATGATATGAATATCGCTGAGGATGGTTCGCAGTGGGAGATTCAGTGGCGTCATGACACCCCGCTCGGCCACGACAAAGCCGCCTCGATTCAGGAATACAAGCAACCCGGCGAGTCAGGTCAACCCCCAATGATCATCTTCATCGGTGACGGCGTCTCCGACCTCCCCGCCGCCCGCGAAGCCGACGTCCTCTTCGCCCGCCGCGGCCTCCGTCTCGAAGAATACTGCATCGAACACTCTATCCCATTCATCGCCTTCGACACCTTCCGCGACATCGAGAATGAGCTCCGCCGTATCTTGATTGAGGATGAGAGGTCTATTTTGGAGGTTGGGACGCCAAAGTACTTTAACCCTAGGGCGAACTTTTGGAGGAGGGCGAGTAGTAAGAAGAGTTTGCCGGCTTGGATTAGTGCTGCTGGGCGTACGCCGAGGGAGGAAAGGGGGCCGTTTTGGGATGAGTACGTTAATACGGCGAATGCGCCCAAGGCGGCTGTGTTGTCTGGGGAGGTCACGCAGTAAGCCGCTGCGAGCCCTCAGGCGAGCGGTGAGTCGTGAAATGTGAAACGTGAGGTGTGGGGTGTGCGACAAAGATAACAATACACGCAAGAAAGTCAAGAAAGAGGTTGAAGAAAGGTATAGGTTACAAGGAGAGAAGTATCGGTGTTTCGTTCGTTTTCTGTTGGGTCAGGAGTATTTGCGTGACGTGACGTTGGATGCGTGCGGCGTATTGAGTCGAGTCGAATATCACGTAAACCTTATTAAGTTATTAGTGGGCACTGTGTGTCTTTCTTTACTGAATGCATTGATTATGATGAATGATTGTTCAGGTTTGAGACTTTCCTCCGTGAGCGTTGTGTTGCGTGTTTGTTGGTTGGAGAGGAGGTTGAGGCATGCCGTGGGAATGGATCTATGGTGCCAAAGCTTGCTTTATGGCTACGTAGTCAGCTGGTACGAATATGATTGCGTCTTGTAGGGTAAGAAGTTGAAACCCTGGTTATGTGGGTGTCCTCACTCGACCCTTTACGGAACCTAACGAGAATATGGAAACGATGGCACGGCTCTTGGTTGGTTGGTCGGAGGATAACAACGACAAGACGACATTGGGACCAGCAAGGTCAAGAATACCGATACCGTGAATGGGAATGAGAATGAATGTATCAAAGATTGTAATTTGTCTATGATGATGAATCCATGAAGTAAGACGCCCCACCGCCAAACCTGCTTGCCAATTATATCCCAACTCAGATTGCACCTCCACATCCGCACTCACTTTAGACCCGCGGCCGGTCTTCAGCCGCCTCAGCCAGATGTTTGGTCAAGAAAGGCATTGCCGGAGATTTACTTCGTGTCACCTTGAATGGTTCTCGCTTTATGTAACTGCATACGTTGCGCTGATAACGAAGCTCGTCAAGGTAACCGGCGACTTGATCCAGAACAGCATCACCCCCGGAAGCTGCTAACTTGTCGAATTCCGGTAATTGAATGTGGTTGTAAGGTTGCATCGAAGCCTTCAACGCAGAGTCATCCAGGAGGATTGTATTATTCGGACCCCAATGACCGTCCTTGTCAGGGTAAGAGGCATCTATAACACCGTGCTTCCATACAATATCCAGGTCTTTATATGTAACCGTTTTTTGTCGATATTCATGGGGAGACAACCCAAAAGTGTCGCGTGCCCACACCGCCACAAGGTTATCCTGCTGATCCTGAGAGAAAGCAGCTTTCACCATGGCATTCACGGAAAATGGCATTGCAGAAGACCACACCATCACCTTGAAATGCCAAAACAGATACTCCAAAAATGGCGCCAGTGATGGTCGTAAAACGGGCTTTTTCGAAGCTCTTGCAACTGATCCTGCCACAGACCTATCCGCATTGCGAAATAACAAGGTCCCATTGAGATCAAGAATAACAAGCTTAGGCGACGGGACTTCGAGCCGTTCTGGTTCAGGTTCCGCCAGTTTCAGATATTTTTCTCTTGGTCGCCCCACTGCAATGCCTGTACGAGGTTTAGGGTAGTTTGGCGTAGGGAAGTCGTGCTGATACTGAACTTCTAGCCGTGGTCTCACACCTTCCCAACTACGCTCAAGGGCCTCATCAGTTGGCCATGCTTTCTTGCGGCGCCGAATGAGCTCCTCTTCTTCTTTCCGTCTAATTTCCAGCTTGATTGCCCTTGCTCGTAGAATTTTTTCATACTGAGTCTCCAGAGGTTCATACTCTGCCTGGGTGTCTTTCGAGCCCTGGTTATTCGCCTTTGTCCAACGCCCTTTCGGGACCTGCCCAAAGGCGGGCGACAACAACTCCCGATCCTTCACAGAACTAGTTTTCGACGTGGATACATCCTTCTCAGCGGTATCGACACGCTTTTGTGTAGAGCGCTCACCAGGTTGCGCGCCGCGAGGTCCTGTCGATAGTTTGCGAGACTGGCGCATACACAATATAGAAGTGGCCGAGGAGGATGAAGAGCGAAATAAATGGCCGAGGGAAGCGTTCATGAATGGAGGCCTTGGAAGTTACGCAAAATCGTCCTGTCAGGCTTTAACGCGTATCGGCGGAGTGCATTCGATAAAGTTGCCCCAGACTGTACGGCACCAGCCACACCAGCCACCAGAGCAGTATCGATGTCGAGGTATTGTGTTGAGTTCGTATTTTTCATGTTTCCATATCCATGAACCTTAGATCTTCACTCCCTCATCCTCTTAACCCTCTGCACCGGATCCCCTCCAGCCTTCCTCTTCGCACCAAGCCCAGACGTCCCAACAGCACTAACACTCGCAACAGCCCCCGGAGCCGCCCCAGTCTTCCCCGGATTACTCGTCCCACTCCCAACCGTCTTAATATCCGCCTCATCAACCGTAATCTTCCGTCTTGGATATGATATCCGGCCTTCATCCGTCAAGTTATTGACGTCGAGGTGGAAACAGTTGGATTTTGCGCCTTCGGGGATGTCGGAGAAGAAGGGGTGTTTGAGGGCTTCGGAGGCGGAAATACGGGTGTTGGGGTCCCAGGTAAGGAGTTTTTCGATGAGGTCGAGGGCGTGGGGGTCAGTTGCTTTACCAACGTCGCGGTACCAGTCCGAGAGTCGCCGTGAGTAATTCTTCAGAGCGCGGAATGCTCTCCATTCTGGGGTTGTTCTGAGGGAGCCGCAGTCGCTGTCGCCTGGTGTGCCCAGGATCTCTAGAATTTTGATGCACTGCGATTTCTGGAACGGGACCTCATGCTTCTTGGTTCCTGTATTCTGCCCCATTCGCACTTCTTCTCCTTTGAATGCGGGTTTGAGAGCGAGGAGTTCGAGGAAGGTACACCCGATTGACCAAATATCGACAGCAGGCCCATAGTGCGAGGCATTCAGGAGTAGCTCTGGTGGTCGGTACCAGATTGTTACCACCACCTTGTCGGAGTGCGTCAGCGAGTGTAGTGGTCGTCTTGCTAACCGTGCGAGCCCAAGATCCCCAACTTTGAGTGTTCCGCCTTGAGACGGTGATGTGACCATGATGTTCGCAGGCTTGATATCGCGATGGAGGATCCACTGTGCGTGGAGATATGCAGTGGCGTTTAGGAGTTGATACATGATTGACCTGATGACAGGCATCGGGATAACTTTCCGGTCATTTGCGACGTGGGTTTGGATGATTTGCTAGTTGTTCAGTTAGCATGCTAGCAATATGTGGAGTGGAGGCAAGTGACGACGAACCAGTAGGTCATGATCTGCGTATTCAAAAATCATGTATATACACTTCTCTTCGAGGATGACTTCGACCAGAGCGATGATGTTGACGTGCTTGAGTTCATTGCAGAGACCCATCTCACGGATTGCTGATTGTGAAAGGCCTGTGTATTGTACCTCCCCTTCACGCTCCGGTTTGAACTTCTTGATAGCAAACTCTCTCCTATCGTCACTACTTATTGCCCTCATTAGCGTGCTTGTCAGTGAGCATAAGATAGAGGACATGAACGCACGGGTCCCTCGATCTTGCCTTGTAAACACGCCCATATGTCCCACTACTGATGAACCCCTGGATCTCATACTTGTCCAGCACCTTCGCTCTCGCCGCGTCCTTCCGCCGAAAGTACTTCTCCATGCTATATCCCCTTCTGTTGATCTTAAGGGGTTGCTCGGCTGATCCGTTCTTGTGCCTGTAACGTAGTTCGTCTCCAGATGGGGACATCACGTGTCCCTCGCCAAATGTTGGCAAAAGCGGAAAGTGCTTCGGGATGGGCAATCGAATGCGCATAGTGATGAAATGGCGCCGAAGCTTAAATATGGAAGCCCGGCCCAGAAAATGTTTAGTAGTACGAGAACGATCCAGCATAAGAAAATAAAGTTAACGGCTGATCCATCATGACTAGGCAAGCCGGAGGAAGACTGTCTCTCGTGATCCGGAACTATTCGCCAGCATGGTTCGTCGCATCGATGTCGACGGGCGGTCTATCGATCGTGCTTCATCAGCTGCCTTATCAGTTTCACGGACTTGGCATTATTTCGATCCTCTTCTTTATTATTAACATCATCATCTTATCCGTCGCCTTGATCCTCTACATCACAAGGTGTTTCATGTACCCACGCTCAACATGGACAGCTCTTTTAACCGACGTACGTATCGCACCTCTCTCCTTCTCCTTGTCGCCTTGAGTGATCACTGACACCATGACAGAGTCAAGAAACTCCTTATCTCTCGGCAGCCGTCATCGGTTACACCACAATCGTCGCCATGGTCGGCCTAGTCTGTGCCGAAGCCTGGGGCCACTCGTGGGGTATCGTCGCCTACGTTCTCTGGTGGATCGCAGTCTTCTTCACCATCGTGGAATGTGTCGCGATCCCATATATTATCATCCGCTGGCACTCCGATGCAACGAAAGAGTTAACGAACCAGATCACGCCTGTATTATTCCTGATACCCATCGCGCCGTTGACGACGGCGGCGGTTGGTGGTGCGCTGTGTTTGAGCGCGAACTGGACGGCGAGGATGCAGGTTCCTGTTATTATCTTTTCGTTTCAGATGTTGGGGTTGGGTTTGTTGTTGGCGCTGGCACTTGACGCGATTTACCTTGGACGGTTGTTCAACAACCGCATGCCGCCGCAGAACAAAGCACCCATGTCCGTCATCGTGATCGGTCCGCTCGGACAAGCATCATTTGCTTTTCTTAACTTGGGTATCGCTGTTTCTCGCGGTGCCTTTGCAGGATACAATAAGGGAACCTTCTTGGTGCAAGGCGTACAGGAAGCCGTCTTCGCTACCTGTGTCATCACAGCTTTGTGTTTGCTGGGGTTCAGCATCTTGTGGGGTGCCATCGCATTCCTCGAGGTCCTCCAAGACTCACTCCAGAAATGCGGTGGCCAGCGACTCGGATACTCCATCGCCTGGTGGAGCAGTGTCTTCCCTATCGCCGTCAACGCTACCGCCTTGATCCAACTCGCCAACGTCATGGACTCGCCGACCTTTCGCACGCTATCGGCTGCACTTTGTATTCTTATCGTCATCTTGTGGTTTGGAAACGCGTTCTTCACCATTCTTGGTCTTATCAAGGGTGATCTCTTAGGGTTGCAGAAGGGGTGGAAGGGTACGTATATCGTGGGAGATAAGAAGGAGGATGTGGAGAGTGAGAATGGACCGAGAGCCAATGATTATGGCGTGGCAGCTGATGCTGAAAACCAGGCGTAGATTGGAACAGCAGAAGAACATTGAGGTGTACGATATAATGGGAGGCAATTGGTTGTACGATATGATCGTTTTCTAGGTGCTAATTCTACTTTCGACAAGGTCTTTGGAACAACGTGTAATCCTAAACCTCCTGCGAGAGTTGCTCTTTCACCTTCTCCAACAACTGCATCTCTTGCTCACGCAGCTTTAATCCCAGCCTGCAAACCTCTTCCCTACCAGCAACATTATTTGCCAATTCATCCGTCTCGCGTAATACTTGCAACTGCTTTTCAACGCATTGTAGTACTGCGCGATTCGCACGGCTTTGATACACTGGCCACTTGTTACGACGGGCTTTGAGTATGCGTACAATATCTGCGGGTTCGTTGATGAACTCGTCGTCGATGTAGGCACGGAGGGTGGTCAACCCGGGCTCATGTGATCCATATCCGGACATGAAGTCAATGTTATCGTCATCTTCAAGGATGTAGAGGTAAAACCATGGGCAATCCCATTCCACATGCTCCCCATCAGTATTGACCGTCAGCGTTAGTCTAGGCGGGCCAACTGCTCTCGCCTTCCAAACCTCCATTTTTGCCTCGAGCTCGTACGCTACATCATCACCATCTGGAATAGCGAGGGCGGTCATCTGTTTGGAATACGGAAGCTCTTCTTCGAGGAACCCGTATGTGAAGAGCAACTCTCCCGATCCCTTCTCCTCGCCATATGAAATGGTGATTTCGTCACCCTCCTTGACTACCTCAGCTAGATCATCTCGTAGGACGAGCATCATGTCTCCGGCTTCGTTACGTTCCCAACGTGCGTTTGCTTTCGAGGAGTGATTTGCGAAGTCAAGGATGGGGACCATGATACTGCCATCGAGACAACGAGATGTGTACCAGGTGTCCGCTAGCACGTACTGTTCAAGCGAGAGGTTCTTGACCCACGAGGGAGCGAACTCACTGGCTCTTAGTGCTCCGTGGATGAATTTGTTCCTGAATTGACGGGGTTGTGTGGCATTGGCGATTGAGGTACCTTGAATGATTTCACGCTCGGTTTCTGTCCAGGTGGATGGCAGGGGAATCTTCTTCGGCAGTGCGTCGTAGAAGGCCCGGTAAAATTCTCCCCGAGGCCTGCTCGTACCCTGTGGGATCTCGAGGTGTGGGATCGAGAGGAGGAAGAGGGTTACCATTAACCGTGGGTGAATCGGTAGCTCTATTGGTAGGGTTTCGATAGCCTGAACAAAGGCTGCACATTCTTCCATGTGTTCCTGAGCATATTCAGCGATTGTTTCGTGTGAGATCACGTAGTCAGCGGGAACAGTCAATAACGGCGCATCTGCCGGAGGTTGCCTGGTTGCAACGAGACCTATGCCACGATTTGGCAGTGCTGCGGACTTGACGAAGTCGGTGACGAAGCCGGGAAGCTTAGAAGCCTGATCATAGAGTATCTCCCAGGATTGGTCGGCCGAGGATGGTGTGCTGGACATTTTGGAGAGTGTGGGACCTTTGAATGTCTACGTTACTGCTCACGTGAGGATCCCCACATTTGTCTACCTCGAGGAGAGACAGCAAGAGGACAACTGAAGTTTTTCTTCAAAACAGCCATATATTTTCACACTATTCGCCTGACAGTCCTGCACCTGCGGGGTTATTTACGTTTTGTGCCTTGCGTTCGGCCAAAGATTTTGTGTACATGCTGCGTACGACTTCCTCGAGACTCCTCCCTCGTTCAATCCACCTCAGATCCTTCGCAATGTCTGCTGAGCTTACCCACCCCCGCGTCACCAAGTCTGCCGACGGAACCATGTGGTTCCGTGAGGAATCCGAGTTCTGGCCCGGACAGGCCCAGTCCTTGAAGGTCAACCAGATCCTCCACGTCGAGAAGTCCCTCTACCAGGACGTCCTCGTCTTCGAGTCCTCCAACTACGGTAACGTCTTGGTTTTGGACGGTGCTATTCAGTGTACCGAGCGTGATGAGTTCTCCTACCAGGAGATGCTTACCCACCTCGCCATGAACTCCCACCCCAACCCCAAGAAGGTCCTCGTTATCGGTGGTGGTGACGGCGGTGTCCTTCGTGAGGTCGTCAAGCACGCTTCCGTCGAGGAGGCCGTTCTCTGCGACATTGATGAAGCTGTCCCCCGTGTCTCCAAGAAGTACCTCCCCTCCATGGCCGTCGGCTTCCAGCACCCCAACGTCAAGGTTCACATCGGTGACGGATTCAAGTTCTTGGCTGACTACAAGAACACCTTCGATGTCATCATCACTGATTCCTCCGACCCCGATGGTCCCGCCGAGTCCCTCTTCCAGACTCCTTACTTCCAGCTCCTCCACGACGCTCTCCGTGAGGGCGGTGTCATCACCACCCAGGCCGAGTGCCAGTGGCTCCACCTCCCCATCATCAAGGAGCTCCAAAAGACCTGCAAGAAGATCTTCGCTACCGCTACTTACGCTTACACTACCATCCCTACTTACCCTGGTGGTCAGATTGGATTCATGGTTTGCTGCAAGGACGGTTCCAGGAACGTTAAGGAGCCTTTGAGGACTTGGTCTGAGGAGGAGGAGGGCAAGTTGTGCAGGTATTACAACAAGGAGATTCACCGTGCGGCGTTTGTTCTCCCCACCTGGGTCAGGCAGGCTCTTGACGAGCAGTAGGTCCGTGGAGCGGTAAAGATATAGAACAGAAGATATCTACATAGGGTTATGGTTTTTGGCGACACAATTTGAGCATTTTTGACAGTACACAGGACCATGAACCGTGATTCGCCTACAAGAATATGCATTTGAATTGTTTCGCTCATATAGAAAGCCGTCTTCCCCGATCACAAAACCCACAAAACAGATAGGCCAACCGATCAACGGAAGCCGTCTCAGCGGACATTGCCAAGATCAAGCTCGTCATCATCCCATCGAGAATAGCATAGCAGAGTACTGCGTAACGCATACCAGTAACATATGTACAGGAAAAACATGCAAAACCCAAAACGCCGAGATCCATAACAGAGAAGCCCAAAGATTGGACGGACACAATAAATAACCCGCTGGTAATAAAAAAATCACATCGACACACTCAACATTCACAGTCAGCCATTATAGCCAGCGTTCGGACCGAATCCTGCGTCTCGGTTCAGCCATTGCAAGCTCGAGAAAAGCTCAAGACCATAACCCACCCGCCATTCCAGCCAGCGTCAACGCAACCTCGTCCTCAACCTCTTTGCTAGCACCACTACCGGTACTAGCATCGCTGGCTGCACGATTAAACGGAGGTGGCGGGGGAATATTTTCTTTTTCCCTCCTATCAGTACTGATCCTCTTCACGCTGCCCTGCTCATCGTCGCCAGGGGCTGCGCGTTTCCGTTTCAACGTACTCTGTGTTACGTTCATGACACCATTTCTGGGTTCGGTTAGGGGTGTTAGGGGCATTTGTGGTTGAGAGGAGCCGGAACGGGGATGGTTGTTGTGTTCGTCTTCGGTTTCTTCCGAGTCCGCGAACATGGTCAACTCTGCCCGACCCGTACTGTTCTGCATCAGGCGGAGAGAGGGGGTGCGTTTGAGGGTTGAGGGTGTAGGGAGGGTGTTCGCGGGCCGGCCGCGGTTTCCGGGGTTGGGAGCCGGGGTGGATGGGAGGGTACCGTTGCTGATAGCGGTCGCTTGCTGCCGACGACGGAGGGACTGCCGTTTGTTCTGGAACCACACCTATGAAGAAGAAACAACACATTAGCCACCCATTGCAATGCTATCTGTGCGGCATTTAGACGTGTATGCTGGGACACGTAGCACACGGGTAGCACACACGCGCCCAGCACGCGTCGTAGCACTGAGAAAAAAACCTACCTGAACAGCCCGCGTGTCCATATCACACTGTAAAGCAATCTCCATCCTCGTCTGTTTATCCGGTCTCTCGCACTTCCTAAACGCAATCTCCAGGATCTCCAGCTCCCTAGGACTCGTTCGTCTCCGCCTCCGCCGTGCGAGTGCCGGATCGTCGATGTGGGCGTTGCGGAGGGGATCAGTAGGTGAGTAGTTGACTGATGAGTTGGTGATAAATGCGTAAGAGGGATTGACCGGTGCTGGAGTTACCATAGAGTAGTGAACCTCTTGCGGCATGGCATAATGGTCTTCCGGTGTCGGACAAGGCGAAGAAGAAGGTTGAGAGGCACCAGACTGAGCCTCGGTGGTAGACATAGCAATCAACCTTCTTGTTTTCGCTATTCGTTTGGTGGATCGGACCTGGAGAGCCCTTCGAGTAGTGGTTGCTGGTTGGACGGTGCGGGGCTTCACGTACTTTTAGTAGGCACTTAACGATTTCATCAGAGTGCACGCCCAGTCGCGTCCAAGACACGCGCACGGGATCAGAGCGCGTCCGAAATCAATCTGCTGCAGCTGCATGTTAATAACCTCAACCCCTTGAATAATTGAAGTCCTAAAACGAGTTATGGAGAACTAAACAAGCTGACAACAACGATCATTAGGATTTTGCGATTCTGGTATAGCCTCTAAAAATGCGAAAGATGAACTGAAAAAGTCCCGTACCCCCAAACCCACGATCCAACCCATGAACTCCCTTTCAACAACCAAATATAAACAAGAGCCGACAGAACCTCATCTATCGTACAAGCATCCTGCCAGTCCAACTCAAAATGTCGTATCTCATACCCGTCCACGTCCTCTCAACGCCATCGTCGTACTCGTAGTTGAAGGCTTGGTCACACGGCCCGCACTGACCCGCCTGGGCGTTTCTGCACTCGTCCGTCTCGATTCTCTCCTTACTGGCGAATCACCCATACCCACCCCAGCATATGCGCTCGCTACTCGTCTTCTTACTGGCGATCGGCTAGAGGTGACAGCATCCTTGTCATTCTCGATTGCCTCACGCTCTTCTTCCTCTTTAGCAGCCTCCATGAGTTGAGATGTGATACTCGAAGGAATACGTCCGGCCGTTCCTCGTGCGGTGTACTTCCTTGGCTGACCAGGTGTTGGTGCAGGCAAAGGGGTGTTATCGACACGAGCCGGTGGTGCGTTCTCGGTCCCGTTCAGATCGGACAGAGGGTTACGCGGGGGAGTAGCAAAGCCCTTGATTGCCGCCTTGGAGACCGCCTTCTTCGGTTCCAGACCAAGGTAGTGCCATGCGCGGAAGTGGTGCTGGTTGATGTGTAGCCAGTGCTGTTGGGGACCCACAACCATTCCTGGTCGGCAAACACGCATGTATGCAATAACCTCATTCGCAGTAAAGGCGTACTTGTAGATCAAGTAAGCACCGATAAGACATCCGGTACGGCCAAGTCCGGCCTTGCAGTGTACGGCAATCTTTTTGTCATTCGAAATCATCTCCTCCGCCAAGATAAGGAACTTCTTGACCATGTCGAGTTCGGGCACAGTTCCGTCATCAAAGTACATGTCAACGTGCGCGATCCCTCGGTCTTCGAACTCACGCTTGTCGTACAACGGCTTGTTCAGTCTCACAACCAAACCAACCTCATGGTTCTCAAAATAGTCCAACACAATGTTGAAGGTTCTCTGATCAGCGCTTCCTCTCACAGCGCGTCCTGCAGCATACCCAGGCTGTATGGGTGATGCAAAAGCGACAAACTTGGGGGACACCCAGTTGAAGTCACCGTACTCCACCCTCTCATGACGCTCGTACTCGTCCAGATCGAAGTTCTCAATGTCGATCAAACCAGCCTCCTTGGCGCGCCAGAGACCGTAAATACAGTCTTGGATGGAGAGCATGAAGTCTGACTTGGAGTAACCAGCATCGCGGAAGCAAGCGAAAGGAGTTGCGGACTCAGCAAGGGGCTGGAGGACAAGATGCGGTGGCCAGTTCTGGATGATGACCTACGAAACCAAGTCAGCGATGCCTTTCCGAACTTTGTTTTGATGTTCCCACCATGTATGCAGTGATCAAGAAAGCAGAATTCGCTCGTGCGCGAGGGTCAGCTCCGGAATAGAGCACCAAAATCTTATCCTTAGTCTCCTCATCCTGGAGGATATCGTGCAACAAGCATGCGAAGCGGTACAGGTGACCCAAATGGAACGGTCCAAAGTCGTGGTGGAAAGCGTTGTACAGCAAAGCCTTGTCGACAGTGAAGTAATGCAAGTTCGGAGCATATGCGCCCGTGGGCAGAACATCAAAGGAAGCAAGGTAGAGCTTTTCTGCGTCGAATGCATCAGCATACACCCCCAACACTCCACTTTCGCAGGCTCACCCTTGATGAACTCAATGTAATTGTCTGTGATGTCAGACATAGTTAAGTAATAGTTTGCAATGTAGCGAGTGTAATCCTGTAGTGAATGCTATGCCCAATGCCCTTTTTTGATGCGAATGCGACGGGCTTTAATGGTTGGGCTGTTTGGTTATTGTGTTTCTCTCGTTGCGCTCAGGACTTCACACTGTTTGTGTTTGGAGATCGGAGCCGCATTAGGGCCATGCGGGCAGTTGCGTGGGCGACGATGCGGGCGGATCGCCGGAGGAGGATACAAACCGGGATTCCCATGATAGGGTACAACGCTTCGAAACTATTGTTCTATCACGTTCTTGAACATTTTGCTTCATCTGGATGTATTTTGTTGTCTTTCCGTGTCGATTTCCCACGCCTTTCATTCAGCGAATGGTCTTCTCGAAGTCCCTCCGACCACGACCGTGACAAATTTAACTGTCCCTTTGGCTCCTTGTTCATCGGCTGTCTAGATCCCCTGTTAGACACTCCAGTTGGACTGGGGCAGCGGTTCATGATCACTCCCGCGCTCGGGCTGCCATGCATACTAGTGGTCTACGACACCTTTCATCGAAGTCTTACGAAGTCTCACGAAACCTCACATCCTCCACTATTCTGATCCTACCGGAACACTTTGCAGCAAATCTCGGCATGGACCCCCGGTTGGAACCCAAACTCGATAAACCCAGCTACTTGAAGCCTGGCTCCGCCTTGATCGTCCCGTCCAATACGATGACCAACAAGCGATATTTCAGACCTTGGAGAGGATTCAACGGTTTCGTTAAGATGTGTGATCTCGACCCAAATAAGGAGGATGATATCCGGAAAGCTCAAACTTGGAAGCGGATGATGGATTTTACGGGCGGGCGCTGAACATGTACAGGAAGGTGTGCTTGGGCATGGATGTCAAAGTGGTGAGATCCGGTTGCAATATGCATCGTTGATGAACAAGCCGGTACGTCTAGAAGGTCACAAACTACCTGAAGAATACTGACATTGTCTCGAACAGTTGGTATAGTTGGTATTCAATGAAAATGAGAGACAAAGCACGCACCCGTCCTAAATCCCCACAAACGAAAACTTGAAAGAAGGTAACCCTGTAACTTGATATGTCCCTCACAATATTCCGAACCCTTCAACGCCATATATAAGCTCACAACGTCTCCATACACTTCCCCAGCAACTCCTTCAACAACTTCCCACGTCCCTCCTCAACACTCGAACTCTCCGCATCCGAATGACTCAACGTCCAAGCCCTGATAATCGTCCTCTCCACAACCTCTCCAACATGATCCAACGGTCCAGTACTCGGCACCGGTCCCAACTTCTCCGATGACGAACTCCATTTGCTCATCGTATTACGACCCGGTACATACAACCTCAACGAGTAACTGTTCATTCCGAGGTTCGATTGAAAAGCGTATGGACGACTGCTGTAACCCTGTGCACGACTTATAACATCATACGTCTTGCGGAACTTCTGTAGATTGACCATAACGGGATCCATCTCCTGACTCTCGAGGATACTGGAGGTGGCGAAGGAGGAGAGGGCTTGGGAGGAACCGATGGAGTGGTGGCGGGGAAGAGATTTGTCATTGCGTGGGCAAAGGAAACTCATTTCGCTGTCTTGAAAAATAGAGACATCACGGGAGAAGAAGGCTATCGATATAATCAGCATAAGCGATGACATCCACGGGACTCATCCTACGAAAATACGGAATCGTTGGCGATTTCGCCTTCGCCAGACTCCTGCGGTAAGCAGAGCTCGCCGGCAAAGAGTGAGCCTCCGCAGCAAGACACGAGTACTCATCAAGAAGAGTAGTATACGCCGGTGGAATAAGCCTATACCGCATTTGTTAGCCAGAAGACCATTGGTGGCTTCGGCCTTGTATCCAGTATACCTCCAGGTCTCCCCGAGCTTCTTCACCGTGGGATGCGTAAGCCCGTTCACCACACAAATCAAACTCTGAAAGTTATTCAACGCCTTCAAAATCTGCCCAAAATATCAGCATTAAAGCAACACTCCACAAACTATTGTCCTACCTTCGCAACCCCGATAAACTTACAAATCACCTCCCTCCTCCTCTCCACCCCCACCGCCCCCAAAACCTCGACAGCAACCCAATGCTGCACCATCGCCGTCCTCGCAAAGATCCTATCAATCGTTGCCAAAGCATTTCTGTCGCAATCATTCCCGTTCCGGCGTTTCTGCCACCATGCGCGGAGGGGAGTCATCTGGGAGGCGTCACGGTAGAGAATGTAGTCGAGCGCAGAGAGATACTTCGCAATCTCGTTCGTCTCGAGGGCGAGGAGAGGTGAGACGTATGGCGTGTTCGTCTGCATCGTAGCTGAAGCTTTGAACTCGCTATCAAGCGACACAGTAATCGCCTTGACGTCAGCCTCATACTTTTGAGCCAACCCATGCTCATGCTCGAACAAATCCCAAACCTTGTCAATCTCCTTATCGTGCGTAATCCTCGCCAACTCACAAAACTCCTCAAGTCCCTGAATCGTCTCTTCACATCCGATGAGTTTCTCAGGCTGCGTCTTGATCCACGTTTCCAAGATCTTGAGCATACGTTTCTGCATCACCTCACGATCCCACTTCGCCAGCGAGCGCTCAGATTTATGGTAGTGCTCCGTCAATAGGGTCAAGAACTGGTAATCAGTCATGAACAACCCGTACATCTTGATGATGAAATCCACATACGCCTCATCAGGTTCACGACCAAGTGGCGATATCATCTCCGACACCACCAACTCCGCAGTCCCCGCAGCCGGCCAAGTCTTTCCATCCTCACAGCTAAGAACAAGCACGTCCGCCCCAGCCTTATTACGAACATGCAACACATCTCTCTCCCCAAGTGCCTTGATCTCCTCCACAACAAAGCTAACCCCAGAACCCGGTCTTGCTCTCGACCCCGGTCTCGCAGTCAACATCTCAAGCGACTTCTTCGCCTGAAGATTCATCCTCCCAAACAATGCCGGCAACGATTTCTGTTTCCTCAAAAACTCCCCCGCAGCTTTGAGTTTCTTCGGAAGCTTCCCATCCTCGTCCTCCGAATACGAGGATTCATCATCCGTGTCATCCTCCCAAACACTCATCTCACTGAACGCCGGGCTAAGCGGAACCGGTCCCGGAGTCGCAGGAGGCGAAAACACCTTCGCAGGATCCTTCGCAGACCCCTCACCCGCACCACTCGCAAAAGGAAGCCGCTTCCTGGGTTGACGACGACGTGCCCACAAACCCTTCAAAGCACGTAAATCCATCTCAGATTGCATATTGCACAACACACCGGCAGGCATAGCAAACGCCTGCGCGATAGCCAAACCAGGCAACAACCCATGTCCGATCGAGCTTTCCTGCCCCGTACTCTGAGGGAGCGGTAAGGACGTCGATGACGTGGCGCGGGCCTGTTCGAGACTTGGGTGGAGTGACGGGGCGTAGAGACTGGGGACAGTGGTCGCGGTAGCTGTAGGGCGATCAAACTGCAACTCGAGTGGAGAGAACAAATTCGAATGTCCACTACTCGACGGTGACGTGAAGAAATCGGCTTCAGCGCTGGGACGAGGAACGCTAACGGCCGAGGCGGAGTCGACGATAGAGGGCGGTGCTTTTTGCTGTTTCGTGAGAGAAACATCAATCTGAAGATGCTTCCGATTACGGCTTCCAGGATCACCAGCGAGTGTGTTCGCCTGTGCCGGCGTAATCAAATTCAACGGCAAACTCTGCGCCCTAGGCGTCCTCTGCTTCTCCGGCTCGTTGCTCTCGACAACCAGTGCGTTCTCGTTGGGAGGAACGATATTCACCATCGGATTACTCGAAGAGAACCTCAGACTCAGCCCTTGACTAACATTGCCAAGATTCAAGTTGAGCGCGGAAGATTTGCGTGCGAGGCGGCGTGCTCCGAGGATCTGGGAGAAGCCCTTGATGCCGCGAGAGGCGAGGGTTGTGCTCACTGACTGCGCAAAGGATTCGTCTCCGAGCTTCGGAGAAGGGATGGAAGGGTTGCGGGCGTGAGGCTGTGCAAGATGGTTAGCCTTGGATAAGGTCCGGTGTACAAATGCGGTTACCTGGCGTGAGGTCGGAGGTTTGGAGTTGTTCACACCAGCAGTGACGTCTAACACGTCTTTTAGCACGCATATACTCGGCTTGGGACAGCATACAAACCGTTCAGAACACCTCCTGTACTTTGGCTTCTCGCCTTACTGTTCTTGCTTGCTCCTGTCCGATAAAGCGTCAAAATGGTGCATGGGTAACCGTGTGAAAGTTCACTCACCAAACTGCTGCGACATCATCCTCTTCGGCTTCGGCTGCAACCATTCAGGCTTATCAATCCCGAAGAAGTTCATCGAGCGAGACGTGTGTAAGCTGCTCATCCTGCCCACCACTCAACAGAAAAAGGAGGTAAAACGAAAACGAAACACACAAGCTCAAGAAAACAGAATGAAGGTTTGGTGAACGAGTGAAGACTCCAATGACGTCCACGACGAGAAAAAGGACAGAAGAGTGGTCAATGTCAAGAAGGAGTGGCCCGATTGACAATTAAGAGCAAAAGCCGAGTGTAATTAATCTGTGACTTCAATTAGGGGGGAGGGGGGTCCGGGCACTCTCACTCCTGAGCGCATGCAAGGCACAAGGAACCCGGCGGCTGTAGACCTGGCAACGTCATACCCCAAGACTAGAAGGACACAAGCGAGAAGATGGTGACGAATACCGCAATCGACCTACAGAGATTGCTGGCACGGCTGGATACTACGCTGTCAGATCCAGGGGCAGCAGGATATGACTCAGTCAGACGGGCGAGCATTGCGGCGAATGTGGAGTATGCACGGAAGCTATTACTCCAGCTGCGAGGTGGTACGGTGGGGTCAGTGGTTTCGCAGGCAGGTGTCGTGGAGTACCAGCTGACGGCTGTGCAGGGACATCGAGAACACAGTATACACCAACCATGAACGACATATCCGCAGACTAAATGCGCGGCTAACCGAGATGGAGCAAATGGACCAAGATGAACCTTCATCATCCGAGGACGAAGCTGAAGCCGAACAAACAGCATCGGTCCCACCGACACTATCGTCACAAAACTCCTTCTCTGCGCCAACATCAGAACTGAGAAATCGGCTAAACAAAGATTCATCAACATCAGAATCCGCAACACTATCCTCAACAGAACATGTCTTGTCACACCATCGTGGCCTACAAGAAGAATACACCACAGACCTCCTCCGGATGGCCCGCGTACTCAAAAACAACTCCCTAGCATTTGGCGAGAAGCTCGAGGAGGACAAAACCCTGATCAGCGACACAGCGGCACTGCTCGGCAAGAACGAAGGAGCAATGAAAACAACAGGCGGCAAGCTTGGAAAATACAGCAAGCAAAGCCGAGGAACGACATGCCTGATGTGCGCAGTTCTGGGAATCGTTTTCGTCATGTTCTTCTTCGTATACATGTTGATCCGGATCACATAAACATAAGTTACCAATTCATGAATTAACTTCCAATAATAAAACTATCCCAATCAAACAAACGCTCATGACACACAATAACTATACCTTCCCCACTCGTCTATCCCAACTGCACATAATTCGCAGGAAACACCCCCTCAGCTCCACCCAAGCTCCCCGTCCACCACTCATTAACATCATCCGTCCTCCTAAGCACCTCAATCCTATCCCCAGCACTAAAACTCAAATCACCAGCCGCCTGGGCCACGTAATCATACAACGCGACACACCACTCCGTGGGCGCTGACAACGCCTTCGGTTTCGTCGGGGGCGGCGGTGGGGGTTTCTTCTTTGCGGCTGCGGAGGCAAGGGAGAGGTTTGACATTCCGCCTGCGACGGCCGCAACACCCGCGTTGGAACCGGAGAACCGGGCGGTGGTTGTGTTGGAGCGGCCCACGCCGCCGGCTTTGGCGTCTGCGGCGTATGCGCCGTACGAGTTTTGGGTTGGTGGGGGTGAGTATGGTGGAAGAGCATCTGATGGCGAATTGGACGAGGTAACATCCGAATTCGAGCGTGCGCGGCCACCGTAGGATGGTCGTTCCAGGCTCGAGGGACTAGTCTTCCCGCCCATGAATTTGCTCTTGTCGAATTTCCCGGGTCCGAATTTGCCGACGGTAGTTGGCCGACCGGTGGTCTTGAATTTACAGATGGAGAGAGCTTCTGCGTGGTCTTGGACATCTCCGCGTTTGGCGTGGTAGGCTTCTTCGATGTCGGCGCCGAGGTCGAAGTATCCGATATCGACGTTTCGCATACGCTCGGAGAGGGTGTAGAAGATGTTGAGCTGCATATAGTAGAAAGACTGGAACAAGGGTTTGATGAACTCCACTTCCAATGCAAACAACTCGGGAAGCTCGGCTTTAAGCATCTCGTTGAAGTACTCGAACTCCTGTGTCGATTGCTCGAGGTCATTCTGGGCTTTGTAGAGTGCTCGCTCGTCTTTCATGGATTTCTCTTTCTTATCTTCAATCTTCTTGACGGAGGCGCGATGGCGGTCGTAGTCCAATTGCTTGTGGTCGCGTTTCATGGCCATCTTGCGGACGAGCTTGATGATCTGCAACAACTCCTCGGCAGGCTTGACAATACGCGACTCAATCATCTCCAATTCCGGCGCAAGAGTCGTTTGCAGTTCGCGCACGATCGCCTCGTACTCCTCACATGCCTGAATACCTGCAGCGTTTCCCTCATCCTTGATCGAGTTCGGATCACTCAATCGTCCCGAGATAGGCTTATAAATCTCCTTAATCGCCTTCGAGAACTCAATCTGATGATTCAACATGCCATTGATAGAGCTAGTGTACTTCTTCGAGTCTTCATGGAGCTTCTTGCATTCTTGTTCGAGTTCCTTGAAACGGCGCTCGGCATCGAGGTAGACGGGATCTTTGGTGGAATCTCCGATGTTGAACTTGCCTTTGAACTGCTGAGGAGCTCGTGAGACTGCTTTCGTGAACCCCTTCCAACTCATTGTTGCTGTTGCTCGGTGTACTGGTTGATGCTTTCTGGAGCACGGATCGGTCCGGATGAAAGCACCGAAGCCGCCAGCGTCATGGCATGCACTTCGGGAGCTGCTCGATCCGATATGGATGGGATGAAACCAGTCTCTATTTGTTGTAAGAATACAAATAAGAACATCAGAGTCATCTTGAAAGTGACCTTAGTAATCTGGTTTTACCGGAGTCCTGTGGCGAGCACCTCTTCGCACATGTGCAGGGACCCCGCATATTGCGAAATCCAGTAATCAACTCTACGTACTCTCGCAGGCGTAAGCAACGGATACCAAGACAACACCGTTCCTCGAAGGATCAAATGGCTTCGTATCTGAGAACATCTATGTCAGCTGTGCTCCGTGCGCCGGTTCGTACGGCCGGTGTGAGGGGTGTCGCTCGTCGTGCTGCTCCGGCGGCGTCGATGGGTCGTAGATCATATGTCACTCCTACGGCACCGGTGAAGGCGCAGGCTTTGGAGATTGATACCGAGATTGCTATTTCTCCAAGAGCAGGTACGGCGATCCTGTTTGATTTTTGCCACTTTGTACTGACAATTGACGTACAGCTGAGACTGGCCACACTTTGGTTATCGAGAAGGGCGAGGGTAACCGTCCCATCTACCTCGATGCGCAAGCAACAACCCCGACTGATCCCCGTGTCGTCGACGCCATGCTCCCCTTCTACACTGGCCTTTACGGCAACCCACACTCCCGCACCCACGCCTACGGCTGGGAAACCGACAAAGCAGTCGAAGATGCCCGTAGCCACGTCGCATCCCTCATCGGTGCCGACACCTCCTCCATCATCTTCACCTCCGGCGCCACCGAATCCAACAACATGTCCATCAAGGGTGTCGCAAAGTTCTACTCAGCAAAGAAGAAGCACATCATCACTACCCAGATCGAGCACAAGTGTGTCCTTGAGTCATGCAGAACACTTCAGGATCAAGGATTCGAGGTTACGTATTTGAAGGTGAAGCAGGATGGTTTGATTGATTTGGCGGAGTTGGAGGCGGCGATTAGGCCGGATACGGGGTTGATCTCTATTATGACCGTCAACAACGAGATCGGTGTGATCCAGCCCATGAAGGAGATCGGAGCCCTCTGCCGCAAGAACAAGATTTTCTTCCACACTGACGCCGCACAGGCCGTCGGAAAGATCCCGATCGACGTGAACGAGTGGAATGTCGACCTCATGTCTATCTCTGGACACAAGATCTACGGACCTATGGGTGTCGGAGCTGTTTTCGTGAGGAGAAGGCCAAGGGTTAGATTGGAGCCTTTGATTAGCGGTGGTGGACAGGAGCGTGGATTGAGATCGGGAACTTTGTCGCCGGCGTTGGTGGTGGGATTGGGAGAGGCATGCAAGATCGCGAAGCAGGACTTGGAGGTGAGTTTCACACATTATCTGGGTTGGGTGAACGTCGAGGAAGAAAACTTGCTGTAACCAGGCACGATACGGAGTGTTTCGGCGATGATATTTGATACCAATGTGTGGGCTCCTCGGAGTTCGCACGATGGGGACGCTCTTTAGAGGTCCGATCACATATGCCGGGAACACAAAGATCGCAATATGCAGGGGTTCTGAGACGTTCGACCAACCCGTTCTACATTCTTTCTTGTATACAGGTTACTGACTTCTCTATTTAGTATGACCATGCACACGTCTCCCGCCTTTCCAAGAAGCTCATCGACGGTCTCATGTCCCTCGAGCACGTTCTCCGCAACGGCTCCCCCGAGCAATCCTACCCCGGCTGCGTCAACCTCTCCTTCTCTTACGTCGAGGGTGAATCCCTCCTCATGGCCCTCAAAGACGTTGCTCTCTCATCCGGATCCGCTTGTACTTCTGCGTCGCTTGAGCCATCATATGTCTTGCACTCCTTGGGGTTGTCAGATGAGAACGCACACTCGAGTATTCGATTCGGTATTGGGAGGTTTACGACGGATGAGGAGATTGATTATGTTATTGAGTTGGTGAAGAGTAAGGTTAATAAGTTGAGGGAGTTGAGTCCGTTGTGGGAGATGGTTCAGGAGGGTATTGATTTGAATTCCATTGAATGGGAGCAGCATTAAGATAGTCGTTCGGTTTGTACGTTCATTACCTTTGGCGCCTGGTATAGCTTTCGTTTTTCATTCGTCCAACGGCAATTCAAGTTTTGAACTATCAACATCATTATAACTGTTTCCGAATATTTCAGTCGAATCAGCTGGTGCAGCGGCGTGGGGATCTTGACTCGAGTGTGGAATTCTATCACAATTACTAGGTATAGTTCAGACCTATGTATCAGCATGGCCATGGGGAAATGATTCAGAGGTAGTCATAAGGATCAAGATCGAGACAAGATCAACAGATATATAAGGATAGTGTGCTTTAACATTTCAAACCAGCTCTGCCTCGTCACATAGCAGCAGCCAGTAACGTCTAAGACGTCCAAGAACTAACATATGACCCAGTACCGCCAAACGTATCACTCATAAACCATACTGTTCGCATTCCGTTAGATCATAAGTTAACGCCTAATACAGTTGATAGCGTTTTCAGTGCGGCCGTCACGCTTGTACAAACCCTCACCGAGGGCGTACGGATAACCGAGAGTGGAACTGAAACTCCATCGCGTAACATCGCGGCGAGTGAGTTCAAAAGTGACGGTCGTCTTTTCCCCCGGGTACAATTCCACCTTGTCGAAGCCGCGAAGGTCAGTCTCAGACCATGTCACGTTGCGTGGAACATCGCCAACAGGAACGATTTCGACTTGGTCGGACATGAACAATCTTTCGTAATCCGCAACGGTGAGTTGCGCACAATCCTCGCACTTGCTGTCGCCCTGCATGTCATCCTGTGCGTAACGGAGGAAAATCTGAGGCACAGTAGCGCCCTTAGAACAGCCGACGTTTTCGACTTCGAACGAGATTTTGAAGATCACGTCATAAAGGGAAGGATTTCCGCCCACTCCGCCTCCATTCCTGGAATAAGGGAAGGAATTAAATTCATTTTGTCCCTCTCCAGACAATGAGGGACGCGGCGCAGTCGATGTTTTTGAACAGGTGGTCTCCGCCATTGTGGAATCAGCATCAGCTTTAGGTTTGTGAGGATGTGCGCCACTTGAAGGTACAGATGTAGGACACGAGATATATGGGTAGATGTAGCCACTGACACTCGAAATAGACGTCGGGAAGCACAAATCGGACACCGGAGGGACAGTGTCATTCAAGAACGACAGAGATGGCGTTGCCGGTCGAGGTGCGTAATCGCCGAGGTCACCGACCGTCTCGACAGTGATGTTCCCGTATCTGAATTCTGTGTAACTCAAGCCATAGCCGAAACTGTACCGAGGTGTGATGTTGTTGCAGAGGAACCAGCGATAGTCAATAAGCGTGCCCTCCGTGAAATTGATCTGGGGCACAGAGAAGTTCGGTTGATAAAGAACATGGGCGGGATAATCATCGCGGCATTTAGCGATAGTAAATGGCAGAACACCACTGGGGTTAACATCACCGAAGAGCACGTCTGTAATGGCATGACCACTTTCCTGACCCGGCAAACCAGCCCAGATCACGCCAGTCACGTTGGGGTGCTCAATCCATTCCTCCAGAATAACGGGACCAACCGAGTGAATAACGACAACGGTATTGTAGCAATGCTCCGCTACGGTCTTGATTAATGTATCACCATCATGCCAGAGAGTAAGGTTATTGCGGTCACCCTCGTTACCGTCCACATCAATGTAGCCCTCGCCAGAGTCCGCATTGACAAAGACAAGGCAGACACCGCTAGGCGCATCCGCGGCCTGATCAGCAAGTGTAATAGCCTCATCATAGGCGTAATTATCAAGCACCCACATGACCTCACTACCTGCAGCAGAAGCTCTTTCTTGGATGGCCTCAAGGGGGTCGACGAGGTAGGGGAAGTTCGCGGTACCGGAGCCCCACCCAACTGCTAACGTCCCATTGTCGCAACCGCGGTCTGGGCAGCCATTGGGTCCAACTTCAGCTGGCCCGGCATCGGACCCAAAAATGGCGATGAAAGGAATACCGTCCTCAAGAGGAAGAGCAGGCTTCCCATTAGCCTTCACGTTCTTTAGAAGGACGTTTGCCTCGGCGGCAATGTCACGGATCAACTTTCGGTGCTCATCCATGACGTTGACGTGCTCGTTGACGACACCAAAATCCTCTTGGGCGGCAAAGTCTTCGTAACCTTCAGTACGAAGCGTCCAAGAGTTGAAGTTAACCTCTGGATAATCATTGTCCTGTCCCATATAGTACCAGGCGGCAAGAATTCGAGTAGCCATATCATCGACACGCCAGAGAGGAACAGATCCGTTTACAACAGCCTCGGTGAGGTTGGGACCAAACCAGGCACCGTCGGAGCCGGCTGCTGTGTCACCCGGCATAGACATATCCAACCCTGCGAGAGCCGATTCCACACCGCTGTGCTGGCCCCACCAGTCAGAAACAACAAAGCCTTGGAAGCCGAATTCATCCTTCAAAACACCATTGATGAGATACGCGTTCTGAGCGGCATAAGAGTTGTTGATCTGATTGTATGAGGTCATAACACTGCCGACGTTGGCCCTGACTGCATCCTGGAAGGGCCATGCGTAGAGCTAATGAGTAGGTCAATTAGATACTGGGTCTAGCATAGTACCGTTCAGGAATCTTACCTCATGCAACGTCCTCTGGCCCAGGTTGGACGAATAAGAATCGGTGATGTCGTAGCCATAACCCTCGGCTTCTCCAACTTGACGGAAATGTTCCTGAGCATAAGCAATGTAATGCTTGGCGCAGGCAATGACTCCCTGGCTTTGAATACCGGTGATGGTTTCGTACATGGCGGCACCGCAAACATACGGATCCGCGCTGAAGCCTTCCCTGTTTTACAGTTTTAGTACATGCGAGATGAGTGAAGGAATGTGTGTATACCAGTTCCTACCACCTTCAGGATCGCGACCGAGAGGTCCAGCAACAGGCCCCAGTTGGACATTGACACCCTTACCACGGAATTCCTTACCCATAGCAACACCTCTCAAATACATGGCCGTGCGGTTGAAAGTCTGAGCGACGGTGATCCCGGCAGGGAAGACTGAGTTGTAGTCCGTGTCGCGAACACCAAGGGGAGAGTCTTGAAGACAAAGAGAAGGGATGCACAAACGAGGAACAGACCCAGTGTTGCCTACACAAGGGCCTTGTTGCCAACCGATGCCTGTCGTAAGATTGACCTTCTCAAGGAGAGTCATGTCGCCAAGAGTCGCGCGAGCAGCATCGTATGCAGCAGACCAATTACCGAGGCCGGATCCGCGAGGCGAAGGATAGTATCCCTCAAGAGGTTGAGGATAATAGATGCCATCGACTTGAGCTTTGGCACCGGCAAAGAGGGTCAAGGCCACAGTAGCGTAGAGAAGCATTGTTGACAAAAGGCAGCCGTTGCCGTGAGGACGTTGGCCTTAAAGTTCTGTGCAACTAGCGGAGGTCGGTGTCGCTGAGGACGAGTGAGCTGAATGATGGTCATTCTCAGCGGGGATCATGTCGTCCTTTTATAGCTGGAGCTCGAAGACCCATAGACATCAAAACGGTCCGCCTGATCCTCTTGAAGAGGCGGGGTACGGCTCGTGTGGACGTGGCATTATTTTCTCACCGGCTGGGCAAACCACCGTGAAGCACTTGATGCCTTAAAGAGCATCTTGTGTAGGTGTTGCAATCCAACCCCATTCGTATTACTGAGCGCGAATGAAATACTCCACACACTGTTGGCGTTTTTAAGTTAGCAGACCGGCATCCATCTGAAATAATGCGGAGAAGACGTGCGGTATGGACAAAAAAAGGCGTCTGGCACGCGGGCCCGCCCAGCTGCTGCGTAGGTTTGCCATCAGTAATCTGCTCCAGACCTTTACGCGTAGCATGCGCTAAACACTGACATCCGTCCACAGCTTTCGGTGGTCTGCATCTCCTACTAAATGAGGGCGCTTCAATTCCGCAGTCCAAATTAAGGCTTGGTCCGCATGGTTCGATGTTTGTGATGCTAAGGGGGCAGAGATCCTGTATGAGTTGAATGACAGCGACAACGGCCTGGATACGCGAATTGCAGCTGACTGCGCACCGAGGTCATATGCTGCTCGAGAACCCGGCAAGTTGCCGCTCAACATGCGACGACCAGCAGTATACGCGTTCGTTTGACCCGGCCACGGCTGCTGCTGTACGCGTCCCATTTACCTGGTATCCATTGCAATGACTTTGCGGTGAGCTGTGTTCGTGAGATTCGCAGCTGAGCTTTAGCTAGGTAGGTACGTCACTCACCGCCTAGCAGGTGCCTACATAGATACCTGTATGTTGTATGTAGGTATATACCAGTACCAGTAATGTCAATGTTACTTGACGTATATCGGACCGAGCTGCACTTTAATCTCATTACTGAACCGCTTAAGCTTACATAAGCTGTAGATACCTCAGAATACCCAGCCGTGTGAATTCCAGGAGCAGCAGCGGCTGGTCCCGGCTGCGCCGCTCATCTGGTACTGATCTCGGTTCATCATACTGTTTGTGTCGCAGGATCTGAAGGGTGTACAGGCGGCAAGGAGGCGAGCAACAAAAAAATGGTTCGGGTCTTCGCCGTGCCGAGGTATCCCACTATTTGCGGCCACGGCCCTTTGACAAACCATGTGAAAATCGGAAACCCTTGCGAAGTGACGGTATGTACATAGCAGCCCTTTCGTCAGCCGCATCAACGGTCACGATGTCTCGGCCCGGATGACGCTCTTGATGACTATACATGATTAAACGATCAACAATGGTCGGCGCTTCGACGGCGAGAACTATTTCTGTGTGGGAACTTTGACAGGCATAATCGGCGAAGGATGAGCCCTAACGTTTCACCTCGTGTCCGACTGCGTGTTCTCGTCGTGGGAGACTATGTCGTGGAATTGCAATTGCGCATTGCATATGCTTCTTGATTACTCGTTACTAGTTCGAAGCTTTAGAGATGCCGGAGACAATTTCGTCTCTGCTCACGGTTCTCGGTCCGGCGCTTATCTCCTTTGACGAATCCGTATTCGCTTGCACGTCGTTAACGTTCTCCATCACGGGCGCCGGTGTTCGTCCGACCTTATGGAGCGATAGCTACGGGTTGTTGTGCAGAACCCAATCATCTGATAGTAGCACATGAGGGACATGTGCTGACGTTGTCGGAACGGCCTCCTTATATATATTCTTCCACTCTAGGTCTGTTCTCGCGATCTCGACCTGTCTGAATTGTCATCTTCGCGAAGCTGCTTGATACTTAGCATGTCGAACAGTCCGGCCTACGAGCTAGGCGTCGTCGAGGTGATTAGCGAGCGTCCAAGCTTGAAGCATTGTGAACCGTGCTGATTGCAATCTGTTCATAGAATCCTCGATCCTACAGTCATTTTCGAACCTATAGCGATGCCGATGCCCAGAAGCCAAGCGACACCTTAGCCGAGGAGGTCCATAGTCCCGGTTCTCCAACGTTCAACCGCACGTTCTCAACGAACCCGGAGGAGGAATCTTTGCTGGGTCAAGAGCAACGCCGCGGCTTTTTTCTCTGGGCTTTACTTCCGGGATATATATCATTCGTAAAGCACCCTCAACAGTTGCTTCATGACAGCCGCTGACATTTCTACGTCTATAGTTATTGACCGCTGGAACCGTTACTGGTCTGGTCGTATGGCTATTCGCTGTGAAGATCAAGGTTGATCGTGGTTGCCATCATAATGAATCGAAACCCTGCCAGTGGTACATCCTCACGCACATCCCCATTTCCAAAATCCTGACCCTCACTACTATCGTCAACGCTGTCCAATCTAATACGAGTATGTCTATTCTCCTGTCGTGACCTGTATTTCACTGATTGCGTCGTTTCAGGTGGTTTCGTCATGGGTGTCGCCGCGATCTGGCTGGCTCGGTCATGGTTACAACTCTCTGTCGCACGTTCAGAAAACAATCTGTCTGTGCCGGAGATGGCATCCCTGGTGAACCTGTGTACCTCCGGCGGCAGGATTTGGGCCTTAGCTGACAACGCCTCGTTGTTATTTCAAGGTCCAAAGCCGCGAAATAGGTCAACTATCATTCTGCAAGGCCTCTGGATTGGACTCATGCTTTACATCTTCACTCACGCATCGTCTTTGGCAGATGTGTTTGTTCATTATGGCATGTGGGATATGGACACGATCGTGGGTGATGCACAGAATACACCCTTGATTGCTGAGCAGACTCTCTGGGGCAGACGACTTCCCAGTGACTGTTTCGACAGTGGAGTCAACGGTGGACTGGGATGCGCTATGCAGTTATGCCCCAATGAAGCGTATCACTGCCTTGTCGACCAGAGCGCGGCCGATGCCGTGTCCGCAAACGTCAGTGGAACAGACCGCGTTCATCTTGTCTTCGACCAGCTGCAAGACGAGCAAAACCACTCTTTATTCCGCAGTATGGCTGTCCTGCTGTCAGCGCAGGCTTTGAACGCGAGTAACTATACGGCTGACAGCGTGGGGATATCCGTACAATGTGTGGTTCAGAGCGATGAATGCAACCTAGCACTAAATACTTCCTCGGGCGTTTTTCAATACGATTGCCCTGACTGGGAAACTAGCATCAATGATACGTTGCTTAATGGTGGGACAAACAATATGTGGTTCTATGACGAGGAATTTAGTGGTCAAGGCGGATATTGCTTCAGAACTCTTCCTTTTCTTGGTTCTATTGCGGACTCGACTCATTCCAACCCTGTCACTGGATTTGTGGGGTCTGCTTCGGTACCTCGATGGGGGATTCTTTTGACGTGTAATTTGACAATGTGGGACGTCACTTACAATGCTATAGCTGAGTAAGCATCTTCTGCGCAGTCACCTTCAAGCATGAGCGCTAACCGCTGTAGTCCTTCACTAACTAACGAGACTGAAAGCGTCGTGACACTTCTCAACGTCACGCGCACAAACACAACCGCGAGTAATCAAGTGCTGCAGGCGATTTTAACCACGCCGGAACGACGGGGAGCGGATCTTGCCTGGGGTCAAGCCGAGACACAATTCATGTCTAAAGGTGGGTTTGTGGTGGGCAATAGTTCCGTATTTGCAGATATTTGGGCATATGCATTCGCGTTTCAGGCCCTTGCCTTAACAACATCATCCCATTACGATGAAATCCCCATTCACGAGGGTCGATTGTTAAAAAGTCTTCAGACAACTGTAAGGGATTCCTTCCTGATGTCCTCAACCACTGCTGACAGGTTTGGAACAGTTTGTACCAATCTTGCCCCTTGCCATCTTCGTCGGTGTTATTTACCTCTAGTATATGTTCCCGTATCATGAGGAGCATGGACTAATGTTTTGAATTAGTTGCCTCTTTATTCTTCTGGTCATGACCTTGGCATTTCTCACGGTGAGCCCGTCCATCAACTACCTATCCGGTGGAAAGTCTGTTAGCGCGACCCGTCTGGCGCTCATGCGTCTCACCGATTCACACACCCTGATTTATCAACTTCTGGGTACCGATAAGAACAAGAGTACAGAAGGGCGAGCTCTCAGGATGTGGGGTCCTCGTGACTGGGTTACTAAGGCCGTGATTGGAGAGAAGGGTAACATCTTTGGTGTCCATAAGGCTGAGTGAGTTCCATGGGATTTTCCGACGGGTGAGATGTCTCTGGTGGAGATATGAGAGGAAGGATGGTAATGTGATCTTCTGTCTCTACAGGAGTTGTTCGGCTAAGTGCGTCTAACGTATATCTACTGTGTTTACGATTCTTCTTTGTTTCTTTGTGGCATGCTTCGTTCAGGCAAACTTCAAGGTAGCCGCCACTGCTCATGAGCTCCGTGATCCAGTCATGGTGGCCAGGTGTTGGCCTTCCTCCTTACCAATATCCTGCGGGTTTCCAGCAGAACTCGATCAGATCATCAGCAGTGCGCCTTTTGGCATTTGTAAAGCCACGGAATTCATAGATCTGCATATCGCTGAAAGATTGATCAAGATTTCGAGTCCCACGTGCATCTGGAGAATGAGAATGACCGGGAGCCGCCACACGAATCTTAGACTTCTTCCCAGAGATGGACCACTGTCAACGTGTTCAAGTTCCAGAGTCAAAGCTCGTCATCTCCGTTTAACTACGAAGTTGGAATGGCAGCCCTTTTTGTTCGAGTCTTCATCATCTGGGCCTTTCGGGCAACAACCGCGCGTACCTGAACCAGCCCTAGCGTTGGGCAATCCTGCTGCTGCTGCAATGATCTTTCCTCCGTTGCATTTTGCCGTGTATGAGAGAGGAGCTTACATTCGCTGGCATGTCCATGTGTGTGGCAGCAGTTACATGGGACCGAGCAGTTCACGTCGGTCTAGTATAGCCTCAACATTCTTTCCGCGAATGCTACAAATGGCTAATAATGCGGCGTCCTGGTTTAGTGATAGTCATGCAGAATCAAAACCACATGCGTCTATGAAGAATTGTTAATGTTCCATAGTAGGAAACACTGCACTTCCTCTGGTATGTTCACGACAAGAAGCTAGCTGGGTAGCACAGATTTCATTGAAGCACGTACAATCTGACAATGCTATCACCCAAACACATATGCACACCAAGGAACCGAAACGAACCAATAACTAACCATATGGCTGCTGCAAGACCACGTTAACGAAACAACGATCCCATCGTGTTTGAACGCCCAAAGACCGAAAAGAGACACTCCAAAACAAGCCGAAACCAGATGCCCTACAAAACATATCGTACATCAATCCAAATAAAACCTTACTCAACTCCTTCACTCCATCGCCGTATCTTGCGGCGATTCATCCAATCCCTCCCTCACGCTCATCATGTCCTCCACCCCTTCCTTCCCTTTCCCACCACCCTCAAGAAACCTCTCATCCCTCACCTCCTCGCCAGCTTCCTCCTCCTCACACTCCCCATCCTCACCTAAATTCACCATCGGTCGTACATCCCACCCCCTCCCCCAAACCTCATCAACCATCCTCAGATCATGCCTAACCTTTTCCCTCCTTGCACTCTTCCCCGCCCCAGCGCCCAGCGTAGCAGTTCTATGCAACCCCGAACCCGTCACACCTGTCCCGCCAGCTCCGTCACCTCCGCCTACTCGACCTGCTCCATGATCAAAGTCTCTTTCTTCGCGACGCACCGGTTCTGGCACTGGCGGCCGTGCACTCGGGCGCGGAGGCGATAAAGCTGCTGGCGCAGCGCTGAGACGACGGGCATGTCGAACGACATGTAGCCGTTCCGCGAGTTCCTCCACCCGACGTCTCATATCATTCAACCTCGTCTCATGCCTATAAACCTCCGAAAACGTCGCACTAAGCCCGCGACGGCGGGGCCCACGTGAACGCTCACCATCACCATCACCATAGTCCTCATCATCATCTTCAGACGGACTATCGTATGCTCCGGCGCCGGGGAAGGAGGTCGGTGTCGCAGCAGCTGCTGCTGCAAAGGTCGTGTCGGGGAGGTCATCGGTGAGGCGTGCGGCGCGACGAATTCGATTCGAGGGTGCCGCCGCTTCCTGTCTCCGTAGCACACTGGCTTGCAGCGTCTCCTGATACTCCCTAGACATATCCCCCTGCCCCTGTGCCTCCATCGATCTCCTCGCATTCGCCAGCGTATTCAGCAAAGGCTCATATTGCATGTCGATGTCGGAAGCGGGAGCAGCAGCAGGAGGTGGTTGTGGGAGGGCTCCCATGCGTACTTGGCGGATTTGGCCAAGGAGCGTTTCGAGGATTTGCATGCTGGGTGGGGTGCGGCTTGAGGCGGTCCTGTCGAGTTGGGTGCGGGAGAGGGCGTTTAGGGAGGAGAGGATCGATGGGGTGGGGGCTGTTGGTTGTTCGAACCCTGCCGATGGGACAAGCGGAGGGACTGAAGGGATGCCGTCCTCATCCTCCGGCGGAGAAGTTGCTTTAGGATAAAGTGGGATAGGCATGTTGCTGGTCTGCTGAGTCGTTTATCGCATTTTCTTAAAGGTTATGGTAGGATCGAAAATGTTCTTGGCCTCGTGGTGTAAACGTGCTTCGGTTCGGTGTACTTGGTCCCTAAAGATGTCGATCCTGGGGGGTGGTGCAGGTGGTGCCTTAACTCTAAGCCTCAATGAGATGGAGATGCGTAATGTAGAAAACGTTTCGAACCACTTAAAGATGACTGATGTATTTTTCGGAGCTTTGGGTTCAATTCATGCACCCCCAACGCACGACCTTCAAGGGTCACAGGCCTCCCACAACGCTCAGCCCTCCACCGACAATTCTCGTTCAATTTATACCCGAGACTGCCTGCCCCCCTCAAACACCGTTGAGCCTCCTTCATCTACACAAGTCTCCTTCTCAACTATCCAGGATGTCCTCCCTTGACCCAACGGCGGCTGTCAACCTCCTTGAACACCACTACCCACCATGAGCTGGCTACGCCCTCACAAAAAGTCAAACAGCACCGTCAGTGCATCGACAAACTCGTCTTACCCTCTTCAACAGACACAGAGTGGCCGGGCCTCGAGTAATGCGTCCAGGAGCGGGAGTTCGAGTCAGCAGAATCCAGCGACGTCCGTGTTGCACTACCAAGACCTTGGTCGTTTCCGGTTTTTGCAGGGCTCTACGAGCTCGGTTAGTACCCCGTTGTCAATGAGTGGGGGCTATACATACTCGAGTGAGGATGCCGAGACACAGTTACTCCGTATGGAACTCACCGGTAACTCGTCCATCAACGGCTCAAGAAAAGACTCCTTCGCCTCCGCTGGCACCGCCGCAACCGTTGGGACCAAGTCCAAATCCACCAACACCATGAAGATTGCTTTGAAGCTTTTCAAAGCCCGCTCCATGGCAAACCTCCGCAAAGGCTCCTCTTCTCCTAAGACACCGCGTCAACCCATTACGCCCAACACGCCTCGGGCGGACGTTCGCGAAATTGGGAGTCCGTCTTACTACCGTGATAGTACGCCGATTTTGATTGGTAACTCGCCTCTCGCTTCACCCCGAACTCGACCACCTCCGGGTGCGGTGTCGCCCACACCGGCGCATGGGCCGCTACCGTTGAGTCCCGCGAGTAGGATGAATGTGGAGAAGAAAGCGTCTATTCGTCAACGCCGAGCTACGGTCGCTACATCAACACACCTCACCATCTTCACCTCCTCCGAACCCCTGCCCTCCTCGTCCACCACATCCCTCCCCATGGCTACAGCACCCGCAGCGGCGGCGCCTGTTAGTATGCAACGCTTCCTCTCCCAATCCTCCCACGCCATAGGAGCCGGGTCGGTGTATGGTTTGCACCAACGGATTCCGTCGTTGCCTCCTGCGGTTATTCCAACGAGTCCGATGAGTTTTCAGGAGAGTTATAGTTTTATGGCTGCGCCACCCCTCAGGAAACTGAGTGTTCGTGAGCAGTTGGGGGACCCTGACACGGAGCCAGTGGACAGGTCTATGGCGGAGTTGAGTCCCCGTCCGGTTTTCAACCAAGACCCGTTTGGGATGTCAGCAAGCGCCAGCATGCGTCGCACGGCATCCGAACCTAGGCATGTGCAGACGAATTCGCCTCGCTCTCGACACATGCCCCAGCCCAAACCGTCTCCCATCGTGGAGGAGAGCATGGGCGCAATAGAGATGAAGATTACCGAGGCAGTTATTCTACGTGAACGCATCACCGCTCTCGAGGATGAGGTCCGCGCTCTCAAAGCCTTCGCAACCTCCACTTCTACTCGACCCGTGAACACTGCGGCCGATCGTGCGTCAATGCCATTTGGGACCTGGGCACGTTCCCGCGCAGCTTCAGCAGTCGGCGGCCTTCGTAATTTGAGTTTTGGCCATGTTATGACGCTGGAAAGGATGTGGGAGGAGTGCGGGACGGTACATTGCAATGGCGTTGCGCAGAACAGCAATTTTGGTGCGTCTTCATCTGTTAATTCTTTTGAGAGGGTGCCTAATATGAAGGTCGGGGCAGATGATAAGTACACGCTGGCCGCAATCCGGATCCAGAATGCTTGGCGTGGGTACAAAGTCCGGAGAATCGTGCGTGAATACCATCGTCAACACATGGCAGCGAGCGTGATCCAGGGATGTTGGAGGCGTCTGGGAAGCAGTGGGTTGCGGCTTCCGAGGGAGTCGACGAGGTATTCCCATCCCTTTATCCGCTCGATTGTCCCCTCCCGCGCTGTCTCCACACAACTCCTCGCGACTCAGCACAGGGTGGAGTCGAGTTTATCTACTATCGGGGGTACAAGCATGAACATGAGTATGGCCGACGAAACCACCACGCAACACCTTACGTCGTTGTACGCCATGCTCGCAACCGAAACCGCAATGCGCGTAAAACTCGAGGAGCGTGTGGCTGCGTTGACGGAGTTGGTGAGTGGGGTGCAGAGGAAGGGGAGTGAGAGCACGGTGGGATTGCCGACGCCGAAGGAGAGTCCGCAGAGGCCTGGGCGCGAGTCGGAACTTGTTACGGAGGTGGAAGTGGTGGGGACGGGGAAGGGTGTGGCGAATGGGGATGAGGAGGAAGGGTACGACGATGAGGGGTACAATCCGTTTGGGGATGGGTTGTTTAACGGGGACCTGGTTGCGATGAGTGGTGAGGAGGCATTGCAGTTGGGGTTGCATAACGGGGAGGTGTTTGGGCAGTTACCGTTTGGGATGTCGCATTGAAATTTGGAGATGCGTTTTCGCTTTCGGAAAGGGGTTTGAGTGTTATTTTATGACATAGGCGTTTTGCTACATTTTTAGGATCATCTGCGATTGAGGATAATCGAGTTCGAAGATCTATTGGGGTATCAAGAACCATAACACCAAGGAAACAGAAAACAAATGCAGGAAGCCACACACGCGAAGCAAGCCGTTCGCTAAAAATCATAGTCCTTACACACCCATCAGCCTGTATGTCCAGTTAGCAAATGCCCCGCAACTCATTTTCATGAACCTACCTCGACATACTCTCCTCCTCACCCTCAACCTCCTCCATCGCATCCATCTGCGAAATAATCCTCAAAACACTCTTTTTACTACTCTCCTGCATCTCTCCCGCAATAATCAACTCGTCCAAAATATAGTACGCTTTCTGGAAGTTGAAGATCAGGTCGAGTTCACAGACGTTACCAAAGTATCTATCCAAGACTTCAACGTAACGGTGAATAATTTCGAGCGTGATGAGTTCGTTATCGGTTGAGTCGATGCCGGTGATGAAGAATAGGGAGGCATATCTGTTCAGCCGTGGTTCGTTAGCCACACATCCTGTGGATGAAAGACTTTACCGAACCTTCTGTAGACAATCTTGGAATCCTTGTACTCAAGAAAGTTACACATCTTCGTACGTCTCGACAACACAAGTTGTGTGACATCTTTCACGATCTTTGCCTTGTCTTTTGTGGAGAGGGTCGTGAACCATTTTGCCAATCGGACCTTTCCCTGGCGGGAGACGAGGAGGACGTAGTTGATCTGTAGATATTGTCAGTATGACCAGCGTCAACTGCTCTTTCCGAAGAATACACACAGCCATCCTCAATTGCAATCGTCTTTGTTGTTCTCGTTGGAGTATGACGTTGGGTCTCGATCAGGGACTCGCAGCAGCTGGGGTGCAGCGAGCCGACACCCCACAAGTACTTGTCCAACTCAAAAAGTCATAATGGCAGTCGAGAGTACAAAGGCTCTGGCTCCGGAGTACCGCTCCATCATACTCTCCACCAGCAATGTCATGTGTCAAGCTTCTGCTGGTCTCCGAGGCGACGAGGTATGCTCCACTCCTCCTACAATGATCCCCGGCTGATATAGAGGGGATAGTTCTCGAGATCGTTGAGGACTACATTGAAGCAGCTCACAAAGGAGGAAGAGGATGTACCAGAGTATGCCATGGCGGATGAGACGACCCTCGTTGTACCACGGCAGCAACCGATCAAATTGGAGGCCGATCCATCCGAATACGAAATATCCGCAAAACTATTCCTCCTAACCTCAGAAAACACCCCAGAGCGCTCCACACACGTCCGCGCCGCTGTCGATACAGCCTTGCAAGCTTTAGGCGTCTCGAAGCTCAATCAGTTGGTAGTAGCATTCCCAGACATCACCTTCGACGCCGAAGACGATGCCTCGGATTTCAAGGATGAGGATGTGGAGGAGTGGATGCACGCATGGCGTCCAATGGAGGGCTTACAGAAGGGAGGAAAGGTTGATGCGTTGGGGGTTTCGGAGTTTGGGACGAAGCGGATACAGCGGTTCATGAAGGAAACAACCGTGAAGCCAAAAGTGGATCAACTCAATCTACGGGACTGCTGTGTCGTTCCGAAGAGTTTGATTATGTATGCGAAGGAGCAGGGCATTGATTTGTTGACTCACGGGGACTCTCCTCGGATTTTGTCGGAGGATACGTTGAAGGATATCCTGGATGAGTTCAAGTTGGAGCAAAGTGGACGAAGGGTGGTGCCACAGTGGGTCATCAAGTACGCCGCAGTCGTGAAATCCCGGGGAGTAGTTGAAACGAAGGGATATATTGCCTTTGCACAGGCCGAGTAGAAGTCTCTACATCTCAATCATGATAGATCTTTCCCAATCATCTGTGCATCTCCTGTTCCGTCCCCTCATTCTCACATCCTCCATCCTCTTCAAGAACCAACAGGTATTACCCTTCTTGTACGCCTCCCTATACCCGTCCGACACTCTCTCAAACTGCGCCTCGCGATTCGGATGCGTACTTGCGAACGCCCTTTCAAGCACATGTAAGGCAACAGCTTCAGGAGGTAGAGCATGTGGATAGGAGGGGTGGTTGATTCAAGCGACTGAGGCGCCTGTATGGTCAAGAATGAGATGGCGATCGTGTGGCTTGTTTGATCCTATACGAGCAGTGCGCTTTGGAGGGGAAGAAGAATGATGAAGACAAGCGTGGGAACCTGTTATTTCGTATCCTTTCACAGATGACGATGGTTGAAAGAGGGAATTGTTTAGTCAGCGTGTCCGAGTGGTTAAGGAGTAGCACTCGAAATGCTATGGTGTCTCGCCGCACAGGTTCGAATCCTGTCGCTGACGTCATTTATCCGCGTTTTGTGTTTTGGCGTCAGAGAAACGCTGCGGAAGACGTGTATCTCGTCTCTGACATAAAGCCCACCGTGCTGTGAAGGTCCGGAGGGGTAATTTGACCCTTCTTAAGGTGCAACAGGCGTGGGACTGCAAGCACGTACCGGAGCGCGATCGGATGACTATGGCTGTATTACGCGAATGGCATCGTATACGCCTCACTTTCGAAACGTCGCTGGCTTATAATTACCGGGTAGTTCAGCACATCTTCCCCTTCTATCCCCCTTCACACGTACAAACCCACAAAGTTATTGAAAATCGTCAATTGAAACCAGAAAGTATTAAACAAGTACAATGTCCCAAAACCCCGACGAGTTGCAGAATCGCAAATAAAAAACAAAGTAACGCCAGTACCGCCTCTCACGCGGCAACACCGGCCGTCGTCAAAAGAGTTATCCGCAGTTTCCGTAAGCATGTTTGCCACACACACCCATCCGTATCATCAACATCCAATAACCAGCCGCCGTCCACCCATCCACCGTTCGCGCACCACACTCCGTTATCCGTTTCGCTATCGTATCGCACGCCAGATACTTAAAGCTCCATATCCTCGATAAGGTCGTCTTCGTAGTAACCCCTGCTGTCCCACGCCGCGGGTCCATCATCAGGTGCCAACAACGGTGACGCACGGCTAACACTTCTCAGGTTGAGATAAAGCACCTATATAACCCGTTAGCTCGTCATCTCAAACATCGACACCGTTACAGTGAACATACCCTCTTCAATCCCTTATTGAAGAAAAAGTAACTTCTCGACCAAATCAACGCCTCCTCTCCAAACGGATCCGAATCGGCGTCCGGACGGAAGGAGTAGACGTCGCAGCCTTCCAATTCGATATGTTTGTCGATACACTCCCACATTGCGCCTGTGACTTCCGCTTTCCCGACGTTTCCGAGCAGGACGTCGACATTGCTCATGACGTGCTCGACTTTTCTCTCCTTCTTGAAGTCAAATGGCCTCAAACTTGAAAAGTCGTAGTCCGGGTGGGAAGCATTGAGGGTTGCTACCAGGTAAGCAAAAGTCTTGCGGGAGGACGGTTGGTCCAGTGGACCGAAGGGCGAGCGGATGATATGCTCGAAGGAGGAGGATGGGAGAGAGTGCTGCTGGCGAGGAGTATCAGGTGAAAGCGACATAGAAAGTTCCATCTCTTCCTGGTAGCGGTGCTCCAGTCTTGAGTCAAGCTGTTTGTACAACTTCTTGTCATGTCCAGCAGCCTGTCAAGAATTAGCTCACTCATCCCCCGAAAAGTATCGTATCGGCATACCTTCGTGGTGTACAACTCACACCGTCCCAATACCTGACAATCATGCGTATCAAACACCAACGCCCTATTCAATACTTCCAAATCACGTATCTCGAGGAACTGTGACACAAAGCATACGATCAGTCATCGGTTCACCGACCCTCTTAACCAACACTTGGGTCCGATCCGTGATCGGCGCGTGGAGTGAACGCGTGTGTGTGGGAAGGGGAAGTATTCACCTTCATGACGACGACGTTTACCCTTTCAATCCAGAGAGCAGAAAGAGTCCTAAATGGGGGTGGGAAGAGAGGTCCGTTACAGACTGGGGTGCGTAACCGTGCAGAAGGTCAGTGCTAATGCGAGATAATGTTGGTCGCGAGTCGCGTCGCGTATGTGTCGGTGAGGTCCTGAGTGGTCAGTCGCGTCGTCGCTGGCTGTTTCGCGTCCCGTTTGAGTGTTTGATGGGGGTGTATGCTGGTCGGATTGTTGTTCTTGGTGTTGGAGTTGCGAGATGAAGGGGTGGGCGCAGCAGCCTCCTTATGTGAGAATCGGTGGGTGACCAATCCAGAATGAGCGCGCGCCAAATCGGGAATCTAGCAGGACGCAAGACGTCACGCCGGCGGTCCGCGATGTTGGGCAAGATGATTTGGTAATCAGGAAGAGCTACATACTTCTCAGCTCTTTCTGTTCAAATAGGGGATACATTTCCATGTTTGACAAGGGTGTACCGGATTAGGCAATGATCGACACCACCAACCACCTACGTTACACGTACGACGACCCTGTAAACATCCTGGAACCCTTCATCCATAACGAACAACAATGAGCGACTACTCCGCCGTAGCAGGCGGTAGTTTAAAGTTGAAAGGCGGTGGAATCACAAAGAAAAAGAAGAAGACCAAGAAGACAATCCCACCAGTAGAGCGGGAGGACAGCAATGAACAACAATCACAAGAAGAGTCGGTAGCCTTAGGAAGTGAGGCCGGCTCCAGGTCAGCGCCGAAGAGAACGGAGGCGGAGTTGAAATTTGAGGAGATTCAGCGGCGACGGGTACCCTTTTCAGCTTCACGTCGTTTCAATACACACGGCTAACATGGTGGTACAGCTCGACAAGAAACTCGGCGAGAAAGCCCGGCAAACACACGCAGAACGCGTAGCAGAACTTAACGCCAAGCTTGACAGATTATCAGAACACAACGACATGCCAAAGGTGCGTTCATTCTATCTATCTATTGTAATGCCTCAGTGCGCTGACATAATACCTCAGATCGGCCCAGGGTGAAGGATAAACAGAGCGTGCGTAATGTTGGTGTGGGGGATAGCGAGACGACATGAGAGGGATAATAGTGAAACTGGTTCTATTACGATTCGGGAAAGATATCAAAAGAATAAACAAAAAACATTCCAAAACGCCGACACATGTCACATCACTCTCCTCTGTCTACATCCCCTTTTCGTCCTCTCTGCTTTGCAAATACTAATGTGGACAGCTTCAAGCCTGCACCTGCGGCGTAGTCTTCGGCAACGTATACTTCGCAAACGCTCTCGCCAAACTCTTCTTCACGCTCATCTTCTGCGCACTAATGAAACTCTCAACAGTAACCCTAATTGCTGCATCAATATCATCACTCGTAACATACGCTCTCAAGTGCATCTTTGCATGTGCCTCAGAAAGACGGATGACGGACTCGAGGTGACGAACGGTAATAGGGTAGGAACCTGTGGCGAGAGATTCCCTACGCATATCGCTGTAGAGACGGGAAATTTTGTCTTGATCCATTTGGTAGAGACGGGGTTGGATTGTTTCTTTGGCGTACATGATGTACTTCTTCAACAGATTCTGAGGAATGACATCGCCGGCATCGGTGGTGTTGCTTCTATTTTCGGCAGGAAGAGAACTACCATCGGCTTCCATGGTGAACTCGGGATGCGAACGCAAGTGAGAGCCGACGACGAAGCGGGCGAGCATGGAGTCGATCTCGGGGTCGACGGTGTCCTTGACGACACACAACACATCGAAACGGGACAAAATTGGCTCGGTCAACTCGACGTTCTGAGCGAACGGGATGGTAGCATTGTATCGTCCACCGATAGGGTTGGCAGCAGCCATGATCGTACAGCGAGCCTGGAGCGTAGTAACGATACCCGCCTTGGAGATGGAAATGGACTGTTGTTCCATAGCTTCGTGAATACTGCGCACCACGTTAGCATCTGTTATATAAACGCTTCTGCCAGGATTGACCTACGATACACGATCCTGATCGTTCATCTTGTCAAACTCATCAATCAAGCAAACACCCTTATCAGCCAACACCAACGCACCACCCTCAAGCGTCCACTCCCTCGTCAACGGATCCTTCCTCACGCTCGCCGTCAAACCAACCGCACTCGCACCCTGACCAGTGGTAAACACAGCCCGGTGTGCAGTCTTCTCGACGTATTTGAGGAACTGAGATTTTGCGGTTCCAGGGTCACCGAGGAGGAGGATGTTGATATCTCCACGGATCGAATGTTTTCCGCCGATGTCTTTGGGGACACCACCGAAGAGGGAGAGCGCGATTGCGGTTTTGATGTCGTTGTGGCCGTAGATTGAGGGTGCGATGGACTTGATGAGGCGTTGACCGATCTTGGGGTCCTTTGACAGCTTTTTGATGGCTTGCTTGTCTTCTTCGGTGAGGCGGAAAGCGGCGAATTGATCCTGCGCCTTCGAGATGTGGTTCGCCTCGATAATCGTCGCGAAGACGGGGAATCCGTTCTTCGTATTCAGTGAGGCGTCGAAGTTGTTCCTGTAGATACCGGTAACCTCGACCTCCTCACCGGGCTTCGCCTGATCAATCAAATCCCACAAAAGAATGATCTCCCTATGTCTTGGCAAACGTCCAGCTGGAACCGTCCCTGGAGATTCCTGAAGAGTCATCTTCTGGTAGTTCCTGTAGACCGTCTTCTCCGAGTTGACCGTAAACGGACCTTTGGACTGACAGTTCTGACAGTATCCGACCTTGATTTCTACATTTGCGTCTTGGTAGAAAGGACCGAGTACGGCACCACACTTAGCACAGTCAAACTTAACGTACTTGAGCTGGGGGAAGACACCCGTGCGGCGTGTCACGACACCAGAAACACGGACGAGAGAGTTTAGGTGCGACTGACGGAGTTCGCGGAGGGTGAACGAAGTCGGAAGATCAGACACGCGAACATGGATTTCAGAATGAATACGCTCGTATTCGGGGTAGAAGAGGAGGGTAGCCTCCAATGCGACGTTGTCGAAGATCTTAAGCATGTCCGCGGGCGAGTTAGCCAAGAAGTAAGCCAAAATAGATTTCGTTTGTGCGAGGTGGCGGTAGCTGATCTCGAGGGACTCCGAGTTCTGTTCACCGAGGGTCTTGATGCGGTTACCGTAGACGGATTCTCCGCCTTCATCGGTGTATTCGAGCAAGAAGTTCTTGAATTCGCGGGCGATAGAGCGAGCAACTGAATCGTTTGCGACCCAGTCGGAGATAGAGTCAGCTTTCACGTCGCCCAAAGCCTCGAGAGAGAGTTCCTCAGAGAGAAAGTCGTCGTCCATTCCGGCGTCGGGAAGCTCGTCGTAATGCCGTCTTCTACGGGGTTTCATCGAGAAGTCCGGCTCGTCATCCTCATCATCCAACAAGAATGCAGCAGGCTTCCGCGCACCACCCTGCTGCCTCGCAAGCTCCCGATCACGCTGCCTCAACCTGGCCTCAACCCTTCTCCTCTCTGCAAGTGACATCTCCTCAAGATCTTCATCATCACCTTCCTCGACTTCGTAGGTGTCGAGCTCGAGTCGTTGGTTGTAATCTCTGTCCATGTTGACGCCGAAGAGATCTTCGCCTTCCTCGTCGTCCTCGTCGGGCAGGTCCTCGACGTCGTCTTCGATGATGTCTTCCTCGCCTACTTCAGACATGGGGGGAGAAGACGGAAGAAGACCGCGAATTGGTGAAGAGGGAGCAACAACCGAAGTATCCTCGGGGAGGGGGAGGTCATCATCGAATTCATCGTGCGTGCGCTTCGACGCACCGTTGCGGCCAGACTATCAGATTTCGTTAGAAACGCGTTCGCAATCGGTTGATAAATATAATTCAAGGCGTACCATGATGTCGAGAAGGGATTTATGGAGGGGAGATGGAATTGGGGCCGAGGGTGTTGTTCGTGTTTTGGGCTCAGTTTAAGCTCAACCCAAACGGGAAGTCAAATTGGGAAGTCACGTGGATTTACCCCCCTCCCTACAGCGAACGCGTAAACACTACATTATCATCGACCTCCATTCAAACAGCATTCATCCGGCGTTCATTCAGGATAAGGATTTGTACGATGACCGAAGCAACCAGTATCACCGCCCAACAATACATCGAGGAACAGGCCCGGCTCGAAGCCGAAGCCCGTGAACTCATGCCCTTCAACTTCGACAACTGCTCCATCGTCCCCCTCCGCCAACCCATCTTCGCCTGCAAGACCTGTGACCCAATCGCTCCGCATACTCAACGTGGCGCGTGCTGCTATGCGTGTAGTATTCAGTGTCATGGTGATCATGAATTGATAGAACTGTTCGCGAAACGGGATTTTACGTGTGACTGTGGGACGGACAGGATGGGTGCGGAAGCGTGCAAACTGCGGAAGGAGCGGAGTAAGGTGAATGAGAAGAATATGTATAACCATAACTTCGAGGGCAGGTTTTGCTCGTGCGACGAGATCTATAATCCAGAAGAGGAAGAAGGGACGATGATCCAATGCTTGTTGTGCGAAGATTGGTATCATGAGAAGTGCTTGGGAGAGGTGCCGGATGCGGATGATTTCGAGCATATGATTTGTCGGGGATGTGTTCATGAGCACCAATGGCTGAAGAGGTATCATGGGCAGGAGGGGACAGTTCTGCCTGGGAAGGAGAAGGTGGTTGATGTTGAGGGGAACGGTGATGAATTCAAGCAGGAGACACAGGAAAAGGAAGGGGTCAAGGATGAGAAGATTGAGGTTGCGGAGGAGCCAGTCGCTTCGGAAACTGGCAAACGCAAGGCACCATCAGAGGACGAAGACGTACCAGCATCTGCCGAGATCAAGAAGGTCAAGACCGAAAACGACACGAACACAACCTGCATTTACGAAGGCCTGCCGCCTGCCCCTTCGGAATCCCTATCTCTCTTCTTGACGGATAACTTCCGGACCCACTTCTGCCGTTGCCCTTCCTGCATCTCCCGAACCCTCTCAGCTCACCCCGTCCTCCTCACGCCCGAAGAAACCTACGAACCCCCACTTGACGCCGATTCCGACACCGAATCAATCTACGACGCCGGCGCAAAAGCGCTTGGAAAGATGGATAGAGGAACGGCGCTGGATGGGTTGTTGGCGTATGGGAAGATGAAGAATGCGTTGACGGAGTTCTTGAGCCCGTTTGCGAGAGAAGGGAAAGTTGTTACGGAGGGAGATGTCAGAGCGTTCATGAATAAGTTAAAGAAGTAACCGTTTCCCATACGGGGATACATATAGGCATGGGGTTTTTTCGGATAGGGCTCGTGGGGAGGCGTTAGTATTTTATTTATTTGGTTAAGATTTTAACTCGCCACATTATTACTCTCGGCTTACAAACCGGCAACGATCGCCGCTTTCTATACCTCTCCGCAATTCGAACTGCGCGGTAACACAGACCCGATCCTTCGAGAAGCAACAAAACAGCAGCAACGATACCAGTCGATCCGTCCGTTTAACCTTATCATCCGTCAAAGCACATTCGTATACCTTGATAAATTACACAGAAATGGCCGCGACCGAGCCACGTTTGTCGCAACTACCATTCATCAACTGCAGCAACGACGACAAACCCGACGGATCAAAGTCCGAAGCTCAGCAGAGGAAACCGATCTCTGTTGCGATCCCGAAACACAAGGCGCATGGCATTCTGAATATTCCGTCGTCGCTCGTTACCCCGCCCGTATCACGAACAGCCTCCTCCTTCGACCTTCCCCATATCTCCCCGCCAAACAAACAATCCGCATCATCCAAAGCCGCACAAGCACATCTCCCGCCGCAGAAGTTACCACCGTTGCCGAATGTGACCTGTGTTGTCCGCGCGCGAATCCCGACAACGAGCGGTACGGAGATATTCCTCCATTTGTACCAGAATGATTCGGATAACAAGGAACATCTCGCCATCGTCTTCGGAAACCGGATCCGTTCGAGGAGCTTGGATGAGGTTAGGGAGGGTGAGACGGAGATGGATAGGATGATTCGAGGAGCGTATACGGGGAAACTGTACCCCGGGCGGACGTCGTCGACAGAAGAGCAAGAAGCGGCGGAGGCTGCGGCAAAGGAGGAAGAGAAGAGCGAGACACCGTTGGTGAGAATTCATAGTGAATGTTATACGGGTGAGACCGCATGGTCTGCACGCTGTGATTGTGGTGAGCAACTTGATGAGGCGGCGAGGTTGATGGGGTTGGAGGGGGAGGGAGTCATTGTATACCTGAGACAGGAAGGACGTGGTATTGGATTGTCCGAGAAGTTGAAGTGAGCTTCAGATATATTGCTTTTTCATGAGAAGTACTAACTGATGATCTCACAGGGCCTACAATCTCCAAGATCTCGGCAACGACACCGTTGAAGCGAATCTTTTGCTCCGTCATCCTGCTGATGCGAGAACATATGGCCTCGCGACGGCGATTCTGTGTGATCTGGATTGTAACCACGTCCGTCTACTCACCAACAACCCCGATAAAGTCGCGGCTGTGGAGGGACCGAACAAGGAGGTGGAGGTCGTGTCCCGTGTTGCGATGGTACCGAAACACTGGCGTGGTGAGGAAGGCGGAGTGAAGGGCAAGGAAGTTGGAGACTATCTGAGGACGAAGATAGAGAAGATGGGTCACATGCTTGGGATGCCTGAGCAGTAGGATGTGGGATCGACGCAGTTTTGGATTTTGGATATCTAAGATGGAAAAGGAAAGGGACTGATGTTACAGGATGTACGATATCGCTGGGATGTTTATTTCGTCTATTGTTAGGCATTGAGGTTAAGGCGTAAGCATAGGTAGAATGGAGTCGATAACTCGCATCCCTTTCTCCGTTGGTCTGAGGCTTCCTTCGCTGAAGTTGTAAGTCTTGCTGTATCCCATGTTCTTCACCGCCTTGTCGTCTTTGTCGTACTCCAGGAATCCTTCGTCAACGAATCTGTTCACCTCGTCTAGGTCGAGGAACTGGTCGAGTGTCAAGCCATTATTCATCCTCTCACGGAAGATCCGGGCAGATAGTCCGGTCTTCGTCCGTAGTCCACCGGCAAGCAGTTGCACAGCGTACTCCTCCTCAGTCAACTCATCCCGTGCAATAACACCAGTCCCCACATCTCTCACCTGCGCCTCCCACAACCGCGGACTAGGAATCGTCCTCGTACTAACCTTCCTCCTACTCTTCAGATCCGTAATCCGTCCATGCGCACCCGGCCCAATCCCAACCAAATCAGCGCCCATCCAGAATGAGTAGTTGTGAGCACCCCATCGACCTGGCTTAGCGAAACTGGATATCTCGTAGTGTTCTAACCCTGCGTCTCGCATGGCATCGACAGCGGCTTCGTACATGTCCGCCTTGGTGTCTTCGTCAGGGACCGTCACACGGCCTGCGCGAACGGCTTTTTTCAGGGGCGTGGATGGTTCGAGAGTTAGTTCGTACAGACTAAGATGTCCACCGTGTTGGGCAAAGGGCGTCGCAAGTTCGAGCTCCTTTGCCCAATCCTCGCGTGTTTGATTGGGCATGCCGAACATTAGATCAAAAGTGAATCCGTGCTTGAGCTGGTGTGGGGAGGATACGAGGCCTTCGAGCATGCGAATGGCTTGCTCGGAGGTATGCTCGCGGTTCATGGAGCGGAGGGTTTCTGTGGATGCGAGTGATTGTACACCGATGCTGAGGCGGGTTATACCATGATTGGTAAGGGCCTTGAGGTCGGGCAAGGACGTCGGATTTGCCTCGAGTGTGATTTCCGCGTCTGGTAGGATGTTGCACCCGTTTTTTTCTAGTGTTTCGAGGATCGAGGGAACAAAGGTCGGTGGTGCCAGACTGGGAGTGCCACCTGAAAACATGTTAGGACTCGAGACACCAGAAGCGAAAAAGAAGGCACTCACCGCCGAAGTACACACTCCGTATATTTCTACCTAGATAGCCTTGTGCAAGTGAATGCTCCAGCTCTTTTACATATGCTTTAACAAGTGCATCCGACTCGACGTCGGCCTTGGCCAAGGGATACTTGTTGAAAGCACAAAACGTGCATATTGTCGAACAATACGGATAGTGCACGTATATTGAGAGAGGCTCAGTCGCCACAGCGGTGCCAATTTGAGTGGAGTATGAACGGCTATCCCATAACTGTCGTCGCAGAGACCGGCTTTGCGAGACGATGTAGTTGCTCAGTCCATGACGAAAAGGGAGCGGACGAAGCGAGCGTCTAATGAAACAAGCCAGCGTTGTACCCAATGCACTTGAATGTGCTGTTCTGAGTATCACCTCCGACGAAAGTCGAAGGTCAAAAGTCGAGGTCAAATTCGGTGCCCCTGCAACGTTGACAGTTCAGGGCCGGGAACACCACCGAACTGGGAAAGCCGTCACCGAACACCATTGGAAGTCAATTGCATTCCAAGGATGGCCGATAAGCAAGAGAAGCTTGCCGCCGCCCGTAAGAAGGTGAAATGCTCGTGTAACTCAAGTCAAATTGGCGTGCTGACCATTTCACAGTACGAGAAACTCAAGAAACAGAAGGGCGCAAAAGGTGCGGCCAAGGCGGAGGCTGATACCCCGAAGGAGGATGTTAAGCCTGAATCTTCTGAGGATGTCACAGAGGTCGAGGCTGAAGTGAAGAAGGAGGAGGAGAAGGACGGTGCTGAGGCCGAGGAGATCGCTGGGGACGCGACGGAGCTGCCAAAACCTGCTGAGGAGCGTACACAACCAAGCCCACCACCATCCACCATTGAGACGAAGGAGGATAAATCAGAGGATGTATCTCCATCATCGCCAACGGAGGCTGCGCGTATCCAAGGCCTGGAGAAGGAATTGGAGGAAATGAAAGACACGAACGAGAAGCTCATGCACGACCTCGCAAGCGCCAAGAATGAAGTTCAGGAGAAGCGATCGGCAATGGACGAGGTCTCAGCACAGGCTCAAGAGGACAAGAAGAAGGCGGATATGTTGGAAGCGGAGTTGGCGAGTGTGAAGCAGAAGGCTGACGAAGTTCAGGCTGTTCTGGATCGGAAGAGGAAGCAGCTTGATAAACGGGATGAGGATATTGCTGATATGGCTACTTCTCATGCAAAGGATGTTGATAACTTCAAGAAGACTATTGCGGAGAAGGAGAAGGAGGTGGAGGATGCCAAAAAGTCCGGTTCCGATTCCTCCAAGGAGATTGACACCCTGAAAAAGACTATCACAGAGAAGGACAACGAGATCGAAGCATCAGAGAAGTCTCAATTGGAAGCGTCCAAAGAAGTGGATTCGCTAAAGAAAGCCGCCGCGGCCCACGAGAAAGAGCACAAGACCACTCAAGACCGCTTAGCGAAGCTTGAGCAAGAGAACAAGAAGTTGAAGCAAGAGGCTGACGAAGCCCATAAAAGCCTGGAGGAAAAGGTTGTCGAATTCGAGAAGACGGTGGAGGAGAACGGACAGACGTTGTCAAGCTTGACGAAGGAGCTGGAGGATATGAAAGCGAAGTTCAGAAAAGCTATTGAAGAGAAGGATGGTGCTGGGAAGAAAGCCGAGGAGCAGAGCGAAGAGGTGACGAAGCTTACAGATGAGTTGGCGAAGAAGGATGAGGAGATCAAGGGTCTGCGGTCAGAGACCGAGGCGGGTGAGAAGGCTCAGAAAGAGATTGACGAGTTGAAGGAGCAGTTGAAGCAGAAGGATGCGGAGAGGGAAGGCGCTTTGGCATCCGCTAAGACAGACAACGAGAAGGCGCTCGCCTCGCTCGAGACTCAAATCGCTGAGTTGAAGTCTCAGTTTACTGACCAGGACTCGCTTACATCCGAGATCAAGACTCTCAAGGCAGATGCTGACAAGAGCAAGAAAAATATCGAGGAGCTGCAAGCGAAGCTGAAACAGGTTCAAGAGCTGGAGAAGACAATAAAGAAGAAGGACGAGCAGATCGAGCAGATGCAACTTGACTTGTCCAAGCTGCAGTCGGAGACCGCATCATCCAAGGGGTCGTCCGCCGAGGCGGAAGACCTGAAGAAGAAGGTCGACGAGCACAAGGAGAAGCTCGAGAAAGCCGTCAAGGGCCTCGAAGAGGCTCAGTCTAAGATTTCCTCTCTCGAGGCCGATCTCAAGGCCAAGACTGAATCTGGGTCGTCCATTGTCTCTGACCTCAATGCACTCCGTTCTTCCCACGAGACGTTGCAGTCTCAGCACGCCGAGCTCGAGTCATCCCTCAAGGACCTTCAATCCAAGTACGAGACCCTGCAGGGCAAGCACTCCCAATCCCACGACCGGACCCAAGAAGCCGTCGCGCAGAAGACCGCTCTCCAATCCGAGAATCAGGGTTTGCTTGCTCAATTGTCCGAGTTGAAGGCTAAGGTTGAAAACCTCGGAAATGAGAGGGCCACCCTGGAAGAACAGCTCTCTCGTGCAAAGGAGCAACTCGCCTCCGCATCCACTCCTAAGCAATCCCGGGCATCCGAGGAATCCGTTACCGCGGACCCAGCCCTCGCTCAACTCGAGCGCCATCACGTCGGTAAGCTCGAGAGACGGGTGACCGAACTGGAAGGCGCACTCCACGAAGAGAGAACACGGAGCTCAGCGTATGCACAAACCCCTACATTGAGTTCCTTCTCGCAGACACCAAATCCCGATGAGACGATCGAGCAGCAAAGGGAGAAGTTGAGACAGCAGATGATTGCGGTACGGTTGGATTTGACACAGATTGGGGGATGCATTGCATGTACTGGGCCGGTTTACGACGTATGATCATGAGTCTATGACGTACGGATGGGACAGTCTTGGACGATAAAGGAGTAGGAGTCGTGTTTGAATGATTTCATAATTTGTGTGGGTGGATTGATATCCCATAGCAATACCTTAAAAGAATCCCCCCAAAACCCCCGAACGCCAATAATGACAAAAGTAGACCCAGCTATAGCATAACAGTAATCCCTAATACCCATCCGCAATCCCTATCGTGTATCCAATTCCTTCCTCAGTGCAATCCGTTCCCGCAGCTCATTGGTTGTCCCTTCAAATTCTACTCAGAACTGACAAAGTCCTCCACCCTCTCCAGAATAATCCCAATGCCCTGCCATCCCAAAACTCGGTCTCCTCTTCCCAATAACACCATTACTAGGCGGCTGAGGCTTCGTCTGCGTGAAATCCGCGATATGCGCTTTCTGATCCGCTCTCGCCAATGCCGCCAATTTGAATGGCTTCGGTTGTTCCATACTCAAATCAACCTTATCTTTCCACCCACCCACGAGGACCTCCCCGGTTTCGTCACGTGCCTGTTTGAGGAAAGGGATGAGACTGGTACCGCCAGTTCCACGGAATTCTTTCTTGTCGGCTGATTGGGTTTTCGCGAGACCGGTTGTTTGGGTGGCTTTTGGTGGTGATTGGTTTTGGCCTTTTGCTTGGATGATGATATAGCGCGACACAATCTGGATATGCTTGTCCCTGAACGAACGGAGCATTGCGAGACACGCATCATAGGCTTGTGCGACTTCGGGGTGCGATTGAGAGTGTTGTTGGACGTAGGGACGGATGTTTGCGACGGTGGAGAGGTGAGCGAGGAAGCGGCGGTGGGGGCCGGGCATGTAGTTTCGCATTTCATGGATAAAGTTGTGTTTAGGCGGGGGTGCTTGTCCAGGCGGTGACGGCTGTCTCGGGGTGTCTTTCTTCTCTCCAGTCGGTCTGTGTTCAACACCCAGTGCAATATCGAGGGCGTGGATGAGCGCAGATTGAGCGGCGGATCCACCGGCGTATTTGCGGTAATGGTTTTCTTCGTCGCAGCCTTCGTAAATGACACCGTTCGGGAGACCTGCTTCGGCCATGTTGTTCCAGCCTGCGAGGTACGGGCGGACTTTCCAGTAGAAGACGTATGGGTCGCATTTTTCGTACATGCGTGCTAGGGCGTCATTGAGTCCGTCCAGCTGAACGGCGAGTGTGCGCAGGTTGTCGACGAAACGCACTTTATCATCCTCCCGTGCGGCCTGCATCGCGTCCAACAGCAAAGGCATACACGGCCCGCCGCGGGCCTCGATGGCTGTGGTGATGAGGTAGAACCAGGATTCGTCCATCGCTCCCGAAAAGGTGTGGAAGGTCGCGAGGTTCTCGAGGTCGAGGGGTTCGTCGAAGAAGAGGGGTTTGTAATTCCAGAGGCAGACGGCGGCGTGGCAGACGACGGGTCGTACCTCGAGGGCGTTGGCGACTTGGACCCAGGGTACGGCTAGTTGTCGGGGTAGACGTTCCATGGGTTGTGCACCACCCCAAACGTATCCATGCGCAATGAAACACAGAACAACGAACGCACGGCGGAGGTCCCTTACGTTATGCAGATACTCTGTCGACAGCTCAGGCAAGGCGTGGACGACCTCCCGCAGACGTCCAGCGAGGAGGTACCCGTTGTAACTATCCATAATCCGCTCCCATGGCTCGTAGTATGGATCTGTCAAGCGTGCGAGAGGCGCGGAGGCGGGGAGGAAGCCGGTTTCGGGTGAGAGGCCGTAGTCGGCGAGATCTGGGATCGAAGGGATCATGGTTGAAGGTTGCCGTCCCAGACGTGATGATGTAGGTGTACCGGTGAGTGCTGTGAGGCTTGGCAACCTGTCGGTGTCGAAGAGTAGTACTGGAAGGTGTTTGCTGTCGAAAAGACGAGAACGGAAAGAGATTTCTTAGAGAAGAGAAGGTTGAAAGAGGGGTCTCTTGATATATACGGGAAGCTGAATGAACCCCGCTCGCCGCCGACTCTTACTAAAATTCGAGATGCGCTTCGCCGATTAGCCGCCCTCCAAACGCGCCGCTGGCACGGAATAAGAGTGGCGAAAAGAGTCACCGGGGTCGTCTGGTATTGGCGAGCATCTAGACAACAGACGCTCAGACGGGCAAAGGGACGGATCATGTACCCGATCACTCGAAGACGGCCCGGGCTGGGTGCGCCGTTCACACGCTAGGTGCACTACAAATCTTCACCGTTCTTCTCCCCTCAGCGGGAGTTGCACCGACGTCTTGCAACGACCATCATCAACAACCATTGACAGCGACAACAAGTAAAAGGTACAGTATGACTCCCTCCGCTTCCGCTCCTCCGCACACAACGAAGCAGCAGCTGGGTGCGAATTGCCATGGCCAACCTGATGAGAAACCTAAGACAATTTGCACGTCAGTCCGAGAACTACGAATGTGGACTCAAATATACCCAAATTTCTGAACAATTAATTACATGGCAATTCGCTCTGGCCGCTGGTTGTCGACGAAGGAGCAACGTTTCAAAGTGCAAGGAAACAGTGCTAACATATCTCTTCTTAGATCCTCCTCTCCCTCATGTTTGTCGTCCGTGCGTCTAAGATAGTTATTGTGAATAACAAAAGTTTACCCTTGAATTATCCTCTCCTACTTTTACTCCCTACGCTTAAGGGTCCCTCCATGCTCCCTCCCGGATTAAAGTTTACCCCCTCATACAGCATGATACCGGTATGGAGGATAAGGTCAAGCCACTTCCACCGAGTCAGTTCCACCGAGTCAGTTCAAACCAAGCAGGAAAAACCGACAGAGTTTCCAATTGCGAATGTAAACCTCTTCCATCTCCTTGTCAACGATGCTGCTTCTTCAATCGACAATGAGGTTCACCCCGAGGCCGTCCGCGGCTGTCATCAGCACCGGTCGCACGCTCGTACGCAGACAGTATGCTTCCACCTCAACGGTTCGTGCACCCCTTCCCCGCCGTCTCGCAAACCATCCTCTAACACTTTCTCACAGGAAACTCTGAAGAAGACACCCCTCTACTCTCTCCACCAAGCCCACCAAGCCCAGCTGGTTCCCTTCGCAGACCACCTCCTCCCCCTCCACTACCCATCCCAATCCATCTCCGACTCTCACCGCTGGGTTCGCACCCATGCCGGGCTGTTCGATGTATCGCACATGGTTCAACACCGTTTCAGCGGGCCCCAGGTGGAAGGGTTTTTGGAGAGGTTGACGCCGGCGGCGGTCAAGGGGTTGAAGGAGGGTGAGGGGGTGTTGAGTGTGTTGATGAATGAGCAGGGCGGGATTCTGGATGATTTGGTCGTGTCGAAGAGGGATGCGGGGGAGTTTTATGTCGTTACGAATGGAGCCACTCGAGAGAAAGACCTCGCCCATATCAAAGAACAACTCGACATCTTCGGAAGCAGCGGGGTAGAGCACGAGGTTTACGAGGAACAAGGCCTGATCGCCCTCCAAGGCCCCTCCGCCGCCGCAATCCTCGCGAAACACACGACCCACCCCCTCCACACCCTCAAATTCGGCCACTCCGCCCACATCCCCATCAACGGCCACGGCCATATCTCCATCGCCCGCGGCGGCTACACCGGCGAAGACGGTTTCGAGCTCTCCATCCCCGCCTCCCAATGCGTCGCCATCACCGAATCTTTCTTGGACAGTTCACCCGATGAACTGAGACTCGCGGGATTAGCGGCTCGAGACTCGTTGAGGTTGGAGGCGGGGATGTGTCTTTATGGACATGATTTGGATGAGACGATCACGCCGGTTGAGGCTGGGTTGGGGTGGGTTGTCGACAAAACACGCGATAATTTCTTAGGTGCGGAGACTGTTCTCGCTCAGTTGAAGGATAGGAATTTGGCGACGAAGAGGAGGGTTGGACTTATTGTTGAGGGTGCCCCGGGGAGGGAGGGTGCGGAGATCTATGAGACGGGACAGGACGAGCCAATTGGGAGGGTGACGTCAGGCTGCCCATCACCGTCGTTGGAGAAGTTTATTGCGATGGGGTATGTCAAGACCGGATGCCAGAAGATCGGGACAGAGTTGTTCGTGAAGGTGAGAGGCAAGATGAGGCCGGCAAAGGTTACGAAGATGCCTTTCGTGCCGACGAAGTACTTCAAGTAGCTGTATGATAACGTATACCCGTGAATATACCCGTGTGAATCAAAACATGATATATTCTTTAACCTACCCAATATCGTAACCCACAGCCCGCGTGGGCGTCTATGTCCCCCTAGGCCCCAACTTCTCCAACGCCCTCGCACCTTCCTCAGCCCACTCTTGTCTCGAAATCCACATCTGATCATTATTCGCCAAAATCTTCGCCAACACCGCACCCCCAAGGAACACCATATGCCTCCGTCTCGGCGGGTCCTCGATCCTAACCTTAAACTTATTAAGCCTCGTGGGATCACCATGCAAAACGCGGGTAAGCCACAGCTGCTTGAGTTCCTTCTCGAGACGAGATGGGAGACCAGGGTACATCGACGAACCACCGGAGAGCACGACAGCTTTGTAGAGGGAGGAGCGGATATCGACGTCGGCGGCTTGAATGGTGTCGAAGAGGAGTTCGGCCATACCGGGTTGTTCGACGTCGACGAGGTGAGGCTGGAAGAGACATTCGGCTGCTTCGAAGCGTTCTGAGCCGACCTTGATGACACGGCCGTCGGGAAGTTGATATGATTCGACGAGGGTGGTAGTTTCTTCGGCTAGGCGGTTGTCGAGTTCGAGGTCGTAGCTGTGGAGCGGTTTGTTAGCGATTGAGGCAAATGCCAGCAGAACCAAACCAACCTAACGTAACACAACTTCTCCTTGATCTGTCTCACGGTCTCGAAGTCCGCGGTACGGTTGAACGCGTACCCCCTTCTCAGCAACAACTTGATAAGCTGCCTCGTAACATCCCGTCCCGCAACATCCAAACGCCTCGTCAAGTGGTTCAACACGACACTTTCGTACACAGGTACGATATGCGTAACACCATCTCCGGAATCAACAACGACACCCGAGCTCAGACCTTGTGCGTACAGTGACAGGACGGCCTGGATAGCGATGTAGACACCGTCGAAACCGTATGTCTCGAACATTGTTTCACACATCTTTTCTCTGTTGGAGCGGGGGTTCATCGGGGGTTCTGTAAGGAGAATCTTTCGTCCGTTCGTGTCGACTTGGAGCTTCTCGTTAAAGGTGTAATCCCAAAGGTGCTGCATATCCGTCCAATTTCTGACGATACCGTTCTCCATCTGTACGTTACCGAGTCAGTTACTGAAGGCCAAGTCGAAACTCCTACATACCGGGTAAGAAATCTGCAACATCGTCCTCACAGCCGCTGCCTCATCTCCAACCATGATATCCTTGATCTGAAGATTCCCAGACCGCTCCTCGGCTCGCAAGATTGGTCGTCCGACGATCGATGGAAAGACATGATCGGGGAAGTTGGAGCCGGCGAAACCGGCCTTGACGAAACCGGTACCGTTGTCGACGACTGTAGAGGGCTGTTAGAAAACATCCAAAGAGCAATCATTCAGCCTCCTACCGAGCGGCGCGTCAGACATGCTGCTGTGTATGCCTTAGTTGATTGAAAAGGGGTATTGAAAGGGATAGAAAGGATCAATTGAGGGTTGTTTCGCCGGTTGTTGGATGACCCGTTGGCTGCTCAGTGCTGGTCGTTCCTGGAGTGCGGGATGCCGAGCGTCATCGGGAGTGGTCAACGCACCGGTTACCCTGAGAAAGTACGACAAAGGTAAACAGAACCAAAAATATGTCGGACCCGTATGCACCGCTGTTGCAGTCTTGTTTGTCTGCCTGATCTGATGAAATGTTTTGAAAACTGATGACGTGTCGGTAGTGACGCGACTGCAGTCGGAGGTCTCGACTCTTCAGCAACGACACCAGATGGTTCGTGAGCAGAATGACAAACTGGTGCGGACAGGGATCGAGATGGAGCAAGCTTTGTTGCCTTACGAAAAGGGGTTGAAAATACAGGAGGAAGAGAAGATGGCTCTGGAGGCGCAGAATAGTCGTGATAATGGGGATGTCAGCATGTCTGGCACGCAGTGATGTTGGTTGGACGGGGAGCAAGGACGAGGACGCAGGCTCGCGAGGTGATATCAGGAGTTTCCCATTTGAGTATACCCCAATTGAACGTCTTCAATCTACCCAACCTCATCATCCGGATGAACATCCTCCTCCCCGGCTACCGCCGGTAACGCCGACAAAAAGTAATCCTGAATGTACTTCATCACATCAACACCCTCCCACGCACCCCCGGCAGCTACACCCGTACTTGCTTCCGTCTCCTTCATGATCTCCCGTAACCTCTCCTCCTTCCCTTTGATCACTGCTTGGACCTTTGCTGTCAACACCCTCATCCGTTCCAGTTCTTTCGCGACAGCACCGTCACGTGTCACGAGATTTGGCTGTACATTTTCTTTTGGAGAGGTGAAGGCTTGAAGTTGACGGTGGAGTTGGAGGTAGTGTGCGTGTTTCTGGCGAAGGGAGGTGAGTGCGGAGGTCAGTGACGTTAACGTTGCGATATGTGTCGAATACCTGTACATTCCCAGTGTCAGTCAAACTTCCAGTAGCAATTGGAAAATCTCAAGCTTGAGAAACGCACGCTTCCTGTAATCTCTCTGTCTCCTCCTGCGTCCCACTCCCCAATGGCCACTCATCCGGTAACCCTTGCACAATACTAGACATCCACAACCATCAGCGCACATTCCACAGAAACATTTACGAGCACATACTCAGCATCCATCAACTCCCTCACACTAACATCCATCCCACTCTCTCCCTCAACCCCACTCGTCCCATTGTCCCGACACAACTCATCAATCTGCTCAGCAACATGTCGTACAGCCTGTGTACTGTGTATCACGCGTTCGTGTCGTCGTGTCGCGACATTGACTGTGCGAACACGCTCGTTAGCAAATGGAGGATAAACGCTGCGGAAGGGAATTCGCACGTTTGTAGATTGCTGCCGAGATGGCGTGGTCGCTGATGTCGTGTTCGGGTGGTATTTGGCGGTTGCGGAGGGTGGTGGGGGGTTGGATTGAGTGTTGAAGGAGACGGAGTTGGGATTCTATAAATGCTTTCTTGTGATCATATATGTCCATCTTGACCAGGAAAATCGGGCCGTCCGTCAGCTGGTGTATTGTTTTGTTCAACGCTACAAGCGCGAGGAACCGTCTGGGGTCGCAAGGTTCGCGTGCACGCAGCGGACCGCGTTGAGATATTACTGTTTAGATTACCAGACCTAACCATAGAAAAACCAAAAGAACACCCAAGAATTACCCAAAGAAAGCAGTACTTTTTCCTTCCGGGTATACATATATCACCCACCATGCCCTCACTCCTCCTCCTCAAAAAACAACAGACTACATCATCAACAGCCTTGTCCTCCTCTTCATTCCCCTACCTGAGGTAGGCACCCCCAACCCACCCTCATTCTGCTGCCCCATCCTCTCCATCGTCAACGCTGCATGCCTCTCGCACCACACCCGCCCCCCAACCTCAAAGTACTCCTCCCCCAACCCCACCCCACACCCATAACACCTAAAACACCCCGGATGATGCCGTTCCCCCGACTCTCTTTGCAAACACGCTCCCTCAATCCCCATATCACACGTATGACACAAACTCCGATTCGCCTTATGGTAGTGTCGTGCGCACATTGGTTTATCGTCGTGAATGTAAAAGGTTGAGGACGGGAAGGGACGGCGGCAGGTGTGGCACGTAAAGCAGGATTTGTGGTATTTTCCGGTGAGTTTTTGGTCTGGGTCGCGGATTGCGCGGCCTGTGATGGGGAGGGAGCAGGCGCGGCAGGTGGAGGGTTGGGAGGGGGAGCGGGTCATTGTTGGTGCTGGGGTTGTTTGGGATTTGTTGATGCGGGTGGGTGGGGGTGGAGTTGTCGGTAGTGGTGGGGCGGGTGTCGTGGATCTGAATTCTGCACACTCCACTGTCGGGGTCGGTTCGAACTCCCGTAGACTCCTCTCGAGGTCATCCAGCAACCCGTCAAACACCCCCACCACCTTCTCCAACTCCTCCTTCTTCATCGACGGAGGCCGGTCGCGGTTGTGGTTGTAGTTATGGCTGTTGTACGCAAGCGACACCTCCGACGCACTCGTACTCAAACTCCCCCTCGACTCATCCCTCAATAAACTCGAACCGTAGCTTCCTTGACTGAGCTCACTTGCCAAACTCTCAGTTCGTCGATGTTCCTCCCTCTCAACCTCACTAGGCCTCCTAGGTCTCGGGGGTGGGCTCTTCACGACTCCACCAGGGGGCGTGGTCAACCCATCACGTTCGCGATCACGCTTCGCCCACTCGAGGAACTTCTTATCCCCAATAACACTCGCGGAAGGCGAGAAACGGTGCTGCCTGAGCACTTGTTTCCCGTCCCCACCATCTGTACCACTCGTAAACGTCTTCGACCTCCGCGGCGAGTTCCCATGCGTAGGCGACAGTGGCGGGCGAACCTGCGCGTCATCACTGATAGAAACGCCCTCCATCACGCGACGGACTTGCTCATCACTCGGTCTCTTGGGTCTCAGTGGCCGTTGCGGGGCCCCAGTTGAAGCTGTTGTGGATGATATTGAAGCCATCCCCGGACTCCTCGACATCCCAGACCCCGTCGAAGATGTGGAAGGAGGTGGTGATAAGGGTGACCGAACCGGTGAGCGGGGACCAGCCCCGACCGCGAAAGGACCCGGTGCGATGGTTTCCATGCGTGCCATGAGTCTACTCTTCCCCTGGCTTTGTAAACTCACATCCGGCAATGACTGTGATGGTGATAGTCCCATTGCCAGACCAGCAGTCGAGGGGCTGGGGCTTGGCGAGCCGAATGTTGAGGAGGAAGTGCTTGGCGTTAAGTGATGTGAATAATGTGGCCGATGCGCCGCGTACGAGTTGTTCGCGATACCTGGGTCGATGGGTTGGAGGTTTGGCTTTGAGTGCGGGGGTGAGAAGCGTTTGTAGAGGTCTGTTGGGTCTGAGGCGGAGGTTGGGAGTTGGAGGTGGGTTGGTCTTTCCGTGGCATCTGTATGCGATGATGTTGGCCATCAAAAGGAGATGAAGAGAGGGAGGGGACACGTACGTGATGGACCGCAGACGTGGTCACCGAGTTGGGAGGGACGGACGCCCTGTCCGCAGTTTGAACATTTGATCAAGGGGATCACAGTTGACATGCGTGGATCCATTGCGCTTGCGATTGCTCCTTCAGAACGATTTGTAGTTGACGACCGGCGTCAAATGTGATGATGGTAGTAGACAATGAACGTCAACGACTTGCGGTCAAAGTCGGAAAGTGCGGTGCCGGGGCGAGTGCGAGTGCGAGAAAGCGGCCTGAACGCGATCAAGCTGAAACTGGCGACGTGTGACAAAGAGAGCCGAATGAGCACAAACACGTCAGACGTCAGACGTGCAAGTTGCTGCAGATAGATGGAAGAGAGAGTGAAGGGGTACCGGTAGGGGGGGGCCAGTCGGGCGAGGTGACGGGCTGTGCGCAGTTCTTGGCCGGGGTACACCTGGGCAGCACACGTTTCCGGGTTAGGCGCATTGGGGAGACGCGACGAGAAGAATTCCATGCGCGTTGACCCCTGCCACGCGAGACAGCTATGTGCTCTGGGCAGTCGGTGAGTACATGATCGAAAGCTGTTCTATTACGCTCCACCGACCTTCTACACGGGGCATCGCACGCATCCACTCCAGTCTGTCGGAAGTTGCGCTGTACCCGGGGAGCTGAATCCCTCGGGGCCAGGAAGGTCCAAGCCCCCGCAATCCACCATTGCACGCTAGCCTAGACGTAATTGGAAATCAACCGCAACTGCTACCCCTTACCCTCGAACGTCTATAAGAACCTCCCGTCTCCCACTCCCCGTCCGATTCCCCACTTTGCAGTCCTCCCTTCAGTGAAACAACTCAACCGTCCGAAACCTCGGGCGATTAGTCAAAACGTTCTCCAACAGCCTCTACAGCTCGCACAACCAACACCGGGGAAGTGCTCGCGTCACAGCCCCTGAAGCTCCGAAAACAAAGTAAATCAATTCAATCAAGAATTTCATTTACTTGCACATCTCTCAACATGGCTCCTCACGGTCTCACTGAGTCCGCTCCCGCTTCTGCTTCTGCTCCTTCCTCCGGTGTTGGTTCTGCTCCTCGCGGATCTTGCGTCAAGGTTGTCTCTGACACTTGCTCTTACGAACCTGATCACATTTTGTCGTCCTACACTTACGAGAACGGTACGTTTGTCCATTTAACATGCATTTATCTGGGATAAATGCTGATTTTGGCCGCATACAGCCCGCGTCGAAACCACCGACGATGGCGAGTTCGTCGTCCACCCCACCAAGTCCGCTTTCACCTTCAAGACCTCCACCGAGGTTCCCAAGACTGGTCTCATGATCGTCGGCTGGGGTGGTAACAACGGTTCCACCTTGACCGCGACCATCGCCGCCAACAAGAATAACGTTACCTGGTCTACCCGCCGCGGTCTCCAAAAGTCCAACTACTACGGCTCTGTCACTCAGTCTTCCACCGTCAAGCTCGGTATCGATGCTAAGGGTAGGGATGTTTACGCTCCTTTCGGTCGCGTTTTGCCCATGGTTCACCCTAACGACCTCGTCTTGGGTGGATGGGACATTAACGATGCCAACATTGGCGACGCTATGGAGCGCTCCAAGGTCCTCGACTACGATCTTCAGCAGAAGGTCAAGGAGGAGCTCAAGGCGTACAAGCCCCTCCCCTCCATCTACTACCCCGACTTCATCGCCGCCAACCAGGGTGAGCGTGCCAACAACTTGAAGCAGGGTATGGACAAGTGGCAGCACGTCCTCGAGATCCAGAAGGACATCCGCGAGTTCAAGGAGAAGAATGGATTGGACAAAGTTTTCGTTATGTGGTCTGCCAACACGGAGCGTTACGCTGAGATCATTCCCGGCGTCAACGACACTGCTGACAACCTCCTCAAGTCTATCAAGGAGTCTCACTCCGAGGTTGCTCCTTCTACTGTCTTCGCTGTTGCCTGTATCTTGATGGGTGTTGTCTTCATCAACGGTGCTCCCCAGAACACCTTTGTCCCCGGTGCCCTCGAGCTCGCTGAGCGTGAGAAGGTCTTCATCGGTGGTGACGACTTCAAGTCCGGTCAGACCAAGATCAAGTCCGTCCTCGCCCAGTTCCTCGTCGACGCCGGTATCAAGCCCCTCTCCATCGTCTCCTACAACCACCTCGGTAACAACGACGGCTACAACCTCTCCGCCCCCCAGCAGTTCCGCTCCAAGGAGATCTCCAAGTCTTCGGTTGTTGACGACGTCATTGCCTCCAACCAGATCTTGTTCAACAAGGAGGTCGGAGACAAGGTCGATCACTGTATCGTGATCAAGTACGTCCCTGCCGTCGGTGACAACAAAGTCGCCATGGACGAGTACCACTCAGAACTCATGATGGGCGGACGTAACAACATCGCCATCCACACCGTCTGCGAGGACTCCATCCTCGCTGCTCCCCTCATCATCGACCTTGTCGTTGTCGCTGAACTCTTTGGCCGTGTTCAGTTCAAGAGGGAAGGAAGTGATGAGTGGGAGGGTTTCCACTCTGTGTTGAGTGTGTTGAGTTACTGGTTGAAGGCGCCTATCCACCGCAGGGGTGAGGAGCCGATCAACGGATTGAACAAGCAGAGGATGGCATTGGAGAACTTGTTCCGTGCGTTCCTTGGTATGGGGCCGAACAACGAGATGAGGCTTGAGTCTCGTATGGCTTAAGTGGTCGTCTCCATGGTCTCTACGGAGTATGTGTAGATAGGATAGGGGATGGAAGAATGAAGTGTGGTTTTGGGTATGGGTTTGCTTTTTAGATTTTTCCGGGGCTTCATGTTCCGAGGTTGATGTTCAACCGTTGTGGTTTGACGGTTGAGCTCGACTCTTTGAATAAATATGTTTCGTATTAAAGTTTGTTCCCATTCCGCTTTGAGCTCAGTTCAAGTCAACGTTTCGTGCACTAAGCTGAATGCGGCAGCTTTGAACGCGATCGCGGTTCTACGCCTGGAAATCGACGTTACAGGCACATTTGACCGCATCCTAAGTACGCGACTTATACGACCCATCGATCACCCTTCTCCCTTCCTCAACGCATTCGACGCATCGCCAAGTATCTCATAAACCAGACCGCAACGCATCCCACATCTCGTATCTCACATTTCACAACACCTTCACAAATGTCCAACCGCTCCCGCGCCCGCCAATCTCTAGGCGGTGACAACACCGAAGAAGCGAGCATCTGGTCCAACACCCTTCGCGATCTTCGCCGTTTACCGGATATCCGTGCGAGATCAGAGCGATGCGCGATGGAGGCGAACAAGGGGTGGGTACGCGTCGAGAAGGGCGGAGAAGGGATGGCGGAGTATGTTGAGGAGTTGGGGAGGACGTGTAAGGATGGAGCTGATGCGACGAGGTTGGAGCAGAGGTACGTACTACAATAAGTGTACGAGGGCGGTATAAGAGGAGGAGGCTAATCTGGAGGGGGTGTTTAGGACACTTGAAGAGGCGAGACAGAGTTTGGAGATCTTGATTGCGTTACGGCAGGCGACGGAATCTGCCGGCGTCCAAGAGCTTAAGCGGAAGAAGAGGAAGGTCGATGAAGTCGTTTCATCGGACTCTCCTATGTCGAAGAAGAAAGCAAAGAGGTATGAGGCTGAGTATCATCATTGCTTTCCAGCTGTTGACAAATCTCCCTTGTATAGTCAACCAGAAGCACAGATTACTGTTGGATCACAGGTCGCGTTCAAGCCGAAGGGTACTTCGGATTGGATTCAGTGTAATGTTATACGACTGTTGGGTGAAGGATCAAAAGCGAAAGTCGATGTTCAGGATCCAGAGCCTGATGACAATAACACCCTACAGTACGTCTCCCCCCATTTTCCCTCCTCCCCTATCATCTCTAACAAAACTTCCCATAGCACCTTCCGCACAACCGTCTCAAGCCTTATTTTCGTGCCCCCAACCTCCGACGGCCTCGCACCCTTCCCGAACGGAACGATGGTCCTTGCACGCTACCCTGAAACAACGACATTCTATAAAGCGGAGGTCACGGGGATGAAGAGGGACGGGAGTTGTAAGTTGAAGTTTGAGGGGGAGGAGGAGGTTGGGAAGGAGACGGAGGTGGAGAGGAGGTTAGTTTTGGAGATGCCGAAGGAGAAATAGGGTTTGGGGTTAGAGAGTGGGGTTTTGGGAAAGGGAATTGATATTGGAGTCTGGAGCTTTTGGGTGGTCCTTTTGTGAGAATATTTGGTAATGAACCTGGTAGACTAGGAATAATACGGACGTACTTATACTTGTTCATAGTAAGCGCAGCAGTTCGGTGCCTTACAATAGTCAAGATCATGAGGCAGTAGACCTGGGACTCAATCTACCCTTTTGAAAGACGGCGTGGGCCTCACCCAGTATGCCTCATTTTTCCCACGCATACCATGGTCTGCTATTGCAGTGCGGGCAATAGTACATCTATCCAAACCCTTTGATGCCAGACTCGTGCAATCGTCATTGTGTTTGCGAGTAAGACAGAGCGCACATTCCACGTTTTACACGTAATCCCGATTTCAGATGATTCCTAGGAATATTCGAGCAGCATCGGCCGCACGCTTGGTGGGACCGCGATGCTTTTCGGGGCGCTTACTCAGGACAATTTCTCGGGACGCTTTCGCAGGACACTCTGGCAGGACGTTTTGGCAGGACATTTTGGGCGGGCGCTTTCGACCTGGCAGGACGTTTTGGGAGGGCGCTTTCAACCTGGCAGGACGCTTTGGCAGGACGCTTTGGCAGCAAGCTCTCTCGGGACGCTCTCTCGGAACGCTTTGGCAGGACGTTAAATTGCAGAGGAACGCTCTGGGCGGGGTACTGTACGTTGTTATGTGTGGCCACGAGTATTTACTTGGGCCCCTTCCTATTCTTGGTAGCAGACATTGGAATAACCGTCAACCGTCCTCTTAAGGCTGAATTGTGGAAGACGGACGAAGTAAGGCCCCATTAGCAGCAGAGAGATGCAGAAATATTCATCATAACCTAATTCACCACGAGGCCCGAAAGGGTCCAGAATCGAACCATCCTCCAACATTAACGCCCAAAATATCCTTAGCTATCCTTAGCAGTCCCATCGTCCATATCCTATATCGTACACCTTTCAGATCCGGCCAAATCCTCACTAACGATCATGATTCCGGCACTCCATGTTCCTTCTCATCACGCTTCTCATTCCTATCATCCTCCACAACAACCTTCCCAACAATCTCCCTCGTATTCTCCTTGACCAGGAAATAATCCACACCAACCATCCCGATCTCCTTCTTCCTCGCTTCCCCAAGCTGAACTTTCTCCATCTCATCAGCAGTGGCTTCAACGATCTCCAACCCCTCCATATCGAGTGTTAGAGGTGTCATCACTCCCGTCCCACCTGGACTTGCTAGAGGTAGGAGATCAGGACTTAGTGGTAGTCCACTTAGTTTCGAGAGGTGTTTTAGTTGGAGCTTTTGTCGTTCTCGAGTCTTGCTGGGTAAGCTATTCCGCCGGCGGGCGTTCGCGGCAGCGTCACCGCCCTTCGCCAAGTTCAGGTTTTGGTTGAGTTTGTTCAGCGTGACGACTGACCGGCTGATACTCAGGGTTGGAATATGTTCCTCTGCAGACACATCTATCGACCTCAACGACAGCGCAGGTGAGGTACCACGACTTGAGGCGGGTCCGGGAGTGACAGACCGTCGGCGGTGGTGGGTGTGGAAGAGGGGTGATTGCCGTGGAGAAAGAAGCGGCGAGGTCGTGGAGGGGCCTAGACGTGGTGAGAGTATGACTGGACTTGCTGACATGGTGTGATTCCTCGAGGAGGGTCAGAAATGTAACGTTGATATGATCTGGGGTACCCTTCGCGTATTGGTGTTGGTGGCTGCCGACCGCGGAGCGAAGTCTGGGATGCCGGGGTTCGGCTGGGTGCATCATCGTGCACGTAGCAGTAGTAGTAGTAGTAGTTAGATGTGTTTTATCTTCATTTCAGCTTCATCTGATTCGTCTTTCTCATATCTGTTCGAGGATCCTGGATCTTACGTCATTGGTGTGCAATCACCGTGTCCTCGGAGATTCCACGCTCAGCTGAAGCATAAAAATCACCACCATCCCGCTCCAATTGATTTCCAAAGCATACAATTTCATACCTAAAGCATACCCTCTATTACAATGGCTACTCCGAAGTTCCTTCAGCTCAAGTGCGGCACAAACAAGTCAGTCCTCTCCTCGCAGTATTAATCCTTCTCTTCCCGCTCATATGCTAACATTATGCCAGCTACGAATGGGGCTCAACCGATCCCAACTCCCGCGTCGTGCGCTACGCTGCCGCAACCCCCGGCTTCGAGAAAAAGGACGAACCCTACTCCGAAATGTGGATGGGAACCCACGCAACCCTTCCCTCCCACGATCTCGCCTCCGGCCGTCCCCTCGCCGACCTCCTCGCCGAGAACCCAGAGTTGATGGGCGCGAAAGTCCAACAGGCGTATGAGAGCAAGTTGCCATTCTTGTTCAAAATCATGAGTATTGGCAAGATCTTGCCGTTCCAGGCACACCCGGATAAGGAGTGGGGACAGAAATTGCATATCAAAGATCCGAAGCAGTTTGTTGATCCGAACCATAAGCCTGAGATCGCGATCGCACTCTCCCACTTCGCTGGTTTTAGTGGATTCCGTCCTCTTAAACAGATCATCTCCGTCTTAAAGGCTGCACCAATCTTCGCAGAATTCCCAGGCGCAGAGGCGACGCAGACGTTCATTTCAACCGTCTCCGGTAACGAGGAGTCCGAGGACAAGAAAATTGTACAAGCAAACAAAGCTGCTCTCCGCCAATTTCTACACGCAATTCTCACGCAATCCACTTCCCGTATCGAGGAATATACGAAGAAGCTCTTGGACTACATCGCCTCCCCAACCTCCAGCTTCGGTCCCCACGGTGCTGACCTCCCTGGTCTCCTCAGACTTATTCACACTCAGTACGGCGCTGACCCGGGTTTGTTCTCCGCACCGCTGTTGAACTGTATCTTCCTGAAACCGGGGGAGTATATCTACATCGGGGCTGATGAGCCACATGCGTATATTACGGGGGAGATTGTGGAGTGTATGGCCTCCTCGGACAACGTCGTCAACGCCGGCTTCTGCCCACCTTCTGACCGCAACCCAGATCTCCTCATGGATATCCTGACATTCGAATACCTCCCCAAGGCGGCCTTCAAGCTCGACCCGAAGGCGAAGTACGGGCACTCTTTGCTCTACGACCCCCCCATTGACGAGTTCGCAATCCTCGCTACCTCTCTCGCGCCCGGTCAGACTGAGAACGTCGACCCCATCGCTGGACCCTCGATTATGGTCTTCACGAAGGGGAAGGGAAGGATGAGTGTGGGTGGACAGAGCAAGGACGTGAAGGAGGGTGAGGTGTATTTTGTTACGTATGGGGAGGAGGTGGTGTTGGAGGCTCAGGACGGGGATTATGAGGCTGGGTTGGAGGCGTACAGGTGTTATACTGATTTGAATTAGAAGGGCATGAAAATGAGGAAGGGAGGGGTGTAGGATAGCATGGCTACTATTTGACAGTAACAGAATGCATTTGTATTGTTAGACGTTGCCGTGTTTGCAATTGGAACTCTCAGGCATCGCTGTCCAACCCGAAGCCGACGGGGACGGTTATAGTACCACAAAACCGTCCCGGACACAAAACCGTCCCGGAACAAGCTTCCTGCCGAGTGTCCCGCGAACGCGTTTCCTCGAAAGCAGCATAGATGTTATACCGATTTAAAGAAGAACTTACACGATGAGCGTGAGAAGAAGGTACGTGTAGGGTAGCGTCGACATTGCGTGAAAGTGAGAGAGAATGCATCCATATTGATGTAAGTGGCTTCCTCACTGTGTTTTTTCGGTTGTGCAACCAGCTGGTAGAGTCTTTAGTCCCTTTGAAGTCGTATGGGCCATCAGATATGCTTACTCCCATGTCGTCAAAGACGCCTGCCGAGTTCGCCGGTCCAGGACGTACCGCAGAAAACGTACCGCAGAAAACGTACCGCAGAAACATACCGCTCAGTACCTTTTCCCGACCCCAATCACCGCTCACCATACTTCTCCACCCCCCTCCCTCACCCTCCTCACCGCCTCCCTAAACATCCCCATCGGCTCCCCATCCCCTGCACACCCCTCCATAACCTCCCCCACAACCCTCCTCGCAACCCCTTCATCACCTCCAACATGCCTGCTCACACTCCCCACCGCATCTCTAAAGACACAATCCCTTCTCACCTCCAGGTTTGTGATTTCGCGACATTGGCCTAGCAAGGAGGCACGAACTTCGGTACAGGCTGTGCGGTGAAGCTCGGTGGCGAAGGTGCCAGGGCGGGCGTGGTCGAAGGCGTGGGTTAGTTCGTGGATGAGGGTGGATCGCAGCTCAGACGGCCTAAGTGAGTCGGAGCAGAGGATGATTCTAGCGACTCTGGGTCCGGAGTTGAAATAGCCTTTCAAGCCGGCGGCAGTAGTGTTTGTGCAGGGACGACAGGAGATGCTGTAGAGTGTGTTAGGGAAGAAATGGTGTAAAGCATTAAGAAACGATTTGATCTCTGGATCTCTTTTCGCGAGGTGGTCGAGGAGTTCTGAACAGGCATCTTCTCTCATATTATATTTTCTCGTTCTCACGGTGCGGTTGGTGGGCAGTCTGTTCACCTGCGCGGCCGTACACCCCCCACCTGCATCCAACGCCGAAAAAAGTGCAGCGATAGCATACTCAACCCTCGCCAGCAGTAAATCAGCATTCACTCATAACCAGCAACAATGGGCAAGGATTCCAAGGACAAGAAGGAAAAGAAGGAGAGAAGAAAGTCTGCCGTCGTTGAGGAGGTCGGAGACGTTTCCATGGTTGATGCATCCGGAGACAAGAGCGACAACTACGAGTCGAGGTTGGCTGCTGTGAATGAGATTGCCAAGCCTTTGGCGCCGAAGAAGTTGAACAAGAAGTTGTTGAAGACTGTCAAGAAGGGTATGTCTCTCCCTTTGTCTGATCCTGCCTAAGAGTCGGGGCTAACAATAAGGACAGCTGCCAAAGCCAAGCAGATCAAGCGCGGTGTCAAGGAAGTCGTCAAAGCCCTCCGCAAGCAACAAAAAGGTCTCGTCATCATCGCCGGAGATATCTCCCCCATTGACGTTATCTCCCATATCCCCGTCCTCTGCGAAGATGCGGACGTGCCCTATGTTTTCGTTCCGTCGAAGGAGGATTTGGGTGCTGCGGGTGCGACGAAGAGGCCGACGAGTTGTGTTATGATTGCGCCGGGAAGTGGAAAGAAGAAGGGAGACAAGGAGGGCAAGGAGGAGGATTATTTGGAGTTGTACCAGGAGGTGACCAAGGAGGTTTCTAAGGCCGATGAGTGGTAAACGGAGGTGCTCGGGCTAAATGCCAGTGCAATGATGGAAGAGAAGAAAGGGGCAGGGGAGGAAACAAAAGGAAACAGACGACGAAGGTAGAACACATCTTTTGAGGGACACAGGGATTCCCTCCGGTTCATGGTCATCTTTGGTTTTTTTGATTTTGCTTGGATTGTACTGTGTGTATATGTTATGGATTTAGGGTTTTCGGGATGTTCGAGGAATGGACGTGCCGTTTCCCATCGATACTCTGTTTCATTCTCCAAGGGTTCTTTCATCTTTGCTGTATTGCATCGAGGTGCTTCGATTGCCCAATTGGGATGTCAACGTTACACCCCACCTTGAAAAAGCCAACCCTCTCACTTACATCTCACACAATGTTCACCCTGCGCCAGTCCATACCTCTGCGCCTACCGAAACATGCACAAAAACGAACCCTAATAACAGCCTGCACATCCCTCAACCTCTCCCTCTCCACAGCCCTCTCCACCTCCTTCGATACCTGCTACGAGAAACACAGCCCTGCTGATCCACCCTCTCATCTCGTTTGTCTCATCTCACGGGAGTATTTTCCACTCTCCTCGAATATTGATTTATACGCCTTCGTCCGGGCACACACGTCAGCGGCGATTGAGGACTTGGTGATTGGGGTTGTGGATCGTGTGCCACATATGAAGGGAAATGGAGGACAAGGGGTGGGTGTGTCGATGATGATGGCGAGTAAAGGGGAGCGGGGGAGAGTTGGGGTTAAGAGGATGGAGGAGGATTTGGGGATTAGTGTTGGGAGGTGGCGGAATCAGAGATTGGCGAAGATGTTGGCTAAGGATGCCGATATTGCCGGTGCTGATGCTGGTGCTGGATTCGGAATGGCGGATGGAGGAGGAGCGGCTGAGCAAAAGGGAGAAGAGGAGGTGGATGTGGATGCGGGGGTTGTATTTGCGTTGGGTGATCCGGCGTGGAGTCGTGGAGAGTACCTCCAGAAACGATTCCCGAATGCTACAAAGGCGTGACGACGAACAGTCTTTCCTCAAACGGTGAATGCTAATCTTGGACACATAGATCGGCATCCTACCAACTCCGACACACTTCTTCACCGGTAACCCACAAACTCTTTACCACAACCACAACCTCATCACATCCGGGGGTCTCACTCTCTCCTTTCCTCGCCGCCGCTCTTCGCTGCAGGTGGAGCACCCGACGTTGAAGACGATTGGTAATGAGGTTGAGGTGGAAAAAGCGTTGGGGAATATGATTATTCACGTTAGTCCGACTCGGACGAGTGCGATTACGCATATCTTGTTGCATATTCGGGGGAGAAAGTTTACGACGACGGAAACCAACTTCTTTGCTAGATTGCATAGAGGACAAGGAGAAGAGAGAGAGATGACCCCCTTGGTGAGGATTAGTGCGGGGGATCCGAGTCGGGATAGTGTTAGTTTGGAGAATGAGTGGAAGGTCGATGCCGGAGATAAATTCCAGCTCTTGATTGAGGAAGGAGAGGGTGGTGGGAACTTCCTTGCCTCCACCACACACGAGGAGGGAAAGGTTATGATCGTGGCGGGTGCGTTGGGCGTGGAGAACCAATTGGAGGAGAACACTGGCTCGGAAGAGCTGGTCGTGGAGGGCATCTTTGGGGGGATGTCGGAGAAGGGGTTCATTATTGGGAAGGAAGGCACGGACGAACGCAACTGGATTTGTACTGCGAAGAATAGTGTGATGAATGTCGTTCTATAGAGAAGAGGACTTTGAACAATAAAAGAAGAAATGTTGGAGATCTACAGTTCCCGAGGGTGGTGACGTACAGACGGTGTGCAGGGTCCCGCGCGCGACATCTGGACATGCCAACGAGCAACACCCGCCCGCGGACTTTGGAGAGCGCATACACCCCGTCTCCCCAGCTGGCCTCCAGTGTTTGCATACGGTCGACGGGATGCCAGAGCTCTACGGCCTTCCTGAAGAGGTGCTGGACTTGCTTTCGCAAGCGGACCGCACCTTCGCCGATATCGCAACCGTCATCGAGAAGTACGCCGCGGCCGACGGAGATGTCTTCAGCCTCGCATGCCGGTTCATCACCGTCCTAGAAAACACACCAACGGTATTCCAGTCATGGGTTTTCCTGTCTCTGTTGCTCCCTACAGCTGCTGACATAGATAACTGGAATACAGTCCACCACCAAAATGAACGCATCCTACTTCCTCTACCACGCCTACGCCTCCTACCCCCTCACCATCAACCCTTTCTTGTCGCATTTCGTGAGTGTATGGCAGGCACATCAGGAATATTTGTGTGGAAGAGGGGACCCGGGGGGGATGATGGCGGGGCATGTTGCTGTTGTTGGACGCATTTTGGGGGGAAAAGGACAAGAGGTAGCACCAGGCCTCTAGCTTGCCGTTTCTGGTTCTGTGTTTAGGATAGGACGCTGACATGGTGTTACAGCTGAAAACTAGGACGGCTAAGGAGGTGTTGGGGGATTTGAACGTTTATGCGCCGCCGGAACGGATAGAGGAGAGTATAGTGGGGGCGTTGAGGGAGCAAGGGGTTGAGGAGCCTGCGCCGTTCGTATACAGTCACGGCCATGGAAACGGGAACGACAAAGCAGTAGAGAAAAAACAGACAAGGGCGGAAATGAAGGAGGAGGTGGAGGGTGATGATGGGCCGGATACGGATCCGACGACGGTGGGGAGTGAGGATGAGGTGTATGAGGAGTTATTGACGAAGGCTTCGGAGGAAGCATTATCGAAGAAAGACTCAGAGGTATGTACTTCATGAGACGCCTGCTGAGCGCTGGCTGATGAAGTATATACAGACATTGCTGGACCACTGCCACCTGGCCGCCTGCCACGCCAGTATGATGTTCCCGGACACGATACAGGGATTGTTACAGCACAACCCACAAATCGCACTCCGGGTTCTCACAACATTATTACATACTGAACAGAGGCAGGATACGTTATCTGCAATCGCCCGCCTCCCGACCTCCCTCCCAACCCTCGAAACCCTCAACGCTCTCTTCGCCTCCGACCCCGCCCTCCTCTACACCGACAACCTCCTCCACAACTTCCTCGCGCACACAGCACGACATCTCGAATCACTCGATAAAGGTGAAGAGAGGGCAAGGCGAGTGAGGTTGGTGTGTTTGTTTGTGATGACGTTGGTGAGGGGGGAGGTTATTGGGTTGCAGGAGTATTGGTTAGATCTCTGGGGGGTGTTAAGAGGGAATTTGTGGGTTGAGGAGGCGGCGGTGGTGTTTGGGGAGGTTGGGATGTTTGGGGAGGAGGAAGGGATGGGCGGGTGAGGGAGCGTGGGAGTTCTGAGGTGGATGGCCGGATTGAAGTGCAAACAACATTTCTGTAAGAAGATGGACATTTAAGGAGACGATCTATCATAGCTACAACCCCTCAGACCGTCCATCGGGTTATATGTGAATCCCTATGCTGGATCGCGATCGCACTTTTGGGTACGACTGGTTCAATTTAGCCCGCGCACCAGAGCAGCCCACGTGCCGCCCCATGAAGCTGGCGCCTCTCGAAGCGAAGCAACTTGAATGCTCCTTCACTGGCCAGAGACGAGGATCTGTTATATCGCTTCGAACGACGACGAGCACGACCTGTCTGTGAAACGTGAAGAGCTTGAGGAGGTGTAAGTGCTGTTTTCACATCCGGCCCCGGAACTGCATCTCATTGTGGGGAATTAGCACAGCTGTGCAGAAACTGACAGGCGGCTCGAGCTTCGCAGCGCAGTGCATCGCCCGGCACACGGTACACCCCTCCAACGTAACGATTCAGAAAAATCTCGAGCAGATCATCGACCCGTGGTCCGCCGCATCCCAGAATAGCAGCTGTCAACCGCGGCATGTCCAGCATGGACGCAGACGTCCATCTCCAGCCCCGAGAAAGGCTGCGAGGGTTGAGCGTGATCTCGTATCTTGAGGTATTACCGACTCCGGCGTATGTTACGGGGTGTGGGGGCGATGTCAGGGTGATTTGGCGAAATCCGGTATATGAGATGGAGATCGGGACTGGAGACACTCTGCCCGTTACTATGGACGAGAGGGGGCCCGGGGATGGGTATGTGTGGACGCATGTTCCGGTGGAGGGGATGTTTATCGTGAGTACGAGTGTTCGGTCACAGAGTTCATCTGCATCGACAAGTTCGATAAGTACGAGTGAGTTGGTCGTCAGCACCGCCCCCACCACCCCCGCCGCAGTCGACGATGATTGGACACGGTTATGGGACAACCAATGTCTAGGCGGATCAAACGCCGCGAAACTCCAATCCGCATACCAAAAACATGTCCAATGCCTCCGAGAAGCAAATTGGAAACATGTTGGTCCTACACATATCTGGCCGCAGAATCTGAGGATGTTGACGAGCTTGGTGCTGGCGTGTCCGTTTCCGTGTGCGCTGTATTGGGGGCCACAGCATTCGATATTTTATAATGCGGCCTACATTCCTCTCACTGGTGACCGACATCCGGATATGCTGGGGAAGAGCTACATTGAAGGGTGGCCAGAGTTGTGGGAATTCGTGAAAGATACCTTCGGGAGGGCGTTTCAGGGGGAGGCGGTACACAAGGATGATGATATGTTATTCATGAATCGATTAGGATTCGTGGAGGAGACGTATTTCTCGTGGAGTATTGTCCCGATTCGGGATGAGAATGGGGAGGTGTGTGGGTTGCTGAATCCGGCGTTCGAGGGGACTAGACGCGTGATTGCTGCTCGAAGATTGCATACGTTGAGGGAGTTGGGGAGTAAGATTGCGAGCGTGAAGAGTGTTGAGGAGTTTTGGGAGGCGGTAAAGGCTGGGGTGGACGACAATAAGAGAGATATTCCGATATTGGTGACGTATTCGATCAAAGCTACACCCGGGGAACAAACGAAACATGCGAAGTTTGAGTTTACGAGGGAGTGTGTGGTGGGCTTACCTGAGGACCATGGGTGCATTCCGCCCAAGTTAACGTTGGAGACGAAGGAGGATGTGGAGTACTCGGATATTACGTTCGAACGACAAATCTTTGAGGCGTTCTTGACGCATGAGAGTGTTGTCGTCGATGACCTACGCAAGTTAACGGGTGATATACCCAGTCGGGGGTGGGGGGATCCGGTGAGGAAGGTTATTGTAAGTCCGGTTATCGCGAGTGAGTATGATATACCACTCGCGGTGACGGTGTTGGCGTTGAATCCGAGGAGGCCGTATAATGAGGATTATCGGACGTTTATTGAGTTGCTGGGACGGAGTTTCGTGACCGGGTTGGCAAGTGCGAGATTGGTTGAAGAGGAGTTAAGACATGCGAAGCAGGAGATTGAGAGGAGGGAGGAGGTTGAGCAGCTACTCGTAAGACGGACGAAGGAGCTGAGACTCTCGGAGGGCAGGTTCGGAAGGATGGCGGAGGGGAGTCCAGCGGGGATTTTCATAGCGGATGCGACGGGACATGTTACGTTCGTCAACGAAGCCTGGTACGAGTTTTCGCAGTTTCCAAAGGACAAGGATCCGGATCATTGGCTTGATTCGGTTCATCCCGAAGACAAATATCGTTTACAGGAGTTTTGGGATCAGTTGCTTTCGGGAGGGAAGGCGGAGGCCGAGTTTAGGTGGGTTGTGGAGAAAAACGGGTATGAGCGCTGGTGTGTCGCGGCGGGAACTCCGGAGCTGGATGATGAGGGACATGTACTCAATGTTCTTGGTGTATGTCTGGATATCTCGGAGAGGAAAAGGCATGAAGCCCTCCAGAAACGAATTGCGGAGGAAGCATTGGAGAGTAAACGCCAACAGGAGTATTTCATCGACATGACGAGTCATGAGTTGCGGAATCCGTTGAGTGCGATTATTCAGCTTTGTGATTTGGTTGCGGATATGTTGCATCGGTTGCAGAAGGGGGCGACGCTACGGCACGCACCGGCGGAGATTCATCAGGATATTGCGGAGTCGGATGAGGCGATTAAGACGATTACGTTGTGTACGAGTCACATGAAGCGGATTATCGATGACACACTTACGTTGTCGAAGTTGGATTCGTCGCTTTTGTTGGTTACGCCGGTTGATTGCCAGCCACTCAAGAAAGTCAAGTCTGTGCTCAAGATGTTTGAGGCAGAAGTACAGTCGAAAGACATTGATATGAAATTCGAGGTGGACGAGAGTTGGGAGAGGATTGGGGTTGACTGGGTCAAGGCTGATCCGTCCAGATTTTCGCAGGTGTTGATCAATTTGTTGACGAATGCGATCAAGTTTTCGTATATGAGGCCTGTGAGAAAGATCACTGTGCGGATTGCGGCGAGCTTGACGAGGCCGGCTGCGAGGCCCTTGACGGAGTGTGATCATGACCACACTCAGGGGCAGCAAGGTGAACAGCCGTATTCCATGACACGGCAAAACTCGCAGGAGAGTGTTGTGTCGGTTGGGAATACGAGTAATGCGGATGCTGTCAGTCTCTACCCTGAGACTGAGAACACGATATATCTGTCGTTCTCGGTTGTTGACACCGGACGTGGGTTGAGTCCTAGTGAGCGCGCGATGCTCTTCCAGCGTTTCTCGCAGGCTACGCCGAGGACGCATGTGGAGTATGGCGGTAGTGGACTGGGCTTGTTCATTTGTAGAAAGTTGACGGGGTTGCAGGGTGGTGAGATTTCAGTGCAGAGTAAGGAGAATGAAGGGTCGACCTTCTCTTTCTACATCCATGCTGAGCGGGGATCTGCGCCAGAGGAGGGTGAGAGTGCTGCACCAGTTGAGCAAAGGAGGAGGTCGGTTGCTGAGGTGGCTGATGGCGTCCCTAAGTCGGAGCTTGGAGCACTGAAGACTGCGAGTACGCCTACTGCGAAGGAGGAAGTTGCCAGGACTGTCAATGAAGCGAAGCTTGATAAGCTTAGTATTTTGGTTGTGGAGGATAACCTCATTAACCAGAAGGTGTTACAGAAGCAGCTTACTGCGGCGGGGTGTGAAGCGCGTGTTGCAAATAACGGACAGGAGGCATTGGATATCATCTTCAGTTCGGCTTTGGCTGCTGATACACCCGCAGAAGCACCGAAGATCGATGTCGTTTTGATGGACGTCGAGATGCCCGTCATGGACGGACTGACAGCTGCCCGACACCTCCGCGCAGCCCTCCAAGAAGGCAAGCTTCGCAGCCGCGTCCCGTTGATTGCGGTGAGCGCCAACGCACGACGAGAACAGATTAAAGAAATGTTAGAAGCGGGGATGGACGATACAGTTGGCAAGCCATTCCGGATACCAGAGTTGATGGCTAAGATCAGAGATTTGCTGGAGAAGTTGGCGTTGCATGCTTGAAGCTTAAGGAAAACCGATGTATGAGTACGAGTTGCTAGTAATGGATGGAGAGCGCATAATATGTTGCGAATGTACATGTAATGGTTACTGGGGGTTCATGGCGTTTTTGTGTGGGGCTTTGATGGACAGCACGGATCGACCATGGTCGGTGTTGATTGATAGTTTAGGCCAGTTATTGGATTGCATTACAAGTAGCTATAGGCATGAAAATGTGAGTAAGGCGTTACATACATGTACTTGCTCCGCTTCCACCAATTGCATTGTCCTTGACCTCCTTCCAATTCTGTTCTCTTTGAGTTTTCACGGCTCCCTCGGAGTTTGGCTTGGCTGCGAATCCGTGCAGACAAGCCACTCACGCACGCTCGCGGTTGGTTGCAGCTCCAACGAATACCGAGAGAACATCGTCAATTGAACACCATTAACACCACCAAACAACCGCATACAACAAGTATGGGATCCTCTGAATCTACCGTCCAGGCATACAAAGACAAGGCCGTCCAGGTCAAGGACCAAGCCGTCGAGAAGGTTACCGAAGGAAAAGTCGACACAGTCGAAACCAATGCCCGTTACCTCGCCTACGCAGCCCGTCTGAAGGCCGTTATGCTCAAGAGCTCGCGTTACATCGCATATACCTCCGATATCGGCGAAGCTTTCCGGCCGATCAGCCATCCGCTTATGGTGACAGCTGCGTATGGTGTCAGTTGGGCGTATTTGTTTGGTGATGTCGGGTATGAGGGATACAAGGCGAGCTACATCGCTGGGTTGCCGAATGGGACCGTGGGTGTGATGATGTTTAAGAGGGCTATCTTCCAGGGTCTTGCTTCTATGGTGGGTACCATATGGAGGTGAAGGTCTGGGACGGCAAGGCTAACTTGAATTTCAAAGGCGTTGCCGGCATTCACTATCCACTCGGTTGTGAGGTACTCTGCGAAGGCGTTCAAGAACTCCGCCAATGCTTCGCTGAGAACGTGGGGACCTACCGTGTCTGGTTTGGCTGTTGTGCCATTGTTGCCTTTCTTGGTGCGTACCCTTGTCCTATATGCTTATACATGTTGCTAACACTGTCATTAGTTCGACCACCCTGTTGAGTACGCTGTTGACAAGGTCTTCGAGAAGGTCGAGGAGTTGACCATGGGAGAGAAAGAGACTCCAAATGTCGTCGGTGGTAACAAGAAGGAGCTGTAGATACGTGCCCCTTGCGTTGACAGGGCATTGTAAATATACAGAGAGGATATGGTTATTGAGCGGTGCAGCAGCGGCGTTCATAGAAGTCATTTGGGATCGGTCTAATGGTGTGATGGTCAAAAGCCTTAAGGGTGATAAGACGCGAGTTATCTAGAGGTACTAATTGCAATACCACCACTCAGTCATTCTCTGTTTCACGTTCCAAATTGACCAATTGCAATTGGTCACTTCGGTGTCTTTCATAGGTATATGTAGTTGTGTCGCTTCAAAAGCTTGGCATTCGGACCCCGGCTGCGCTCAGTTCTCACGAACCGAGATTCCTTGCTACGTCACATCAAACTGCAGCGCATCCAACCTCGAACTTTTCGACAGCAACGGATCAGGTCAATTTTTACACCAATCACTGATCCAGCAGCGTAAGAACCAACAAATATTCAGGATGAAAACACTTTTCATCTTTGCCGTCACCATTGCGGTGATTCTGGCATTATCCTCTCCCGCTCATGCCTTTGGTGCGGGGAATGTTCCTTCGTATGGGTATCTCGAAGGCAAGGCTTTCCGTCATGGTGATTTGGAGGATACGTTGAAGGAACTCGTCATGAAATACAGTTCCGGACTCTTCGGTCTCGGTATCGGTGGTAACTCCAAGTTCTCTGGTCTCAATGTCAAAAGAGTCTACTTCGGAAACTGGCTCAGGGATTACTCCCAGGCTGTTGATGTTGGAACGTTGTCAAAGGGGTTGAATACAGCGGTCATCAAGACTCTAGTGTGGGTTATGGCGTTTATGAGTTTTGGGTACGCGACGGCGGAGTTTGAGGTCACGGAGGAGCGTCTTGGTGTTTATAGGCCTGAGGAGCATATCGACAACCCTCGGGACTATGCTGACAATGAAGATGCCCGCCGCTACGATCAGAGACTTCGTGGGCCTGTTAACCCGCAGGAGCTGGAGGTTGATCCCCGTACCGGCATGAAGAATTATATTGCGAACGAGCAGGGTGGGTGGGCGACTTCGACAATGTGTATTCGGAATGCATTGTTGCGATCTATTGATCTTGGACGTCGGTCTGGTGGGAAGGATACTGCTGAGTTCTGGGAGGCATTGAGGTTGCTTGGGCAGGCGTTGCACACCCTTGAGGACTTTTCCGCTCACTCGAACTATTGTGAGTTGGTCCTCCGTGAGATGGGATTCGAGGTCTTTGCGCACTGTGGTGACACGACGATGATCCCGAGTAACAACTCCCGCTCCGGACGTGTGTTCCCGTTGGTTACTGGTACGTTCGGTGGTATGGATTTCGTGCACTCCCTTTTGGGTGAGGCTGCGGATCATATTTCTCAGACTCAGATCTCGGATTTGCAGGATTCTATGACGAAGGCTCGTCAAGCTCCGAATGGAGGTGATACGGCGCTGAGGTCGCTTCTTGGACAGATTCCGGGACAGAACTTGACGAAAGATCTGGATGATATTGAGGCGCAGACTCGGGGCCCTACTGCTGGGGGACAGTATGGTGGGGTTGGGAATGCTGCGAATAACATTGAGGACATCCTTCAGAAGATTTATCCGGTTTTTGCGTTCCGTGATAAGGTGATGAAGGTTCTCTCCAACACCATCGAAAAGATTCCTGGCTTGGACAGTCTTGTCGAGTCCATCTCCGAGGGCCTGGCTGTCTTTGTCCTCAGCACTATCGAGCCCTTCATTAAGCCGCTTGTTCAGCAGGTTATGACGCAGATCAATGCTGGGACAGAGATGGTCACGAACAATGACGCGCAGTTCAAGCCGTGGACTGATGCGTACTGCTCTGACCCTACTCACTCTATGTTGTCGAAGGATCACTTCTCTACGTACCTCAATGAGCCCGCTGGTCGCATCGCTGTTCAAGTTGTCACCTATACCGTCGAGCGCATCACTAAGGCTTGGAGTGATACCTCCATTGATGCGTACAGGACCGTTGAGGATATCTTGCAGGTATTCCACCACCCTGGTGTTGGTCAAGTGCGCGGTATTGAAATCCGTGAGAAGATGTTCAGTGTGGTTCAACAATGGGTCAGCGCTCTCGGAAACGACAAATCTGTCGTTATGGAAGGGTTGAGCAAGGAGGGTGTCAGGGCTGGCCGTAACCACGACAACAAGAGGAAGAGCGCAGCGTTCAGAGGTGCTCCTGGCGGTGTTGGTGGTGGTCAGGCTCAGCACGTTCACGGTTACAACGATGGGTGTGGGCCGGCTCCGGGAGCGTATGCTAATGCGCAGGCGATTGGGAGTTATGTGCAGCATCAGCAGGATCAGTATGGAAGTGGAAGGCAGTCTGGAGCTGGTGGGTATGATAGCCCGACTGTGACGCAGTCGTATGGGAGTGCTGGGGCTGGTACTGGTGGGTATGAGCCTAATGCTGGAGGGGCTTATGGAGGTGCAGGTGGCTACGTGAATGATGGTGGGAACTATGGTGGTGGTGGGTATGGACGCCCTTCGCCTGCGCCGCCTGTTATCGCGTATGGAGGACAGCAGTCATATGACACCCCTCCTGTGCCGCACCACCGTCCTCATCATGATGAACCATCGTATGGCGGTAGTGGTGGTGGTGGCGGTGGCGGAGGTTACGGTGCTCCTTCGCCTTATGATGAACCTCCTCGTCACCATCAGCGTCCTCCACAAGAGCCGTCCTATGGGCGTGACGACAGCTACGGTGGCCGCGGCGATTCCTACTCTGGCGGTGGTGGCTACGGTCGTGATGGTGGATACGGTGAGCCTCCCCGTCACCACGGCGGCGGCAGGTTCGACGACGATGGTGGTGTAGCGGTCCCTCACCACAGACCTCATCACGAGCGACCCGATTCTGAGTTTGATGGTGGGTTTGCCCCTCCGACTGGTCCTCCTCCGGCTAGGTTCCAGCCTCCTCCTGGACCGCCTCCGCCGCGACCTGGGTATGGTGCCCCTCCGGGTCAGGGATACGGTGGACAAGGGTATGGAGGGCAAGGCGGTGGATATGGCAACCAGGGTTATGGAAACCAGGGGTCCTACGGTTACTAAAGCGTAGTCCTCTAGAGTCGAAGCATATGCAGTGGTACGTAGGTACATAGTGGTACGTAGGTATATAGCGGGGGTGCTCCCAATATATGTGTCTTGAGTTTTAACTCAATCTTTCTTTGAATCCAGCTCTTCCAGTTGCTTGGCAGCTTCGTCAATCTTCTTGTTCTGCCACGACCAACCCGCATTATACAAGAACGGGCGCAGATCGAACCTGTTGTCATCCGGGGAGTAGGCTTCCGCGTGGTAGGATGGGGTCAGTGTAGTCATCTTATGCCGGTTGATCGCATGGTAAAAGAAGAACCGCTTGACTTTTGTAGCGATCTCAGTGGGCGACAACTTGTCACCCCACTCGTGAACAAGTTTGGTGAACATGCTGTAAGGACCACATTTCTCAACCTTTCTGAGCCTTCCAAATACGGACAGTTCATCATATGTCATTCCCATATCAATTTCATCAGACTGCACGTAATCCTTGGTGATCGGCTCGAGCTCAGCAGTTGGTGTGGCCTCGAGGAATTCATGCAAGATGGGAAGGTCAAACTCATCCCGAGCATACGCAATGAACCTCTTGAGGTCAGTCTTGGAGATACCACCGATTGGGTTGACATCAGCACTGGAACAGTCATACTTTGTGAAGTATCCACGAAGAGCCTCATCAACATTAGCACTGCCAAGTACAAGAAGCCCTCCAGGCTTACCGCGCACCCATGGCAAAAGCTGAGCAAAGAGGTACGCAATGACCATGCGCAGACGAGCTTGAATGTTTTGCAAAGCAAGGTTCTCGGTTTGGGATCCCCCGTGAACTTTGTATTCCGGCTTTTTGCCTGTCACGAATGTGAAAAGCGTCTGCACGGCACGCACGAGATCATCCATGTTAAGGTCGACATGATAAGCACCAATAGCCTCAGCCAAGTGCCTAGCACGCTCGCGCGTTTCCTTGCTGGAGTTCTCAGTTCCCATGTAACACGTATGGAAGATGCGTCCCGCAAATTCTTTGGGATCAGTCGGCAACCAGTCAGAATCCTCTTTCTCTCCAGCCATACGGCGCGCATCTTTGATGACTTCCTCATTGCCGTTTGCCGCTGCTTGTGCCACGAGCCTACACATTGAGTGCACAATAGTCGCAGTTGCACAACTGTCAATCCCACCACTCAATGGGAGGAAATAACCTGCTGTCTTTGAGCGCCTAAGGTAATCCCACAACCAACAAGCAGGACCAAGCGCAATCTCTTCTTCTGGTGTGTGGTATCGCACCTTGATTTCCTTAGTGGGCATCAAATGAGGGTCAATCACGCCTGCCTCCTTTGACAAAGCTTTGCTTGCTTCAATGCGCTGGTAGCTGGGAGCAGCAACCGCCTGCATTCCACGAGATGCTTGAGCGCGATGAGCACGGACTTCCTCAAGGTCAACAGTGGCTGTAACAACTTCAACATCGGTCAAGGAGAACTGTGTGCCTTGCGCGACGATCTGGCCATTTACGAGGATCATTGCACACCCATCGTAGTATAGACGGTCTCCGTCACAGCCTTGCGGGTTTGAGTATAGATAAACACCTCCGCACTTCATGGTGGCTTCTTTCATCAAGTCAATCCTTCTGTAGAGTTTGCGCAGCTCGTGATGACTTCCACTAGAATTTGTCATGATCTCTACGCCATCGAGACTCATGCCAATGTGGGGGCTGTTGGGTGTGAACAACTCCTCACAGGTTTCAGCTCCAAAACAGGTATCAGGAGTCGAGATAACTGCATCACCAAAAGGACACATCGTTTGCCCAGTGAGCTTCTGAATCATTCTCGGAAGGTAGAATGGCTCCACATGTCTAGGACGAGCCCATGCCGTAAAATACCGTTGCTCACGGTAGTTGCCATCGTTGGCTAACCACAACTTCGGGCGAATCAACAGAACTTTACGGTTCAGACAGATCACACGGCAGTTGTACTTGACATTCCGGTGCGAGACGGGCATACCAATATCAAGGAGAATATCATCTGTGCCTTCAGTTTCGAGGATGCGTCCAAGCATTTCCCACGAATGGAGATATGTGTCTCCCTCTAAAAAGTGATCGAAACAACCATATCCTGTCACCTCGAGCTCAGGACCTACACGCAAGGAGGCACCGCGCTCTTTGGCGATGCGGATACTCTTGATGATCCGATCGGCATTGCCCTCAAAATCCAGCGCCCACTGGTTCAAGGAACTTCAGCAAGTGGTTAGCCGAGATGGAGATGAATAGGAATCGAGAGAAAATACCAAGTCGCTACAGTCACTAGATGCCCCATCTTCAGTTCTGCTATTGACGTCAACGCAATCGTGTAGGACCTGCTCAGGGCATGCCAGGGTGCTGCGCCTGTGGTACTTAGTGCGGAGGGTACGAGCCTTGACTGCCGCACACAAACATTGAGCAAACGGACCCTCCGACCAACTGTGTTGCAATTGAAGCTTTGGGAAGGTTGCACACAGATATCTCTTGACTATGGCCGAACGACTGGCACCGATGTAAGAGGGATCACGCACATTCAAGCGAGGAAACTAACGCCGTGTGCAGTTCGTTCAGAGAGTTGACGCGAAATTTGAAGGCTTTGAGGAAGGACAATGCCGATGCAACACTGGTTATCGACATTGTGAAGAAGAGATTACCAATCTTGAAGAGATTGCGCTTTGCACCGGCGGCCGCGGCTCCCGAAAACGTCGGGGAAACAGTCGAAATTGATGGCAATACCTATAGACCGACAGCCACGCAGAAGGCGGATGCAGAAAGACTTTCCAAGATCGCCGGTACAAGTGTAACAGACTGCTTACGAATTACACTGTTACCGGATGTCCAGATCATGAATGAGGATGCGAGGCTGGCCTACTTGGTTCGAAGACACGCCCGCGAATCAGCAGCAATCATTGACTTGGCAACGGCTATATTCGACGAAGCATCAGTTGTGGATCACCAACATGCGAAGCTCATTGACGAACTGCTTGTTCAGATCCAGGTCACAGAAAATGCCGAGTCCGACTTCTTCCTGAACGTCGTCAAGGCGGTCAAAGAACGATCAACACCATCAGCGTCAGACACAGAGTTCGTCGTATTGCGATCACTTCTGCGGCTTGTTTTCGCTGCGGCTTACAACAAGATTTCATGCTCGGGCGACCGTGTCGCAGGCTGGCTTCAGGTCGTCTCGCAAACACGATTCTTCGACGACGTCCAGGCAAATGCACCGGAACCAATTGCGATGACAGTAAAGTGCTTAGCATGTGCAATCAGTATCGAAATGCTTGCCGTGTCTTACTCTGTCACCACACCTCTTGGCTCAGCGAATGGCAACGCAAATATGTACCTTTCAGCACCAAAATATCTCTTTGCCATACACAAGCAGATAACCGAGCATATTCCTCCGATGGACCCGTTTGCTTCCCCAATACGTATGACTTGGGGTCTTGTGTTGAGTGAAATTGCTGTGGAGAAGGAGCAGATGGGAGTACCCGCAGAGTATACTCAGACTGTGGATCAGTTGCTTGCTGATAATGCTCCGCAAACGCTTTTAGCGAATGCCGTGAATGACGCAGGCGTCAATACCATCAAGGTAGCGGTAGAGCATCTTGCGAGGGAGGAAGAAGCAAGCGCGGGTCAACAGTACGTATCGGTGTTTGAGGAGCTGTTACGGCACATGCTTCCGTACCTTTCTTACTCTATGGATGTTGCGGCAGCCGTTACGTCTGTGTACACCAGCGCACCAAATTTGACGTCTTTGTTTAACGCGGATGAAGGATCGATAGTGTTCAGAGAGAAGCTGAGAGGGATGTTTCCGCATGACTTTCACTCATTGCCGCGATTGATGACGGCTCTCGCGTCTCCGGCGACGGCAGCGGCTGTCATGGATTATCTGAGGAAGCTTCCAACTTACACGCAAATCATTCCTCGGGGCTTTTCAGCGTACGACCTGGAGTCTCGCAAAGTTGAAGGGGATACAATCAACTCAATAAAGCTTCGGAAGGATTTCGTCTTATTCGGCAGATCACCTGTGCCGTTCGTTGCGCCTGCCGGAACATCCGGAAGCATTCTTTCGGGCACTGCTAACCCCTCAGTTGTCATGTGGAATTATGCTTATAACGCGTGGAATCTCTTTGGAAGGATCATGGATGTGGCTGAAAGTGACGTGGTTGCCTTCGTGGGAGACGACGACCAAAGAACGGTCATCCTTACCATCATTCGTTTGCTTACGCGGATGGTTGAGCATCTCCCTGCGGCTGAGGCGGTGGAGTTGTTGAATGATGCTTCGGAGGACATGCAGGGTGATGGCAGGAACATCATCAGTGTGGTGTATGGAATCATGGATCGTGCGATCGGGATCGTTGGTGAGGAGGACAAATTCGGCAGAGTTCGGAGTAAGGTTACCGCTGCGCGAACTGCGGCGAAGGAAGTTGCTGTGTCTTGTGTCGACTTTTTGAGAGCGTGTGTGCCGCTTCACCCCGACGGCGTGTGGCCGTTGGTTTCTAGGAGTTCGTTGTTGGATAAGAAATCGTCGAATTTTGGACGTATGGCTGGTGCCGCTGGGGATTTCCTGCGGATTGTAGCCGGTCAGGAGTGTATCTCTGGCTCTTACGAGTTTCTTATCGCTGTCATCAAGCTGGTGGAAGCGCTTGTTGTGGATACAATTGAAGACGCCGTCAATATTCTCAGTGGCGTGAGTGGGACTTCAGCGCGCGTACGAACGGAAGTCTTGCAAAGTTTCCTCGGTGAAAGCGGATCATTATTAGTCGAGGTCTGGAGTGGTTTTGGAGAGTGGAGATACACGGATGTTCGGCAGCGCTTTTACATTGGGACCGCTTTGGTGTCTCTGTTCACTCTGGTGCTAAGCAAGGTCTACGGGTTGGCTGACGGGAAGAAGTTGTTCCCCACGCTTGCGTCGTGCGCTGACTCCATCGTGTCCTATATATGCTCTCTGACAGAGACTGGCCAGATCGCGCAGGGAGCATCTTACAGACCGTTCGCACCTATACTGGGTCTCCTTGAGTCTCACGAGAAGGGAGCGGAGCTTTATCGTGCTGTGGGACAGCAAAGTGCAGCCAGGAGTGCGGAGTCATATGCGGATGCTCTTTTGCAGTTGACAGAAACGTTGGTGAGGTGCCGAAGTTACATCACGAGTGCCAGCATGGCTTCTCGTCTTGAAGAAGTGTTGTTTGACAAAATCTCCGGATTGGCGGCGCTTTTCGTGAGCAATTTTACAGAATTACGACGACGCCGCATTGCCAAAGTCATTGCGGCCATCATTGGCGCTCAGGGTGACATTGAAGCCCCTCCATCTCTGGTCGCTCATCTCGCCATCAACGCTGATGCCCTTGTCGCAACCATGGTATGTATACTGGAAGACGCCTCGTGCAGCAAGCAAGAGCAATTGGTTCTCTGGGAACTGCTTAACGCTGTCGTGAGCCAGAGGCAGCAGGGTTTCGCAGCGTTAGTCTTGAGTACAGAAAGGTTGAGCAATGGCGTTTTTGCGCACGACAAGTTGCAGAAGTCAAGCAAGACATCTCTACTTCAAGTCGCTACCGCCAGGCTCCGTCACACCACGGACACAGAAGTAACCCTTGCTATTGTCAAGTTCATTGCAAGCGCTCAAAACTACTGGGCGTCGGCAACGGCTGATCTGAGCAAGGACGCCGAATTCTGGAAGAAGATTACTTCTCTCATGGACACAAGCGCGATTGATGTTTACAATAACGCCAGACCCGTAGACATTGAGGCCATCTCTTTCCGGTTTTCGTGCGCAGCATATGCTACCCAGATTTCTGCATCGCAGCTGTTCAGTGGCAACGGCGAGCCAGATGAACTACAAAAGGCAATCATCGACAGATTGCGGAAGTCATCTGATACTCTATCGGATGTGGCGCTGCGCATTCGCGGGTACCGTCCCTCACTCCATGGGAATCTCCAGAGGAACTTCCAGAAGAAGTGGCCAGTAGCACCTGTACTGGCATTCAGACACACTGGCGTCATTGACACAAGGTACGGTACGCAGTACTTCTATGATGCTGATGTTGCTACGACTCTGGTCTGTCGCGACAACGCGTGGCAGTCTTACATTCAAGAGGTCAAGGCAGCGAACAGTAACCTTTCTCTGCTGGATTCTCAGGTGATGTTGTTGCGAGCCTGGATACTTATGGCAACTGCATTGAGTGAACATGCCGCGAAGGACAAGGTCTTATCAGCTAAGCTTGTCAACACCGTCAAGGTTTGCTTGAATGCCAATGTTAACGAGGAGGACAATTGGGCGGTGGCGAGCTCTGTTTTCGCTGAACGAGCTGCGTTAGCCTTCAACCTTGTTTCTAAGCTTCGAACATCAGCGGTCGTCCAAGGCTCCGACTATACCGAGATTTTCAATCATGCCTATCTCGCATTTAACTCCTCCGAAGCACCATATCTTCAGGCGCTCACCGACAATGACTTGTCTTATCACCGCGTCGTCTTAAGAATCTTGTATCTTTCTTTAAGAGGTATCAATGACGCAGACTCCTCGAGCTCAAATCACCAGCTTTACTCCGCCGTGGCCGGTATATTCGAGCTCGTTGTTGCCAAGGGTGCTGCGAGGATCTTCGAGAAAGCCCGAACAGCACCAGAAGCGTCTGCAGTCGACGACGTCATTCTCATCATTGCTCTCCTCCAGGAACTTCTTGATTTTGACGGGGTCGAAGGGCTTCTTCCCGCCTTCGGCGGTGCGTTAGCAGACAGTGGTGCGCTCACCTCAGCAATGAGCCTTTACTCGTGGGCAACGCAGGCTCTTGTCGATGGAGAACCTTTGTTTGCGGAAACAACCTTAACATACTTGGCAGCTTTGTCTTCAGCACCTCTTCTCGCTGAACAGCTTGCTACTGAGAATGTTCTCGGTGTTCTGATTGAGAGCCCGATTTCACAGCAGATCCGGGAGGGTGGTGTAAGGCCTGACACGCAGATCCGACTTCATCGTGTATGGACCCGAGGTATTCTGCCATTGCTGCTAAACATGTTACGCCATGTCGGCGGTCGCATCGCTCGCGATATTTTGGCTTTCCTCGAACTGTTCGAAGCGCAGGTCCAGTCTACACTTCTCGCCTGGCAACAACTGAATATCGTAACCCTCGCAGCGTTGGACGAAACTATGTTCTTGGTTGTTCTCTTCGGCACCCTGAAGATGCTGTTATCTGATGAGGGATTTGTCTGGAATGGTCGCAACAACCTTGCGCTGAGTGTGGATTATGCGTTGACGCACCCCAAGTACCTTGCAACGCTGATTACTCCCGTCACCGCGGAAGAACAAAAGCTGCAAGTAACATCGAGAGGAGAAGGTCAGACTGCTTTGCGCGAAGCAGTAGTTGCTCAGCTTCGCCGTTTGCAGGACCTTTTGCAGGAAGAAGACATGTGAAGGACTGAATGATGAATTACTATGCATAGGACTCCTAGATACCCATAATGCCAAAACCTAATGATTGCAATCGCCCTATGTTTCAACCAAAGCTTGCAGATTCTAACTCCCTTTTGTAGGTTACTTCTCCACCCACTGTCCAAACCTTTTCCAATCCTCGTACATCTTCTGGAAGATGCCCCGCCCGGAGGCATCCAAGGCAGCAGCAACCATTTCTCTTTCATGCTGGCCACAAATATCGAACAAGGAGTACATGCCCGACATAAGAACATCACGCACGTCCGAAGCGATTGTGATATGGGGATGATGCAACTGCACGGAGACGAACTCAACGAACAACCAGGCGATGTGTTTGGCAACAGCTTTGCTCGCGCTAGCAGAAGCTGACGTAAGATGATGTCGAATATTCTTCACCCTGGTATCCTGGCGCAACTGTGCGGCGGTCGGGTCGACCCAAGTCGACAAAAGACGAGCGTATGCGCGTGCCGAGAACACGGAGCATGCCTCCGAATGATGCACCAACCACTTTGGTTGCCTTGCAACGCCGTCAGCCGTCCTTCCACGACGATGAACCGCTTGGCGTCGAACAAAGGCATGAAGCAGAGCCTGGAAAGCACCAACAATGACATGGTACCGCCCAGAAAGGCGATGCCTATGGTGCTGCAGCACACATGACATGACATTAGTCAACGCCATAAAGATCTCGTCAGGTGTTTTGTCGGACTTTTCGAACTCTGGTCCTGCCGGAGATGCGCACAATGTCACCGTGCTTAGAATTTGGTCAAGGTTGTATTGGGATACTGCCCATGCCTTTTCGCGAACTACGGTTTCGAGAAGACGAACGGCGTCCACAAACAAGCCAGCATGTCCAGCTTCGACGACATTCTTGCAGAAGCCAGACACCACGTTGGGGAGAACGGAAGACGGCGCAGCTTCCACATCCTGCTTGAAGGAGTGGCAGAAGCTACGCAATGCTGCCAGAGCTGCTCTTCTTTGCTCGATAGCAACGTCTCCGGACCAACATGTGGATGCTAACTCGGAAGTTACAGCAGCAAGATCCTGCACTGTAAGATGTTCTGACATCCTTTGCAAGTTGCGTGACAAATCTGCTTGGGGAGCCAGAACGATGTAAAACGACATAACTGCCGCCGCAGACGCAGCATTGTGTGACAACATGCACGCAAGACGAAGAATATCTGTTTGGGGTTCACGAGTGCCTTCCACAACGTTGAGGGTTCTTCCAGCCAAGCTGAGCAAAGCCTTGGTCAAAGCTTCATAATCGTAGATGGCCTTAACATTGTTGACGTTCAAAACAAGTTCCGTGAAACATCTCAGCAGATCGGCACTACCTGCAAGTTTCTCCACGGCTCTGGTTTGGTCTTCCACCAATGTCAGCTTCTCAAGTAAAGAGCCCAACAATGACAGCAAGCCGCTTGCAATGGTCTTGATATTGTCGACAGCAGATGCATCCAAGAAGCCTGAGTTATCCTCAGCCTGGAACGCCAATGTCAAAGTCTCTGCCATTACGACCCATCCATCCAATGTAAACTTGGTCTTCGTCTCCACCTGGTCCAACCATTCAGAGAACCTTGACGTCACGTTCGCTCCGTACATGTAGGTCTTATCCTCAGCGTCAACAAGGAGGACTCTAACGAAATCCTTGCCCTTTTCCAGACTCTTCTCGGCTGCGATTTGACCGATCATTGTGCGACCAATCGATTGAGTACATTTGACAACATCCTCCGAAGTGATGGCGTCAAGGCTTAAGAAAAGGTAACTCAAACTAGCACTCTCCGTCGCGAGGAAAGACGACATGTTAGGAACTTCGAACAGACGAAGCATCAACTGGCGACCGTCACGCACGCATGCATATGCTACCGGTTCGGATGACGAGTTACACAAGCAGCAAGCATCGACCTGAAGGAGAAGATCCAATGCGCGAGCCCTAGGTCCACGCTTCAGGCATTCGAGGGGAAACAAGGCCAACGAATGAATAGCGCTCAAAGCAGTTGCCAGCAGAGACCTATCGAGCTCAACGGACGAACCTGAAGTGCACGCCGTCCGGATGCTTTCGACATCAGTGTTAAACTTTCCCCCAAGACTCAAATCCCGCAATACCTCATCGACATAGACATCCTTGACAGCCTCTTGCTCGAAGAAAATAGCCGAACCAAGCATGGACTTCTCCAATGTAGCGTAAGACCCTGTCAAAGTAGCCTGATCCGCCACAATGGACTCCCTGATCAAAGCCCTGATTTGTCGGAAGAGATTCTCCTGCTTAGACTTTGGCAACGCTGCGTTGACAACTGTCAACCAGCGTCCGGTGAGCAAGGAAACGATGGCAACAGGCAAATTGTCCTTTGAGAGAGTTTTCAGCTTTCCGTCCCAGTGTTCATCACTCTTCCCCTTCTCGATAATGTCTGCTACCTGGATCATGGCAAACTGGAAGGCCTCTTCAACGCTGCCCCTGACAGACGCATCCTCAATTAACTCCACGGACTCCCTGTACTTGAAGAGAACCTGCAAAGCCCAGAATAGACACTCCGTACCTTGATTCATGCACTCACGCATGGCATTGGTAACATCAGTAGATACCGTTGACAGCAGATATGCCTCAGACACGTCGCAAGCGACGTAGTGAACCTTCGCTGTCCAGACTCCCCAGTTTACACTCAAGACTCTCTCGTATAAGTCCTTGAGTGTTGGTAGGATACGAGCAGCGATTTCATCCGACCTAACTCCGCTCAATACCGCAAGAAGCGGAACGAAAGCCGCATCGTTCGCACTTCCCTCAACCCCACTGACCCTACGTCTCTTGCTCCTGTCAGGGCTTCCCACGGACTTGACTCCCCTACCCTCAGCCAACTTATCCGTAAGCTCCTCAATCAGGGCCTTGATCTGCCCAGCGCTCATACCACGACCGGCCACAGCCTTCGCGAACGCCTCGATCGCCTCCTGCGTTCCGAGAGGTCCGTCCATCCCATTTTGACGAAGAGCCTCTTCCCAGGCTGTTGCAAATCCTCCGAGGTCACGGGCTGTCGTGTGGGCTTTGATGAGGTCGGAGATGGTGCTGAGTGCGGCTTCTGTTACGGTTGGGGAGGCGGGTGCGGCGAGGAGGGGATAGAGTTGTTCTGCGCTGTCGAGAACCGTATCGAAATCTAGGTCGAGCACGGCGGAGGTGACACGGTATGCGATCACCTTGAGCTCGTCATCACCCGTCCCCAGTAATTGCAGAGTTTGTTTGACGATCTCGGAGAGTCGGATGGTGAGTCGTTCATCACCGATACCTGCACCACCCTGTCCCTCCTGCGCACTGAACCTCCTCAGCAAATCCAACACTGCGGTCCAAACTTGGATATCGTCACCTCTAAGGGCCTCTGCGGTCGAGATCAAGGAAGCAAAGATATGGTATGCGAGGTCGGAAATCTTGGTCGCACTGAGACTAATTTGGCGAGTGCTGAGGCCGGTGTCCTTGCGGAGGCTTTGGAGGGCGATGTTGAGAAGGTCTGGAATTGCGGCGAGGATTTCGGAGCGTCCAGAGGTGGCGGATGTGATGAGGGAGGTGACCGCGCCGAAGCCCGCGGTGGGCTTAGAGGTGTCGGCAGCGGAGAAGTCATAAAGAGCTTCAGGAGCGAAGATATGGCTGGAGATGGCGTTTGACAAGGTGCTGCGCTTCCATGAGGTGAGGGTTGGGTTACCGAGGAGAGCGAGAGAGGGGAGGAGACATTTCTGGGAGAAGGATTGGAAGATCTGTATGGCCGGGTCAGCAGGGTATCGTCTCCTAGCAGATTTAACCGTACCTTCTTCTGGTTTGCCTGTCCGTAGAGTGAGGTGCGGAATAATGACTCTACTTCATCGCCGAGGACATCCACGGCCTCTGAGTCGGGGTACTTTGCGCACAGCGACAGAAGGTTGGCGTACAGTGTGATACCAGAGTCAATGCCGCTTCGTGAAGTGACCGGAGATGCACCTCCATATAGGATAGAAAGTGCCCTCTGCAAGACAGGGCAAAGCTTGGCGACTTCTTCGAAGGTGAGAGTTGTGAGTTCGTTCAGGACGGATGAGATAAAAGCGATGAATGGCGCTTTCCGGAAGACAATTACTCGTGCCGAATCTGAGACCATTTCATGCTGAAATACGTCCGCAACAAAGACCCAGCTCTCCTCCAGCAGCCGTGCTTTCTTCCCGGATTTTGATGCAGAGAATGACTTTCCGCCAACACCGTCCTCACATAATCTGTCAAAGATCCACTCTAGCAGAAATTCCTCCTTTCGAGGTAAAAACACATTGATATCATTTGTGAATAGACGATTGGCGTAGACCAATTGGTCTTCGATAGGAACTGATCTGTCGCGGAGGTGTCGTGTAACCGATTCAGCAGTCTCTAAAGGTCGATCCTGAATAGTTCATCAGTCATAATCCTTCCCTAAGCATTCAAGAGGGTCCGACATACCAACGATAGACCCGGCATTCTCGCGCCCTTGTATGAACTTCGTATGCCCCGGTACGCTCGTATCCAACTTTTTCGAGAGCGCAGCCCTGGTTAGCCACCGACTTCCCCTGGTGCGCCCCAACTTTATTGTCAATTACGACCAAGCCACGCGCGTGTGTAACCAACCGATCGACGCGGCCTTCTGCTTGTGTGCGGGTACCCTCACCACCCTTCATAAAGACTCGCAACTACTTCCGCACGCCGAGCATACACCCGGTCGATCGCGGCTCTTGACCGCCATTCATACAGGTCATCCGTCGGTTTCATTCTTTTGCAACTTGGGATTCGCTCTTTACAGTTTTTTTCTGCAGTTTACCCAGCATACAGCCGGGGATATAGTCGGCAATGGCCGCTCAGCAAGGTGCCGGACTTGGCGCGACGCCCAAGAAGAAGAATGATTCGGATTATACGGCAAATAGGGTGTTGGCGAGGGTCATTCCGCCATTGCTCGTCGGCGCAGCGGGTTATTCATTATGGGTGTATGTTGTGGTCATCTGCGTGAATTACCTTCTCAAGCAGGGAAGAACTGCATTAGGGGGTATTGTAGAGCCAGTACGAGACCGTTTCCACTCACTGATGTGTCGCGCATATAGTCATCTACCTCATCTTCTACTTCATCTTTTTTGTCCTCATGGCTTCAGCATTCTTCCGACTCATCCTCTCACCACCCGGTTACGTGCCAACCCCGAAGTTAGATCAGGATGATAAGAAGGCGATGAGGAAACTTGAGAGTTATCGAAATGACAAGACAGTTGAGGTGTACGTTTGTGAAGTTGGTGGTGGACCGCGCTGGTGTTCAGCTTGTGATGCACCAAAACCTGACCGTGCACATCACTGTTCAGAGGTTGGTCGTTGTGTCTTAAAAATGGATCACTTCTGTCCATGGTGCGTTATTTTTGGATTGTTTGGGTGACTCCGATGCTAAGTATCAACTCATAGGGTCGGCGGCGTGATCGGCTTCACGCGCTACAAGTTCTTCGTCCAGTTCGTCACCTACGTCGCTTTCTACACCATCTGGATCCTAGGTACGGTATCACCTCTCATCCACGAGAAGACGTCCGGGCATCATCATGTTCCGGGTACTTGGATTGCCCTCATGGCTGTAGGCGGATTCTTCGCTTTGTTCATGATTCCGTTCTCCTCCTGCCATCTATACTACGTTCTGTCGAACTTTACGACGATTGAGCAGATTAACCAGAAGAGCAAGGTGTACCTCCTGAGCGTGATGTACGATCCTCGTGCCCCTCTGACCGGCCGTGCAGTGCTCTCCACTGAGCCGGGTGAGAACCCTTGGAACCTTGGGAGGCTTGAGAACTGGCAGAGCGTCATGGGTGAGCGGTGGTATGAATGGTTTCTTCCTATGCGCAGCAAGAGAGGCGATGGCTGGCGTTGGGAATGGAATGAGCAGATGGTGACGAGGTTGAAGGGACAAGCGGCACGAAGTGCAGGCGAAGATATGATCTCCAGACCTTCCAGTACCCGTAGCGGACGAAGTGCGCATTCGGGTACTCGCAACCACAGGGTAAGCAGAGATGTGCATATTGAAGGAGAGTATGAACGACGGAGTAGGGAAGCACACAGGCGGAGTCACGAGAGTGCAAGGAATGGTTATGGGCGTCCGCTTAATACACCACCAATGGCGCATACACGTCCGCCTCATACTGCCAGGTCTGCTTTGTCGCAGTTTAATGCGCCGTCAGCCGACAGAGCCACGCCAATGTCATCACGCGGGCTGCTGCGTACGGAGCCCATGTCCGAGCGTCGCGATAGCTATTCGGCAGATTCAGATACGGTCAACACTATCAACACCTTCGCCAACTTCAACCGGGACCAGCGGCCGCAATCCGTTATCAGTAACTCCACCTATCCCCGTTCAAATGCGTTCTCGGGGTACACAGAGCCGCCAGCTCAGGAGAGCGCGACGACCATCGACCTGCAAACTGTGGAGGAAGGTGGTTACGGGAATGTCGGTGATGGGGATTGGCATGTCGCACCAAGAAAGGTCGTGTTGAATTTGCCCAGGGTTTCGTCTTATAAGTCTGCGCCGGGCGATGTGCCCTTGGCTGGTTCAGGGGAGAGCGGTGGGAATGAGAGCACGAGGAGCAATGGCAATGGGGTATTGCCGCGGAGTAAGAGTGCGTTTAACATTGTATGAGTACGTTCGATGAAGAGAGATACAAAGAAGCAGGTGAAAGGTGAAAGAAGGACTTTCGGAGGGTTATCATGGGCGTTCATTACTTGTTTTTTTACTTTCATCCAGGAGCTGTACGGGCATGGGAGCGTAGCCCTAGCATTCGCAAGGGCATTAGTGGGCATACTATCGTTACTGTTAATTATATTCACTTAATGGACCACTTCATTTCACGGAATGTGTGAGCGAGTGCGTGATTGGTGGTGCGGTGTGATTTCGCACGGGTCAGGCCAGAGCGCGCTGCGCGTCCCATTGTGTGTCGCACGGTCAACGGCAGCAAAATGGACCGCGGGCTGAAACTCAAGAAAGAAGGACGGAAAGTGTGAAACTGCAATGCGTAGGTAATTTTTAATTACAATTCACAGTACATCGCCCGAGATGGCAATCACAGCGCTTTGTGCGCTCCACTTGGCAGCGGCGAGTGCGGAGTGCCCAGAGCAGGTGGGCTATAAGAACCTCCCCGGGCCCATGACATAAGGAATAAACACACTCTTTTACATTCAAATCAACAACAGTCGCTGGTCGACTTTCATTCGCATTCACTCTCTGGCAAAGGAACCACTACCTTCAGGATTAACTCTATCATCACTTGCAAGCATGGCTCGTCTCAACTACTCTATCTTTCGTACGTCCAACTTTATCTGCTCGTTAGTTCCCAGCGCAAATATTAACTAGTTGTCAGGCTTCATTCCTTTTCACCCTCGTTATCTTTTCTGGGTCATCATCATCGTCGCGGTGATCCTCATGTCTCTCCTCACCGGCGGATGTACCAACAATATCCCTGCCATCAAGTCTCTCTTCCTCGTCCAGCTGGAGTATGATACCGGGATATCGAATAACACGATTGCAAAAGCTGCTACTCTGGTGCTGGGCGAGTCGGATCTTAAGATTAAGGTCGGGTTTTTCGGCACCTGTATCGTTGGCAACACGACCGAGTGCTCCACAGACATCAACTCCTTGATCAACTCCACGGCGGTACAAGCTGCAGGCTTTGAAGACTCTTTGGGTATGTTGGACTTGGTACACAGTTACCTTCCGATTTACCCGCAATTCATCATCATCTCCATCCTTCTCGCCTTCCTCTCTCTTCCAATCAGTTACTTCTGGACGCACGTCGCCACTTACTTTCAATGTCTGGCAGCCATGTTCGCTGGTCTTGAAGTATTTGTTCTTCACATTGAAATATCCAGTTTGTCGATGATTGACGAGGTTAGTTTCGGAGTTTTGCAGGCTAAGGGTGGATTCGCCGCTTTGGTTGTGCAGTGGTTTGCGTTCATTGGCCTTCTCGTTGTATTTGCTGGGAACTGGCTTATCATGAGGATGGAGCAGAGGATCATGAGGTTTGGAGAGAAGCTTGGTGATGCTGTTTAAGTAATCTTACGGTGCACGTCTACACTGTGCGACACACCACCTAGAATTCACGTACTGGAGCACTGCAAGTTTCCTCTACATAGCAGCAAGTTACGTTGCCCAATTACATGCAAGTAATGTACGTCGGTTGGTACCTTTATTGAGCTGTCATACGGGAAGGCCAAGAACGCTATGACGTCAGCGGAAGTTGAAGTGGGGACTAAAAAGGTTGACCTGGTCGAATTTTTCAAACCTCGGATATCGCATGTGAAATGGATAATGAATGAGTCTAGACGTGTGCCTGGGTTTCATCCGTTGGATTGATCTTGCTCATATCAGTTCCTGACTCGCCGTTCGTCGCCTATTTCGTCAAAGACCCCACCCCAGCATCCATTTCCCCTCTCACGGCCCTCCACACCCGTCCCACCATTTCCACTAACAACGCAACCCCATTCAAAATCCCATAAAACATCATAGGAATCACTCCCCACATCATATTCCCAATAAAACCCCTCCTCCTAATCGTCTCCCACAACTCCCCCTTCGTAATCTGCGCCGCGTCAGAGTGTGCCCACGGTCCCACAAGTCGATACAAGGTGGTGAACGCTGCACCGAAACTGTACGGGATATTCCATTAACAACAACACACATAATGCGAAGGAAAATACGCGTACCAATATGTTAGGAGCACATGCACCCCGTGAGCATGCCATAGTTCCCACAACCCCGGCGCAGCCCCAATATCCCTCGCCAACGTACTCATATACGCACTATGATCGACTCCATACTTCACCCTCGCCTCCTCCCTCGCCAACAACAAATAATCACCCCACTCCTCCTCCTGCGGCACTTGCGCTCGCCCTAACAGCATCGACGTCCACCACATCGCTTGCATCTCCGCAATTGGGGGAATCGCGCCGACACCGGGCCGAACGAAGCCGATGTAGGCGAGGCTTGAGTGGGAGGGGTGGAGGATGTTTCGGCAGGAGGCGTGGGATGGGAGGGGATAGGATGGGTGGAGCCAAGTTAGGTTTTGGGTGTAGCCGGTGCAGAAAACTACCACGTCTGGCTTCACGACGACATTCTTGATCCGTGAGTATTCTTTTCGGGGTGAGGGAGTGAAGATGAGGGTACCGTCTGGGCTAATTCGTTCGGGCCAGGGTGCGACTTCGATGATTTTGTCGCTTGATGCGTCTTCGGGTGGGTCCGTGTATTCTGTCACTTTTGACATGCAGCCTCGTGAGGTCGTCCAGGGACGGTTGATGTATGGCATAGCTTTTGTGCTTTTGTTGAGGAAGACGTAGGCTCGTCCTAGCCGTTCGGGTGGGAGTTCTCCTACCCACTGGTTACATCCAACTGAAGTTCCAGTGAGGAACCACAGGACACGCTTGATCACGAAGTCAGACACAAACCACCGAAGATGCGATGTCCTGATCGAGGAGTGCACGTAAGCCGTCTGTGAATGAGATATCAGCAAACCAAAACGGTTCAGAGGTCAATCAATATCGCCCACCTCAAACAAATTCGTAATCAACCCATCAATCGGCAACCGTCCCTTAAACGCTTTCCCAAACACCCTAAACGCACTCAACGCTTTCGGGAAACTCAACCACCCCCCACGATGAGCTAGGACGACTTGCGGACAGTCGGCTTTGATTGCTTCGTAGGCGATGTCCATAGCTGTTTCGCCGCAGCCCAATACGAGAACGTTTTTGTTAGCGATTTGGGTGCGGGATTTGTAGTGGGAGGAGTGGAAGTGTTGGGGTACGTGTTCGATTCCAGGGATGGAGGGGATAGAGGGGGTTACGTGGAGACCGGTGCAGATTGCGATGGCGTGGAAATGCTCCGAGATTTCGTGAGCATTGTTCGACTGCGAGGTTACAAAATGACCTTCGCCAGACTCGTTGGGAGATATGGAGATTACGCGGGTGGAGAGCTTGATGTGCTTGTAAAGATCGAAATGTCGACAGTAGTCTTCGAGGTAGGCGACGTACTCCGGCAACGTAACATGATCCCCCTGATCCCTAGGCATACGGAAGTCAGAGAAACTGTGAAGGAGGGTTAACATTCAGGCTAAATGCGGATGATGCGGAACCAGGTTCACCATGTCAACTGCTTCGACGAAACCAACTCCGCATTCTCGTACGACCGATACCGAAAGGTGCCACCAATCTTATCTTCAGCTTCGAACAAAACGGCATCAATGTCTCTTGAGAGCAATGTCTTGAGGGTTACCAAACCTCCTGGGCCTCCTCCAATGACAGCTACCTTCATTGTTCGAGAAGTCGGTGATGACGGTGTTGCGTTCGGCCCGATCGATAATGTGGGGGCAGGAGCCGAGGTGATCGGGCCTGCGTTGGTGGATGTGGGACGATTGGCGGGGTGAACTGGACAGCTGCTGGGTGCGCGAGCTCGAGGCTGGGAAGTCGCTTAACCAACACGTCGTTGTCCATCCATTGTCACAGGTTTGCTTGCATTTATCTCCTGAACTTCTCTTCTGTCTTTTCTCTCTTGTTTGCAACTTGACAACATGAACTGGACGGGTGGTCGCAAAGCCTCAGCAGCCGCGGGCTTCACCAGCAGGACCGGCATTGAGCGGAGGAACCAGAAGGATCACTTCGCAAGGTCAAGGCTGAAGAAGGTATATGCGGGCGCATCTACAGCGAGGAGCACCTCAAGCTTCGGAGGTGGTGAGAGAAGTGCGAGGAGGAATATCACGTTTGACGTAGTGCAAGGGAAGCAGGAGACGGCATCGGCGTCAGCATATACGGAGCCTCAATCAACTACAGTTGCCGTGCAGAAGAAGAAAGGATCTAACAAGACCCCTGGACATAACAAACAGCATACACTACCTGAAAACTCGCTGCGTACACCTCAATCGCTTGAGCGACCCAATGACCGTCCTGCGCTCTCCTCCACCAAACCCCCAGCTCCGGGCACGAACATCGCGAGCAAACGCCTTGCGTTGTTGGGGAAAAGTGATTGGCTGGGGTTAAATGCGCAGTCATTACTTGAGGTAGGGAGCATGATATCAAGAAGTGTACCCAATGTGCAATTCACTTACGTTCTCCATAGGCGACGCTCCTCAAGAAGCCCAAACCTCAGGAAGTGGAACAGGATGTGCCTCGTCATGAAAGGTTGGTGAATCCTACGTGAGCTTTTTATAACGTGCTAACATATCGTTGAAGTGCATTCAATCGTACCTCTACGAAAAGGACACGCCCGCCTTCACCTCCAGCAGACTCCTCGCTTGCATCTTCAATTCCTAACACTAGTGATGTGCGTTCACACTCGGAATATGGGCCCAGTGTCTCTACCTCCTCTGACGTGCATCCTCGCCGTCGCTCGAACCACGCACCCAGCGAACGGTCCTTCACAACCCGCGCATCAGGCGCCGCTCGCACTGTTGTTGGCGAACACAGTCCTGGAAGCAAAGCATGGGGTGAATTCGTCGATGGACAAAACAACTACGCCATAAAGAAGCAGCAACAAGGTATGGGGAGTAGTGAAGCGCCGATGATGATTGAGGATGATGCAGAGGGTGGATCTGACGATGCAAAGTCGGAGAGGTTTGTCGAGGATGCTGGGAAGAGCAAATATTTCCACGCGCAGGAGGAGTTGACGGATGAGGTCGTGAGGAGTTCCGACACGGAGTATGAGAGCGCGGTTGCTTCGCCGGACGAAAAGGCGAGCCAGATGACGAGGCAACAAGACAGCGCTTGGAGGGGTTTTGTCGAGCAGCCATATGAGAACCAGGCTGGGTACGTGAGAAAGTCTGTTCAATCGCATGTTAGTGAATCCACGAAGTCTTCTGGCGGCTCGGCCTGGGATAGGTTCATGAATCAGATTGAGTCTGCCTCGACATCAACTTTTGGCGGAGGATTTGGATTAAGCAGCGCGGGTTCAGATCAGATTCAGGAGAAACACCTAGATGTTGTGCAACAGGATGCAGATGTGAGATTTTCTGGCACCGAGAGGCAAGAACTCCGATGTCTGTCTCCTCAGAATCATCATCAGAGCATTGTCGAGGCGGCGTCTTCATTTATGGCACCTTCGCACAATGTCCATTCGGTTGACAACCCGTCGAGCTCATCAACAAATTCCACAAACACACGTCCAAGGCGGTGTACCAACCCCTTCGCAGCCTTAGCTGACTGCGATAACCCATCCTCGAACCCGGTACAGTCCGCACATAGCGATGGGGTTGGGCTAAGTGAGGACTCCCTGATCTTTGTTGGTGTTGCGACGAGGGAGCCTGCAAATACGCAGGTGATGTTTATGGGTACACATATGCGCAGACCTGCACCCGTGAAGGAGGAATCGACTTCGTCTGATACGGCTGAGCTGGTGGATTTAATGGGCAGGCGGGCGCCGGTGAGTACGCAGATGCCTGTGCACGGCTCTGAAAGGGCATTCTCGACGTCCATACCTATCCGAGGTGGTATTGCGCCAGTATCCCATCAGCATGACCAAGACAGCTATTCTCACGACAACAATTACGATATCAGCCTCATACACCGTCAAGTTGTCCATTCTTCCGAACCCTAAGAGATGACGAGAGGTTTGCGTTCGAGAATGAGTTGCACTATGACCATGCTGGGGTGGGAGGTGATGTGCTCCCGCCTTCATCCGAGATGTTTGAGGTTTTGACTGATGGAGGCTCGGATGAGAGTGGTGTGTTTGCGCCTGGGCACGTCGAACCGCCTGTGGAACTGGAGTATATGTTCACGGATCAAGCCAAGAATAGGTCTCAGAGCGTCATGGAGCATGTCGGTGAAGAGGACGACCGTTTTGCCGATGCTGAGGGTTACGATGAGCCTCCTCAAGAACCGCAGACGCACATAGACGAATATGACTCCTCGGGAAACTCAAACACGGCGTCCGTTCACCGTTCTTCTGACAGAATTGTCGAATTGCCCTCCACACCGTATCATCCACCTACGTCAGGTCGCGATGTTCTGTATTACTCGCCATACTTCCCGCCGGCTCAGCTTCGTGAACCGTGGGCCGGTGCAACTCCAGGGACTCCCACGGAACCGAAACCTCCGAACAGAGAGACGAACGTAGTGCTTTCAGAGACTTTGACGCCTGTCTCCAGCCCAACCGGTCTCATCAAGGGACTGTCAAGTGGGCGCGACGTTAGCGAGGATGCCGTAACAGCAGATGTTTCGATGCGCCATGAGAAAACTGGAAGGAGGAGGAAAAGCTTGTTTGAGAAGCAAGCTGATGCTGACAAGGTTGTATTTGATTCTCATGGGTCAGAGGAAGATGTACAGTTGCAGCCCAGGAAGAGTCAGAGAAAGAGGAAAAGCACGAGTACTTATCTCGTTGCCAAAGAGCACATTGCATCCAAGAAGGAAAGACGCGAATCCCGCACGGTACCATCTACCAGTCGCACATCAAACGGAATTGGGAGAAGCCCTCCCAGCAATGGATCTAAGACTTCCGCTTATTCTGGAAAGCCTGTTGCACGTGTGAGAACGTTGTCGTCAACTAAAGTCGTTTATTCCCGTCCTGAAAGGAGCGAGGTAACGAAGGAGAATGTTGGAGATGAGACGACACTATCCAGTATGTCTACCGACAAAGTTGATGCTTTATGTGAGGTTGATGACATCGAGGATTGGTGAACGATACGGACTGGACTGCCCATGCCTGGAGAGTCATATTCTGGGGAAACAACGAAACAAAGCTGATCAGTATCTTCGACACGTATAAGGGAGGCAACCTCAGTATAATCGGAGTATATGTTCAATGAATTGATTGGTTTTTATATGCTTTACTCATCAATCCCATCCTTTTGTGGATAATCAAGCTCGAACCTCCTTCTCCTCCACAACCGCCAGTAATGGTATATGCGGCCTCATGTCGTATTCGTAATTCATTCCTTAGAGAGGAATCTGGTTCTTGATGGTGAATCCAGGGGCAATGGAAGGGTTCAAGACCCTGTCAGCATCGTTCCATGCCTGACCAGCACCGAAACCTAATCCAGTGAAAACGGGCCAAGTTCGTCCTGTATATGTCGATTAAATCGGCTCTGTAAGAATATAGGAGAGAAGACTTACGGCGGAAAAGAAGGACGGAAGCAGCGATACCAACAGACAAACCGAGACCAGACCTCACCAAAGCATTGCTGGCAATGAAGTCCCACTACAACAACGGTGAGCGATGGACAGGACTGATCCGAGGGAAACAGCAAACCTTCTCGTTCAAGAGCTCCTCAGAAGCAATCTTCGATTCAGGAATCTGGAGTGACATTTTTGTGGTGATATAAATTGGGTTGACGTCGGCTGTGCGGTCCCGCATTTGGCCGCAGGCCATGCATCTTCGTTACACGCAGAAGACGAACGCACGGAAAAACGACTTTCACCCTTTGATCTGTTAAGAAGAGCCCGAGAATGCAACTTTAACGGTCCATTTCGTGACACTATGGAGGGACCGATCATTTCGGTGTTGTCAGTACACACATAAAGCATCAAATCGAATTCGAAGTCAGCATAAAGGACCGTTGCGGTTTTGTCGTTCTCTGAAGAAAACGTATGTTCAGAGGTTAAAGACGGCACTATGCCTCCTACAAAAGCTTCCGTGGAGGAGGAAAAGGTGTTGAAGGGGCTGCAGCTTCTGGCAACAGAAGATATTGCATGCAACGGAGTGGATCATGTTGAGAGGCATGCAGGAGACATGCAAAGTGGAGAAGTAGCAAATGGGCTCGAGGGAGAAGCGTTGCCAAAAAGCCATGACTTTGGGATGACACAAATATATGACGAATTTGCGCAGAAGCGATCGTTCGAAGAACCTCAGCCCCAGGCAGCGCCGCTGCCCGCTTTCCCGAGGCCTGTACGGAGTGCTTCCATGCCTATTGAGTATACCAAAGCTCCCAGGCCTTCCGAAAGTACCGCCTCGAAGCCTAGCATCCTGAGGAGGTTGTCGCGCGGCTCGAGAACAATGGTATCTGCATCGGGTCCCGTCACGCAAAGACGCAGATCGTCTTCCGATCCGTCGAAACCACATGAGCTCGAGCCAGGGATTACTGAGAGTACTTTGGTGCACGAGTCCCTACAAAGTGGCATTGCCCTGCTAAGAGTCACGAGGAAGAAGGTCCGTGAAAGAATCTTCATGCTTCACCTGGATTCGGCTCTGGTGACGTGGGACACGAAGAGCACAAGTCGATTCGCTATCGACGATATCAAGGAAATCAGGTGCGGCAGCGATGCTCGGAATTACCGTGAGCAGTTCAAGATCAGTACGGAGCATGAACCTCGCTGGATGACGATCATCTACGCGCAAGACAGGAAGCTGAAGGCGCTGCACCTGATTGCGCCCACAACGAAAACACATGAGTTGTGGAGGTCCACCTTGGAGCGACTTTACCGCTACCGAGTAGAAATGATGGGTGGTTTGGGATTGCTGGGCAGACAGAGTTTAACATTGATTACTCGCCAGTGGAGGGAAACTGAGAAGACCCATGATTCGCATCTTACGTTCGAAGAAGTCGAACGGCTTTGTCGGAAATTGCATGTCAACACGAGTCGGGCTTATCTGAAAGGGCAGTTCGATGAAGCAGATGAAAACACGACTGGTAAACTTTCTTTTGCGCAGTTCCAGCAATTCGTCAAGCGTCTGAAAGAACGTCGGGAAGTAGTCAACCTCTTCCGCAAGCACGCAGCCAATCATGCCGCCATGACTGTTGATGAATTTGTGATGTTTTGCATCGATGTGCAGAAAAACACTCAAGGACCTGATGAACTCTGCAAGGTTTACGCGAAGTATTGTGACAAATGTAACGACGAGCAGTTCGACGAACAGGAAGCCTCTTCTTGCGCATTAACGGTTGAAGGCTTTACTCGTTTTCTGCACTCGCATGACAATCCCATCTTGGTCAGCACGGTGCTGGATATGTCACGACCGCTAAACGACTACTTCATCTCGTCTTCACACAATACCTACCTCTTGGGTCGACAGGTGGCTGGTGAGAGTTCTGTCGAGGGCTACATCCGAGTTTTGCAGAGAGGTTGCCGCTGTGTCGAAATTGACTGCTGGGACGGGCCGGATGGACCAGCGGTATTTCATGGGCGCACGTTCACGAGCAAGATCAAGTTCGTGGATGTCGTACAAACGATCGCAAAATATGCGTTTTTGGTGACCCCATTCCCTTTGATCATATCGTTGGAAGTACACTGTAATGCGGAACAACAACAGACCATGGTTGATTTACTACGGAGTAACCTTGGAGAAGCGCTTGTGACGGAACCTATCCGCAACGACGATGGCAAGCTCCCTTCGCCTATGGATTTGAAGCACCGGATTCTTCTGAAGGTCAAGAACCACTCGATCGAGGATCCGGATGACTCCTACTTTATTGACTCTTCATCAACCTCAACGACTGATACGGCAGAATCTGATACGCTTGACAGCGAAGCAGCGAGACCTGTTCTGCCCTCCACGTCTAAGCCGTCACCGAAGCCGAAACACAGGGCGAAGATTATCAAACCGTTGGCCGACCTTGCAGTCTACTCAAAGGCCCTCAAATATCGGAACTTCTCTCTGCCTGAGTCGAAAACGTATAATCACATCTTCTCGTTCTCTGAACGAACGTTCAAGCAAGTGAGCAAAGCTGTGCCTGCTCAGCTAATGAAGCATAATTCGCGGTACCTCATGCGAATTTATCCATCGGCGTATCGCATCAGCTCGTCGAACTTTGAACCTACAAGGTTCTGGAGGAAAGGTGTACAGATGGTTGCATTGAACTGGCAGACATATGACCTTGGTCTGCAAATGAACGACGCTATGTTCGCAGCGGATCGAACTGGGTATACCGTCAAACCGCAGTACTTATGGTCATCTGAAATTCAGAAAAGTGTACCTACTCCATCTCGGACTGTGCTACTCAAGCTACAGGTTATCTCTGCTCAGCAGTTGCCACGGCCGCGAGATTCACGGGCTGACGTCGTCATCAACCCATGTGTTGAAGTTGAGGTCTTCGCCGACGATAGTGCGACGGAACAGCTACAAACGCTGAAGAAGCGCACGCATACGTTTCACAACAATGGTTTCAATCCTGTGTGGGATGAGTCTTTCAGGTTTGAGCTGCCAGCATGCAGAAACAAGGACCTTGTCTTTGTGAGGTTTTCGGTCTACAACGACGATGGGCATTCGAACGCAGGGACTTTGTTTGCGACATATTGCGTGAGACTCCGTGACTTAGGCCAAGGGTTTCGTCATGTTCCCTTGTCGGACTTGCAGGGAGAGCAATTCCTATTCTCTACATTATTCATCAAAGTGGGACATTCTTCGCGTTCATAAGGCGTTTGGCGAGTTGTTCTTTTCGATCTACAACCCGGTACGGCGTTATCTTGGCATTTTATATACCCAAATCATGATTTCCTCTCTTCAAAAATTCTTCCCCTCCATCGATGTTCCTACGCTCACGTGGCGTATCCCCCTGCTGAGCCACCAAAAAGTTAGAGGCGATACACGAAACGTATCCGATAGAGTTTGCAGTTGTAGAGAGTCAGGGCTGTCGAGAGCAAATACTTACAACTCGTCATAATGGTGAGGACGTTCGCTTGTTGAATGTTTTGGTCCGGATGGCTTACATTGCTCGCAGATCCGTCGCAACGCTCGTCAGCGCCGTGAGTACCTTTACGCTCGTGCCCTTGCTCAAAAGGAAGAGGCACTGTATGAGAAGAAGCAGAAGATCAAGGCCGCTGTCGCTGCCGGAAAGCCTATCGCGCCTGAGGTGCAAGCTGGCGTGCAGAACGAGGACTTGAAATATGACGAAAGTCAGCAAGCCGAGATGTTGGAGCAAATGGACAATGAATACTTTCTGAGTGGTATCCGGGATCCAAAAGTCTTGGTTACTACAAGTCGTGATCCGAGTGTAAAATTGGCGCAGTTTGCAAAGGTATGTCGCATCTTCATTTTTGGGTGGCAGTGGTAACTGACAACGTTGTAGGAAGTGCGCTTGGTCATTCCTAACTCGCAGCGTATCAACCGTGGTAACTACGTTATGAACGATATCGCAGCTGCCTGCAGAGCAAACGACGTTTCCGATCTCGTCATTCTTCATGAGCACCGTGGTGTTCCTGACGGTCTCATTATCTCTCACTTCCCGCACGGGCCAACAGCATCATTTACACTTCACAACGTCAACTTGCGTCACGATATTCCTGACGCTGGTACAGCAAGTGAAGCATTCCCTCATCTTATTCTCCACAACTTCACCAGCAAGCTCGGAAAGCGTGTTACGGATATCCTTAAGAACGTCTTCCCGCCGAGCCCGAAGTCCGATTCGCCAAGAACCTTGACCTTTGCAAATGACGGAGACTTTATCAGCTTTCGACACCACGTACACGTCAAGACCGGACCGAAATCTTTGGAGCTTGCCGAGGTCGGACCTCGGTTCGAGATGAGGCTGTACCAGATCAAGCTTGGTACAATCGAGAATGTGGATGCGGACGTCGAGTTTCAGCTTCATCCATTCCAGAGGACTGCCAGGAAGCGCGATGTCCTCTGAAGGAAAATGGTGGATATCTTTGGCATTTTTACAAGGTTGTCGTTGCATTCTATTCGGGTTCTGGCGTCTTGGGTTTGGGTTTTTCGTGTCATCCCGTTGTACTAGTAGAAAGCTTGAGGCTCTTATATTACGGCATATTCAACAAGTATCTTCATGTCTTCATATACTTAGTCTTCCCCAGGACATACATACGCATCGGTTTCTCAATCAATTAGAGTTGCGCCGGTGCCTCTGGAGTGCAGCAGCTGACGTCGGGATGTTGGTGGTTAAGGGCATAGGCGGAGATTGAATGAATTGCGCTCGACTGTCGTTCCCACGACTGCAAAAGTTGACATGCCGCCTATCAAGCTGAGCCAGGCAATTCCCGAAATGGGTAACGGAGCAGATCTCTCAAGTCACCCGTTGTACTCCAGTTACCTCATGGCTCTACATCACGCTGCAAACGAGGTCAGCACCCGACGTTCCCAGTTGTCCGGTCATACAGCGTCGCAGGACTTTTTGGAGTGGCTGGATAATCATGCTGCTTCTTGTGACTCGGGTCCATGTGTTTGGCGGCCTCATAATCTTCCTGATCACGGGCAGAAGCGGCGCAGACTTAGCAGAGAGAAGGATGTTCCGGGGAGTCCGCGACCAACAGAACCTGATCTTTCAAATTTCTCCACTCTCAGGTTACCGATTGACATAAGACGAGATCACCCGCTATCAGTGCCCGCCTTAACGGCACCTCAGAACGATTCCCGTCAAAGTGCAACTGCGGTGCTGCGGCTAGGCAGCCCACAAGAATGTATGAGTACTAAAGCCAGAGGAAGTATACATAGGTTGTTGAACAGTGTCAGCGAGAAAGGAACTTCCAGCGACTTGGTACCATGCACCCCGGGCGCTCGCGTTAGATTGATTGTCGCTGGGGAAAACGTTCGGAGATTCCCTCGGGCTCATATCGGAACCCTCGAGACTGAGCCAATACGCAAGTCAAGCCTAACTAGATCGCCAGGTAAAGACAGAGCCTCTAAGACCGTACAATCATGGGTGATAAGATGCATTTGTGGTAACGCCAAGGATAGCGATGGTTTCACTGTGCAGTGTGATAGCTGCGATGCCTGGCAACATGGGCGCTGTGTCAAGATCGAAGCCGATCGAGTCCCAAAGCAGTTCTTCTGCAACTTATGCCGCCTTGAGAAAGAAAACAAGGGGCGAGTCGATGGTAAAATCTTTACGATAGCTGAAGCTTCGTCGAGGGAAAGATACCTGGACAAAGTCGCTCCTTCGAATGATGGTGCACCAACACCGATACCAGACCAGCCTCCTCGACTTTCGGTAGCGATGCAGGTTCTTCCTGACGCAGACAGATTAAAACCAAACTCCAGAGGTCTACCCGAAGTCTTCGCTAAGACTCGTCAGGAATTGTGTGAGGCTACGACGTACTTTAGATCATACCAGGTGCGTTTCTTTTTTGCACTACGATGAGAACATTTTGCGAACCTTCTTTCAGTCCGGTATATATTACAGCAACGATGTCGTACATGGATATCTTCTGGATGGTTATGGATCACCCAGAGACTATGTTGGTGGACAGTGTGTCATATCTCACGGTGGTGGAAAATCGGCAGTCAACCCCACCACGCACGGCGTGTCACTTCACGCTGATCAGACCGTAACTGATCGCGGGGTCTCCGCGCTGTTAAAGAATATAGAGCGACAAATACCTCTGGTGTTGATTATCGGTGATCGATGTTCTGTGGCACCTGCAAAAGTCCCCGAAAGATACTGCGTTTTGGGTTGGTTCAAAATATCCCACGCGTGGTGCGAACGAGACATCACGAATAGTGCTGGCCACATCCGCTGGAAGTTTCGCTTTGAGAATCTTGGAGAACATAAGCCTTGGTGGATCCCTGAGACAAGCTCTACGGAGTTACATTACGTTCAGCCAGACTATACTGATGAAACTTGTCGATACTGTCATGCGCCATCACCAAGAATATACCAGGAAGGCTGGATCTGCACGCAGCCTCAGTGTCTGATGTTTTGGAAAGTGGGTAGTCCTGATATCCTTTCCGTATTCCCTGACAAGTGTGTAGTTTTCTAATGGCGATAGCGTACCCGACAACCTGACGTTTTCGAATACTTTTCTGCAAGCTCCCACCCCTTCCCCGGCGCACATGTCACAACCACCATACTCCCTCAGGCCACCTCTCGTTGGAGACAAGGACATTTTCTATGGCGGGGTCGACACGTATCACGCGTTCTCACGGGGCATGTGCTGTCCACTATGTGGACGGTTGTCTTGTCGCGAACTCTGGGAAGGCTGGGAATGCCCAACATGCGGTTTTACCCATAAGCCAAGACGCAGCGTGTTTCACTCTGTACAACTGCGCGACCCTTTTCGACCTTTGTACACTGGGATTCCCATCCCCCAGAACTATGTTAAACCCGGCTCGGAAGTCCAGTCGTCCCGAGTTGACGGAGGTCAAGATACACTGATCATGAAGTACGAGCTTGGCAGCAGCGGCTGTGTGTATCACATAATGAGAAGCTCGATTCAACTGCAAGACGCTGATCAGTTGTTTGAAGACTATCAAACCGGGGCTGTACTTTTCAGGCGGCATCCGCTGAAAACAACCAAAGTTTCCGGAGGTCGGTTTTTGCAGAACCAGTTCACTCATAATGCTGGAGCACATTACAACCATGTTGTTGCAATGGAAAGCACGCCTCTGGAACACGCATCGCCTGTCATCAATCGCACGTTGAACGTTCTTCTGCAATCGGTTCGTGCAGTAGAACCTGGGGCAGAGTTTAATGAGCTTCTTTCGATAGCCTATATGAAGCATCAGAAGATGGATTATCACGATGATGGCGAACCCGGGGTTGGCCCTGTAGTTGCCTCCTTGTCACTTGGAAGCCCGGGGATCATGCGGTTCAGGCCAAAAGTTAGGAGACCAAGCTTGATTGCTCAACGCGAGCAGACACAACAACCATGTGTTACAGAAGAGCGGGCATATGATTTATATCTGGAGAATCCAGACATTGCTATTCCGGAACTTGCTGATTTTAGCGAGCATCGCACCTCTGCGAACCTTCATTCCAATCCCATGTTACGTCAAGCCAAAGTTTCTCACGGTGTTGGTGGACGAGATGTACTACGCTTAACTCTAAATCATGGTGACATCATGATTATGACTGGAGGCTGCCTGCAGCAGGAATATGAGCATGCACTCTATATGACTGAAAATTCTGTCATGAGAATCTCGGCAACCGCACGGTGTATTTCAGTGGAGAACGGAGGTGGCAGCAGTCGCAGGGCTTGTGACAACCACAAACCCGCCCGACGGCAAAACCCTGTGCTTGTCGACATCCGCGAACGATTGGATGCTGCAGCGCGGGCAGGTGATCCCGAGGGGAGTTAAAACTCAATTGAGGGATGTGGTTCGGGGAAGTAAAGGGGTTGTTGGGGGTGTGTGGATCTATAATGACACGTTTAGGCCGAAGGCGATGGATATTATACATGTGCGGAAGGAGGTTATGCTGATCGCAATTTACCCGCTCACCCACGCCCTAACCTTCTCGGCACCTGATGGACAGACAATACATGCCAAGGCTGATTCGGTGATGGTCACAATTCCGGATGTCTTGACGCCGACTACATCGGAAACTCGGTTATTAGATATTGATGGTCGCGTGGAGAGGAAGGAGAGACCCAACCGTAATGCATGGAAGTCGTTTAGGGTTCCGAGAAATGGGCAGGATTAGGGGACATTGTCTGAGATTAGGCAGAAGTGTCACAGGTCTACGTCAGATGACGGGACCCTGAACGCATTCGAATGAACTTCACCGACCCGAAGTACATGCTCCACGTGTTACAAAAAGTATAAGACGCCTGGAGTAATATGGTATATTGGAGGCAGGATCGTGACGGACCGCTGAGCATTGCAATTGCGACCGATCGCGTGTGAAAATGCAGTCAGGTAAAGAAGGTGCGGCAAAAGAACACATATGCAGACGTGAGAAAGAACGGGTGATATGGTATAATAGTAGATTAGGGATATATAAGATACTAGGATATATGTCGCTTTTGGCGTCATGAAAATACAGATCCCTCCGGACCTTCCAAAAGACTATGCTATAATGCTATTCCTAAAGCTGGCCAGACATAGTGCTGACCCTTCCAACGGAAGCGTACTTGGCAAAGGGAGAGAGGGCGCCCTTCTCGAGATCCTCCTCGGGGTTGTGAGCCCTGTTGTCGCCAAAGTGGCGGAAGTAAACACGCTTGCACCACTTCCACACGTCAACGCCGATCAAGAAGAGAATCAGTCCGACGAAGGCCACAGCCCATTCCCAAGAGATACCCTTGTGCTTGAAGACAACGTCATTGATTACAGGAATGTAGATGACGGGGAAAACAGTGACGAAGCCAAGGATGACAGACCAGAACAAGAACTGGTTCTGCCAAACGTCAATAGCCCACTGGTAAGTGATGTTGTACCAGGGCTTACCATCAGCGCGACGGAAAAGAGAGTTGCGCATGTCAACCAACTCCCAAGCAAGGAAGACGAGGAACCAGGTCAACTGCGCGAAAGTAGCGGAACGAGCACGGAAGACAGAGTCACAGATGGGGTCGTTGCGGTCATTGCACGTACCGTAGCCGAGCTCACCATTGTCAACGCCCCAGACAATGAGGACGAAAGAAGCGATACAGATAGTAGCCATCCAAGTACCGTAAACGACCATGTCGATAACAACCTCCCAGGTGAAGACACCAGTCTTCAACGAGTGAGGAGCGCGACGCATGACATCAGGAGCAGCACGCTCCATACCAAGACCCATAGCGGGGAACGAAGAAGTAATCATAATGATCCACAAGATCTCAATAGGAGAAAGAGGGAAAACAGAACGGTTGGCAGTGTCCTTGAAAGCAAGACCGATGAGGAGGTAAAGCGCCTGAGAGACGTTACCGGCGAGCAAGTGCAAGACGAACTTCTGGATGTTGTCGAACATCCTGCGACCCTCCTCGATAGCGTTGAGAATGGAAGCAAAGTTGTCGTCAGTCAAGACAATGTCGGAGGCATCCTTGGCTACGTCAGATCCGGCCATACCCATAGCAATACCGACATCGGAACGCTTGAGAGATGGAGAGTCGTTGACACCGTCACCAGTCATAGCAGCGAAAGCCTTACGCCTGTGTAAAGCATCGATCATACGGACCTTAGTCTGCGGCGCACAACGGGCAATAACCAGAGGCAAAACGGGAAGAGCATCGATCTCGTCGTCAGAGAGACGGTCGAACTCTGTAGCAGTCATGACCATAGAAGAAACGACATCACGAGGCAAGACCTCCATGTCCTCAGGCAAGATACCGACCTCCTTAGCGATAGCACGGGCGGTTCCAGGGTGGTCACCAGTAAGCATGTGAACGTTGATACCAGCCTGGTGACACTTCTTCACGGCACCGAGAGACTCGGGTCTGGGAGGGTCGTACAGACCGACCAATCCAAGCAAAGTCATCTCCTCCTCGACCTTGTCTCTGGGGTAATCGTCCCAAGAGTTGTTCTCAGTCCAAGTCCTCTGCGCCAAAGCAAGAACACGAAGACCCTGCTTAGCCAATGCCTCCATGTTCTTCAACACGAGCTCCTTGATCTCCTCAGTCAAGGGCTCCTGCTTGTCCTCGATACCGATGGTGGGACACTTCTCCATGATACGCTCGACGGCACCCTTCAAGAAGACCATGGTCTGGTTCTTCTCGTTGTCCTTGAAGACGGTGGCCATGCGCTTGACGTCAGAGTCGAAGGGGTACTCGGCGAGCTGAGTCCAACGGGGGTTGGATCCCTGAACCCAGCGCTGACGACCCCAGTCGAAGCGGTGAGCAAAAACCTGAATAGCAATCTCAGTCGGGTCACCAGTAGCCTTCCACTTGCCCTTCTCAGAAGGATCCTCGCCAGAACCATCATCCTTGCGGACAGTAGCAATGTTAGCCAACGAAGCAGTATTGAGATACGCCTCCAAATGCGGGTTTCCCTCAACCAGATCCTTCGGCTCAGAAGCCTCTTCGCCAACATTCGCCTCCTTATTCCACAACTCAGTAGGGTTCATCTCCGAGAACGAAACACCACCAAGAGTAGGGTTGAAAGGCTCATTGTTCTCGCCAACGGTGTAAGTTCCAACATTGTGAATCCAAGCCTTACGAGTAACCATCTTTCCCTGGGTGAGGGTTCCAGTCTTGTCAGAGCACACATCGGTGACAGCGCCCAAAGCCTCGAGGGAGTCGAGCTTGCGGACGATGACGTTACGCTGAACCATACGCTTCGTACCGACGGCCATGGTGATGGTCAACACGACGACGAGGGAAGCAGGAATCATGGAAAGACCGGTAGCGATGGCGTAAATGATGATATCGGAGTTATTGTCAAATCCGTTTGCGGCAAGACAGACGATTGCGAAAACGACGGCGATACCGAAAAGGAGAATAGCCAAACGGGCAAGCTTCTTCTGGAGGGGGGTTCCGACGTTGGTACCGAGGAACGCACCAATCCAGTCTCCGACGGTGAGGGTGTAGGCCTTTGCGTAGGCCTTGGGAGATGCGGTTCCATCCTCCTTGCGCTTAACGGGACGGACTTTGTTGCTGTCGCCACGCATAGCCTTCGCGATCGCACCGATCTGAGTCTGCATACCGGTCGCGACGACGATACCGCGTGCACGACCCTTGGTGACCGTAGCAGAAGAGAACGCCATGTTGGTGCGGTCACCGACGGGGATTTCGTCGTCATCGAAGACAGCCTCGGCTTTCTTCGAGACGGGGACGGATTCACCGGTGAGAAGAGCCTCATCGGACTCCAAGTTCTGGGTCTCGGTGAGACGGAGGTCTGCGGGGATGGTGTCTCCCGTGACCAAAACGACAAGGTCACCGGGGACGAGTTCCTGAGAAGCGACGGTAACGTCGTCGCCGTTGCGGATGACGTGGGCAGTAGGCGAGGAGAGAGAACGGAGAGAGTCCATCGTCTTCTGTGCCTTGTACTCCTGGACGAATCCGATCACGACGTTCAAGGCAATAACGAACGCGATAACACCACCCTCGATCCAAGACCGAATTCCAAACGAAACAGCCATAGCCAAGATCAAAACCAAGATCATGGCATTCGCGGTCTGTCTCACCAGAATCCCAATGACATTGACCCCCTCTTCCGCATCAAGTTTGTTGTGTCCATAGCTCTGGAGTCGCGTCGCAGCCTCTTGTGGCGAAAGTCCATTCTCAATCGAGACGTGGAGGTCCCGCGAAACGGTCTCGAAATCGAGACAGTAGGGTTGAGCGGAGAGTGGGTGAGCTGGCTGGTAGTCGGTTGTGTTCTTACCCATGTGATCCAGTAAGTTTGTCGTAGTCAGTGTCGGTGGTGAGAGCCACTTTGTTCAGTGATCAGTGGCGTGTAGTTGTAGTAGTTGTTGTCGCAAGCTCGGTATATATATCCCAACTTCTTGTCAAGAGTCGAGATTGTTGTTGAATGATGCAGGGTCCCCCTCGAAGGTGGGCAGCGGGGTCCTTATATACTTTGACATTCGGGATTGGCGACATCCGTCGCACCCGACCCTCCATAGAAAATGTGTGTTCAACCGCCGATAGTGCCGAGCAAAAGAAGCTTATCGGAGGTTTAGGACTGATCTTTGAGGCTGAGAAGGGAATCGGTCTGACGTACGAAGTATGGCCGCAGTAATAATCCGGGGTGCTATGCAGGGAGGCTTAGCAGCGGGTACCGCGGAGGCTTATACGGGACGGAGCGATTGCGCGATGAAGCTCGGACCAATCGATCCGTGCATCGCAAGCACCACCGAATTGGTCTCTGTCGGTTTTGTACACGGATCGACCCCACCTCCATCACTTTTCCTTCTCTTTCTCTTTGTTGAACTCGCTCGGATTAAAGTTTGGCGTGAGGCTCAGCTCAATGTCGCTTAGCAATAACTTCCGAATCGGGTTTAGCGAAGCACAGCCTCACTGAATGCGCAGTCGCTGCATCGGTTACGACGGAAATGTCTGTATGCATGCAGCTGTGAGGAAGCGCGCTCCCTCGAACGCGAAGGAGGGAAGGCGACGAGTGGTACTTTCTGGCGAGACGGGTGTTCTGGAATGAGCCATTTCTGTCATCGAGGGTGCTGTGATCGACCCTTGATTAATATTTGTGCCATGATCGCACGGACGTCTGCGGCTTCCCGGCATTCGAGAGTTAATTGGGGAGGAGCATGCCCAGCTCTATAACGTGATGCTTGGATACTTCAAGTCAATCGTGGAGCACGCATGAAGTCTTGTGCTCGGCTGTTGGAAACTGACGTTATCAGATGCTGAGATGACGAAACCGCCAGCTTAAGCTTTGTGGGACGTCTAGAATACTCTCAGTTGCAATATAGTTTGTGGATGCAGGTCCCACCACGGTGCTCAAGGTAACCACCAAACCGTAAAATCCAACAACCTCACCATTCAAGCAGTCCAGGGATGGGATATAGGGGTCAAGAGCTACCTATGAGTGTCCGTCAGAGGATGCGAAGTGCTATTCGCGATGGTACCAAGCATGCCGTCATTGCGGAGGATAATGGTGTTCACCGCAATACCGTCGGTAACATGAAGAAACTCTTACACGAACAGGGAAACGTCAAACCGCGTCGCAATCAACAGAGGGGACCTGTACCGAAGATTTCTGGCGAATGTCAGGAGGTTTGACGCTTTTTGTGAGTCGTTATTCGCTACTTACGCTGAAAACAGACCCTTCGAAAAATGTACGATGATGCGCCCGATACGTACCAAGACGAAGCAGCCGAAGCTCTCACGAAGCTCTATGGCTTTAAACTCGACAAATGGGATGTCTGCCGCGCCCTCAAACGACTCAGGTACACCTACCTTAAGGTCAGCACGCTGACACTCCATTCATGGATGTACTGGAGAGGCTGACGGCCTACTAGTTGAAAGAAACAGCCGCCCAGCGCAACGAGGAACTACGTGCGCATCATACTATGCTCATGTCACACTATTCTGCGGAACAGTTGATGTATCTCGACGAGTCCGGTATCAACGAATCCAATGCTCGGCGGACCCATGGATTTGCTCCCAAGGGCAGAAAAGCCAGGGTATCGAGAGTCCTCAAACGTACACCCGGATGGTCCATCCTCCCAGGTCTTACAGTCGATGGATTCGTGGCCCTGCACATCTACCAAGGTGCTTACAATGCGGACCTATTTTACGACTTCGTCGAGAAAGAGGTCCTCCCAAACACAACACCCTTCCCAGGGCCTCGATCTGTGATTGTAATGGACAATGTGCGCTTTCACCATGATCCCAGAATTGCAGAAATCCTCTCGTACCATGGTCGGAAATGCATCTATTTACCGCCGTATTCGCCAGATCTGAACCCCATTGAGGGATGCTTCGGTATAATGAAGCAGTATATGCGCAAACATAGCAAGGATCCGACTGAGATCATTACAAATCCCTACTACTTTACTGGGAAACCGCGAAATCCTCGATTACGCCCGAGATAGCAAGGTCCATGTTCCAGCATGCTGGGATCTCTGCAGAAGTCACACACAGCTTCTTTTAGGTCTTATCTATCGATAGCTTAAGTTTCAGCTCAGAATACAATCTTACCCTTGAGTTCTTGGCCGTTGTTCTTGTGGGGTGCATAACTGCGCCACAGCTGACGCCACACGCTGGAATAAGGGTTGTGAGAGCTGACATCCTAATGGTGGAAAGAGTGCGTTTTGCGCTTTCAGACAAGCCCTTTTCGACTTCGTTGCGACCATTTTTGCGGGGGTTATAAGCTCATGAAAAGCGTGGGATTCCCGTATGCAGGAGTTTAAGGCCGCATTAGCTTGCATGGTCATGCATACGGAGAACTTCGAGGCTGTTGATTGAAGAGAAAACGAATAACTCTATGAATTTACATCTCCCAGAGCTGAGAGTGGTACCATCTTGATCACCGAGGTCGACTCTATCATCCTACTCGCTGCTGGGCTTCCACTTCCTGCGGTAGTGCAGCAAGCGGTCGTAGTTCCCTCGAGTGATTCCCATGGATTGTGCGCCTTCCCATGACAGATGTTTGAGCATTTTGACGTCATAGTCAGCTTCAGTGAGCCTATTAAAGTGTTCCTCAACACAGAAGGCGTGCGCTTCAGACTTCTCCTTGACGTATTCCAAGAAATCCCTGAGCAACGACCCTTCAGCATCCTCCTCGATTGGTGGACTTGAACGGGGGTCTGCTGGAGACGGCTGACGCTGAACAGTGTGCTGCATCATAGGCGCCATCGGCCACATGGGTGGGAGCATTGGGTAAGGGTAAGGGAGCCCAGGAGATTGGGGCATGAAGGTAAACGGCGAAGGGCTGGAGTTATTTGTGCGGGGCGTTTCCGCGCCGGGATTGTCCGCATTGAAGTATTTGTCGAAGCGCGAACCTCTGGGAGGGTTGTGGAGGGTTGCAATGGGTGTCTCTCCTACCATACCCGCTGCCCAAGCCGCAATGTCCTCCTCCATCAATCTCATATGCTTCCCATTGCGCACAAAGCACTGCCGATCGCACTGAAGGCAAAAGTACGTGTCTTTTAACCTCATAATCATCTCTCGATGAGTTGCGGTATCCGTGGGGAGCTGGGCTACCATTTGCGCATTGACGGTTCTGCGGCCCTGCTGCGAAGAGGGAGGTGCACCTATCAGACACGTTAAATTACGCGTTTCCTCGACATAGGATGATAAAACAAACTTACTTGAGTCATTTGACGCGCCTTTCTGCGTCCCTATCAGGAACAATTCAACATACTTGCGGGCACCGCGAATTAACCCACAGCGAGATTGAAGCTGATTCCAGTCGAATTCTGTGGCGAGATTCACCTCCCCCTCCTTCGAACGGGTTGGCCCAAGCTTCATATCATAGGTCCAGGTGAATAATATGGCGTCATCTTCACTGAGACGCAAAGCTTGGAACCCTAACTCCCTCAACTGAACTCGAGCCATATCCCAGACCTGGGCGATCTCGAAATCAATAACCGACGCCGGATTCAACTTCCCCTGGGTTCTTACAGCAACCTTGGTCTGCGGGATTGGCGATAGGTCGACTGGTGGAGCTGCTGGTGGAGGAGAGAGGTCCTCTTGGACGGTACGAGACCTTCGAGGCAGGGGTAGCTCAGGCTCAGGGGCATCCTCGGGAGCCGGACGACGGGATGGGATTGAAGGGGAGGGTGAAAAACGCGTGTGCTCACCCCTCCCGCTACGCCTGGGCCTCTGGATAGATGACATTGTGGATGAAACGGTCATTTTTTTGCGATTTGGAATACAGGGCGTGCGCAGGGGCGCATGCACAAACTATAGTGCAACTGAGAGTATGTTGCCCCTGTAACGTCGAACAGTCCACATGCACAATCACGTGAAAGCTCACCACCAAAAGAAATGGATGAAATGGACAGCCCACGAGATCCTTCCTCGCGCTTCACATGGAGGTCCCTCCCATTCTCCCCCTCTCCCTTCACACAACGCTGACAGATCACGACAACAGAGACTTAAAAGCCCTCCGCGACCACGCCCAAAACTCTCCCCTCCGCGTAATAGCCCACATCGACCTCGACGCCTTCTACGCCCAAGTCGAAATGGTCCGTCTCCTCCAGCCCCCACACCTGCCCCTCGCCGTCCAACAATGGCAAGGCCTCATCGCAATCAACTACCCCGCCCGCGCATACGGTATTCAACGACACATCACCGTCAAGGAAGCCTTGGAGAAGTGTCCAGAGTTGAAGCTGGTACATGTACAGACTTGGAGAGAGGGTGATACGGAGCCGGGGGATTGGGAGGCGCCGGAGGTAGGCACGCATAAGGTTAGTTTGGATCGGTATCGGAGGGAGAGTGCGAAGATCTTGGGCATATTTCGGGAGCGATGTGATAGGGTGGAGAAGGCCTCTATCGACGAATCATACCTCGATTTGTCAACCCTTGTTTATGAAGCTTTGTTGGAGCAGTACCCGCAACTCCGACACCCACCACAAGATCTGAACACGCCATTACCACCCGCGCCGCCCACCATCTTCGACGAAGAAAACCACGGAAAGATAATTGACATCAATAATTCCCAAGTGGAAGAAGAATTACCCTCAGACTGGTCCGACCTCTCACTCTCCCTCGCCGCGCTCCACATCACCTCCATCCGCAACCAGATCCGAACACAACTAGGCTACGACACAAGCGCCGGCATCGCCCGGAACAAAATGCTCGCCAAGTTGTGTTCGTCGACGTATAAACCGAATATGCAGGCTGTGCTTAGAGAAGGCGTGGAGGGGTCGTTTTTGGGGGGCTTTCGGTTCACGAAGATTAAGAATTTGGGCGGCAAGTTGGGTGCGAAACTCGTCGAAATCTACAAAACTGAACAAGTGTCCGACTTACTCAAGGTACCTATCGACGATCTAAGAGCGAAATTGGGACCAGAGACAGGCGCATGGTTATGGCAAATCATTCGCGGTATCGATAACAGCGAAGTCAACATTCGCACCGACACAAAATCAATGCTCTCCGCAAAGAATTTTCGACCATGTATTAACACAACCGTGTCCGCGCACCGGTGGTTACGCGTACTTGCAGAAGATTTGTCTTCACGACTCCTCGAGGACCCTGCACACCGTCGTCCTAAAACACTTACGCTTCAACATAAATCCGGTGGCGGAGTGTCCAAGTCTAAGTCGATGCCTGTGTCGAAGGGGGGTGAGTTGACCGGGGAGATGATTTGGGGCATGGCGGTGGGGTTGTTGAGGGGGGTGGAGGGCGAGGGTCGGTGTTTTCCTTGTGCGCTTTTGGCGGTGGGGTTGAGTGGGTTTGAGGGGAGGGAGGAGGGGGTGCAGGGGATTGCGGGGTTCTTGGTGAAGGCGCAAAACAACGTTCCCCGAATACAAGATGACCAGGAGAGAGAGGGGAGGAAGATGGAGGAGGGACAGGTGGAAGGAAGGAGTCTTGGAGGTTTCTTTAAGCGGAGATCCACCGCAGACGAGGAACCAACGCCGGTACAAGATGCTGCACCCACTACAGACGGTCCAGAACTCGAAGAGTTCGGCGAGAAATGCGAGAGGTGTGGACAGTTCTTCGTCGACAAGCAGGAACATGACGATTACCATTTCGCAATGGACATGGTCGCGGAAGAACGGCAGCAAGCGAGGACGCAACATGAACAGTCAGTGGGACACAGAGAAAAGGATAGGGAACCTGCGAAGAAGAAGGTGAAGGTTGAAAAAGGGCAGACCAGGTTGTCATTTTTCAAGTAAGCACGCATGGGTATTGGAAAGGGTTTGGTAAACGGCGTTTTTGAATTGTCTAGGGGTATATCACGTTTTGCATAATCGCATCGGGCACACAAGTCCATATCTTACACCTTCACAGCAGTTTCAGACACTCGCTTACTCCTCATCAGCGTCCAAGTTCTTCGGAAGCTACACAGCACTCGTCAGTCTCACACCCCAATCGATGTAACGCAGTCGACTGACCGGCGCATTTAATCTAAACCTCTTTCGTGGATCAAGCATCCCCCTTCTGCAGTCATAGTACTGCTGTCTGAGTAAGAAGCACTTTGAGGGTACTTGGTCGTGTAGATCTGGGTTTCTGAGGCAGTCTTTCACGGAGTTCCCGCCCGCCATGACGCAGTCGGAGACGAGGACGCATTGTGCGAGTTGTTCGCGGATATCTTTGCAGGCTGGCAGATTATCAGTCAGTTGGGCAAAGCATAGGAGATGAAATCCGTGCTTACATGATCCCATATCTGGTGTTTTGACGGCCTTATTCGAGAATGAATGTATGGATCTACGTTACACGGACTCTGCATGATGAGCCGAACCGGGTAAAGCGCCATACAGTGCATAAAGTTTAAAGCTCAATTAAAGAATTAACCCCATGGTATAAGCGATAGGAAGCGAAAAAGGCAACCCCATTGACCAATCTCTTGCCCAACGTCCCAGCAAACATACCCAACGCCCCTTGTTATAGTTCTAATCTCGTTCCTCATTGCGTGTTCGCGTCCTCCACAAGCGTCCTCAAAGTAGGGCTCCTACCCAACAATGTAACGGCTCTGCGAGGGCTCAATCCAGTTCCACTCTCCTGGCGAGACTTGTAACGCTCGAGTTCCCTCTCCAAGCGCAAACACCTCTCGTGCTGCTCGCGTGCCTCACGTTCAGCTCTGGCTGCCCTCAGCTGAGCGTTGTTCTCGCTGGTGTGCAAGTCCTGTATATCATTCGTAAGGTACTGGATGCGCTTCTCCTGTTGAGAAACTTCCGACTCAATCTGCGACTTGGCCTTGTCACTGCGGCTGAGCTGAAACTGTAAGTCGCGGATAGTGCGGTCGGTATTACGCACAGTCTTGGCGTGCTCATTCCGGTACTTCTCATGCTCTTGGAGTTGTTTTTCCAATTCCTGAACACGGGATTGCAGGGAGCGTGCATCGCCCGAACCGGAAGTCGAAGGTCGGGTTTCATAATCGACAAGGCGAAGCTGAAGCTCCTTGACAGTCTTGTCAAGGGACGCGAGATCCTTATGAAGTTGAACGTTCGCTTCACGCTCAGACTCCTTATCCTTGAAAGCCTGTGCAGCCAACGCCTCAGCCTTGCGCATCCGATCAACGGCAGTGGATGCCATGTCCTTCTGCTCAGAGATATCGGCACGGAGTTCAATAAGCTCCTTATCGCGCAAGGCTGCATCACGAGCAGAAGAATTGCCTTCAGCCAACGAATCGAGACGGGTGGTTGCGTCATGAAGACGATGCTCCAAGTTCCTCTTCTCCTTCTGAAGTTCGAAGCGCTCGGACTCAGCCTCGTCAAGGGTGGAACGCAGATTTCTGATTTCAGACAACAAATTGATAACATTGCCTTGGACCTCGCGGTGAGCAGCAGCCGTGTCTTCCAAGGATTTGGTAAGTTCCGCGACTTTAGTCTCAACACGTGTCTTCTCGTGAGCCCAGGAGTTTCTGTTGATGACATCCTCGTCCCACCTGGATTGGATCTCATCCGCATGGGTACGCAGCTCTCTGTTCTCGGCTCTAAGCGCGACGATACGACTGCGTTCAGATTCCAACTCTTCAGCAAGCGTAGATAGTTCACGCTGGTACTTCTTCTTCGTCTGCTCTGCTTGACGATCCCTGTCCTCGACCTCTTGAGCATGAACACGACGATGGTCCTCAATCTCCTGCTCCAACCGCTGGCGAACAAGCTGAACATCGAAGGATTCGGCAGCGCCGTCCTCGATTCTCGCTTCGAGCTCGCGCACTTGCTTCTGCAGATCCACAACCGCATCTTCAGCCAGTTTCCTCTCAGCTTGGACAGTGTTAAGAGCCTCTTCAGCATTGTGCCATTGTTCCTTGGCGAAAGCCTCGGACTTGATCGCCTTCCTCACCGTAGAATCAGCCTCCTCGAGTCGGCCGAAGAAATCATCTGCGCGTTTCTTGTGCCTATCCAGGTCAGCCGATAGCTCGGAGTTGCGAGACTCCTCGTTTTCCAAGCGAAGGGCGAGCTCGTTGAGTTCACGAAGAACGGCTTGACGGTCGACAGCGTCGTGCTGGGAGACTTCTTTTTGCTCAGATCTGACATTGGCAAGGCTGGTTTGAAGACCATCACGGGCCGCTTGCAATGCCCTCACCTCATCTTGAGCACGCTTCAATTCTGCGGCAGTTTTCTTCTGAGCTGCAGCAAAAGCTTCGCGTGACTTGGCGAGAGCTGTGAAGGTTTCCTGGAGCTCTTCCACTGACTTATTATGAAGGTCGCGGAAATTCAGGGCAGACGAGTCCTTGTCTTCAGACGCACTCGACTTCGCGCTTTCATCAAGAATCTCGTGTAAGCGTGCATTCTCCAGCTCAAGGCGACGGATGGCAGAAACAACAATGGCACCATCGCCTTCCTTCGGCAAAGTTGCCAGGTGCTTTTTCAATTCGCGCTTTTGCACATCAGACAAATCCAAACGAGCTTCCAATGACTCAATGTCACCTTCGAGATCTTGTAGACGACGGTTGAATCTCAAAGCTGCGTCCTCATACGCCTGTCTGGACCGTTCCGAGGAGTCTTGGAGAGCGTCGAACTCGACCCGCATTTGACCCCGGGAGTCGCCATCTCTGGAGGAAGGCCCCTTTGCAGTTCTATCGATTGCGTGTCCTGGGTAGGAAACCATCGGCTTCGCGGGCGATTTCTTATTTGAACGGCCACTGGCATTGGCAAGCTCACTCAGCAAGGCCTGACGTGACGCCGAATATTGCTTGTCCTGGTTTCGCAACTCATCGCTAAAGCGCTTGCGATTGTCTGCCAGTTGCTGGGCGGCGGTCAGGCGACGCTGCTCGGCATGCTGCACAGCGGCCTGGGCTTCCTCCAACTTGCGAGTCATTTCTGCAACCTTTGTACTGGTACTCTTCGTTCTTGTCGTCGATGCACTCTCTTGTGACCCTGGAAGACTCTGGCGTATCTCCAGGAGGTCATTCGTCTTATCATTCAGGTCCGCCTTGGCAAGATCAAGCGCAGCCTGAAGTTCTTGGATGTTTGCCAGGGACAGTTCTCGGTGTTGTCTTTGCTCCTCGATGATTGCATTCATCTCGGCCACCTGCTTCTCGAGTGTACTGACCTTCTTCTCGCCCTCCCTGGCGGTCTGGCGTTCCCTATTCAGCTGAACGGTAAGATCTTCGATCTCGAGAGTAACGTTCTGTCTCTGCTGATCCAACTTGCGCATGGTTTCTGACAGATCAGCATTCTTTTGCTGCAAACGCTTCATCTCGGTATCGACCGAAGCCTTTTGTTGCTTAAAGCTTGCAATGACGTCGGCATTTTCACGAGAAGCAGCCTTTGCAGCCTCTGATGCTTTAGCTGACAGCTCCTTCTCTGAGTTCCGTCTAGCGTTTTGCTCGGCAGCAAGGCGCTCCTTGAGAACCGTAACCTCATCATTTGCACGCTTCTTGATGAGGTCATTGTTGCTCGCATCTTCCTGGTACATCTCAACTTCTGCTCGCAATGCGTTGATCTCGGAGGTCAAGGTAGAGTGCTCGTCCAAAAGATCATCGAGCTTAGCTTGCAAGGCATTCTTCTGACCAGTGGCCTCCGAGACGAGGCGCTGATGCTTCATCTGCGAAGCCTCAAGAGCACTCCTTGAGCGCTCGACTTCGGTCAGACGCGCCTGAACTTGTTTAAGCTCTTCGAGGACAACAGCACGCTTCTTGTCAGCTTGACCTTGCAAAGTTCTCATTTCAGAAAGCGCAACCCTTTCGGCCTTCAGCTGCTCCTGGACAGCATTCTTATCCGCAAGTGCAGCTTGGTAGCGGCCTTCCAACTCCTTGAGTTCGATCGCATGTTTGGTAAGCAACTCTGCCTTCGCATTCCTCTCATCGGTAAGCTCATCGTGCAGAGAAGCCAAATGTGCCTTCAACTCAGCCAATTCCGTGTCAATGAGCTTGCTCTTCTCAGAGAGCTCAGCCTCGGTACTATTCTTCGCCTCGAGCTGAACCTTAGCTCGAGTCGCTTCCTCCTCCAACTTGGCTTTCAGAAAGTTGTGGTTCTTCACCTCACCGCGGAGCTTCTCAAGTGCAGCGGTCATGTCAGCGATCTGTGCCTTCATAGCATCACGGTCTCTTGAACTAGACCCGGTCTCCGCCTTCGACTTCTGAAGATCCTGGCGCATGACAGCCAGATCGGCTTCCTTTTGGCGGACAATGGACTCATAACCGGTTGCAGTAGCGGAAAGGTTAGCCAACTGCTCTTGAATCTCCTTGTTCTCCGACTCTAGATTCCTGGCCTTTTGTGCAGCGGCGGAGTGTTTGCCGGTCAAATCAGATACGCGAGCTTGCAGATCGGATAAAGACTGCTCATAGCGAGACTTGGCATCATCCGCCTCCCTTTCTTTGCGTTTGAGAAGACTCTGAAGGTACGTGATCTCGCTCTGGATCTTGGCGGATTCGCTGTTCTGCTTCTCCTCAACGGACTGCAGCTCGGCAATCGAGGTCTCGAGCTTTTGAACTTTCTCGATCAATTCGCTCTTCTCGCTCTCCAACTTCATGATCAGTGCCCTCGCCTCGTCCCAGCGAGCCTTGTAGCTCTCCAACTTGTTCTCGATCTCCTTCTTCTGGTTCATGAGGTTCTCGATCTGCTCTTCCATGACCTCGCCATCTCGCTGCTCCTCGGCCAACTGCTCTTCAAGGTCAGACAAACGATCCTGTGCGCGCTTGTACAACTCCTCCTTATCAAGCATCAACGCACGTTCTTTTTGCAACAACTCCTCAATGCGCTTCCTCTCGGCCTCTGCAGAACGGCGCTGCTCTTCAAGAACACGCCTTTGATTCTCCTCCTCGCGTACCCGGCTCTCCAACTCAGCCAAAGCTGCTTCCTTCTTCTTCAAAGCCTCATCTGTACGTGTAGCATTCAGTAGTGGCTTCATCTTCATGTGCAGTTGCCACCATGGAGATTGCTGAAGCTCCAAGTAGATCATCATGTTCCTCTGAATGAGCTTAGTAGCATCCTGGCGATACAGTCTCTTTCTCGTCATACGGCGAACCATATAACCCCGACTTGTGGCTTGGAATCGAGACATGATATCGTGAAGCAGCGCATCACGCAACTCCTCAAGCTGAGCCAAGACACCTGCGCGGAAGAACACTTTGGTCAAACCAATCCTGAAAGAAGCCTCATCGATGTCCAACTTTTCAAGCATCAATTGCGCGGCCTTTCTCCCGTCAATGAAGCCTTTCGGTAATCCAGGAGTCAGAACCTCGTAACGCTGCCTAAACTCCGCAAACGGCAAACGGTTCGGGAAACCGGTTCGTGCAATACGGATACCCTCAAGAACACCATTACACCTCAATTGATCCAAGACCAACGGACCACTGAAAACTCGGGGCTTCTTCTCGTGATTCGGCACGATACAACGCACGAAGTGCGGTTGAGTTGAGTTAAGTTGGTTCATGAGCGTAGTCAACTGCTCCTTATGTCTCTGAGCGACAGTCCTGAAAATACCCTTCTTCACGCGACTAGAACGCTCAGTCTTGGTGTCGACGGCATAGTCATGGAAAAGGTATGCGACATGCTTCTCGTGCGAAGCGGCAAGCAACTGAGTGATGTTCTCATTGAGCGGATCCTTGTTCTTTTCCAGCCATCCATCGGTGCGGTACTCGACATCGGCAGCATAGTGAGTTAAAGTAAACCCTTGCTCGTGCTGAAAACGGCCAGGAGTATACTTTGAAGATCCCTTCCACATCTCATTCAACTGGTCTGTGAACGTACGATCTGTGGCCTTGGGCATAACACACTGCTCGTCGAGCAAGCTCAGGATACCAATCGGATTCGCCTTCTCGATGAGGTCGATCGTGGGCTGCAAGTCGTGACCAAAATCAATGAACTTCCATTCAATGTCTTCACGAGCGTACTCCTCCTGTTCGAGAACGAACATATGATGGTTGAAGAATTGCTGAAGCTTCTCATTGGTGTAGTTGATACACAACTGCTCGAAGCTATTGACCTCGAAGATTTCGAAACCGGCGATATCAAGAACACCAATGAATGCGCTGTTATCGGCCGGTGACTGTGTCATCTGGTTGATCGTTTCGACCAAGTCTCCGAAAGCGCGTTCGTACATGGCCTTGGCGAGTGCGTCGAGTGAGAAACGGACTTGACTGGCACTTCGTGCTTGGACGACCCATTCACGGCCAGCCTTGACTCTGGGAGTCAATAAACCCTTGGTGAACTCCTTCACTGGTACGCCGAGAATGTGGCACAGCTTCTCAACCTGGGCCAGATTAGGGAGCCTAGCTTGATCGGAGCGGTCGGATGCCACCTCGACATTGCCAATGTGAAGGATAGCAGCGATGATCTTCATTACATCGAGTTGCTTATCTTCGCTGAACCCCATGATCGTAAAGGCTTCGCGTAGAGCGGTGAACTCCTGAGAGTCGTCCACTCCCGCAATCGACTCATTAGAGTGCTTCAAGTAAGCATAATCATCGATACTCCCATCCAACAACAAAGTTTGCTTCAACTCAGAACTTGCACCCCTGAGCAACTGATAGAAGATGTGGTAGTTCCTCTCCGCACTCGTCTGATGCACGACACGGGATTTCTCGAGAAGATACCACTCGATGTTGGCTCCAGAGATCTGTCCGTCACTGCTGAATTCGATTTTGATGAACTTACCGAAACGAGAGGAGTTGTTGTTTCGAACAGTTTGTGCGTTACCGAAGGCTTCTAAGATGGGGTTTGCTTGCAGGATTTGCTGCTCCAGCCTCCTCGGTGTGCCCTGCCCGCCGTCACTGGATGCGATAGATGCCAAGTACTGGATGACCTTCTTGGTGTTCTCAGTCTTACCGGCACCCGATTCACCGGTGACGAGGATGGACTGGTTTTCGTGAATTTGCATCATGTCGTGGTAAGCGATATCTGAAGTCGCGAAGATGTGAGGTCTGGTGTCTCCACGACGCTTATTGCGATAGAGCTGGACATGCTTTTGGTCGTAAATTGGTATGGAGTGGTAAGGATTGACGGCTACCAAGAAAAGGCCGGAATAGGTCTGCATTCATTAGCATTCATCTCTGACGTGAAGGAAAGTGTGAGAACTTACATAGATCAAATCATTTTGATACCTCGTTTGCAGGTTATTAATAACAGATGCTTCGTTGAGATGCGTCAAGTCTGCCATATCATCCGCCTGGTCGAACTTTGGCGGGTTGACCTTCTCCACATCCTGAACGTTCACCTTGCGATCCGTGTCATCCAGGCACTTGACGTGCAGCTCACCGCCTTCCTCCTCAACAACCCAACCCTTGACAAAGGCCTTCGCCTCATCCTTGACCCAAACCCATTTCTTGCCGCTCAGGTCTATTGCGGCAGCGTCGATGCCGTTGTCTTCGCTGCCCTGCTTGATGAAGAGAGGCTTGAATGTCTGTGTTTTCGTGGGAGACGTAGGAGCACGGAACCTGTCCTTACGAGGACTAGAGACTGAAGTGAGCTTCGGCAGCATGTTGAGCCTGGGCTATATGCTGATGCCCCGACAGGCGATGTTGGTCGTGAATTCGGTCAAAGCTTAGCGGTAAACAGCAGTGAACGCAAAAGGATGGAGCTCCTCTGGCGATGGACGAACAGTATGCGGATGGAGCCCCGTCGTAGAAGGCTTGTGGTCCTTGATAAAGGGGGTGGAGCTGTCGACGAGTGGTTGGACCTCCTGTAAGTTGAATGCTGCTTCTACCAGAGGCCCGTGTACGGCATATTCAGGGGTATGTAAACACAGCCTGCATCAGGTTGCATCGAGCCTGCATTCCCTAGCAACGAGTGCGGGCAACCAAGAATCAGTACACCGTTTGAACCAAGACCTCCTTCTTGTGATTTTGTTGTTGAAGTTTGTGAGTTCGGAACAGTCCATCGACTTGTACAGTCCGTTACCGCAGGCAGCATCCCACGACCACGGCAGTCAGTTCACCTGTGACACTTACTGCCCCACATTGCCCAACCGCTACGGATCCATCCGAAGTTTGCTTATTAGCGACCTACCTCTTTTCTGTGTTTGCTTCTTGTTGAGAGAGTGAGAGTTTCTTTTTGGAAAGATCCCGATAGACTTTTTGGTTGATTGACGTTCACCATGGCCAACGCTGACGGTGAGTTCGAACTGCAACACGGGTGTATGCGGCTACCGCAACTCTCTGTCTTCTCCCATTCCTCAGTGGACAAACTGATCTTCTTCTGTAGCCGGCGCTGGCCTCCCCAATACCCTCCTTGAGCATTCACGTACAAGTAATCGCAACACACCGCCATCAAGACCACGAACAGCAGTGGCGGACATCCTTGCAGGGAAAACCTTTTCCGCATTCCAGAAGATTAAGAAGGAGCCAGTGAGTCCGAAGGGTCTCCGCAGGCCGGAATATGCTCCAACCAGTCAACCTGATGTGATGCCTCCACCGTTGGCCCTTCCTCTGGCCTCTCCTCCACCTCCAGTAGCTGCTACACCCCCGAAGATTGTTGCAGACGAGACTGCACGGTTGGCGCAGCTCAAGCTTGCTAAAGGTGCAGTGCGTGATTTGGTTAAGTGGGGTATCTCGTTCGAGCAAATCTGTGCCCAAGGTATCCGTGCAGATATTGTAACAGAGATATTTAAGGAGTTGGGCATTCCCACCGGCAAGACACTGGCGCCAGAAGTGACATCATTATCAACCAGTGATCTGTTGCAGATCGATGAACCAAGCATGACTTCTTCGACCAACACTGCTTCGAATTCACCAGTACCAGCAAAAGGATCTCCGGCGACCCCGGCCTCGCCAGTAGACGTGCAACGTAGACGGAAGAGGCCAGTTGCAGCTGATTTTGATTCGCCTGTTGTTCCCGAAGCGCAACGCCGTTGCTTTGGTGCGGAACGGCACCCGCCCGTGCTGATTGATTTCTCTGACGACGAAGATCATGTATCGCAGTCAAGGACCGCAACGCTTCAAGCGGCAAAGAGTACCCTGGCGACAGTACAGAGTGACCAAGGCAATGGCAACGCTGCGTCTGATGAGCTGAGACGGAAGGAAGAGGAGATCAAGAAAATGATGGAGCAGATCGCGCGTATGGAGGCGAACAAGAAGAAGACGGCTTCTACGACCTTGCCAGAGAGTGAAGCAAACGCTTTGAGGGTCATCAGGGACGCAACCAAGGACATCGACCAAGAACGCTTGCAGAGGCTCGAAGCCGAGGTGGAAGCTGGAGTTAAAAGGCGTGACGAAATGGCTGTCAAACGTGAAGGCCTGAAGACCGACGTCGACCGTCTGGCAACGACCTGTTCCGCGAACGAAGAGCGTCTGAAAGATGTCACCTCCCGCCTCGACGAAGCACGCCGGCTCGTGCTCAAAATGGACGATGAACGCATCGTGCTCCAAAAAACCCTCGACGAACAACGCGCTGCCCTAACCACATTCCAGAAGACCTTCGACGAATACGCATCAACCCATGAAGCCGTCGAGAATGACTTGATCACTAAACGAGAGGAAATTCAAAAGTTGAGAGAAAAGTTGCCAAGACGTGAAGTTGAAGATGGTGCGTAATCCGTTGGTTCGAGAAATTTTGGAAAGGATTATCTCAACGTGAAATACATTCTATTTAGTAAACCTCTCGCGCCTTTCTCTTCCTCCCCCTCCTACAGAGGACGTCCTGAGTCCACGTACAACAATGGCGAGGTTAGTGAGGCGACCGAGCCTTACTAACCCTTCCCCTTCTCTTACGCATGTAAGAGTGATCAAGCCACCCGAATCACCTACTGAGTCAGTTGCGACGAACGTCACAGATACGAGTGTGATCTCCGCCTACGTACCTCCGCCAGCCCTCCCACAGAAACCCAAAGGACCTCCGGCAAGGCCTGCGGGGTTGATCCAGTCATACGTCCCGCCGGTTCCTCTGGCTGGGAAGAATGGTCAGAAGCAACAGCAACCGAAGCGGAAAGGTCCCGTGATGGTTTTTCGCGAAGAAGTCATGGAGTCGACAAAAGAAGACAGCGTTGTGGATGAGGCGGAAGAGATGAGTGTGATTTCGTCGGATGAGTCTGGTGAGATACAGGAGTCCAATGAGTCTGTTGAAGTTGAGGAATCTGAGGAGGATGAGGATGATGAGTCTGAAGATAGCTCGGAAGAGGAGTTTTCGGAGTCTGAGGATGAGAGTGACGGTTCTTCTAGCGAAAGTGAAGAGCTGAAATTGATTGATGGAGCGGAAACGGCGACGGACGGCATGCAGGATGTCGTTATGACTACAAATCCTGCTCCGGTTGCTGAGCCTGAGAGACCTGGGACGCCGAAGCCCAAGTTTACCCCATATCAGAGCGCACTACGTTCCTTCCGTTCATACAGGTTTCATCCGTTGTATGCGTCGAACACCGAGCAGCAGTATCGCTCGGCCACCTACAGTCACAAGATCGATCCAAAGATCAGAATGTGCTTATACGAAACTTCTGGCGGCACGTGTAACGACGACACCTGCGAATCCCAACACTTCCGCGATACCAACATGGACGACAACGAAATCCTCGCAGACCTGATCAAGGTAGTCGAAGGCGAAACCGAAGAAGAGCGCAAAGCTTACAAAACAGGACTACACAAGGCTGTGATGAAGATTGGGAAGAAGACAGATAAGAGTGCCGGGGTTAATGAGATTGCGGAGACGATTGCGGAGTATCGCAAGAAGTGGTTTGAGAAGAAGAAACAGCAGGGGCGGGTTTTGGCGTTGTCGTGAGCGCGGGCTTTCGTGATGTCCGTTTGACTCTGGCAAGCTGCAAATGACGCCGTATCCTTAATTTTAGCTTTAGTGTATCAATACCATGATAGCATCGTTCGCATGCGGCATTCCTAGGCAGAATCTCGACTCCATGAACCGGGTTGGCATTCCCAATTTAAGGTTTTGGTCTTGATTGAGGCTCATGTGCGTTGACGTGACCCTCAACTGCGCGCATGGTTCTTCTAGATCTGCCAAGTGCCCCCAATTGCAACCCGAGATTACCGTGAACCACCATCAGCCCAGAAACCGCGATAACGGAAGGACCTGTAAGACCTTAGAAGAGCGACATATAAATTGGCGACAGTGTTCCTCTCTATAAAGAGCTTCATCCAGGTCTGCAGTTACCTGAATTGCAATGGCGGTCCCAGTAGTGTCGCGTCTTCGCATCCGCGACTGGCTCGCACTCTTCCTGGGTGTCGTCTTCCTCTGCCTCGAAGGCGCCGTACGCCTAAGTACAGTCTTTTTACCGGCATCCGTACTTGATTGGATTCGGGCCGGTTCAGCTACGTTTTTCCATCGATATGTGTTTAAGCCTGAGCCGCAGAGCTTTACGAAGAAACTTGCTTGTGCGCCGGGGTTTGTTGAGAGTGAGTTGACTTTTAGCCTTTTCGTTGGGAGGTTTGCTAATTGTGTGTGTAGTGTGTGCACTGTTTGGGTATGAAGCTGAGGAACATGTCGTGCCGACTAGGGACGGGTTCATGCTCGGTCTACACCGCTTACCGAGAAAGAAGGAGGAGTCACTCGATGATGTTCCTCCTGGTCGTCAAGCTGATAAGGGACACCGCAAGCCAGTGGTCTACCTCCACCACGGCCTCATGATGAATTCCGAAATCTGGGTTGCTCCAAACGAGGAGCACCGCTCCCTCCCGTTCGCTCTCGTACAGATGGGATACGACGTCTGGCTCGGCAACAACCGCGGCAACAAGTACTCCAAGAAACACACCTCCCTCAATAGCTCCCAAAAAGCATTTTGGGACTTTAGTATTGATGAGTTTGCAATGTTCGACATCCCTGACAGCATCAGGTACATCCTCGACACCACCGGTGCGCCCTCGTTGGCGTACATCGGCTTTTCGCAGGGCACCGCGCAGGCTTTCGCCATGTTGTCGATTAACCCGCAATTGAACGAGAAAGTCAATTTGTTTGTGGGGTTGGCGCCTGCGATGAGTCCTGCGGGTTTGCATAATCCGATTGTGGACGCGTTGATGAAGTCCTCGCCAGGGATTCTGTTTTCGTTCTTCGGGCACAAGAGTTTGTTGCCCTCGACTATGTTCTGGCAGATGTTGATCTACCCTCCCATTTTCGTGAGGATTATTGATGCGTGTACGGGACTTTTGTTTGGGTGGACGAACAACAACTCGTCGTTTGCGCAGAAGGTCGTGTCGTACAACCATCTGTACTCGTTTACTTCGGTTAAGGCACTGGTGCATTGGTTCCAGATTATCCGATCGCAGAAGTTCCAGATGTATGATGATGACAGTTCTTTGTCGCTTTCGTTGACGAGTCAGTTTTATCGCGTGGCGAGGTTTCCGACGAAGAATATTCATACGCCGATTGCTCTGATCTACGGTGGGAGTGACAGTCTTGTCGATATCAATGCGATGCTGAGGGAGTTGCCGAGGCATACGGTTGCTCATGAGATTCCGAAGTATGAGCATCTTGATCTCATTTGGGCGGATGATGTCGATGAGCTCGTATTCCCGCACGTCTTCGACATCCTGAAGAACTTTGCGGAGACGTTGCCGAGTTCGGTGAAAGAGGCTATCGATGAAGTCGGCGTGGAAGAGGCTTTAGCACCTCAGACTCAAATCACTGCCGAGATCCAGGAGAAGACGGAGATGCCGCCGCACTACGAGTTGGAGGAGCCGAATGCGTCCGTAGGTGAGGATCCCAGAAATGTCGAGATGGATAAAGACGAACAGGAAGATAGGGAGGCAGAAATCGACGAGAGCGAAGAGAGGTCGAAGGCGGTGGCCAATTTGGAGGAATCCGCTGACGAATCGGTCAAGAAAGAAGTCGAACAACGTTTTCGTAAAGGAAGGGGGAAGAAACGTCATGAAGGCAAGTCTAGTTCCAGATTGGGAACGCCGGAGGGGACCAAGACTCCTCATACCCCGGAAGGCTTTCCAACGGTTCATACTGGAAAGCCGGTGGAAGTCGATGATAAGGAACCAGCGGAGCCCGAGGCCTCGAAGACGAAGGCCCAGAAACGGGCGGATAAGGTTCTCATCCGCGGAATGGAGCGCCGCTTATCTTCCCGAGAGGCAGTTCCACAAATCAACACCAGCCCTCCGCATAGCCCGAAAGACAAGAACGGTCCCAAGTCACCTAAGGTGGCTGGAGGTGTCGATCGCCCCTGTTCGCCCTCCGCCAGACGCGCAGCAGAGCTTCAAGAATCATCTTTCCCCTCAGCCGCGAAACCATCCCCCAACCGCCGGAGATCTGAAGCCGATACGACCGGCCAGGGCAACTCACCGCGGAGGATGCTGGATGGACGTCCGCATTACGTTTATAGGGGGTCTGGGTTAGAGATTGGGAAGAGTAAGCCGAGTGTTGGGTCGGGGGCTGATAATGGGACAGTTTTTACATCGGAGAAGAAGTAAGACGTGAGGAGCGGAATGAGGGAGAGAGGAGGAGGAAAGAGGAGAGCAGACACGACACATAATTCTGCCAGTCGCTCGTTATGCTATACCTATAGAGGACGTTTGCAGGACATATATCCCATATATCCATTTTGCTTTCTCTTTGACTTATACACAGAAAGTCCCATGTAAAGCCGCCCAGTCAAAACACATTCATATGTTCGCGGATAAATTGGCGAGCTTATTTGGTTTATCGGGAATCGATAAATCGAGATTCTGCACCCCGCAGCCGCCCGGCGATCAGCTGTTGCACGTCATGGCAGTCGTGCGACGCTCCGAGGATTCAACGACTCCAACCTCGTCGTCACGTCTGTTCAACCCCTAAAGACTCTTCAGCATTCGAGCTTCGTACCGTCACAATGTTGTATCTTCTCTTCGTAATAACTGTCATCACCATTGGCACGTTCTTGTTCGGTTACCATATGGTACGAACTCACCTCCGCTCCAGGAAACGGTCACTGACGCAGCAGAAACAGGGGGCGTTGAACGCGCCTCAGGCTGATATATGCTGCCTAACGTCGATTCCTATCGGTGCCAAAGCCTTCTACGATCTGCCTTTGTGTATTCCTATGTCTACGACAGAGTTTGCGGTTGTTACCTCCATCTTCACGATTGGTCGGTGTTCACATCCCCACCCTCTACTATACCTTCTAACGGTTAACATAGGTGGTTTGTTCGGCTCTCTTGCTGCCAGCAAGCCAGCTCAGGAGTATGGACGAAAGGGTGCAATGCTCTGGAGCACAATTGGCGCAATCCTTGGTCCGATCCTTATGGCTTCCGCTTCGTCGATGCCCATGCTGGCTGCTGGACGTTTGGTTGCTGGATTCAGTAGCGGGATGTCGGTTGTCTTAACTCCGTTGTTCATCTCAGAGATCGCGCCGAAGGAGCTTCGTGGGAGTCTTGGATGTCTCACACAGCTGTCTATCGTCTTTGGCACTTTGGTGAGCCAATTGTTGGGGTTGCGGTTGTCGAAGTCTCCCTATTGGAGGATCATCTTGGGTTTGGCAGCCTTTCTGGGCTTGATTCAGCTTGTGTTGCTGTTCTTCGTCATTGAGTCCCCTAATTGGCTCGTTAACCACAAGAACGATGTCAAGCAGGCTAAACATACGCTGCGCAAGCTTCGTGGGCACGACAATATCGAAGCGGAATTGACGGAGATGGGTGTGTCTGCCGGGCAGGTCCTTGGTGAGTCTGTCAGTTTTTGTCAACGGATCTGGAAGCTGACGTGTGCTCCAGACGAAGAAGAACGTGCCCTTTTGGGTAGCGAGAATGACAACGCCAGTCCTAGCTCCACTCAGGAAGCACCCGCATCTACACGCTCTTTCTTGTTTGATCCTAAGTACCATCAGGTTCTAAAGGCCACCTTCATTCTCCTCGTTGGACAGCAGTTCCTGGGTGCGACGGCGATGGTCTTGTATGTGTTATTCCTCTTTATCAACTGTTGTCAACTAACTCGGTTTGTGTAGCTTTTCTACCTCGATCATGGCTTCTAGCTTCCCTTCTCAAGCGGCCTCCATCAGTGTGTACATCGGCATCGTCAACCTCGTCGTGACGGCGATTGCCAGTCAACTCATCGACCGCACCGGCAGAAAGTTCTTGCTCAACCTTTCTGTGACCGGTATGGCTTTGTCGACCGCCGGTCTTTCCGTTTCCCTCTTTTTGCACTGGCCAACTATCTCTGCTGTGTGCTGCGTGGTGTTTATCGCCGCATTCGCTGTCGGAGCTGGACCGATTCCATTCCTCATGGTATCCGAGCTCTCCCCTTCCGAGGTTGCGGGAATCGCTCAAAGTCTTGGGCTGGCTGGGAACTGGTTGGGTGCGTTCCTTGTTGGAACCTTCTTTCCAACGTTCAAGGATCTGTTGGGATCGTGGGTATTCTTGATCTTTACTGCAGCGGCTCTGGCGGGTTTGATAGGTCTCAGGGCGTACGTGCCCGAGACGAAGGATAAGTCTATCGAGGAAGTTTGGGAGACACGACGCGAGCGGATTGAGTGATGTTACCGGTTACCTGAGCCTTGAAACTATATCTGGATACTCCCTAATCACAATTTTCTAATACTGCTACACTCTTGTCCTCCACATCCAGCCGTCCTATGACAAACTTCATGCTTGAAATGGGACCCTACACAAGGTTCCCGCGGAAATCAAAGTGTGGCGCCAGCTGCAATCCACCGCACGAGGGTCCCGCCTAAGCCCTGCACAAGCACCGGCCGTCGTATGCCCAGTTGATCACCCAGGACAACCGAGACAGAAAGCACAACAAACATGTCAGCTACAGCACCGTTGCTGGATCAAGACGAGGATCACAGACCCAGCGATGTTGAGCGATTGGCTCCTCCGCGGCCTCCGTTGCGGCGGTTTCACACTGATCCGGCGAAGAGGGATGTGAATCGGAGCAAGGTGGTGATTGTGAGTGTTGCGCTCGTGTTGGTGCTGGTCACCTTTACTGGTTTGGACATTGAGGATCCAGGAGTGTAACAAGGGCTTATGAGTGTGGTTTGTAGTGCAAACTGAGCTTGCTGCTTATATCCAAGCGGATCTTGGCTGGTCCAAGCCGTTCATGATGATGTACGACTCTACGCCTACATACTCCCGATCCAGGCTCACTAACACAAGGTGATTGTTTAGGTACGTTACGCATTCATCCTGGATACTCCTCTTCCCTCTACAACTCCTCCACGTCCGCCTACGACAACCTTCGGTCCGCTTTCGGGTGCTGTACCGAGCGCACGTCCACTCATTGATCACCACTGCGCAGTCGATCCATGATCGATACGTTGCGTCGACGCAAAGCCTAGCATACAACGCGACGATAGTGACCTTATGGTTGGCTCTATCGCTGAATGTTGCCGCGTCGACGTGGTATGTCGCGGTAAAGTGGGTTGCTCCGTTGCTGCTGTTCCCATGGACCGTGCTAAATAGTGTGACAGTCTTACAACACCAAGCGACCTGAGCGCTATCTATAACGCCTCAGCATTTTTCGCATATGCCTGGAGTGTCATCCTTCTCGGAGAAGCAGTCCGATGGGATAAAGTCGGTGCAGTCATCTTGAGTGTTGTCGGCGTCGTGATCGTCGCGTATGGCGGAGTGCAAGATCATACACCCGGGCACGAGGTTGAGGCGAGTAACAGGCTTATTGGGAATGTTATCATTGCGATTGGGAGTGTAGGATATGGGTGGGCACGTCGAATCACCCCTGTCGAGCCACGGACTGACCGTACGTTTAGGCTATATGAAGTCCTGTATAAGCGAATGGCATGCCCGCCGGCGGATATGGAACCTACGCCCCGTGATTCTATCTACTTTTCGAACGCCGTAGCCGCAAGTATCGGACTGGCGACTCTTCTCACTCTCTGGATTACTCTCCCGTTCTTCCACTACTTGGGAGTAGAGATCTTCGAATGGCCTTCGAAGCAGGTATGGGTGTGTCTTGTGATCTCAATGGTGGCGAACTTTGTGTTCACAGCAGCGTTCTTGACGATGGTCAGTCTGACAAACCCAGTGTTGAGCTCTGTCGCTGCATTACTGTCTATCTTCGTTATCGCACTGACGGATATGGTTATTACGGGAAAGCCACTGACCCGGAATGCTTTGCTCGGTGGCTTCCTGATCATCGTTGCTTTCGGTGTCTTGGCGGCAGCGACATGGCGAGAACTGACGGAGCAAGAGGAAGGGAGTGAGGGTAGCGATGAATAGGACTTTCACCAGGGTATCATTGATATTCAATTTATGACATAGAAGATATTAAAAGTGTTTGCAAAACAGTGTGTAAAAAGACTAAAGTATGCCATGTTTTCGGCCTGCGCTGCTTATACGCGGTCATCTCCGAGCGGGATTCGCTCCTCGCTAACATCGACGGTCTTGTTCACACGGATACCCTCAGCGCCCCAAGTGCTCTCGCGTGCCTCAACGTTGGTGGAGTATTGCCTCTTCTCGTCCATGGGGTAGAGAGAAAATTCGTTACGGTCGTGCTGGGTGCCGTTGGAGGAGAACATGATCTTGGAGTTACCGACAGCGGAGGTAGGCATAACGGAAGGCCTGAGCTTCTCGGCCTCGACGGTGGCCCACATGGAGGACAAGGGAAGAGAGATAACGACGACGGTAGTGGTGAAGGTAGCGAGGGAAGAGAGCGTAACCCAGATATCGGTGATGGTGAGAATCATAGGAATAAAGAGAGTCTGGAGACCCATGATGAAGATAACCTGCATGGGTCCGAACTGCTTCAACCCGAGTCTGCGACGAGTGCGGATGGTGGTGAACAACTTGCTGGAGAAGATAGCGCAGAAGAAACAGATGGAGACCGTGGCGAGGATACGAGAAGCGCGGAAAACCCAGGTGACGTCGGTGATCTCGTTTCCGTCGATTTGACGGACGTTGAAAGCAGCAGCGGAAGCCCAGAAGACGACGACGGTAGCGGAGAGGACACAGGAGACTGGAGTCATGATGTAGTTCAGCGTCTTCTGGGACGAGTACACCACGCGAACCTGCATAATCAGCGAAACCTGAATGAATGCCACCAAGAAGACCTGAACAATCGCAGCAGATTTCGAGACGTTGTATGCAGCTTTCGTAACATGCGAGAAATCGCCCGCAAAGTTAAGCGGAACACTCAGGAAAGGACCAGTCCAGTAACAGATCTGGAGAATGTTGCGGAGACAGTTGACGAAGAGTGATGCCATGTTGACCAAGAACAATGGCGTCCTCCTCTTCTCGGGCTTGGTGACCATCATGAGGACCAGGGCGAGCATCCCACACATGCCGACTTGTGCGGCGAAGATGGCACAGTTGTTTACACGTCCTTGCTCGAAGGAGTCGATGTCGGAGAGAGCGTAGGTGATGACACCATACCCAACCGCAGTGACGTTGAACGGCTGGTTGTAGTAGTCAAAGCTCGCATCATATTCGAAGACACTGTCAGACATGTTTGTTGTTCAAGTTTGATCTCGGACTGTGGACGTTTGATGTTTGAGAGTCGAGACAAGAAGTGAGGAGCGAGGAAGGAGAGCACTCCTTATGTCCTCCAGGTAAACATTGGAAAAGGAAACAAACTCCTCAGCTGAGCGGTCTCCATTCCATTTTGCCCTTCATCTGCCTCATGCTAACAAAGCATGAATATCCAAGACAATATGTCGGGGGCTATTGTTGTCGGCCCCAATCAATTGTTCTGTGAAACTGAACAAATCAACCGTTCCGGGTGGGTATCCGCCCATGTGGGACAGTAAACAAAGGTTCGAGACTCCTTTGGCGAGGTTGTCTCGTGAGTTGCGCAGTAGTTGTCCCTTGCGGGTGTTGGTGGGCGTGCGAGAACAATAGGCACGATGGGGAACAATAGGCACTATGTTCATTTTGACTTTGGCCTAAGACAGCGGTGTGCTGCATCCAGTAGACTTTGCTGGTACGATGTTCAGCCGATTTTCTTTGCTAGATTCCTTTGCTTCACCGTAGGAGGTATCGCATACAATCTGTTGGAGGTGATGGTTGGGGGTCGATTGTTGTGTTCGAATGCGGGAATTGTATGTCTACGTTACATGATGTGGGGTCGCCGTATTAACTCCGAAGGTCCGCGCACTGGGGCCGATCGGAAAAATGCATATGAATTATTTCGTTTATTGTATTTAGAGTGCAAGAACTCCGTTCCAACCTCTCGCAATCCGCAATCCTGTCTAGCTATGCTCCGCTCCCGCGATACAGCCTCATACAAGAAACTTAAAGCAACTTCTCAATATCTTCCGCGATGCTCTCGGGCTTCGACAACGAAGAGTAACGCTCGACAACATTTCCGTCCTTACCAATCAAGAACTTCTCGAAGTTCCAGTAAACATGCTGTTAGCCGACGTTCACGTCTGCAGAGGAAGGGGTACTCATCTTAATCCTAGTCAAACCCATGAAACCAGACTTCTGGTTCTTCAACCACTCGTAGATAGGAGACGATGTAGAGCCGTTAACGTCGACCTTGGCGAGAACGGGGAAGGAAACGCCGTAGTTCAATTGACAGAAGGATTGGATCTCTGCGAGCATTGTCAGCTGACAGGCACGACGGACGACGAAGAAGAACAAACCCTCATCGCTTCCGGGCTCCTGAGCACCGAACTGGTTACAAGGGAATCCAATGATAGCGAAATCCTTGTCCTTGTACTGCTGGTAGATCTTCTCGAGACCTTCATATTGCGGGGTGAACCTGTACGACGTGCGTCAGCGACACTGTCCTGGCTGAATAATACGCCCAATATGTCATACCCGCACTTGCTTGCAACATTCACAACCAACACGACCTTTCCCTTCAAATCAGAGAGAGGGAACTCCTGCTTCTTCTTATCGAGAGGAGCGGGGAGATCGTAGAAAGTCGCGGCGGAAGACATTGTAATTGTACGGTGATTGACAAAGACGGTACGCGTAGGGAGAAGACGGAAAAGTCGTAGGGATGCCAAGGCTGCTTTTATTTTTTTCTTCGGATCTCCTTCAAGTCCCGTTGCCGGGGTCCAGTCCGTCGTGCCGCCTAATCGGGGTCGCGCACGTGGCGTAGGGCCTACATTACCGAGAGTGTCAAGGGTGAGCTGTGTCGACGAGCCGCGGCAACCGTGGGAAATAATGTATTCTCAGGGTAATCTCGTTCAACACTTAGAAGGCGAACGCAACGGAGCGCTTCTTGCCATAAGGGTACGTAATTAAGGAGGCGAGGAACAGGCCAACCTAAAGCAATTGTTAGCCGCTGAACTTGGAACGAAAACCAAAGGCATACATACCGTGATACCAATGGCAACCTGGATCATGTTCACTCCAAGGTCCCATCCAACATTATCGTACGACACCGAAGTAGTCGTAGTACCATTCGTCACGCTCTCTGACGCCTGAAGTCCTCCAACGATACCACCCTGGGCAGAAAGACCCGACGGCACCATCACGAAGATAGCTGGAAGAACAGCGGTGAATGCCAGACCTTGCCATACACGCGAATAAATGTTTCCCAAAACACCCACCACGAAAGCACTGTAATAGAGTGTTAGCTTGTTCAAATCAAGCAGGAAGAGGGAAGGTAAACTTACGCAACGGCACCCGAAATACTGGACTCGGTGATGACCTTACCCACGAAGTAACCGACAGCGTTTCCGGCACTGGAGATGATGATCGTCGGCAACCATTGTCTTGGATGCGCTTGGTTCACGATAAGAAGACACAACGTGAACATCGGGATAATGATGAAGCGAAACCATGGACTGACCAGGTGTTCCGTGCAGGTTGTCTCCGTAATGAGACTGAAATGAACAGTTTCCTTGATGCAATACTTCCCAATCACTCCGGAGAGAACGCTACCAAGCGCACTGCCGTAACCCAACATGAGGGAGTAAACTAACGCCCAAATAAGCCGAATAGAACCAGCGATAATGTTTCTCGACTGTAATTCGAGAGCTCCCGTGAGCACGATATAACCAGGAAGAATCAGGGCGATCGAACTCGCCGCGAGATTGGCATAACAGAAGACGTGTTCACCATTAACCACGATCGATCCCAACAATCGAGCAAGAAATGAGGTGATGAACGCTGCCAGCACCTCGAAGATGTTCGTAAAGTTGCGGACGCGGGAGGCCACCACTAATTGGAAGAAGCCCACAATTATGCCCAACGCAAACGCAATAGGCATATCAATCCAGCGTCCCGTGAACGCGAACAAGCCAACCCAGGCACTTGCAAACCCCCAGAAAAACAGAATGAAATAAATGTTGTAAAGCGGCGGCGCCTTCATAATCTTCTCAAGCCGCTTCGCCGCCTGTCCAACATCCAACTCATCATGCACAACTTCCTTGTAGATTAAATGCACCTGCCTCAACTTCCACAAATCGATACCAGCGGGAACACGGATAAACTCGATATCGGACGTCATGGCCGCCTCGTCTTTGAAGCAGCAAAACATGCAGCCGGGTAAGTAGAGGAAACTCGCTTTAATGGTGAACATGTTTGCGGTCTGGTAGCAGTATTCTTCGAGGCGGTGGGTTGGGGCGCCGTAGAGCATGAGGGCGCGGCAGAGCTTGACGATGAAGTTACGTTTCTGGAAGTAGTCTGTGAGGGCGCGGACGGCCTTGGTTCGGCGCGCTCTTTGCTGTTTCTTGATGTTCATCTTTGAGAAACCAGACGCAACTTGAGAGCTGATGCGGCTATGGAAGCCAGGTCTCGAAGGCTTGGGAGACGATGTACCATCATCGACCAGAGTCTGGGACGCAGATAGAGGACCACCAAAAGGAGACGAAGATTGGTTGATACTCGCAGCATGGCCGGCTAAATCCTGAAGAGATGTCGCAGATGAGTTCGCAGAACGTGACTGCCACCATTTCCTCCTCGGCCTCGTAGTTCCTGAATCATCCGTAGACCGCCTACTCTCCGCTAGGATAGCATTTGACTCTGGCACATTATGCACCCCCATACCCAAATTCTGTCCCAAAGACATAAGCGTCATGGCCACACTCGGCGCCCGACCCCGACGGGGTGCATACGTATCAGCAAACGGCTGTGTAGCAGCATCCCCAGCCTCGAGATCCAGATCAATAGACGATTTGCGAGACGTAGAGGCTGAGGAACCAGCGCCCATCCCACCATCAATTTGCCTAACGAGCCTTTGTGCTTGCTTGAATGCCTCTACTTGGTTAGCATCTTCACGGTCAATATCGACATCGGAAAAATATCCGTCCTGATACATGGAGCCAGCCGGTGACGGAGGAACCGATGAGTCCAACGCAGCATGAAGAGACTGTCGAAGTTCCATCAAGCCATCTGAGCGTTCGGCCGGTGGCGTAAGACCCTCTGATGCAGTGGAAGCCATGGAGATGTGTCGTGCGTGGGACTTCTTGTGAGACGTAGGCGGTGGTAGAGCAAGCCGTTCGCCAAAGTTTCTTCGTTCTGCCAGGGACGGCGTAGTTGGCTCGCTTGTGGGAACAGAAGGCACCGGTTCATACCTTTGGAAGGCCATCATACCGGACAAGTTCGGCAAGGGTGCGGCTCGTCGGATACCAGGTCCAGGCTCGGATGATTCTCCGTTGTTGATACCGGTGGCACTGTTCTCGCTTGCGAGAGGCGACATGGGTGGTGCTTCGTGGTCATCATGATGATCATCCGGTTCGTTCAGAGTTGCCGTCTCGTTATTCTCATCTGAAAGTGTAAACTTTGGCTTGGCACTCCCTATAAAAGAGAAAGCCGGAGATGCTGTACCACTCAGCGGACCTGCCGGTGTCGTGGGTCGAGTAACATGAACATATTCGTTATCTTCGAAAGGATCTGTCGGCCGCGTCGTATTCGGGTTCATCCCTGTCATCGGTATCGCCGGCTGCTGGTGATCTCCCTGTGTAGGTACCCCCAACCCACCAAAGTGTACGCTTCTCCCAGCTTTTTTTTCACCGCCAGCTCCCTTAATCGCCGGGGGTGCCATATCTCTAGTGTGACCTCACTGTATCGTCGTCGATATCGATGTCGTAGTGTAATACTGTCCTCGGCAAGAAAGTGTAAACGTCGAAATGCTCGAGTCTCTCCCACCACGTGCCCCGTTAAAGAATACTGATGACGGATCGACGAAAGAACGGGAGGATGGAACACTCGACCCAAGCCTAACGTGGTGTTGTATCAGTTCCGTGAGGCGAGTGTATGACCAGTTGACAAGCGAAATGAGGACCCTTGGCAACAGTTACGGCAACAGAAACATACGAGAGTCCAACGGTAACTCAGACGACAAACCTAATGCTTGATGACGGTACTCCGTTGTCCTCTGGCGCCGTTTAGATCGTTGGGGCTGCGAACCAAGCGAAGCTGCTGTAACTTGCAGTGCGGCAGCCGTGCGGAGAGCGCGGGTACACTGATGAACTACGTACGTGAACGCTTGGACCGTGCACTCTGCACCGATCGCGAACCGACGCCTACCGAGATATGTCAAAAGTTCGATGTAATTTGAATTGACAACAAAGAATACTTCTATGAAACGTTATCCCAAAAAAACCGTTAACCAAGAAGGATGACAAAAATGACTACAATACTGCAAGAGACGGACGGAAGATTCCTGCTCTTCCTCTTTCTCTAGTTATTCTCAAAGGCACCCTGCCTCAACGCTGGACTCAATCCAGTCCTCCTTTCAACACCAGCAGCCAAGACACCAAAGTTCTTAACAGCCCTCTTCCTGATCCTCGACGCAAAGTTCTTGCCGGCTTGCTCACCCATCAACTCATCAAAGTTGGGAGGACCATGAGGTTGACGGATCGGAGCTCCCTCCTTGTTCGCACCAGGCATACCCGCACCGCTATCCTTCTGCACAGTCGGAGGCGAAGGCGAACGGTCCTTTGCGCCAGTGATCCCAAGGCCAAGCCCAAGTCCAAATCCAGCGCCAGACACAGACGCACCCCTCCCATGCCCCTTCCTCAGAACCGACTGCGACTGCGTCCCCGCAGACGAAGAAGGCGGCGTAACCGACCTCGACTTCCCATTCCCATTCCCACTACCACTCCTCTTAACCTCAGGCGTAGCCACAGGCGACGGCAAGTAAGAGTTTCCCCCAACTTGCACCTGCTGCTGCGGGTAAAAATACTGGTAACTGTTCGAAACGGGATCATACACAGCGCACGCACCACCAGTAGCGGCGGCAGCAGCAGGCGTAGCCGGGACGAATGTGTAGGAGGGCGAAAGCGGGCTACCACTGTTGCGCAAAGCCTGTTGCTGCAACTGCTGGAGACGCTGTTGTTGTTGCGCCAAATACATCAACTGCGCCTGATTCTGCTGCAAAGCCTGGAGCTGCTGGAGTTGTTGCTCGTAGAGCTTCATGCCTTGATTAGGCATGCCGGGGGTGACCGGGGACGGCGGCAACTGCTGTCCGTACGCGTTGTACATCTGCTGCTGCTGCTGGTACCCGCCGTTTACCGGCGTCTTAGGCGCCTGTATCCCCAACGAACGCGCAGTTTTGGGCGGAAGCCCAGCGGTACGCGGCATATTCGCATACCGTCCCCCCGTGGGCGTATTGATACTCATATCCTCGAGTCTCCTCGCAAGACCGATATCAACCGCCGCGGGACGCTGCTTCACCGGAGTCGCGTATTGATTATTATGCTGAATGTTGGCAGCACCGGACGGAACATAACTGTTCTCCGACGCGCGGGGTCCACGGCGCAACCCCGAGAGAAGCTGTCCACGGGGGGAGTTGAGCGCCGTTTGTTGACCATCTTGATGATAAGCTTGGGAAAGTCCGCCAGCGTCCATTGTTGCAAGCTTTGCGGTTGTATGGTGGTTATGATTAAGTATGAGCTTGAGTGATCGAAGACGCCGTTCGATCAGAGTTGCGATTGTATGCCGTGCAAAAATGTCCAAGAAGTATACGTGTGCGAGTTTGCGATGCCGTTGACCGCGCCGTGAAAAGTGAAAGACAAATTGATAGACGAGACAAGAAAAGTCGAAGAAGAGTAGCTGTGACTGAAGTGCGCAGCGCGGCTGAACAATGAAAGGATCGAAAGCGTGTAAAGAAGGAAAGTGGGTGAGCTGAAGTAGCGCTACGTCGTACGAACTGAAAAAAGTACCGGGAAGTGTTGCTGGTCGATGTCGAACTGAGGAAGGAGGGGGGAGAGGGGGTGTTGGTGTCGAGGTGTTGGTGTTGGTGGGCAGCGTGGTTTCTGTGTTGAGGAGGTTGGGTACAAGGGGGGCAGGATTGCGCATGAGCATGCATCCCGCAAAACACCCCTGTTTGAGCTACAGTGATAAAAGATATCATATCAATATCAAAACTTATGGCAGAACGGTCTCCTCCTGATCCTGACTTTGCTTTTCTTCTCCTTTTTCTGTTCCCTGCACGTCGCGTCTAAATCGATCGCGATATCGGTATTATCGACGGCATCATTAGGTATACCATGCCAAGAATCAATGCTCCAAAAACTCCGGAAACGACAGTCCATATCCAAGAAAATCATCGTACACTCCATCCTTCGTTCAAGGTTCCATAGTATATTCACCTGTGTGTGCTTTTCGTGTTTTGTAGTTCACTTCATATCCGTACTCCCACGACTATCCCCACCCAACCCCTTCGCCTCCTCATTCATGGACTTCCTCGTCAACTTTGCGTAATGCAATCCACAAGCGTTACACAATGTTCTCGCACCATCCGGTCCACGTCTCCACTCCGGCGTATCCGCAATATTACACGAGTGGCAACGACCGGGCGGTGCAGCCCGACTCCTCTTCTTGTATTTCGAGAGTTCGTGGCCGCCTTGGGAGTCGGCTACGCTCCCGGGGCTGTACATCTTCGAATCGCGATCACCGTGACCGGAGTTGAGTTGGGTGTCGACGTGAAGGGGGGATGAGTTGTCGACGGGTGCAGACCCGTCATCCGGGAATAGCCCGCTCACTCTCCATGTCTTTAGGTATTTAACCATTTCCTGCGCCCTCTTCAATGCCTCATTCATAGCCGCAGTCTCTCCAGGTCCCATGGCTGCATCCGTAAATGCCGTAGCGACTTGCTGTGGGAGACGGTCGACGAGGTGGTATATGTACGTCGAATGCTCCTGGACTTTCGCCATATCCCTCCTAAAGGCCGACGTCAAGAACGCACGATTGATAGCCTCGTTATGCGATTGACCCGATATGGCGCCAGAACCTTGGCGGTGGTGCTGTAGTTGCTGTGGTGGGGGCGGAGGAGGAACACTCGCCCGATAATGCGGCGGGGGTTGTTGCGGAGGATATGGATCGTTCCCATGCCCACGTCCATGCCCAGTATTATTGTAATAAGCGCTCGCACCCCCAGAAAACGACGAAGAGCGGTTCATGGGTTCGATTGGTCCCGGACCACTCGGTAGGTACATGCCCTGCGGTGCCGACATGCTCGTCGGCGAAGGACCCTGAGGACCTGCGTAGTGTTGCGGAACAACGACGGGTGGGTGCGAGAATGAGGGATGCATCACCGAAGGTGGCGGTCCATGGCCGTTGTCGAGCGGTGGTACAGCGGCTGCTTTGTTCAACTCGTGGATCGAGGGGAGGGTAGGTGGCAAACTTGTCGTAGACGGCTGGTCATTCTCGCTCGTTCGTCGTGATGAGGACAATGGTGGGTCGTACATTGCTGACGATACCCGTACTGGACTCTGCTGCTGCGATGATGATAGAGGGAGGTGACGAGGGACTGTGTCTCTGACGGCGCTTTCGTGCGAGGGCGTGAAGGGTGGGCGGTCGGCATTCAACATCGGCCGCTTAGCAGGCCGCTCAGAGTCAGCATGGCACGCGAATGTCGTCGTAAATGCAGGCAAAGCTGGTCGTTTCTCGTAGTCTCTGTCCATTTTACGTGAGGCAGCTGGGGTGTTCGTGTATGGTGCAGGCCTCCTGTATGGTTGGTTAAGTGTGCAGGGCAGGGTAACGGTATGTGCATCCTCCCATCGCAGCTCGAAGGGACGGTTTCGCCGTTTTTCCCTTCCCTATGCGCGGCAACTCTAAAAGCTGATCTGCGTGTGGTCTGAGACAAGTGCCGCCCACGTAGATCTGAGATCAGGCAGAGATCGTGGATGGCAGCGGACCTTTAAGAGCTGGCCGAGATGGCGAGATTGGCTCACCTGCGACTGTTGCTGTTGCTGATGCTGTTGCTGTTGCTCTTTGTCTGTCTCCGTTCTCTGTTCTCTGCTCTTTGTCTGTCTCTGCTCTCCGTTCTCAGGGGCGACCCACGCGACCTGTCACTTCCACGCATTTCGCAACTCCCTACGAAGGTGGCGGGGCGCTTCCCTACTCAATTTCACAGACACCTGTTACACGCATACACGCATACACGCATACATCACCAGTTACAACACGCTTACATCATCAACCATATCTAGATCTTGCTGCAACAACGGTCTCGGTATGACGGCGTCGGTTTCGAGCATGGAAACTCGGTCAGCACTGATGGACCGGTCGACCGTTGGGATTGGCCAAGCACGGTTGCATGCACGCTTAGTCGCACTTCGCCTGCCAGGAGATAAGCCCTTCCGCGAATGATATGATCGATTGAAGGCGAAAATACACTGACGTATTTCATTGGTTGACTCTCCGCTTTCCTCTTCGTACGTACGTAAATAACTCGAGAAAATTACATCCAAAACACCCTGCCATTTCCGCCCCGTCCTTTGCCTTGCCCTCCTTTCCATGGTCACCTGTCAACCTTGCTGCAATCCATCCTTCGTCACCTTCCATTAAACATTACTGATTGTCACCCCTGGCCACACTTCTCAACACATCCATCGTGTCAACACCCATCGTACCCACGGCCTTCTTCGCCTTCTGATCCCGTTTATCAAGTGCTTCCGCAGCTTGCTGCAGCAACCGACCACCATACCCATCCGCGGTCTCCCCAAACATCTTGATTGAATGCAATGAATGGAAGAACCTGTCGACTTGGAACTCAAGCTCGCTTTCCGCTGTCCCAAGCCATTTCCGCATCTCGGCATCCGTGGCTTGTTGTGCGTCGAGTGAAGCAAGAAATTCGGCTTCCTCGGCGTCAACAGGGTGGATCTCGCGTTCTGCCGGTGCTGCTTGCGGATGATCGGATGGCTGATCTGGAACAAGCGTTGCCCATGCTTGCTGTTCACCCTTCAGCCTGTTGTACGTATTAGCGATCATGTAATGCACACGGCATTGTAGAACGTACCTCGCCAACTTCTGTTCGCATTCCTTGATCTTCCGCAGGTTCTCGATATTCGTCGGATGTGGCTTCTTCTTGATCGGGGAGATCGTAGCCGCATCATCTTCTCTCGAATACCAACTCGTATTGATCTTGTTGTCAATCAAGTCCTTCAGCACCTCCTCCGCGATAGCTCGTGCGATGGCTCCAGAGCTCGAGTCTGCTGGCCTCTCCTTTGCCTTTTGCTCATCGAGTGCTCTTCTTGAACACCATGCCAGCAACTGCTTCATCCGCAGTGGTTCTGGGAGGTCAACGGAGATGTGCTTGTGGAAGTCCTCATATGGGATCTCAGGATGTGGTAGGGCTGTATGCACGTTAGCACTATAGTTTTTGGGGCTCTGATTGTGTGACATACCGACAAACCCATTCCCCATCGAACTCGCCCTCTTTCCTCTCATCCCCAAACTACTCCGTCTCCTTCCACCCTGCTGTCTCAAATCCTGGTTCTTGCGGATCACGGGCGTATCCGACAGCGGCAGCGCAACAATGCTGTCCATCCCTGCTGGGCGCAAGAATGAAGCGGGTAAGCTCCGATCAGGTGTCGTGGGTCGCCTTCTTTCATTTACTGTGGAGGGATACCGAGGCGCCGTAGGTAGTGCTGGTGGTGGGAAGGGGTTTACGGGAGGTTGTTGTCGCGTTTCGACGACTGCTCCGTTGGTCGCTGGCGCAGAAGGACCGGATGATGCCGGCCTCTTGAAAACGAATCCATCGTCATCGTCAAATCCGGACTTCTTCTATTGCGAATCATGTCAGTACATGCGCATTCATCCCCGCGAAACTAAACATCATACCTTCGCCGCCTTCTCTACAGGCCTCCTCCGCTTCGAATCCTTCGTCGCAAAATCATCATCCTTTTCCACATCCTGCGCCTTCCGCTTACTCCGCCCCGTCGTCGCCATGTGTAGCGTATTTGTATTGGTGTTCTGTAATCGAGTGGAAGTCGCAACAGTCTTCGGCATCGAACGCCCAGCGCAGCGCCCAGAGAGGTACGGCGATAACGAGAACGAACAGGCAACAAAGATACAGACGAATCGCAATCGTTTTTCACGCTCTAAACACGTGTATTCTTGAGGTTGATGGTGCGCTAACGCGTTATGATCGCAGAGAGTTCGATTGTTTTGATTTCAGAGCAGTCTGCGGCAAGGGCACCCACAACCGCACAGACGACGAAAATCGCAATACATGAAGGGGGACGTTCTTCAGAGAACATACTGTGTTGTTATCCTAGAAAGTGATAATACTGATGAATGGGTATGCTATGCTTGAGTCACCGAGATATCCGACCTTTCCCCTCGTGCGAAAACTAGAGATGCTGTGCTATCTTTGCACAATGAACTATGACTTATTGAATGTTGGCAGCAGATATACCACCTGTGATGCCATCAATGCTGCTTTTGATGGACGACGACCTCCTAGGAGGTGCGAGACTTCCTTCAATCCTCCTCGCTGCGTCCTCGCGGTCTTCCTGGGTGATATTCTCCTTCTCAAGAGTAGGAGCATAGGAAGGTTGTCCAGGCAAGTGACCAATACTCATACCCACCCGCAGATATGTCTCAATAGATGACTTCGAGTTGCTGACAAGATCGTCGTCAAAGGCGAACCTGCCGGGCTGGAAGAGGACAAGAAGCGTGGATCCACCGAACTTAAAGTAACCAAGCTCATCGACACGACGCACATGTTGACCCTTCTTGGCTGTGATGATTGTGCTACCGACCATCATTGCACCCACGCAAATGACCATGACTCGACCATGCGCAACAGAGTCGATAGGGACTGCGACTCTCACGTTCTCGCCGTACACATCCAAGGCCGAGCGGATGGCCATAGGGTTGACAGTGTAGTAGTTACCCTTGATCAACTTAGGCTCGCCAAGAACACCATCAACGGGTACATGGAAACGGTGATAGTCCTGCGGTGCAAGCCGGAAGATACCGATCGCTCCACCTTCAAAGTTCTTAACCTCCTCCTGGTAGGCATCTCCGAACAACCTGCCGATGCTGAACGAGGTACCCTTGATCCAGATCTCGGTGGCCTTCTCGATCTTGTCGAAGACCACAGAACGGCAGTCGGCTGGGGAAACAGCGATGGAAGGATCATCGGGCGCCGTGCACTTCCTGGCTCCTGGTTTCAGCTTTCTGTAGAAGAACTGGTTGAAGGTCCTGAAGTTCTCCATGGGCTCCAACACTTCCGTCATGTCCAGCTGGTGAAAATTGATGAATGGCCTGATCTCCTTCGCCGAACTGGGAGAGTCATATTTCTTTCCCTGCTTCTCACTCATCGACTTGAGCAACTTGCGAATCCTCGAAGACTCCATGCGACTGCTCTTCAAACCTTTGTACAGCAAGCGGATTCCGAGTCGAACGTATACGCTCATCCTCTCCTCCTGTACCAAACCTGTCAAACGATCTTGAACAAGAATGTTTGCCGAGTTAGCCCCGAGCTTGTAGCCACCATACGTAACCTTCGAAATGACCTTCACATACCACTTCCTCTGCGCCTGGCTAGGAGTGACAAAGTCACCCATGACCAAGCGATCCACACGCTTCCAGTCCTGACTGGCGCAAGTTGCGAGATGGGTCACGATATCCACATCGGCCTTCTTGTGCATACGGGGCTGGTGGCAAAGAGGACATTCCTCGATGACAATAACGTGCTCCTCTGACCTGTCATCGTTGTCCGCCAATTCATCCGTATCTGCTATAGAATTGTCGATCGCGCTGACACCGGGAGTGCGGCCATCTAGGCTCGACACAGCGGTGGACAAGGGGTAGCCCGACATGGACTCACGATCCGTAGTCGCCGCGGGAGTCATATTGGGAGATTCCTGTTCGGAACTGGGGGTATTTGAGCCCGAGTTTGGCCATGCGGGAGCAACAAAATTTGGACCTCGCCTTTGAGGGTCGAGCATATCCTCCAAGCAGATAATTGCCTGATCGAAGGTGATCTGCTCTTCCACGGCGGGATGTGAAATGCGCTTGCCAGTCACTCCATCCTTCATGTACAACCCAGAATCGCTGAACCTGCGAAAGAAACCGTTGATGGTTTTGTCCTTCAATGTCGAACCCAGCGAGTCGAGCATAGTCACCAACTCCACGCGGTCGATATTGCCGCTGTCATCAGCATCATACTGACGCAAAAGACACCTCCAGAACTGCTGACGGAGCGCAGGGTATGGAACAAACTTGGCCCGAATGTGGATCTCGGGTCTGTGCTTGTCTTCCCACTTGTCCTTCCTCACAAGGTCTAACGGCAAGTCAAAGGGGATGAAACCTTCGTCACTCGGGTCAGCTGCTGCTGCTAAAGCCTTCTCTGGATCAGGAGGAACGGTTGCTTGTGAGGGCAACGGAGGATCGGGTCCTCCGTTCTTATCACCCGTAGCCGCGGACGTAGCCATTGACACCTGGGAGTTGCCGCGTGACATGGGGTTGAGCATCCCAAACCGAGATCCAACACGCTTCGGTTTAGGTAGTTTCAGGTCGTCGTCGTCCACCTCCTTCAATGGCTCTGGAATATCATAGAGGCCAGTTTCCTGGTCAGCTTGAGGACCAATGGATATGAGCTCATCCGCGGGCAGAATAGCAAATGCCACAGAGTCATTGTTCGAGAACTTGTCACGGTCCGCTACTTTGAAGTTGATTTGAAAATGCTTCTCGTGATTCATCACCTGAAAGACCAGCTTTTCGTTGAAGTTAGGGTTCAGGGAGTGGTTCACAATCTTCGTCCGGAACGTCTTCTTGCCGAAAGAGATAATGACGAAAGGGTCCATGTCAAAGCCCGTGCGTGTCACATTTCTCTCTGGTGGAAGATCCGTAATCGACTTGATTTCCAGGAAGATCAGGCCAAGAACGTCCTGTGTCCCCGCATTGAATCCGAAAACCTTCTTCTTCTTCTTCCTCTTCTCATTCTTCTTGCGCTTCCCATCCTCTTCGACTGCGCTATCCCCAGAAACACTAACCATGTCCTCAATTGCTGACTCGGAAGCAACTCCTTCGTATGCATCGTACACTTCTGGGTCTTCCAAGCGTGATGACGCCGAGCCATTACTGCGTATTTTCTTCAGGGTATCTTCGAGGTCGCCGCCCATAGAACGCCAGTAATATTGCTGCCATACAGCGAGTAGTTGCTCGTTCGTGGTGGCATTTCCGGTAGGATCGAACAATGAAAAACGCAATTGCACTTCTCCTGACACTCTGGACTTCTTTCGTAATGAGGTGAGCGCATACCATTGTGCGTGATTTTTCGAGTCGTCAGGTCGAATATGGTTGCCGGTAAGTGCCGTGAAAGCCTCGTGAAGCGAAACTTTGAGTTCTCCAAGATAGTCCTATAGCACTTTAAATCAGAAATGGAACCACAATATCTCGTTTGACCTGACTACCTTGCCAAACCTGTCCTTGTCCCAGCATGTAATCTCCACCACATACGGCTTGTCCACCTGCTCCGTCAACTGTAGGTCAAAAGTCGCATTCCACTTAGGGCTGAGAGTTTTGTCGATTGTATGCGTCTGGAATTTCTGATCATTGATTGTCCCAGCAATATAAGGGTCGCTGCTCGTCCCATGCTTGTCCTTGCCAATGAGGTCTCGAGCCTGTCACACAAACGTCAATTCCCGTCCTCAACCACCGAAAGGTAAAAAACATTACCTGAATAACCTCAATTCGAACGGTCAGCGGAAGTAATGCGGGCATATCGACCTTTGGTGATGATGTCCTCGACCGTCCCGGGAACGGTGACCCCTTGAGTCTGTTCGGGACGGGGATGTGCATCTTTTATCTGCTTAAACGTAGCAAACACCGTGCGGATTGAAGGTGTAGGGCCGGTGTTGAACGTGTTTCTTGCCGTGGCGCTTTCTATCGATACGGGCATTGACCGCAGGTCGGAATTCGGTTAAGTCATCGGCCCGTAATGTTCAGCTGCGCGTCTGCATACCGGCAGGGTGGTGAACCTAGGTAAAGTACAAAGACGTGATTGCGGAGGAAATGAAGCTTATTGGGATTATGCGGGGCATGAGGCAGGTCAGGAGGTCAGAAAGATTGTAGTATATGGTCGGCTATTTGTACCAAAATGGAGCGTCCAGCTCCTCAATTGCAGTTGCAACATACTGCAACTCCGCTATCTTTTGAAATGTCCATCTGAATGTACCTCACTCGTAGGGCCGTAACAATGCTATTTCTTCACGCATCCTTCTTGGAAGCCTTCCACTGGTCCTCCAACCACGCAGCTGCCGCGTATCCCTGCCACACACTCTTCGGCCCAGCAAAGCAATGAGAAAAGTGGTTCGTTCCATCCACGAGGACGAAGTCAATCTTCCCGCCCTCCGTAACCTTCTGCTTGTACTGCCTAACAAATTCGTAACTCTGCTCGATCGGTACGAAGGAATCCCGAGTTCCGTGGAAGAGTAGCATGGATGGTGAGTCGGGCTTGAGGGATTTGTAGGGGTTAATCTTGTCATTGGCGTTGGCCTCGGAGATAGAGTTGATGAGAGCAGGGAAATCGTCTTGCCAGAGGTTACCGTTTGCTTTAGTGGTAACATCAGTGACCGGGCAGATCAGGACGGCAGCCTTGAGTTTGATCTCTGGCTCGTCATCTCCTTCCTCCTTCAAGTGCGCCAATCCAGATGCGGCAAGACTTGCAAGGTGTCCTCCAGCACTGTCACCAGCAATAGAGATCCACTCCGGGTCACCACCGAAAGCCTCAATCTGCTGATGGATCCAACGCAAAGCTCTCCTGACATCGACCAAGGCAGCAGGCAGAGGGTATGACGGAGGCTTGCGGTAGTTCATCCTAACAACTACGATACCCTGTCTGGCAAGGATATATGGGAAAGCATAGGGGTCCTCCTTGGAGCCCTGAACCCAGCCACCACCGTGAATCCACAGAACGACAGGTGCCTTCTTCGCGCGGCCTCGAGGAGCAATGACATCAAGGAGTCCCTCGGTCTTGAGGACAAGACGCTTGACTGCATTGTTGGAGAGAGTCTTGCGGGGGTTATAGGAAATGTCGGGGTAAAGTGCGGTATCCTCGGACGGGACGAACAAAGGTGCGATGACTTGGGACATCATTTCGGCGCTGTATATTCGTCAGTTAAATGTCTGTGCGTTTATTCGGAGAATGCACCTGAGAAGCGAGGGAAGGGCCGTCCTAGGCTCGCCATTGGCGTCCTTGGCCTTCAATTGTGGCATGCCTGCGAAGGTCTGCCAGGAGGTAATCTGGCTGTATGCGAAGTAAATGTAGATGGCGATACTGGCCAAGTCTGTCGCATAAGCAGCGAGTGCGAGGTATGGCCCCAAACCGAGGTAGGCTCTTGCGCGGGATACTTGACCTATGCATTCAGTAAGCATATAGCCAGCATCGAAAAGCCGATTGTACTGACTGTATACGCCGAACATCTTAGCAAGACCCATGACTCCGAGCTTTACTGCCAACACATGTATCGGACATTCAGAAATCAATCCCATGGTCCAGAGCAAGTTGAACCGCATGCTCATGGGGATTCTGGAGGTGATTGCTCGGCCGGGATTCGCCCATAGGTCGAGGTAGGCAGCAAAGCCCGTGCATGCTGAGAAGGCGAAATAGGCCAAGGTTATAAGGAAGAGCAGCATCCTCGTTACTCAACACTGTTGGTTCTCGTTTGGTGGTGAGTTTGCTGTCGGGCTTATTGAGCGACCGAGGCCGTTCATGTTGGCATCATAAGACGCAGGACCAACGCAGCCGTCCAGAGATGTGCCCCGTGAATGAGTGCGGTAGAGATGAATGTGAATGTTATTATTAGATTTCCTCCTGTAGAGAAACGAGGTGCTTATCCCTCCCACCTGCCTCTTTTCCACGACTCCGCTGACGTCTAGCTGCGTGGGGTCGGTGAGCGGATCCCTACACGTGTCCTCGGAGGTCGTGCGTACACCTCCAACAAAACACCGTAAACCCAATCACCGGTTGTTCAATCACCATCCAAAATGCGATTTATCACCTCAATCGCCTCCATTCTTCTCGCCTCCAGCGCAATTGCCGCTGCGTCCGATGTCTTGCAGCTTGGTAAGGCCAACTTTGACAAGACTGTCGCTGAGAGCCCTTTGGTGTTGGCGGAGTTCTTTGCTCCATGGTGTGGACACTGCAAGGCCCTTGCGCCCGAGTACGAGATTGCTGCTACGCAGTTGAAGGAGAAGGGTATTGCTATTGCGAAGATTGACTGTACCGAGGAACAGCAGTTGTGTCAGGAGCATGGCATTCAGGGATACCCTACTTTGAAGGTCTTCCGTGGCCTTGACTCTGTCTCTCCTTACCAGGGTGCTCGTAAGGCTGATGCGATTGTTTCTTACATGGTTAAGCAATCTCTTCCTGCCGTTTCCGAGCTTACCTCCTCCAACTTCGAGGACTTCACCACCTCCGACAACGTCGTTGTCGTTGCTTTCTTCGATGCTAAGGACACCGAGTCCAACTCTACCTTCTCCGCTGTTGCTAACAAGCAGCGCGACGACTTCCTCTTCGGTGCTACCACTGACAAGAAGCTCGCTAAGAAAGCTGGCGTGAAAGTACCCGGTGTCGCCGTGTACAAGAAGTTCGACGACGGTCTCGACGTTTACGGCGGCGAGTTTGACGCGAAGGCTATCGAACACTTTGCTCGCGCTGCCGCCATCCCTCTCATCGGCGAGATCGGACCCGAGACTTACCAGTCCTACATTCAGTCCGGCATCCCGCTTGCTTACGTCTTTTACGACACTGATGAGGCTAAGGAGGAGCTCAAGGAGGCTCTCATGACTGCTGCTAAGGAGCACAAGGGCAAGGTTTCCATCGCCATGATCGACGCTCGTTTGTTCGGTGGTCACGCAAACAACCTCAACCTCCAGCAAGAATGGCCAGCATTCGCTATCCAGGACACCGTCAAGAACCTCAAGTACCCTCTCGACCAGTCCGAGGGATCTAAGGTCTCCGCTGAGTCCATCACCTCCTTCTTGAAGGACTACGCCTCCGGTGCTTTGAAGCCTTCCATCAAGTCTGAGCCTGTTCCCGAGACTCAGGAGCCTGTTCACGTTATTGTCGGCTCCACCTTCGAGGAGGTCGTCTACGATGACGAGCGTGATGTCTTGGTCGAGTACTACGCTCCCTGGTGCGGCCACTGCAAGAACCTCGCTCCCAAGTGGGAGCAATTGGCCGAACTCTACACCACCCCCGCCCACTCCGCCCGCGTCCGTGTCGCAAAGATCGACGCAACCGCCAACGACGTCCCCGTCGACCTGCAAGGCTTCCCCACCATCAGACTGTACCCCGCCGGTAACAAGGACGAGCCTGTGGAATACCAGGGTGACCGCTCCATTGAGTCTTTCGTGGATTTCATCAGGGATAAGGGTACGCACCACGTTGATGGACACAACCCATTGAGTGGTGAGGATGAGGATATGTCTATTGACGAGAATCTCGCTGCTGCTGTCTCTTCATCAAGCATTGCCCAGATGGCCGCTGCTGCTACTGAGGGTGCATCGGCTACCGAGACTGTTGTCGACAAGGCAGCTGTTACTGAGGCTGCTGAGGCTGCGGTTGAGTCCGCAACTAAGGGTGAGGAGAAGAAGGAGAGTTTCTTGAAGAAGGCTGCGCATGTTGTTGGAGAGATGTTGATGGATGACGAGTTGGCGGATGTGCATGATGAGCTCTAGGCTGGGAAGGGTGGATAAGTAAAACAGTCATACCATGTATCTAGGAAATATACCGGAGCGGAGCTGGGCTTTGCTCTCGATGAACATCTTTACAAAAGTGCAGCATCTGAAGAAGCGATCATAGAATGATAGGAGCATGATAATGGAAGAACGACGGAGTGTATTATGCCAAAAAGACTAATCCAAAAACGCCGTTATCCCCAGGAGAGTAGCTCTTCCCACCAACACTTTTTTAATCGACTCGCTCATAGAACAAAGTCAAGAATCCCGAGAAAATGAGCCATCAACAGGATAAACTATTCCATTGCTGGAATAATTTAGTCCTGCTCCTCGTCGGAGCCAGCCTCCTCGTCGTTGACGACGTTGTAGAACTTCAAGGTGTAGACACCCTTGGAGGTGGAGACGACACGGAGCCAGTCACGGAGCTGGTTCTTCTTCAAGTACTTCTTGGTCAAGTACTTAAGGTAACTATACCATTATTAGCCTCTGATTGCAAAATAAAAGGAGATCAAGTTATAACATACCGACCGGAGAAGTCGATGTGGGCAACAACCTGAACCTTGGCCTCGCCGTCACGGGAGACCTCGACGGCTTCACCGAGGTTACCGGTGCGGCCCTCAACCTTGATGCGCTCGGAAAGGTACTTCTCGAAGGCAGCGACATCGAAGATCTTGTCGTTGGCAGGGCCAGTAGCGTCAATGACGAACTTCTGGGTGACCTTCTTTTGCTTCTATAGGACCAAAACGTAAACGATTGCTCAGCCTACTGGTGAACAGCAAAGCGAGATACGTACGTTGATGGCAGGCATTATGATAATTGAGCTCGGGAGTGTTGGGTTACTGGCTGGAGAAACAACAGAAATCTCGAGGAGGTGCAGATTTTGTAGGCCGGGTGCGAAATTCTAGGCACGCGCCAAAAGGTGAGTTAGGGTTGTGGTGCCTCGCAGCATCGGCGACAGCAGACCAGCATACACTCCCTATTCGACAGAGAAACGACAACGAAGATGAGGTCAGCAGCATACATCCTCTTGGGCTTCCTCGCCTCCACCGCGTTCGCAAACCCTATCCCAGAACCTGAGGCAGGAATCGAGAAAAGGCAAGTCGTAGCCGCCGGTGCTGCAAATGCCGCTGCTGCCGTGACGACGACTACAAACCCGGCTGCTGTTGCTGCTGCGGCCGCTGCCACTACTACTACAAATGCTGCTGCAGTTCCTGCCGCTGCTGCTGCGACGTGAGTACCTGAACTGTCATTCTTCCGTGGGTGAATGCTGATCCAGACTTAAAGGACTGGTACCACTACGACTAACGCTGCCGCCGCCGTCGCCGTCGCTGCTGCTGCTGCTGCCGCTGCTGCCACCACCAAGACCACAAATACTGGTACTACCACTACAAACGCTGCTGGCGTAGCTGCTGCTGTCGATACTACTACGATTGCCGCCGCGGCCGCGGCTGCTGCTGCAGAGACCACGACCACCCCTCTAGCAACCGCGACAACTGCAACAACCCCCACCACTACAGCTGCTGCTGCCGCCGCAATAACCACGGCGACGACCGCTACAACTACAGCCGCTGCTAATGGTGCTGCAGCAGGTGGAGGTGCCGCTGTTGCTGCTGCTGCAACTACTGCTGCGGTCGAGCCTACGACTGTCTGGGTCACGCTCTACAACTCTGCATCGGTTGGTACTGCAACCGTCGCGTCTCTATACTCGCAGTCTTTTTCTAGTTTCGATGGAAGTGTCCTGTCTGTGCCAAGTGGAAGTATCGGAATGGGATCTGAGACGGGAACGTACGGTGCTGTGAGGACGGCTGGTGCGGAAAGATTGGCTGTGCGGTATGGTGTTGGTGCTGCTGCTGTTGTCGTTGGATTGGTGATGCTCTAGAGGATGGACATTACACGAAAGGCAAGAACAAGGAAATCAAGGACTATTATACCGTGTTGAGCAGGCTTAGACAACGTACGGACTTCAGACAATAGAAAGGACAATGCATCCGTTGATTGAACTACAAATGTTGTCCATGGTGCGAAACGAAATAGGTATATGATTGCGAAAATAAAGCCCCAAAAGAATGTTCCTGAGAAAATGTCCCGGATATCGATGCTAAAAAGAGAGAGAACGTCCATAAACCTGCCAATTCAATCTGAAAACCCAGATGAACGAAGAAAAAAGAAGAATGGGATAGACACCTGATTCCTTTTACATCAACGCCACGGCACCGAGCATGACACTCGCAAGAACAGCGACGTATGCCACGCTATTCATTCCTCCTCTCGACATTGTCTGCAATTGCGGAGCAGAAGTGCCAGCGGCACTTGAAGATGCGGCCTCCGAAGCGTCCGTCGCTTCGGCTACCACCACAATGACAGTGGTGCGAGTTTGACGTCCTTGAGCGTCGGTGGTATCGACAACCTCGGAGGAGGTATAGGTAGTGCTGCGTACAGAGCCGGTGATGGACCCAGAGGCAGCTGAGATGGTGGAGGTGCGGGTAGAGAACACCGCGGAGGAGCTGGAGCTGGAGGATGCATCTGCTGTGGACGAGGCGGTAGAAGAAGCTACTACCTCAACAGAAGTCCTGGTTGAAGTAACTGAGGTAGAGTCGGATGATGAGGGGGTGGTGGAGGTGGAGGTGGAGGTGGAGGTGGAGGATGTAGTGGAGACGTCTGTCAAGGAAGCAGAGGACGGCGCAGCAGAGCTTGCAGCACTAGTACTCGTCGTAGTAGTGATCGAAACGCCAGTACCGGCATCAGTTCCATTGTTCGGTGCTGCAGCTTGTCTTTTCGACAGCTCCGCAGCTCGTTGCACGATTTGTTGCTGTACATTCTCTTCTTCTCTAGTCACAGCGTCCATGTCACTCTCAAACACCCCATGCTGATATTTGGTGCTGATTTCATGAAGAGCAACGTGAATTTCTGGAGCATGAGCATGTGCTGGAAGTGTACAGGTAGGCCCTGGACAAAGACCAGACTGAAGAACGTCCAATGCAGAGAGGGACGTCCCCTCGAGGAGGCCCGCGAAGAACGGAGGAAGGCTGAGAGCCGAAGCGAGTGGCAGAGCCAGCAATACAGCAAAGAATTGCATGTTTGCGGGGATATATGCTGGCTTTACAGCGAGTAAACGACTGTGTATGCTCGTCGTTGAGCTGTTTCTGGTGTTCCTTGATCAATTGGAGAAAGTTCGGGCTCACCCTATGGACGTTCGCATGGCTCGGTGGCCGATACTTTTAGCGCAATCGGACAAATCCCAAAAATAGCACACTCACGTCAGCGGTACACTTAAGCCTGGAAACCCCAACCGAGTTCGCCTTCAAGATGTAGGCTACGGTATGTGTAATTTTATTTAGAGTTCATTGGGGATCTTCTTGTTTCGTTTTCGCGGCAGGATGGCTTGCGAAGGTTCATCGGCGGCAGCGGCAGCGGCTGGGGGCCTGATATCGACGTCGATGAAGGCCGGGGTTTCGCACCGCTTCCACGGCAACGAAGGTCCTTATCTCGACAGGGGATGGGTTCAAGCACCCTCGGTCAGGTTAATTGGGACATCTTGGGAGGACACGATGGACGGACGACAGGAGTACGTTTTTAAGAATATTCAATTCAGGCAGAATAACGCATCTAAACCACCACTTTGCTTTCAGAATACATTACTATCCTCGCAGCACACCCATTTCTCTAGAATTACATTTAGTGGTGAACACCGACCAAGGTGTGGACGTTCTTCTGCTCGAAAGCCCTGCGGAGGGGAGAGCGGATGGGGGAAACGCCCTTCCAGAACTCAACAGTAGCCTTGGCCTTCTCAGCAACATCCTCAGGAGTGAGCTCGAACTTCTTGTAGACATCGAGGTAAGGACCAGAGGCACCGAAGCCGTTGATACCGTGCTGCTCGTGAGAGTACTTCTGCCATCCGAGGGTAGAGTAGGCCTCGACGGACAAGATAGGGGCACCGTCGGGGAAGACAGAGAGCTGGTACTCCTGATCCTGCTGGTCAAAGACCTCCCAGCAGGGAAGAGAGACGATACGGGCCTTAAGACCCTGCTCCTTGAGAACCTTGACGGCGTCAACACAGATGCAGACTTCGGAACCGGTAGAGACGATGATGACATCGGCCTTGCCGTCCTCGGGGTCGATCAAAGTGTAACCACCACGGACACCCTTCTGGATGACGGAGCCCTCCAACTGAGGAAGATTCTGACGGGAGAGAGCGATGATGGAGGGGGTCTCCTTGGCAGTCAAGGCGCAGTAGTAGGCAGCGGAGGTCTCGTTACCGTCAGCAGGGCGCCAGAACATGCAGTTAGGGAGGGCACGGAAGTGGGCAGCAGTCTCAACAGGCTGGTGGGTAGGACCGTCCTCACCGAGACCAATGGAGTCGTGGGTAGCGACGTGGATGGCACGGAGCTGGGAAAGGGCGGAGAGACGGATGGCACCGGCAGCGTAAGAAACGAAGTTCAAGAAGGTACCACCGTAGGGGATGATACCGGAGTAGGCAGACAAACCGTTCATGATGGCAGCCATGGCGTGCTCACGGACACCGTAGCGGATGTAACGACCAGAGTACTCACCGAGACCAGTGGCAGGGGGCTGGAAGTCGATAGCCTTACCCCAACGGGTCAAGTTGGAACCGGTCAAATCGGCGGAACCACCGACCAACTCGGGGAGAACGTCGGAAAGGGCAGTGAGGACGTTCTCGGAAAGCTTACGGGAAGCGATAGCGGGGTCAGAGGTGGTGTAGGTAGGGAGGGACTTCTCCCAGCCCTCAGGGAGCTTCTGCTCAGCACGACGGGTGAACTCCTTGGCGAGGTCGGGATACTCCTGAGCGTACTTGGCGAACATAGCGTTCCACTCCTCCTCAGCCTTAGCACCCTGAGCAGCGGTGTTGTGGTAGTAGTCGTAGACCTCCTGGGGAACGTGGAAGTTCTCCTTGGGGTTGAAGCCGAACTTCGCCTTGACCTGCTCGGCATCGTCGCCCTTCAAGGGGTTACCGTGGACACCGTGAGTGCCCTCGAGCTTGGATCCGTAACCGATGGTGGTGCGCAGCTTAATGCAGGAAGGCTTGTCGGTGACCTTCTTACACTCAGCAAGAGCCTGCTCAATGGAGTTCAAGTCGTTGTCACCGTCACCGACGACAACGGTGTGCCATCCGTAAGCCTCGAGGCGCATCATAACGTCCTCAGTGAAGGCACAGTTGATGTCACCGTCGATGGAGATGTGGTTGTCGTCGTAAACGCAGATGAGGTTACCAAGCTGCAAGTGACCGGCAAGAGACATGGCCTCAGAGGCAACACCCTCCATCATACAACCGTCACCGAAGAAACAGTAGGTGTAGTTGTCAATGACGTTGTATCCGGGCTTGTTGAAGGTGGCACCCAAGTGAGCCTGGGCCATGGCGAGACCGACAGCGTTGCCAACACCCTGACCGAGGGGACCAGTGGTGACCTCAATACCAGCGGTCTCGTGGGACTCGGGGTGACCAGGGGTAGCAGAGCCGAGCTGACGGAACTCCTGGAGGTCCTTCATGGACATAGGGTAACCGAACAAGTGAAGGAGGGTGTACTGCAACACACATGCGTGTCCGTTGGAGAGAATGAAACGGTCACGGTTCATCCATCTGGGGTTCTTGGGGTTGAACTTCATGAACTTGTTGAAGAGGACGTGAGAGCTGTGATGAGGTAATTAGCAATGTTTCCTCGGTGGATAAGGGCGATTCGAAGCGATCTCAGCGAAAATACCACGGCTCGAGACGATTCAATTATGCGAGGAAGACTTACACAGGAGCCATACCCATGGGGGCACCAGGGTGTCCGGACTTGGACTTGGTGGTGATATCCACGGCCAGCGTACGGATAGTGTTGATGCACTTAACGTCAACCTCAGAGAAAGCCATTTTGGATGATTTCTAAAGTAAATTGATCAGTAAACTGTACGGATCGCGAATCGAATGAATTCCTTACGTGAGGGTGTGTTGGTGGAGAGTCTTGGTCAGGGCTGTTGGGGCACTTTGATAAAAACTGATGATGGTGCGGGTGGCGCGTGTGAAGGTCGAAATGCCGGCGCAACTTCGGCGACCGCTTATCTCATCATCCGCGTTCTGAGGCCATGCAGTGAAGGGAGTTTTGCAGAACGTAGAACAATAAGGAAATATGATGCTTCTACTGCTACGTACTGGCTTTTCATCCTCTGGCAGCGACGGCAGTTGAACGGCGTTAACATCGTCAATGTGCACCCTCGAGGTTCTGGCTCGAAGCAGTGATTAGATAAGCGCCAATACGGCCGCTCTCTTCCGCGGCCGGTTGGGATATACGTATATCGATCTAGTCGATCCATCATGGCCAATAGACTTCGTGCAATTCAACCCTTTCGTGTTGGTGCTTGTGAGGTCACGTCGATGAGCTTGTTTGTTGTATGATCTTCAGAGAGTGCTCTTTCTTAAGTTATAGCATTTAGAGGCGTGGATCTGAAGTCGGTAGCGTTTCCGTCGTCAAGTGTCCAACATGCGGTAGACGGCCCCTAGACGACATTGCGCTCGCGAGTTCACAATGTAATGACAATCTCGATTTGGATCTTGATGGGTTGAGCACACGCATCATGCGTGACATTTCACAGCAATTGTTCCACTGACATGTAAAGGAAGCACTGTTGCCTCGCAAAATGAATGCCAGGCCTTGGTTGCATTCACAGTGTATCCAGTACCAATGGCCTAACCATTCCAACCTATCGTGACACAAATATGGTAGCACACTCAACACAAGCACCGACAAAATCGCTGGGACGAGAGAAATGTGCCACTGACGAATCGGAGTAAGAGGTGCCTTCCTGCTTTGGTGGGTGTTCAAAGAACGTTCCCACGCCCTCAAACAGCAGCCTTGTACATCTCCGCGCAAAAGTGTGGGTAGAGCGCAGTCAGAGATACGTTCTCGCGCAAGAAGGCATTCATCATTTTTGTCCACGGAAGCGTTCCTGATAACATGTTAGACTCCTACGCGACCGACGTTTGACGCTCTAGAGCTTACACGCTAATCGGTACGAAATCACCAGCAGAATACTTCCTCCATTCCGACGTTGAAACTGATCTCTCTCGAGCAATCACCATTCTGTACGAACTGAAAATCGAGCGTCGTCCGGAGATGTCTACGTTACATACACCGCAATTACGTGATTAATCTCCGCCCGCTGCGCACGTCGCAGCACCTCGCCGACAACCGACCTACCGGTACACCCAACGTAAGCATTCATCCCTAAAATCTAAGAGATGTCTTATCCGACAACAGAAAGACGATTGAGTATACCGACTACCTCGAGCTATGGAACGCGGAGGCGGCCATCGGAGATTCCCGCGAACCAGGAGGATGCGGAACATTCTGTTGCAGCGGCCACCTCAGCCGATACACAGGAGATGGAGCAGGAGCTTGGAAGGAATGGGAGTGCAGAGCAGGAGAATACAACAGGCTCGAAGAAGTGGGTTATGAAATGGCTCAGGGAGCATGATTTAAGTCTGTGGTTGGAGAACAAGGGGAGTGTAGCGAGAGATCATCTGGGTACCGCGCATGTCTTTGATCCTTCATGGAGCTCACGACTAACATCGGGTGGTATAGCCAACGAACGAACATTCCTAGCTTACCTACGAACATCCCTTTCATTCACAGCTATTGGGGTAGCACTGACCCAATTGTTCCGATTACCAGCACCGTCCACGGGCCAATCGTCCGAAACACAGAGACGGTTGCACGCCGTAGGGAAACCACTGGGTGCAACCATGGTGATGGCAAGTCTGCTGGTGCTGGGATTAGGTGTATGGAGGTATTTTGTGAGCCAACACTGGCTGACGAAGGGTCAATTTCCGGCGAGTCAAGGGACCGTATGGATCATCACATTGCTCGGGGTCATGGTCGCCATTGTAGCGTTCGTGATAGTCCTCGTCCAATCTTGACGGTGAAGATCGGTGCATCGCTAATTGAAACTCTTATTTCCATTTTCTTGGCAGAAGTGCGCGAGTTGGCTTGCATTAAAGCTACCCCTGATTTCGATCCCGTACACAAAGTACAAGTACTGCCGCGCACAGAGAAGGGGAGAAAACATCCAACCCACCGATTCCAGGACGACATCAACCAACTTCCACCGTTTTTTCTCGGTGAATTACTGTCTTTCATTCGTCCTACGTAGTTCTAGTCCTTCTTGGGTCCAACGTGAGTGCGTTTACCTAGCATACATTCGCGGACGGACGGGAGTGCTGACATTTTCGAAGGCCGATCGTTATCTTTATAGAATGCGTTCCACTGCCGCCGCTGCTCTTTCTGTCCTTGCCGGGGCTGCCTATGTCTCCGCCCAGGCTACCGTCTCTACGCAGCCCGTTGCTTCTGTCACCGTGACCGCTTCTTCCCTTGCGACCTCGGCCACTGCTACGCTCACTCCCGTCACCATCGATGGTAACGCCTTCTTCCAGGGCAGCGACCGTTTCTACGTTCGTGGTGTCACCTACCAGCCCGGTGGTGAGGCTTCCGCTCAGACTGACGACCCTTTGGCCAACACCGAGGCTTGCAAGCGTGACATTCCTTACTTTGAGCAATTGGGTATCAACACCATCCGTGTTTACAACGTTGACAACTCTGCCGATCACTCTACGTGTATGAACATGTTGCAGAATGCTGGTATCTACCTCTTCGTCGATGTCAACACTCCCAGGATCGCTCTTTCCCGCACTGACCCGGCGGGCTCTTACAACGCCATCTACCTTCAGCACGTCTTTGCTACCGTCGATGCGTTCAAGAACTACTCTAACGTTGTCGGTTTCTTCGCTGGTAACGAGGTCATTAACGATGCCAACAACACCGAGGCCGCTCCCTACGTCAAGGCTACCGTCCGTGACTTGAAGGACTACATCAGCAAGCAGTCTGACCGTCAGATCCCCGTAGGATACTCTGCCGCTGATGTCTCTGAGAACCGTATCCAGCTTGCTGAGTACTTCAACTGCGGTGACGATGCTACTGCCCGTGCTGATTTCTACGCCTTCAACTCCTACTCCTGGTGCGGTGAGTCTTCTTACACCACCTCCGGATACTCTCAGCGTGTCGAGGACTTCAGCAACTACTCTATCCCCCTTTTCTTCTCCGAGTACGGATGCAATTTGGTTTCTCCCCGTCCCTTCACTGAGGTTGAGTCTATCTACTCTGAAAACATGACCCCCGTCTTCTCTGGTGGTTTGGTCTACGAGTGGACCCAGGAGTCCAACAACTACGGTTTGGTTGAGGTCAATGGTACTAGCATCACCCCTCTCCAGGACTACGAAAACTTGATGGAGGAGTTCGCGAAGACCTCCAACCCCTCTGGTGACGGCGGTTACAAGACCGACGGTTCTGTCGCTACCTGCCCCAGCAATCAGACTCACTTCGAGATCACCTTCGCTGCTGAGGACCTGCCTGTCATTCCTTCCGCTGCCCAGGCTTACATCCACTCTGGTGCTGGCAAGGCTTTGGGTAACAATGGACCTACCAACCAGGGTCAGGGTTCTACCGCCATCCAGTCTCTCGCTTCCGCCGGTACCGCTACCGCTTCCGGATCCTCCACCGCCACTGCCTCTGGTGCCCAGTCTTCCGGAACTTCTTCCTCTTCCTCTGGTACTTCCAACAACGGCATGGGTTTGACCAAGGCTGTCTTTGCTTTGGCCGTCGCCATGGCTGTTGGTATGTGCGCCGTATAGATACTTATGTTAGATGTTGGGCAGGCCCTACTAGATGGGTAAATTCTTTTTACATGGGAGTATGGCATATTCGACTCCTCTTTGCCTAAAATTTCGATTTCATTGCTTCTGTCAGAGCTTAAGCTTATCGCACGTGACTCTCATTTCGCCCCCCTGGCCCTGCGCGCGCACAGAAAAAGTACACCGTCCTCGGCGACCGCGGCTGTTGAACTCCATCCATTCACAAGGGCGAGCACTTCTCTCTTAAACGCAAGGAACCCTTACAAACATGTCTACTCCCAACCCCAAGGCTTTCCCTCTCGCCGACGCCCAGCTCTCTCAGCAGATCTTGGACTTGGTTCAGCAGGCTTCCCACTACAAGCAGTTGAAGAAGGGTGCCAACGAGGCTACCAAGACCTTGAACCGTGGTATTGCCGAGTTCATTGTCATGACCGCCGACACTGAGCCTATTGAGATCTTGTTGCACTTGCCTTTGTTGTGTGAGGACAAGAACGTTCCCTACGTACGTTGATCCGTCCGTGGTTTCAGGGATTATATGCTAATGAATGCTGTAGGTCTTCGTTCCCTCCAAGTCTGCTCTTGGTCGTGCTTGCGGTGTCACCCGTCCCGTCATCTCTTGCTCCATCACCACCAACGAGGCTTCTGAGCTCAGGACTCAGATCCAGACCATCAAAAACGCCATCGAGCGCTTGTTGGTGTAAGAAGTTGCGGAGAAACTGGATTTCTGGCGTATTGAGGAGGTTTATGGATATTAGGATAGATATCTAGTCGAGCAATTAAGTTTGTTATCGACACATTCTATGCATGGTCTCTTGTAGCCATGCCTGCACGGCCACCATAACATCACCTCCGTATGGCTTTACTCCCAATCGCAGCCCTTGCCTACCAACTCAGCTAGGTGCTCCAAAAACTTTTGGTCCACTTCGTCGAAGCCCTTGAGCTCCTCGCAATCCAGATCCAAAACTCCTACTATGTCGCCAGATGCAGATCTCACAGGCACCACGATTTCTGACAGCGTCTCTCCGTCGCATGCGATATGGCCTGGGAATGCTTCCACATCTAGGACAATTACAGTGAGTTCTTTGCCGCCATCTCCGAAAGGATGGTGAACATCATACCTGGTACAAGCTGTGACTCGCCAGTTGCTGCTGCTGTTCCGCAAACTCCCTTTCCAAGCCTGATAGTCTGGCACGCAATCTGTTTCTGCAATTAGCGTGAATGTTGGATACTCTGGGGTGAGCCAAACCTTGCCCATGAAGGGCCCGAGGATCAGTTGCTCAGGTTTCTTGCGATCCCGGACATAGAACCCAGCCCAATTGACCTTATCGGAAGGCGATGGTAGAGAATGCAAACCATGCCATACAAGCGAAGAAACATTGGCACAATTGGCGACCCAGTTACGCTGGTCTTCGAGGAGGGCCTGGGCATTCTCGAGGAGACTTTGGTAAAGCTGCTCCTTGGACTGCCCGGGAGGGAACATGGACAAGTCAGCATGTGGCATGGTTAGGGACCGGAAACTGCAAGACGTTTGGCTAAGGGACTGGGGATGTGGTAAACCAGTCGCAAGAAAAGTATTTCAACTCTCGGAAGTCATATAACCTTGACCCCTGGCGGAAGAGTCCCGGGCTTCCCGAATAGGCGGTGCAAAGTGACAGAGGGGACGCAGTTGCTCATGAAAGCATGATTTTCTATTGCCATTACTTCTGTAATATGTTTTCTCGAGCATGCTGGTTCTGGTATGCCATTCCAATCAGCAATGAGCCGGTGGTCATTTCCAAGCTTAGAAACCGCCCTGCCGCTTCCCCTGCAAGCTTAAACGACCAACACAACAACTGTCCAGCAACCAAATCGCGTCGAAATCGCGCAGAGAGTCTATCATTGTCTTTCAATAGGTGGCTAGTTCGATTGTTACAACCCTCTGTCTTGCAGGTCTGACAGTGCCGCAGTTACGCCCGAGGCTTCACCGACACATTGTGGTTACGACCACGTCAATACTCGGCATTCTACCCTACAGGCTCAGACGACGTATACCTCAGCAGGACTGAACTCGTCCACACGAAATCGCAGCAATGGCGTCTGCTCTTCGGAGAAATCCCATCACCACTGCCCTGGGTGTCATAATGGCGCTCGGCTTTCTGGTATTCATTTTCGGTGGATCATCGACATCAGCACCAGCCGCTCGGCGATCTCAAGTACCATCAACAAAACCTTCGAAACCTCCTCCAATTGAGCATGTCAACATGAACCCTATGGCGGCCACCAGAAATGCCGCTGCGAACAAGGAGGAGGTGTTGATCCTGACACCATTGAGCAAGTTTTACGATGAATATTGGAAGAACCTCAATGCGTTCACGTATCCTCACGAGTTGATTGAGCTGGGATTCATTGTGCCAAGAGGAAAGGAGGGCAATGCCGTTTTGGCTGAAGTGGAGGAGGCCGTCAAGAAGGTGCAGAGCGGCCCAAAGAACAAGAGGTTCAAGAAGGTGCACATTTTACGGGATGATCATGACATGCCCGTGGGTCGCGACGAGAAGGGTAAGGATTACAACTGGTTGCAAAGGCTCATGGCTAACATACATACACAGAACGTCATGCCCTTTCGGCCCAGAAGGCTCGCCGTGGATCTATGGCTTTGTCTCGCAACTCTTTGCTGTTCAGTACGATCTCTCCGACTACTGCGTGGGTGTTTTGGTTGGACGGTGACATTGTCGAAACGCCAGCAACTATACTTGAGGACATGACTGGTCACGACAAGCCCATCCTTACCGCCAACTGCTACCAGCGTTATGAAGGCGGCGTCAGGCCGTATGACTACAACAATTGGCACGAGTCCCAGACCGCTTTGAACCTTGCGGCCAGTATGAGCGAGGATGACATCCTTGTTGAGGGTTACCGGGAGTTGCCGACGTACAGAAGCTTGTTCGTGTACGAGTACAACGAGCATGGCAACAAGAACACGGAGACTGAGTTGGATGGTGTTGGTGGAACCGCCTTGTTGGTGAAGGCTGAGGTGCACAGGGATGGAGCGATGTTCCCAAGCTTCCCCTTTTACCATCTGATCGAGACGGAGGGATTCGCGAAAATGGCGAAGCGGTTGGGATACCAGGCCTGGGGCTTGCCTAACTACCTTGTGAGTATCTCCTACGCTTCCAGCGTCTACATTGGCTAACGATTGTCGCAGGTTTACCACTACAACGAGTGATTCCTTTGAGAGGACAGACCCGTACCAAGAAAGAAAAAGTTGCTCGACGCATACAGCTCTGCATTGATTTAAAGGCTTAGAGAATCTACCTACCTAACTACTTGCATGTAAATATAACGAAGGTTCAATTTCGGTGAGCGCACCGGCAGCCGCATACACATGCCCTGACTTGACGTACAGTATACCTTAACCATACTTGTGCGTAATTCGATGAGCTGGAGACGTGATAGAGCCAGCAAAGACGACACAGAATGCCTAGAGATCCGTTGATTGCATTCGTTGGAAAGCCATCGGCTGGTAAATCCAGCATGCTTAATGCTCTGACAGATGCAACCGCCAAAGGTGCACCACGCTCTGCTGATTGCCGGTATGATCCGCTGACATTCGACTCAAGTCGGGAATTTCCCTTTCACCACCATTGAGCCGAACCGAGCAGTCGGGTACCTTCAGATCAAATGTGCTTGCGCTCGTTTCGGAAAACAGGAGTTCTGCAAGCCCACATATGGCACCTGTAACAACGGCACCCGCCATGTGCCAATACAGCTTCTCGATGTTGCCGGTTTAGTACCAGGAGCCCACGAAGGTCGAGGGTTGGGAAATAAGTTCTTGGATGATCTTCGACATGCGGATTGTTTGGTACATGTTGTGGACGTCAGTGGAACGACGGATGCTGAGGGAAAGGAGACGAGAGGGTATGATCCCAGTGTGGATATTGAGTGGTTGAGGGGTGAGATCGTGAGATGGGTTGGAGGTAACCTGAGAGAGAAGTGGGGCAGTATCGTACGGAGACATGTTGCTATCAAAGGAAATGCTGTGGATACACTACAGGGACAGTTCTCCGGTTACGGATCTACGGCGAAACTTGTGGCACGGTTCTTGGACAGATTGGGCATCAAGCAGCCATTGGACCATTGGGATGATTCGACTATTGAGAGGGTTGTTGAAGGATTTGTGGACGAGAAGTTCCCGACCGTGTTGGCCTTGAACAAGGTGGACCATGGAGATGCGGATATGAACATTGCCAAGATTGCGAAGCAGCAGAAGCCGGGGTCAATAGTGCTGTGCAGTGCAGCAACGGAGAATTTGCTGAAAAGGTTGAAGAAGCAAGGCTATATTCAGTACGAAGAGGGAACCGAGTTCGTAGATACGAAGGTCGACATAGTAAGTGGAGTACGTGTTCCTTCGTCCTTCACCGTGCTCACAGCATTCTCACAGCCTGATTCCGATCTAAAGCCTCTCGACGAAAAGCTTCAACAGCGAATAGAAGACTTGCGCGATCTAGTTCTTTACCGACATGGATCGACTGGAGTGCACCAGGTTCTACAACGGGCGGCCGATCTCCTTGGCCTCATCCCAGTTTATACCGTCAAGAACACGCACACATTCAGCAGTTCGGACTCGTCCGGCAAGACTGCCGTATTCAGAGATTGCACACTAGTTAGACGTGGTATTACGGTTGGTGACGTGGCTCAGAGGATCATGGGAGGCGACTGCACATTCATTGAGGGGGTTGGAGGTGTGCGTGTGAGCGAAGATGATTTGATCTCGGAGAAGAATAACATCCTGAGCTTCAAGATCGGAGCTAGGGCAGCATGATTGGAACAGTATAGTATCGACTGATTGGAGAGCCGTCGCGGCCTAGGCATACAGTCCGTCGCATCGAAGGTACCGGTTCCGCCATAGACAGACATATGACACTCGTGAGAGAGTTATGCTCGTGATCGAGACCGTCTACACCTGCCTGAATTCTGCGGGGCATTTCTGGATTTCCTCACATAGAAAGGAACTTCAAGCGATGTCTACAGAAGGATGCTCATAAGCTGTCGAGGGTTAAAGGGTCTGTGTTTCAGCCCTTTCATGTTGAGGGTGCGTCGGAGACCCTGGTTCAAATGACCGCTTCAAGCGAAAGACGGCAGAGGACACGGTGATACTGGCTGTATATGTGTCTGACCTTAATCACATAATTGTACTCTGACACGCACCCTTGTCGGCGGGGGTATGGCTACATACATGTTAGACAAATAACGATCACCACCCTCCCAAATCCCGACTCCCACAGCTGAACCTGTCAACTACCATCCGACAGATCTCATTGTCCTGGCCAACGGTGCTTGGTAAGTCGAACCCTATTTTCACCCGGTCCTGTCAAGGGCATGTCGGCCTGGACCTGTGCGGGTGTTCTATGCGAGCTGGTGGCTGGTGATATGGCAGGCAGTATGGTGCTAGCTTTGTCCGCCCTGCACAGATCGCTCCTGAGTGAAGATAGACGTCGAAGACAACAGACCGTCCAGGACCACTCCGGAATACCAAGACAGGACCCGGGAACCAGAGCTGAAGCTTATTCCTCAGAGTACATAGATTCGCCAGCTGAGTCCTACTCCCTCCAATCACTACTCTACGACACCCCGGTGCGGTCCGATTTAGAGACCTCTACCCCGCAAACAACTGTACGACGCGACCCTCCTGCCTTTTCGCCGAAGAGCCTTTTGCTGACCGTAGATCCCTACAGAAGTCGGTCTGATATCTCTGCTGGTCAAGGTTTGACAATATAACAAGTGGTGCATCAAGTCGTCGCATCCTCAGCCCTTTGCGACTTACCCGCATACATCCATCCACTATCTAGCCAGCGCAAGCATCCGCGAAAATGGGTTGTGGAATGAGTACCGAAGACAAGGAGGGGAAGCAGAGAAATGAGGAAATTGAGTCCCAATTGAAGAAGGACAGGATGTTGCTGCGGAATGAGATTAAGATGCTCTTGCTCGGTACGCTTGGTTGGCATTCAATTGCTTCGGCGCATTCACTAACATCATTCCTACAGGTGCCGGAGAGTCTGGAAAGTCTACGATTCTGAAACAGATGAAGCTTATCCACGAGGGTGGTTACTCAGCAGATGAGCGCGATTCCTTCAAGGAGATCATCTTCTCCAACACCGTGCAGTCAATGCGCGTGATCCTCGAAGCAATGGAGAGTATGGAGATTCCTCTCGACGACTCACGAAACGAATACCACGTTCAGACCGTCTTCATGCAACCATCACAAATTGAGGGCGAGTCCCTGAGTAAGGAGGTTGGTGATGCCATTCGAGCGTTGTGGAAGGATGTCGGTGTTCAGGAATGTTTCCGGAGGTCAAGGGAGTACCAGTTGAACGATTCGGCACAGTACTACTTTGACTCTATCGACCGTATCGCTCAGCCCGACTACCTTCCCAACGACCAAGATGTCCTCCGTTCTCGTGTCAAGACAACCGGTATCACCGAGACCACATTCATCATCGGTGAACTCACTTACCGCATGTTCGATGTCGGAGGTCAGCGATCCGAGCGAAAGAAGTGGATCCACTGTTTCGAGAACGTTACCACCATTCTCTTCTTGGTCGCCATCTCTGAGTATGACCAGCTTCTCCTTGAAGATGAGACCGTGAACCGTATGCAGGAGGCTCTTACTCTTTTCGACTCAATCTGCAACTCTAGGTGGTTCTTGAAGACGTCTATCATCCTGTTCTTGAACAAGATCGATATCTTCAGAGATAAGTTGCAGGCCAGCCCCTTGAAGAACTATTTCCCGGACTACGATGCCGGAGATGACTACAACTCGGCGTGCGACTACGTCCTCAACAGGTTCGTCAGCTTGAACCAGAGCGAGGTCAAGCAAATCTACACTCACTTTACCTGTGCTACTGAGTAAGTCTTTCCTTCCTTCCGCTCAAGAACATTGTGACTAACAAGGGTCTAGCACCACTCAAATCCGCTTCGTTATGGCTGCCGTGAACGACATCATCATTCAGACCAACTTGAGGGAGTGTGGTCTTATTTAAGCTACGTGATGGTGTCTAAAAGGATATGACAAGGGGCTGCCCGCATACATATACCAGAGAGTTTAACTTGGACTACTTCATCGGATGGAGCACAGGTGGCTATACTATCGTTGATGGCTGGCTGAGGGAAGAACTTTATTCATTTCAGGATCTGTTTTTCGTTTTTGATTTATTTGGGGGGAATGCGTCTGGAGGTATCTTTTTGCATCTTAGTTATAGCTTAATTTGCTTAGAAATTAGTAGTCATATTCATGACCACCATAGCCAACGCCGGTTCTGATCTGCTCTGAGCAGCTGAACCATCGTCCGGGTATTGAGAGCTGCCTGAAAGCTGGATGTCGGGCACTCGACGTCGACCCGGCCGGGCCCGAGAGCTCAACTGCAACTCGTACCGCAATTGCCCAGGACTGAACCGGCAGACCGTCTGCTCAAAAGCAGCGCAAATCCAATTGCAAAACGGCGTAGCTGACATTCAAGAGAGTATCTCGTGCTCTATAATTGGCTGTCTGCTCCCTTCGTAGGCGGTGCCGCACGACCCCTGACTGCGGGCGAAAGACCTGCAGGACTTGTACGAAGAAACTGAACGCTTCATACCAGTGGAAACGATCTTTATACCTTCGATAAGGATGCAGTCTTTCGCAAGGCTGCCAAGTCGTCTGGCTAAATGCCAGCCGCTTGGCTTCTCTGGCGCTGCTGTACGTCAGCGTCGCTTCAGCTCATCTCAGAAGCCGTCATCTCTCATGCTCGGCACATCATCACCGGTCGTTATGGACCATTCCATGCCTTTGTCATGGTCTCCAAGTACCGAGCATGTTGATCCAAGAGGTACTGTCCTTCGATCACTTGCCCCCTGTAGTGCGTCGTTACTGACCGTCATCTCGTAGACATTGCTTTGAATGCATTCTTTGCTCAGCACCGTCCCTTGGGCATTGTTCGCGCCTCTGCATCTGAAATTATTGAGAAGGATCTTGAAACTCTGGGAGAGAGTGACGAGGCGGCAGCTGCGATGGCTTACAACTTCCTTTACACCCCTTTCCAACCGCCTCCGGCGCCTGTGCCTCAGAGCCAAACCTCGCCTAAATCGCAAATCCTTAAGGCTTTGAGAGAAGCACCAACAGGCGTGCTGATCCGTCCTCAAGAGTTCGAAAGTCTGCCAGTGGAAGCACACGGCCAAAAGCAGGGATCCCTGGTGCACGCTATGGGAGCAGTGAACCCAGAAGTTTTGGATCAGATCAGGAACACGTTGTTCGGTGATGCTGTTGGTCAGGAGGAAGTCGAGGGTCTACCTAAGAAGATGGAATTGACAAGTGTAAAGAGAAAGAGAAAGTTGAAGATGAACAAGCACAAGTACAAGAAGAGAAGAAAGGAGCAGCGTGCGTTGAGGAAGAAGCTGGGTAAATAAACGGGTCGCGTGTGTACGTGGCACAGGAATGTTGCCAGTCTTCATGAATCTGAGGATCAGGCAGGATGGAGACGGAGCGGTGCGAAGATAGGTTCCAAAGCGGATTGGGAGGGAAGATTGGCGGTGATGCTAGAGTAGGGGGGACACCGCGGCTGGAAACAAACTGATAGCATCTTGATCATTGAGCTTCAGTTATATACTCATTCGAATCCCCTATCTTTCGAACTTCGCAAATGTTGTGCACTGCCACCGTACACCCCATATGGCGCCATCGTGCATCGCACGAAATTCAATTTAGGTTGCACAACGCCGAAGAGAATCCACCGCGATAAACACACAACCTTCAAGATGTCTGACAACAAGGCCACCAACATTACTTTCCACGCCGGTAAGTTGATGCTTGACGGATCTCGTTCATGCGCCGCCATGCTAACGTCGCTTAGGTAACGTTACCCGTGAGGAGCGTGCTCAGTTCTTGAAGCAGCAGGGTGTATGCGTTCACTGTGCCTGATCTGCTAGTTGCATCCATGCTGACGGTTTCGTTTCTAGTTGACCATCTGGTTCACCGGACTCTCCGCCTCCGGAAAGTCCACCGTCGCTGTCGCTCTCGAGCAGCACCTCCTCCACCTCGGTGTCGCTGCCTACCGTCTCGACGGTGACAACATCCGCTTCGGTCTCAACAAGAACCTCGGTTTCTCCGAGGCCGACCGTAACGAGAACATCCGCCGTATTGGTGAGGTCGCCAAGTTGTTCGCCGACTCCTGCCAGATCGCTCTTACGTCCTTCATCTCCCCCTACAAGGCGGACCGTCAGCAGGCTCGTGAGCTCCACGAGAAGGAGGGATTGAAGTTCATTGAGGTTTACATTGATGCTCCTCTCGAGGTTGTCGAGAAGCGTGATCCTAAGGGTCTTTACAAGAAGGCTCGTGCTGGTGAGATCAAGGACTTCACTGGTATCTCTGCTCCTTACGAGGCCCCTGAGAAGCCTGAGATCCACATCCGCACCGACGAGAACAGTGTTGAGGACTCTGTCCGTATCATTACTGAGTACTTGCAGAAGGAGGGTTTGTTGCAGATCAAGAACTAGATCATGGGGACGATGGACAAAAATGTACGTTAGAGGTTAGAATGAGGTAAAAGGTGCGGTGGGTTCAGCAAAAAACACAGTTCAATTTCACAAGAATGCTACATTCCAAACACTCTCAAACGTACATCCACCACCCACAACTCTCTCCCTTCAATTAATGCCTCTATCGTTCGCTGTCATGCCTCCGGGACCAACTTTTCGTGATTTCCTTATCAGCACTGCAGCAACGTTAGCAAAGAAACTCCTATGAGGTAGCAGAGGTACATACCACAACGTCGTTGGTCGCCTTCGTGTTCAACAACAGGGCAACAATGAGACCGTACAGACCCAAAACTTCAGCGAAAATGAGAATCAAAATCATACCGACAAACAACCTGGGCTGCTGAGCAGTACCCCGAACACCAGCATCACCAACGATACCAATTGCGAAACCAGCGGCAAGACCAGCAAGACCGACAGAGAGACCGGCACCGAGCTGAATGAAACCAGTGTAGAGAGCCTGTTGCTGCTTCAAACCGTCGGAGACGAGGACAGACACGACGAGACCGTAGATGGCAATGATACCAGCCATGACGACGGGGACAATGGACTTCATGACCAAGTCGGGGCGGAGGACACCCATGGCGGAGATACCGACACCAGACTTGGCGGTACCGTAGGCAGCACCGAAGCAGCTGAAGACGATAGCAGCCGTGCAGCCCATAGCACCGAAGAAGGGTGCGTAGACGGGGCTATTCTCATGAGTTAGTATGCGGACTTTATCTGAGGCAGTCCAGGGGCGGCAACTCACCAAAGATCAGTAGGCGCAACAGACATGATGTTGAAGCTGGACGTAAGAGGTTGTGAGAAGGTAAACTGCGACACTTTCGTCGTCTATGAGAGCAAGACTTGCGTAAACAGGTGCTTGCTTGGAAAGGGTTGTTGAGGCGGAGTAGGATGGCTGCGTAGACGGAGAGCGGCCAGCGTGAACGTGCGGCAGCCGACCCCGTCATCACCCAGGCACCGGTTACCCTGATTTACATCAACAAGCATGATCGGCGAGACAAGTTAATGTAAATAATACAGTTGTATTGGGTAGGTAATGTCGCCTTTATGGCTCACCAGTGGGTACCATGAACATATGCAGTCCGTCCTCTAACGATGCCATTCAACGCCTTCCCATAACGTCACTCCCCTCCGTATGCTTATTCATTTCTTCGCCAAGCTCCTCCTCCTCATTTCCTCCTCCGCCTTCACCCTCACCAATTCCAGCGGCACCTCCGCATCCTCCCTCGAGTCATGACCCGCATTCCCATCCCCCTTCTGGATCTGCCTGCACAAATACCTCTCCGCCAGGTACTTTAAACTGTTCCTGATCGGTCTGCCTCGTGGATGTGGGTATAGGATCGCGGTATCAATCACACGGTTGTGAATGATGCGAAGTGCGGTCAAGTCGTTTTCGAGACCGTGGCCCAGGAGGATTGTTTTGGAGTCGATGAGGTTGAGGAGACGGGTGCGGACGTCTTGGAGGGTGCAGGTAGCGGATTCGAGGGATGACACACCAGAGAAACGAGTGTTCAAATCCAGGACGGGGTTTGGCGGGCGAATAAGTTCGTCGAAAAGGAGGGTGCCTTCGTGATCGAGGGCAGTGATACGCGTAAGCTCTAATCCTGCTGTAGTGTATGACATCTCACAATCGAAAGAGACGACCGGTAGTTTGCCTTCGGCAGACGCTGGATCATGCGCCGGTACATTGAGGAAAGGCTGCTGAACTTGCAGGCGGGGTGGGTATGATAGCTTGAAAACATGACATCCACGTGTGCAGCCCTTCTCACCCATTGGTAAGGTGCAGCACGAGTATACTTGCTGCTTGGCACCATTTTGTGTGCGCCAGTAGGGTTTGCCGTAGTGGTACTGACAGGCAGATTTGTCTTCGTCGTCGAGATCTCCTTTCACAATCCAGCGTTTGCCACACCTATCACAGACACGCTCGCATCCTTCTTCGTTGCGTGGAGCATTTTCTTCTGGTGTTGGAATGTCGATGATATAGTCCCATTCTGCCAGCTTCGCCTTGTCAGTCATGACGAACGTTTCGAGAACCTCCATAACCGCGCCCAGGCCCTTGATCTTTTGTTTCACCTCCTTGCCCTCATTCTCAAGGTCTTCGAGAGTAATCCGCGGACGTTTCTTGACCTCGATAATCGCGTTCTTCATCGCATTCTTGTACGTCAATTTCGTATGCTTGTTGACAATCTCTTCTTCGCGCTTCAATGCTGCTTTTCTGGCCCGATACTTTAACTCATCGCCACTGATGACCCCGTAGTAGCTCAGATACTCCTTCTCGAGTATTGCAAGTAGAGGTTGACGAGTAATGTTCGGGACCGAGCATGCAGGAAATGTAACCGGGATGATAGGGCCACTGATATTGATGGCGGGTTCAAGAGGAGTTGCTTTTGCTGTTGTCTTGCCCTTGGCTTCCGAAGCCAGTGCTGGCTTTGCCAGTGTTGGAGGTGGTTTATCTGCCGCGGGCGGAGCTGGAGCAGTTGGTGTGGGTGACGCTGGCCGAACAGGTTGGACTGGTCCGGGGTTTGGAACGGGTGTGGCCTCCTTGGTCGTTTCCTCTTCGACTTGAACAGTTGGAGGCGCCTCTGGCTCGATTGGCGTAGTGAGAACAGGCGGCGGGGTTGGCAGCTTCTTCTTTCTTAGTAACGAGCCAGTATCTTCGTCCTCCACCTTCTGCTTCTTTACCGGCGTTTCCTCCGCAAGAACGTCCTTGGCCTTCTCATCGTCTTCTTCCCCCTCAACGCGTCTCTTCTTCGCCGCTCTCTCTGCTGTCGCGAATGTATGCTCCACTGCAATGGTTTTCATTAGCATACATGCCCAGGACATGAGAGGGGAGAGTCGCTCACCTGGATGCTTGAAGAAGCAGGCGGGGATGTCACACGTCGCGGCCTTTGGACAGGCAGTGTTCCCGAAGAGGCCCTGTGCGGTGAACATCCTTCTTGCTTCTTTGGGTGGCCGACGTAACGTAGACATTTGACATGGTACTAAGTGCAAAATTCTTGACACGCCTCACTGCAGGTGCGCGCAAGAATTTTGCGTCCGTGACGTCATTGCATCTCCCCTCAACCGAATTGTCAAGAGGTATAAAACCAATCTCGATCCAAGCACGGCGAACCCCACCGCTACACTCACACTCACATCGACAATGCTTCGCTTGCAATTCTTCCGCGCTCGCCTTCTGGTCTCCTCCGCTCGGGCCTTCTCTTCCTCAGCCGCTCGTCCCTCCTTCATCAGCCGTAAAGACAACCAGGACCTTCCCTCGACCACTCAGGGCCATGCCGTGGACAAGGACGATCCCAAGGACGTGCAGTCAGAGAACGCTCGCGCTGGTATCGAGGACAAGAAGAACCAGAGGACCAGCGCTGCTGCCAGTGCTCAGGGTGAGGACAAGAAGCCTGGAAGCGAGACCGCGTCGCCAAACAAGGCACCAGGGTATGTTTCTCCGATCGAAAATGCCACAATCTACATGATGCTAATGCTTTTACAGGGGTGGTGTCATCGGAATGCAGGATGAGCGTGGTTCCTTGAGGACGGACAACTCTGAGAAGTCGTAAGATATTGATGCATGAGGATGGATTGCGATGGCGATGGCGATTGCAACGGTGATTTTGTACGTTAGGAGAACGAGAAGGTTTCATTATTATAAGCGAATACGAACGTTCAACAAGTACACGGGGCGTTTTCACAATATCCATATTGCTGCTGTCATCAAATTGATGGCACCCCTGACTCGGCAACTCATCGGGTATAAGAGAGCCGCTCTTCCCTCCGTCTTCGACCTCCAACCAACTGACGTTCTTTGACAAACAACCACTCTTGTTCTGCATCGCACCCACTTTCTTTACACAAAGACAATACGATAATTCCCACGACTGCTATCAACATGGACAGTAATTCTTCATGGCAAAAGCACAGCTAATCTATGTTATCCAAGTCAAAACCTAATAGTAGCAGGAACAACCCTTCACTGACCCCCTTCATCACCCTTTCCATTACCTTCCGCAATCTTAGCCAACTCCGTGTATTCCCCGCTACGCTTCACCATCGTATAAAAAATCCCCTGCTTCTTCAAGAGGTTTGCAGGAGTATCGAACTCTGCTACCTCACCAGCTTCGAGTACCAGGACTTTGTCGTAATCCATAATGGTGCGGAGTCTGTGCGCGACGGTCAAGATGGTTGACTCTTTGAATTCCGTGCGGAGGGCGAGCTGGATCTTCGCATCCGTGGCAAAGTCAACGGAGGCAGTCGCCTCGTCGAGGATAATCAACTTGGAACGACGGACAATGGCTCGCGCCAGCGCGAGGATTTGTCTCTGTCCTTGAGAGAAGTTGTTGCCGTTCTCGGTGACAGCAGAGTCCAGGTTGAGCTTCTGCTTCATTGATTTCGTGGATTTCATAGTACCCGTCGGAGTCGCAGACCCAGAGGGAGCATAGCTCTCGTCCTCAAAATCGAGCATACCAGAAGCACGAAGAGCCAGGTTGAGCTCTGCATCACTCGCCTCGCCAAATGGATCAAGGTTCGACCTGATAGTACCTGAGAAGAGCACGGGGTCCTGAGGGATGATAGACACTCTTTGACGAAGCGCATCAAGATTGAGTTTGTCGATATCCACGCCATTGATCTGGATGATACCTCCAATCTTCTCCGTAAAGCGCAACAAACTGAGACCGAGCGTGCTCTTTCCGCTTCCGGTCCTGCCGACAATACCAACCTTCTCGCGAGGGTTGACGACAAAAGACACCTTCTTGAGGATATCGGGTCCGTCGAGATTGTAACGGACTGTCAAGTCCTTCACCACTACATCACCCTCACTGGGCCAGGATGCGGGAGGTGTGCCCTTCTGGGTCGATTTCGGCTCCTGCTTGATGCCAATGTATTCTTTGACACGTTCGTAGGAGTTCATCTCAACCTCGAGTTCATTGGAACACCTGACAAGGAAAAGAACAGTTTCACTGAAGCCAACAGCATTCACAAGGGAAAAGCCTACAAGACCAGGCGACACCTTGCCGTTAGCGAGAGCCAAGAACCCAGCAGTGAAGGCAACTAAAGAACCTACTGCATCGGCTCGAACGCAGACCCAACGATTGACGTTGTAAAGGGTTTCGAGGGGCCTGGTGTGTGCGTCGATCCTTCGCATGTTTTCCTGACTGAATCGTTCTTGAGCACCGAAAGCTCTGATGGTGATAGCACCGAGAATGGTATCGCCAAAGTGGGAGAACAACGGACTCTCCGTGATGGACACAATACGCTTAACCGCAACCTGCGCCTTGATATACATCTCACCAATGAAGTAACCAATCACAGTGACGGCAGCAGCCGGGATGGCAAAAATTGGCATGATAGCGGCGATGGACGCAATACGAACAACGACACGAACGACATTGTCGGCAGTCATGCGCAACCACTGGACGATAACCGAATCAAGAGCACGAACATCCTTCGAAAAACGGTTGATCACACGACCGATGGGCACAGAATCAAACCAGGAGATAGGCGCACCGAACACACTCTCAACAAGGTCCGTGTGAAGCTTGAAAGCAGCGCTCCATGATCCACGGTAGAAGATAACGTTAGTGAGACCATTCATCAACGTCGAGCCAACCACGATGGCGGCGTACAACGCGAGGTAGAAATAGATGTGTACAGGATCAGACAAGTGCGACACTTCGTACGTCGTAAGAAGCACCAGAACCTGGTTGAGCACCACAGCAATCAGAGCGGCTGCAAACAAAATCGTCCCAAAGTTCTGCATGTACTTGATGATGAGACCGCGAGAGATACGTCCACGAGCCTTCTCCTCCTCCTGGATCAGCTTTCCTCCTTTGCCGCTTGCAGGTGCCTGTGCAGGCTTGGTAGTATCGATGTTCTCAGGCGTAGCGTCCACATCAGGCTCCTGGTCTTTCCGTGCTGGCGCTTCCTCTTCAATCTCGTTCATCAAATCCTCATCGAGAACAGCAGCGGCATCATCCACTTGGACTTGCTGCCCATCGCGGAGGACAATAACCTGATCGGCTGCCGGGGAGCAAAGCGTAACGTGATGCGTTACAAGAATGACCGTCCTGCCTCGAAGCAACTCGCCCTTGATACAGTTCTCAAAAATGCACTTGCCAGTGTGGATATCGAGTGCAGAAAGTACATCGTCTAGTAAGACTGTCTGAGCGTTCGAATACACTGCACGGGCCAAACTCAAGCGCTGCTTCTGTCCTCCAGAAAGAGTAACACCCTTCTCGCCAACTTCAGTCTGATCTCCAGCTTCGAAGCTTTCAAGATCCGGGCGCAACGCACAAGCGTCGAGCGTCTTCTCGTATCGCTCCTCGTCGTATTCGGAGCCGAAAAGGATGTTTTCCTTGATCGTAGCATTCTGCAACCACGCAGTCTGTGCGACATATGCGACACCGTTGCCACGGGGCAAGTCGAAGGATCCTTCGAGTAAGCGCATCTCACCGAGCAGCGCAAGAAGCAAGGAACTCTTGCCGCACCCAGTGGGTCCAACAACCAGGTTAAGGCCGCCTTTGATGAAGTTGAAGTTCAGAGTACGTAGCTGGAACTCCTCCTTCTCAATGGCCTTCTCCAGTGTACTGGAGTTCCACGCAAAAGATGCGTTAACAAACTGAGGGACTTCATTCTCAGCGGCTTGGGCAAGAAGAAACTGCGCTTGTTCAGCGTCGATCTCATCCGGATCATTGAGGAATTTGTCAATACGCTCGAAGCTGACCTTGGCCTGGATCAACATACGAGTCATAAATGAGATCCACAAGAACTGACTTCTCAGAATATCGAACAAACTCAAGGCCGTGAAGGCAACACTGCTGGTCAGAGTCCTCTTCATGACGATCGTGTACACGAAGAAAGTGATCAACATGTTCGTGAGAGGCAATAAGTCCGTGACGACACTGATCCAGATGCTCGTCATGGTCCGTTTCCAGATGGCTCGCTGTTCAGCCATACGCTTCTCTGTCACTCTACCAATCATAGCACGTTCCCAGCCAAAGAACTTGGTGATACGGATGGAATGCAACAGCTCACTGACAAGCCCGATACGCGCATCGGTCGCTGCCATGACTTCCTTTTGCATCTTTGCAAGCCTCGTTGTGAGGAGCCCAGGAATGGGCAACGTCGCAATCAACATTCCGAAACCGACAAACGCACTCCATCCCATGAGCTGGTATAGGAAAACAAGAGCAACGATAATCTCAACAGGCGCTGCAACGACCAACAAGAAGAAGTCTCTGGTATTTGTGATAGTTTCGATGTCACTCGACATGAGATTGTTGATTGTCCCAACCTTGCTCTTTCCCTGCTCGGTAGTGGCCGCTTCGGCCTCCTCTTCGCTAAAGGCGAAGCGAATTCGCAGAGTCTTCTGATAAAGTTCCTGGGTAAGAGCACTCTTCACTCGGACCAGCAAGCGAGTAGATGTAAAGACGTATGCTTGCATAGATATGGATTGAGCAATAGGCGCAATAAGTAATCCGACAACAAAGAAGTAAGGTGTGATCCAAGCATTATCGGGGTCTTCCAGGAAAGCCAAAAGGCGGTTCATAGAGAGCGGTGAGATGAACTGACAGCATGCTGTGCAGGCCGTGAACACCATCATCCATGCGATATCAACGCGCATCAAACTCAGAACCGTCATCAGAGTTGAGCTCTTCTTGTTCTTCAGCGTCTTTTCCCTCCACAACTTTGCCCGATCGTAATCAGGCAATGGAGGAAGATCATCCACTTCAAGATCACGCTTGTAGCCCTTACGAACTACCGGGTCAATCCAATAGTAGGTTCCGAGATAGCTGATCGGTGTGCAAGTCTGCTCCGGAGCAGGCACAGCTTCCTTATCGGTAGGGTCAACTGGATGCCAAACACGGGGCGTGACGAGCGGAAGGAAGTTCACAGCAACCATAAGAATGAGTCTGGCCCAAGTGAACCAGCCCTCGTTTCTGACATGCTTCATCTGGTGCTCCGACGGATGCACCAAGAGTCTCGGCCAGATATCACGGTGCAGAGTGATCACCAGAGGCACTGGTGCAAGCAGCGACACATGGTGAAAGATAGTTGGGCGGTACGGTGTAGGGAAGAACCGGTGAGTGTGCAGGAGCAGCAGATACGCCCAGAACACTGTCTCCACCACCTCCTCCGAGATGTCCTTGCCCATCGCAAGGCGCTTTCCGATGCCAAGCGCACTCATCACCATCAAAACACTTACAAGCACGGTGGTCATCCAGCCAAACAAAAAGCGGGCTCCTTTGATGGCCTCCACTTTCCATTTCCTGGCCTTGGCTATTGCAACATCGTCAGCGGTGGTAAGAAGACTGTAATCCGGCCTGTTGATGAATGGTGTCTTAGTCCAGAGTCTGATGCAGATGAGAACAATTATCGACAGTAATAAAGGGGTCAGTAAAGAACAAATTCGGACGATGGTTGTCGCGGAGTAACCGCGCAATGGGGCATTCAGTGCCGTAATCGCAAGCTCCTTAGGCGTAGACGTCCAAAATCCGCTGCCTTCAATTAGCATATAATCAACCAGCAAACCGAACATGCGACGTACCCATAAGAGGACGATACCTTGGTTCCGAAGGTATATTGGTGATCCATGGCCGCAATTGTCCGTGCAAATGCAACGGTCTTGGCCACAGAAAGCTCAAGGTATACAAGAAGACTGTTGGAACGAGCGGTCCTAAGTCCTTACACGAAGGCCCTAGGGGTATATACAGCTTCAGTGGCCACGGTTGCTACTATTTTGAGAAATTGGACGAAATCAACTGGACGCCACGCCACACCTTATCGACGTACGGTACAGCTCGCGAAAGAGGCGGTGCACCGGGAGTACGAGCCGAGCCTGTGACTAGCATACACGAGAGGGCTGGAGAAATATTATGCTCATTCCTACTCGGCAATGAACCGGACGGCAGCCCTTCTTGTCGGACTTTCCCACTTTCCCGATCCTTCTGGCTAGTTCTTCGTGCACGCAAAGTTGGTCGCGCGGGCAGGACGATTACGCGGCCTCTTGCTGGTGCTGCGGTCCCTGTGACGTCTGGCAGCGAGAGAGACTGCCGCGCTTGCCGCCCCCTGAGACCGTCCAAGAGTCACCCTCCCGGATCAACGCCTCCCAACAACCACCCCCCCTATATAAGGCCGTTCGTCCTCCACGCCCTGCCAGCTTCCCCTATAACACGTCACTTACTCTACACATCACCGACTGTACTCTACAACCATGCAGGTGTGTATTTCCGGCTTACAGAACAGCATTCATCCGAGCGGTTGACTAACTCTTCGTTGTAGATCTTTGTCAAGACCCTCACTGGCAAGACCATCACTCTTGAGGTCGAATCCTCCGACACTATCGACAACGTCAAGTCCAAGATCCAGGACAAGGAAGGAATTCCTCCGGATCAGCAACGTTTGATTTTCGCTGGAAAGCAGCTCGAGGACGGCCGCACTTTGTCCGACTATAACATCCAGAAGGAATCCACTCTCCACCTTGTCCTCAGATTGCGTGGTGGTATGCAGATCTTCGTGAAGACCTTGACCGGCAAGACCATCACCCTTGAGGTCGAGTCATCAGACACCATCGACCATGTCAAGTCTAAGATTCAGGATAAGGAGGGTATCCCCCCGGATCAGCAACGTCTCATTTTCGCCGGAAAGCAACTGGAAGACGGTCGTACGCTTTCCGACTACAACATTCAGAAGGAGTCTACGCTCCACCTTGTGTTGCGCTTGAGAGGAGGTGTCGTCAAGAAGAAGTGTACGCACGTTGCTTGCTCCCAACCACGAATGCCCATTGTCGGTGACTGTGCACGATGCGAAGGCAAGTTCTGCAGTCGCCACAGGTTGTTGGAAGATCACTCTTGCCCAGGCTTGGGGGACTGCAAGAAGGAGTCTAAGGAGCGAAATGAGCATACGCTCATGAGCCAGAGGACTGTCGCCAACAAGGTCTAAATGGTTTCGTGAAGTGTAGCTGGTCTCACTTCCATTTCGTTTTACTGGATTCGGGTTATCGTGTTTGATTATTGGGGTTGATGGGCGTTTTACTTTTGCGTTTATTCGGATCGCCGCATAGAGACGATTGCCATAGCTATAGGCGGTGGATACATGAGCGTTTGCGTGCAGCTGATTTTTCCTGCTCTAATAACGAGATCATTACTCTGACTGCGTCCTGTATTATATCCCCTTCGCACGAACAATTCGCACTGCTACTGTAGACCCATGTTCCCGCCCTGCAACTTTACGCGTGAGCCTGCATCAACAAACCCGTTGTCAAAACACGTACGTGGGACACGAAAATCTTGAACTGTGCTTCAAGAGCTTATCGACAATCGAAGGAGCATTCATCCCTGCAATCGAACGAGCATAATCAACCCAAACGCGTCTCGCTCTTCTTGCGCTCCAGAACACCCGGCTCCTCAAGCAACGGTACCGCGACGTACCTATAGATATCGCACAAGTCACAATGCCTCGCGAGCTCATCACCCTTCAATCTGGACAATGCGGTAACGCGATCGGATCCCAGTTTTGGCAGCAGCTCTGTGTCGAGCATGGTATCAATGCAGATGGTAATCTTGAGGATTTCGCGACGGAGGGTGGAGACAGGAAAGACGTGTTCTTTTACCAAAGTGATGATACGAGATACGTACCAAGAGCAATTTTGATGGATTTGGAGCCGAGAGTGAGCTAAACGCGTCCAGTCCTCATAGGACGGTGGGCTAATGTGCTGTTCACAGGTTATCGGAAACATCCTCTCAGGACCGTACGGAAAGATCTACAACCCCGAAAACGTATACGTATCGAAAGATGGAGGAGGTGCTGGAAACAACTGGGCTGCAGGACATGCCGCTGGAGAGCGAATACACGATGAGCTCATGGATATGATCGACAGAGAAGCAGATGGATCAGATTCCTTGGAGGGATTCATGCTCACGCATTCAATTGCTGGAGGTACTGGGTCTGGATTGGGAAGTTATATCTTGGAGCAGCTGAATGACCGATATCCGAAGAAATTGATTCAGACTTACTCGGTGTTCCCGAACAATCAGCAGGTGTCGGATGTTGTCGTGCAGCCATACAATTCGTTGCTGACATTGAAGAGGTTGACACAACACGCTGACTCGGTTGTGGTACTTGATAACGCTGCACTGACAAGGATTGCTGCAGAAGTCTTGCACGTGCAAACACCATCATATAACCAGACAAACCAGCTGGTATCTACGGTCATGTCCGCAAGCACTACGACACTGCGTTACCCTGGTTACATGAACAATGACTTGGTCAGCATGGTCGCTTCTCTCATTCCTACACCAAGATGTCATTTCCTGATGACCTCGTACACGCCTTTCACAGGCGACAATGTCGAGCAGGCCAAGACTGTACGGAAGACTACCGTGTTGGATGTTATGCGCCGCCTCTTGCAACCAAAGAACCGCATGGTATCCGTTAACCCGTCAAAAAAGTCCTGCTACATCTCCATTATGAACATCATCCAAGGTGAAGCGGATCCAAGTGATGTCCACAAGTCTCTTCTTCGTATTCGCGAACGAAGATTGGCCACGTTCATCCCATGGGGACCTGCAAGTATTCAGGTTGCCCTGTCAAAGAAGAGTCCGTATGTGCAGACACCGCACAAGGTCAGCGGATTGATGTTGGCGAACCACACAAGTATTGCATCGGTAAGCTGCGCTTCGAATGCGGTATTGCTTACATGACTAATACGTTCGATGCAGTTGTTCAAGAGGACCCTCGACCAGTACGACAAACTCCGGAAGAGGAACGCTTTCTTGGAACAATACCGGAGAGAACCTATGTTCGCAGACGGATTGGAGGAGTTCGACAGCTCCAGAGCTGTTGTGCAGGAGCTTGTGAACGAGTACGAGGCGGCGGAGAACCCAGAATATATCACATATACCGGCGATGACGGAAGAGGTGAGGATGAATAAGGGGAGCCGAAGGGGGGGATGATAACCAGTGCCTAGGATAAGGCCCTGCAAGATAAATTACTCATTTATATAATCATTATCGAATAACGCCAAGCCCAACCCAAACCCACATTCCTATCAAGCACTACAGATAAACTTTTGTAATCGCACAATAAAACACACTCACGCAGCCCTGGCCGCAAGTGCATCAGCCCTCAACCCACGGTAAGCCTTCCTTGCGGAGATCGTCTTATCCCAGCTCCTACGCTGAACGGCGCTCATGCGAGGCCGAACATCACCCTCCTCAAGGGAGAAACGCCCAACGGAACGCTTACTAACGGCAGTAGAAGAGCAAGTCAACGCGAGCTGCCAGATGGAGTAGCTCTTAGCGTTGGTAGAGAAGGAAGAGAAGACAACAGCAGAGATCGCAGTGTTCGTAGTGTCAATACCGAAGGAACTGAACGGGATAGCGAACCTCTTGGCCGAGGAAGCAAGACCAGTGACGGTGTAGTACGCCCTCTTCAAGTTGTTACCAGCAGCGCAGACCGTTGCGTTGTCGTAGTACTGAACCTCGAGAACGACACTGCTTCCACTGGGTCCGCTCATGGAGAATTGGACACCAGAGTAACCGGCCAAAGCCTGACAACCGGTAGACGAATACCAATAACAACCACTCTGTGGAGTGATCTTCAACTGACTGCTTGGGCTAGTGACATCCGTGACAGACGTACAAGTACCATCATCAGAAGTCCAGTAACCAAGATCGTTGAAGTTGGTAGCGTACTGGGTAGGAGAATCGAAGTTGTCGATCATAAGGTTGGCAGTGCACCGAGCAACAGCCGCAGTGGTCGTAGTGGCAGCTGCGGAAGAGGTAGCAGCAGCAGATGACAAGGCGGCAGAGCTCTTCGCCGATGTGGTCGTAGAGGAAGCAGCGATGGTGGAGGCGGCCTTGGAAGAGGAGGAGGTAGTAGCAGCGGCAGTGCTAGAGGCCTTTGTAGCGGTGGAGGAGGAGGTAGCGGCAGAGGAAGCCTTGGAGGTAGTCGACGGAGAGGCAGAGGAGGAAGCGAGCGTAGAGGAAGAAACAGCGCAAGTGCCGTAGGCGGGCTGGCAGCCAGTACCACAGTAGTCGCTAGTTGTACCGCACCAGCCGTGGGAAGAACAGCAGCCGTTGTCCGGACAAGTGTAGTTACCAGCGCTGGAAGGACCACAGCTGTTGTCAGGGGAGATGTTGGAAGCCGCAGAAGAAGTAGACGTAGAGCTGGCAACAGTAGGCTTACCAGTGACAGCACCGTCAACCAAGCAGTAGGGCACAGCACCAACACCACCAGCGGCGGCGCAAGACTTCTCGAAAGTGGAGGAGGAGCCCTGCTGATCGTTGGTGACGTTGAAGTAGAACTGGTAGTTGGAGATGTACATATGAGCATCAGCGGTAGGAGGGCCCTGAGTCCAGTCACCACCGTCGGACCAGACGTTCATGATGACGGCACCTGGAGTAGAGGGCACGTTCACGGTCATCTGGCGGATAGCATTGCCATTCTGGTAGAAGGTAGTGACAGAAGGTTGCCAGTCGAAACGGTGCTGAATGGAGCTGGTCCATCCACCGGAGACAGCTTCGGTGTAAGTGGCACCGGGAACGGAGTTGTCAGTGGAAGCGTCGTAGGCGGGCTGGTTAGAGTAGTGAATCTGGTTGGTAGACTCCGAAGTCAAGACCTCGATATCGGTCTCTTGGGTATCGGACTTGTAGTAGAAGAAACCGGCGCAAACACCAGGGGTAGCCTCGACACTGAAAGTAGAGCGGAAGGAACCGTAAAGAATGTCAGTGCGAGCAGTGTCGACTTCACCAACCTGAACAGCACCAGAGCCAGAGTAGCCAGAAGTCTTAACGACAAGGTTACCGTTCCGAACGTAGGCGTTGGAACCATTGTTCTGCATCTGGTAAGCGGCAGTACCGGCGTCGGTACCCCAAGTTTGGGCATACCAATCGCTGGAGATACCAGAGTCGGCAATTGTGTCGGCGTCGGCCATGGAGGAGAAGTCGGCGGTCATGGCATGCGACCAGACGGATCCGTCTCCGGTCTGGTAACCACACTCACAAGCTGCCTGAGCGGTTCCGGCTGCGGTCGCAAGAAGGCCGAGAGCGGCAAGAGCCAGAGAAGATCTTCGTCGATCCATTGATGGGTATATGAAGCGATTGAGGAGTGTAGTGACTGTGATGATGAGAACGTAGAGGGGTGGGGGATAGGATGGTCTTATAAACGACAGATTGACAGATCGCTACGTTTACCGAGTCGATCCGAAGAGATGGTGTCTCGAAGGGATGCGGATGCATCACTGAGGTGTTGTGAAGGGCTTTTCCTCAGGCAAAGTGCCCACGTCTAAGCGACGCCATGTCTGAAAAAGGCGTTGAATCGAGCAGTTGAGAAGACAGTTGCACGCCCCCTGTCAAGCAGCATACGTTGGATTGCAGAAGGCATCGTTGTGGGGCGTCGGTCAATGGCGAATTTCGACGGCGCTCGAGACTGTTGCGCACAGACCTTTCCCAGCGCGTCGATCCAGCGAGTCGCGCTAGCCAAAAGCGGTGTGCGGCCCAACCACCCGGTACCAGAGCACAACGGCATGCGTCTTCTAGAATCTTTAGAGAAAGCCAGAACCGTTGCAAGACGCTAGAAGCAAGGAGATCAGAAAAACGGGAACCCTTGGCATCGCGAATGTACGCTCTCAACGGCCGTGGATTTCAGTTCGCAGGAATGAAGGCGTAGTCCAGATCCGATACCTTGATGTCATGCGTATGACCAGCAGGGTTCATCGCGTGAGTTAACGCGTGTTCGTTCTGATGAGCTTCTAACCCGTCTGGAGGCGACGTCCGAGGGAGCCGGATACACGATATGAAACTTAGAAGCCGATTAGAGAACGAAAATGCGTTCTAACAAGCCTGACAATTTCGAGTGGAGATTACCGAGATCTTCTCGAAGCCTGCAAACGCATTCCATAACTCATGAAGATCAACTTAACTACCCCTTCCATGTTCGGCGCATGTTCATATGCGCCGCGGTGCAGCAGCTGGTCCGTGCGTTCATGCATGACGATAAGATCGACGCCATGAAAGCAACTGCTTGTAACGTTGACATGAACATCCCACCGACGATGAGCACAACTTCAAAATACTTTGCTACATCCCTGACGACAAGGGCTCGGACAGCTCGGGCACCGGCACGTTCTCTAGGCGTTGTTACGCAGGAATCAAGCGACAGCGAGCTTTCACCGCCTCCATCGGACTTGGACGATAACTATGAGGAAGTAGCGGTCATAAAGAAAGAAACACCTGCTCGGAAAAGAAGGGCAAGTGCTACTGTTATAGATCGCAAGAGACTACCAAAGAGAAGCGCAAAGAATGGAGATGCAGAATCAAAACCCACATCTAAGATGAAAGCAATCCCGGTTAAGCTTGAACCTGGGATACCACCTGCGAACTGGGAAAAAGTGTACAGTTTAATAGAGCAGATGCGCAAGACAGGTCCACCTGCTCCTGTTGATACTATGGGCTGTGAACGATTAGCGGATCAAGATGCGGATCCCAAGGTGAAGCGGTTTCAGACGCTGATCTCCGTAATGTACGTTTTTCCCCACGATAATACCAAGAGCATCACGTAACGTCATATGCAGGTTGTCGAGTCAAACAAAAGATACAGTCAACGCTATTGCTATGAGTAATCTCAAATCTCAATTACTGGGCGGGCTATGCTTGGACAGTATCCTTGCGGTGCCGGATGCCGAGTTGAACGCAATGATCGGAATGGTCGGCTTTCATCGGAGGAAAACAGAATATATCAAGAAGACTGCAGTAATTCTACGTGATCAATGGGCAGGCGACATTCCTGATACTATCGAAGGCCTGGTAGCTCTTCCGGGGGTAGGGCCTAAAATGGGTTATCTGACATTGACGGCTGCATGGAACAAAACTACCGGTATCGGCGTGGATGTACATGTGCATCGGATTGTATGTTGTGCTCAACCTTCGCCATCCGTTAATGCTAATGTTTGCTACAGACAAATCTTCTTGGGTGGCATAAAACGAACACACCTGAACAGACAAGAGCAGCGCTTGAATCTTGGCTGCCAAGTGACAAATGGGGTCCCATTAATCCACTTCTTGTCGGTTTTGGTAAGCAACAATGCCATCGATTACTGGGATGACCTCTGTTGACATGCTCGTATCGCCAGGTCAAACAATATGTAAGCCGGTTGGAAGGTTGTGCAGCCAATGTACGCTCTCGACAGGCCTTTGTCCGTCCGTGACATACACCGCACCAAAAAAGAAGGGAACTAACATAAAACTGGAAGGAGAGACTGGCACAGACCTAGATATGGTGACAGACACGAAGTTGGAAAAGGACGTCGGCGTTAAGATCGAAGATATGGAGGACCTTGTCAAGTGACCAATGCGTCGCACGAATATTAGAACATTGTGCATTTGCTTCAACGGTGTCTTCATGTCTCCTGTATCTTCATGCTCACGACTTTCTGTAGCATCTATCATATACTTTCTTCGCATGTTGAACAAGATTGCCATGTGTCCCAACGATCTGGCGGATTCCATCTTGTACTAGAGGTGAAGACAAGATAAGGTGGGTGTATGTGAACAGTGTTGCTTCGAGAAGCATGGGTTCCCTGCAGTACGTGTGAGCACATCCGAGTGGTACACTGCGCATGGGTGTGCATGTGCTCTGCGCGTGAGAACATACATAAAGTATCGAATCATAATTCGCCGCACATTATGACACCTTGAACTTAGCCATATGAGAAAAATCATAATCAACCGCAAGAATGGAACTCCCGAATACCAAAACGACCCCTTCGTGTGCAACTTTGAAAAGAAATGACAGGCCTTATCACCACGCAGCTCACCCTAGCCACGCTTCATCTGGCTTCGTAGAAGTGATTAAATAACAGATCGAGCCTCTCCTTTGCACGCTCTCTTTCTTCGAACTTGACCTCTTCGACTTTCGCTGGTCCTTCACGTAACAGACTAGTATCGCATGTCTTCTCACGGCTGAACTTCAACTCCTTTGCACTTGGCAATGACGGGCGGCGACTTGGATACCTCTCCACCCAATCGTCACGAAGCCGTGCATTACTCTCATGCTGAGTACACTCAGAGCATGCAGTCCATTCAAACCCCTCCAACTGCCTGTACTCGTCTCTGTTCAACGGAACGCATGCGCCTCGTACGCTGAGACTCGAAGTGATGATTAAGGATTGTGGTTCTTCCAGACAAGTGATGTACTTCGAGACGAAAGCAGCAGTAAGCGCCTCCGGGGAGAAATCGGTGCGGTAAAGTTGACCTTTATCGTGTGAAGCGCGTGCTGTCGACCAAGCGAAGTCCATGGCTTCATCCTCGATTCCCAAGCTGGGAGCCAGTGCGGATACACAAGGACTTCTGAAGAACGGTCTTGATGGTATCTGGGAAGGCTGCTGCCCGGGGATCGCGCAGACTGCCGCTACGCATTCCAACCCTGCGGAAGGTGCTGTAACTGGTGTTGATAAACGCGCAAGCCAGGGTGACTCCTTGGACATGGTCGCCCGTTCTCCAAGATGTTATTGAGTCTTCAAAGTATATGTTCGGTTGTTCTCTCTTACAATTGTTGCTATTTTTCTACACGTACAATGTCGTCAACTCATGCAGTGCGATAAGGCTTCCCCGCGAGGATCAGCCCGGCCCGCCAGCGCACCTATCCAGCTGAAGTCGCTATGGAACATCGGGAAATCAACGAAAACAACAGGACAGACGATTGATCACATGCATTCGTATGGTATCTTCATAGAGGTTTGTAGTCGTGCAACGCCCAAAGCGCAGCTGTTACCCTAAAGAGCAACCGTATTCTAACTCCATCCTCCTCGAGGATTACAAAAGTGCTACACCGCCGACGAGGCCTGCAACACCTATCACACCATACCTTACCGCAAACCGTTCGTCCCCGCCACTGTGAGCACTGACAGTTGCAGTAGGTGCAGAGGTCGTGCTAGAGGAAGTGGATGTGGCGGTGGAAGATGTCGTGGCAGGTGATGTGCCCGTAGAGGAAGCGGCGCTTGCTGAGGCCTGAAGAGCCGAGAGGGATGGAAGAGTGACACCGACAGAGGAACAAAGATCTATCAGAGTTAGAGAGGGCTCAGATCAAATGAGAACATGTGCATACTTTCAGCATAAGCAAAGGTCGTTTGCTGATCAGTAGCCGAGCAAGCGCCCGTCACACAGGTTGTAAGGGAATCAACGAAGCTCGTGCTCGAGCATAGGCAATTGAAATCGGTTAAGGAACAACCCGAAGAAGTTGCAAGAGATGTAAGGCAGCTAACAGCGCAAGCCGGAATGCTGTCCGTTGACTGGGCTGATGCGATCGATGCCATGTAGAGGCATGCTGTGAAGAGAACGGAGAACAACATATTGAAGATGAGCATCTTTGAGGTACGACTGAAAACACTCCGCCGTATTTATATAAGCTTACGACTGGTCGGGCTTTTCGGGGTTCCGTCTGGGGGATCATCCCGGACGCGTGCCTAATGAGCCTCAATTGCGGTCCTTGGCGACTGCAGGTGACGAGATGCCGCGGTAGAGTTACGTGTCCATTCCGGCACGGAGCTCACCCGCAGTTCACATGGAAGCACAGAAAGACGGCAGCATTACAATTGCAAGACGTTGACCATCCTGATCTCTCGTCGCTGGAGATCTACTGTGAAGCCTGTCGAGGCGTTGATGAACGTATACGGTAGCGCGTCCCTGCAGCAGATCACGGCCAGAGTTAAAAATAGAAACACTTGTTGACCAGTTGGCACTCAACACCAGGAAGAGAAGCAACACCAGCCATGCCGCAAGCACGTCTACACCAGAAACCCTTAGAGAAGCAGAAGAAGAAGAACCCGCCTCAACCGCAAGGGAAACGGAATGCTAGAGTCTTGCCTGCTGCCGAGGATAACTCTGCATCTGCTGCAGCTGAGGAGAAAAAAATTCCCGCTGCTCTACCTGCCTCAAAGTACGAGCGACACATCCTTGTCACTCTTCGATCAGCATTTACCCCGTCATTGACGTCTCGTGATCTGACGGAGGTGTTGCAGACCGTGAAGCATTACCTTTACGAGAGGGATTATCTCACTGCATTCTCCAAGAAGGAGTATCTTGACGCATATGCAGCACGCTGGGTGCCAGGAAGGGCCCTATGCTATCGGTCTGTCTTCTCGCGTATGGATGCTGTTAGGTCAGTCCTGCGGAATGGAGGCAATGCCTTGTGTATCGGTGCCGGACCTGGAAGCGAGCTTTGTGCAATTGAGTCCGTTAGGGCTGAGTTGACCGAATCGGCAGAGTCCTCTCTTCCGTCCCTGCAAGTAACAGCTATTGATTCTGCAGCATGGGCTCCGGTATTACCCAATTTGCGATTGCCTCATCTGGACCCACCGCCGGTGTCGCTACAAGCCGATGTGCTGTCTCCGCAGGCAGGAATTGACTACGCCAGTGCGGATCTCGTTACCGCTATGTTCGTGGTAAACGAGCTGTTCGTACAGGATCGCGCGGCCGCCATCACGTGGCTGCGGACCGTAATAACCTCTATGAAACCTGGTGGTGTTCTTCTCATCTGCGAGAGTGCGGGATCGATATCTGATCTAGCCGTGGGTGGAGAGGAGAAGAAGGTCTATCCATTGCAGTTCCTTCTCGATGCTGCTTGCTCGAGGGGTATGGAAGTATTGGCAAAAGAGGATGCCACTTGGTACCGTTATCCTAAGGAACTAACGGAGCTTTATCCGCTCCAGTTAGAGAACATGCGGTTCTTCCTGAGAGTTTACAGGAAGATCTAAGTAGTGGCCCAGATGAATGGGAAAGAAAGGGCAGGATCAGGAGATATTTCAGAATACCGTGTGCCCGGGAGTCGAGTTGGCCCGAAGATCGGTTACCAACAAGTCGGTACTGATCGGAAGCAATCAAACGTGAAAGGAAGAATTGCGCTGTTACACAAGGACACACACAGACCCTTTGAATTTTGGGGAAGGCTAGGGAAGGGCGATACTTGTAGCCGTTAGCAGGATGCTTTCGTCAGCCATTTAACCGTTGTCCGGGGCGATATGGACCGCGAGACAAAGCAAGGAAGCGCGCACGACTGTTCACTTGGTTTACTTTGCAATTGCAATTGTGGCCTGACCGCACATGTGCACTCTCGGGGTATTTCCTGTGCAGCTGCGCCACATCCGCACATGGCCCATTCCACAGCGCGCAAATCCACACAAAGGCGGACGGACAAGGGTCAACCCTGTTACTCGTACACCTGCTGGCCAAGGCTGTCCACGATGGCCTTCGAGGCCTGGCATGAGCAAGGACGGGGTAAATGCTCCACCATGCGCTGCTTGTATGCTCAATCGTAGACAGACAATGCATACACTCCGATGTAGCTAGACGGAATACCCGAACCTTAATTCAAGTAGCTCCCGTACTACTCGCCGCAAACCCGTATCGGGTTAAGGGTCCTCCCGACCAAACCGTCCCTCCCGACTCCCAAACAAAGGCGCGACCGGCTTTAAGCCGGTATTATCGACCACATCACACTTCTTTACATCGAACTCCCCGCTGCTGCGCACCTACCGTCGGTCATCTACGTTCTCTAACCAAGATATAGATCTATACCCGCTGCCGTCAGCTTGATCCGATTACCAATTGCACTCGTGTTGATCATTCACTATCTTTACCTCGATCTCCCAACGACTGTCAACATCGAGGACGTCTTCCACCACACTTCTCGGACAACGATCTACTACGAACGAAGCTCTCTTCAATACAACATCATATAACATGGGAAACTGCGGTTCTGCGGAAGATCCTCAGAACGCCGATGCACACGAGCGTTCCCGTGTGATTGAGAAGCAGCTGAGGCAGGATGAGAAACTTTTGGCGAGAGAAGTCAAGCTGTTGTTGCTTGGTGCTGGCGAGAGTGGAAAGTCAACGATCTTAAAGGTTTGTCAATTCATCAGGTTTGTTCATGCGGAAATACTAACAGCGATCGGTAGCAAATGCGACTCATCCACACCGCCGGTTTCTCGGCAAAGGAAAGAGAAGAATACCGTGCTGTAGTGTTCACCAACATGCTGCAGTCAATGCAACTTGCTCTCGAAGCTATGGAGTATTTCGATATCCACTTTTCCTTAGAAGAGAACGAGCGCTACTTTGATCTCCTTTACAACGACCGTGAACTCGGTACCGGTGAAGGATTCCCACCCGAATATTATGCACCATTCAAGAGCCTGTGGGTAGATGAAGGAGTGCGCAAAGCCTGGGGCAGGGGTAACGAATACGCGTTGCACGATAACGCCTTCTACTTCTTCGACAATCTTGAGAGAATCTTCGCACCAAAATACCTACCCACGGATCAGGACATCTTGCGTTGCCGTGTGAAGACCACGGGTATTTCCGAGACTGTCTTCGAGCTTAGAGATTTGACCTACAGGATGTTTGACGTGGGAGGTCAACGGTCTGAACGTCGCAAGTGGATTCATTGCTTTGAGAATGTCACCGCTGTCTTGTTCTTGGCGGCAATTAGTGGCTACGATCAGTGCCTAGCGGAGGACAAAGATGCGAACCAGATGCAAGAAGCGCTCATGTTGTTTGATTCCATTTGCAATTCGCAATGGTTCATCCAAACAAGCATCATTCTCTTCTTGGTATGTGAACATGGCAGACCGTGTATATATAATGTGCTAACGACCGTCGCTATAGAACAAGATCGATTTGTTCCGAGAAAAGATCAACGTATCGCCAATCAACAGATACTTCCCTGACTTCCAAGGTGATCAGACGGACTACTCAGTGGCATCAAAGTTTTTCCAGAAGAAGTTTGTGGGTGTCAATAAGAACCCAGGAAAGGATATTTATTCCCGTAAGTCGCTCAACTGTTCACTTAAACGGAGGCTTAAACGGCTAACCGAAATTACAGACTGGACTAACGCTACGGATACCAATCTCCTGCGAAACGTCTTCATCTCGGTCAGCGATATTATTCTTCAGAAGAACTTGCAGACCGCCGTATTCTGAGCAGCAGCTGTTGCGAAAATATTTTGGAAAGATACCCTCGACAAATATGACGTCTATAGTCAGGAGTTTCGGAGTTTTTCTCGGTTAATAGGGTGAGAGCGAGCGTGGCTTGGCAGCTTCTTGGACATGACGCTTCTTAACTAATACTATACCCGTATACGTACTTTCATCTCAATCGCAGTAATCATGTGTTTAGTGACGTTTGCTTCCCTTCTTCCGGATGCTCGAGCCCCGCATTACAACATCATCGTGATCTTGACAGGTGATAATGGGACGATTGACTCATCCAACGGATAGCCGATCCTTTCTGATTAAAAGGCAGATTGCTGACTTGAGGTAAGATCTATGACGTTCCCCACTACCCCGCTTCCCCTCGTATGAGTACGCGGCGTCAGATCAGGACGTAATTCGCACATGACGGCAGCTCAATCTCTCCGCATCCGTTCATTGTAGCTTGATCTCCCCATGATCTTCTCCTTTTTTTCCTCAGATTCGTTGCCGAACGCTAAACCGAAGTCCCCGAGGTCGCCTCCAGCTGCGGCGCACACACGCCCGATGTCTCCCCGTCCGGCCGCGGGCTTGCACCTGCACCCGGGGGAGGCCGCTTAAGTTTGCGATGCACCCAGAAATTCATATCGCACAAAAATACCAGAACCCGGCAGCACGACAACCGGACCTTCTATATAGCGCACGCAATCCCCGATATTGACAGCACCAGCTGGGGGCACAGATCAAGACTGATTTCCGCTTGCTGCCGGTCAGATATATCCCCTGATCGGTATACACCTTCTCACATCTCGCCAACTCTTTCTCGCCGCCACCACATAATCCGACTGATTGCGACGATCCGAGATCTTTCAAGAAGAGACTACCAGATCGAACTATACCAATATATACAGAGAAATATGCCGCCGTCGCCGCCTATCCCCATCGGTCGCGGACCCACATCCTATCTCAACCACCAATCTCAGTCTACGGCTTTTAACGCTGCGGCGCCCCAAGCACCCCAGAATACTCCTGTTGGCAATGGAGGCGTCTTGAGCGCTGCCAGCTTTGCTAGCGCAGCAGGCTGGAATGCGGTTGCTGGACCGTATCCTAGTCCTGCGGCTGGTAGCAATTCTGGAAGTGGCATGTCTTTGAATAGCGGTAACATGGCCGCCGGAGGATTTGATCTTCTAGCCGAGGCAGCAAAGAGGTATGTTTGGCACATCCGCTACCAATGATTCTTTTGCTAACCCGAGCGCAGGGCGGAATTCTCCATTATGGTTGACGATATGGGCGGCCTTGGCTTTGGCAACACGTCTTCAAACAATGGGGCTAGAGCGTAAAGCATACATGAGACAGAACATCGACGTATAGGAGCGCTACAGGTGTTCAAAAGGGCTATAGACTGGGGGTTCAACGGGTTTTGGCGTCATCGGGTTACTTTTAGTTTTTCGCATCTTCTCTTCTCTTTCATACACAGGTCTGCGATCAGCACAGGCTGCAAGTTCAAGCTCTCTGATAATACAAACGGATCTCTCTTCTCTACCTTACGGTTTAATTATCGTAGGACCTGCTCTTGTAAGGATACGGTTCTGTCTTGGCGGCTGCATCCCGTCGGTCAGCGCGGGTGTCGTGCCTGCCCCAGCCTAGTGCGCTCGAGGGTGCCGTGACGAACGCGTTGACCGAAACTGAACTCCAAGCGATTGCCCGTTGGAACCCGTACACTTGACCGGCATCATGCGGTTTTTTCAAATGGCTGCGGCCGTCCTCTGTGCCGCTGCTGGTCTTGTCAGCGCAAAGTCAGCGACCGGAGATCGACTGCTGGCAGTCCTTGACGCTGGAACGGACCATGCTGATTATTCCCAATTCTTCGACGGCCTGACAGGTACACATGTCAATTGTCTTTCTCGTGTCTCATGCTTACGATTTCTAATCAGACCGTCATTTTGATATCACATTCTCAGACTTGAAGGATGCGGATCTTGCATTGTTCAAGCTGGATGAGAGGACTTATGATCATCTGATCCTTTTCCCTTCTCGATCCAAAGGGCTTGGCCCGAACCTTGCTCCTCTGAAGTTGTTGGAGTTTGTGAATGCTGGTGGAAATATCCTCATTGCTACAAATCCTTCAAGTGTTCCAGAGCAACTGCGAGATTTCGCAAGAGAACTCGGTGTTGAGATGGCGGAGCGAGACGCGGCTTTGGTTGACCACTGGTCCTACGACTCATCGAGCCATGAATCTCATGCACTTATCACTGCCAACGGCTTTACTGGCAATGAGTACATCTTGAGCGAGGAAGTTCGTAACGGTCCGCCGGTCCTGTATTCTGGCTCTGCGCATGCATTGTCAAATAGCCCACTCGTCGTCCCAGTCCTCAGTGCTGGCCGCACTGCCTATGTGTACGACACCAAGGAGGAGCAAGCCGCTTCTGAGGATCCCTGGGTCTCTGGCACACAAGCCCATCTTGTTTCAGTTTTGCAAGCCCGCAACAACGCGCGCGTGGCTGTTGTTGGTTCAATGTCCATGTTCTCCAATGAGTTCATTGACAGGAAGGAATACGGAAACGCAAAGTTCGTGAGGGATTTGTCTGGTTGGGTTTTTGCGGAGAGGGGCGTGGTGAAGGTTGTCCGTGTCAGGCATCACCTTATGAACGAAACTGCCCACGCAACGAACCCCAGTAATTACCGCGTGAAGAATGACATCACCTACGCCATCGAGTTGTCGGAATGGTCTGTTGGTCATTGGCAGCCTTACATCGCGGAAGATGTTCAACTTGAGGTTATCATGCTTGACCCATACATCCGTACGACATTGCCGTTGCTTCTCACAACACCTACCACGTCCGTTTACGAGAAGTCATTTATGCTCCCGGACCACTACGGCACCTTTCACTTCAAGGTTAACTACAAGCGTCCTGGTGTAACTTACATTGAGGAGAGGGAGAGTGTTACGATTCGACACTTCAGACACGATGAGTACCCTCGCTTCATCAGTGCTGCATGGCCTTATTATGGTGCTGCTGCAGCCGTCTCCCTTGGCTTTTTGGGAGTGTGCATTCTCTGGATGGGCATGAGTGAGGAGACGCTGTCCGAAGGAAAGAAAAGAGATTAAAATCTTTACGTAGCGGTATGTCTCGAGTGCGAATTAGTTAAGGTAATATCTTGCGCCGTGTAGTGGTGATAGCGCAGTGGGATTCGGTAAAGCTCAGGCTCTGCTGCTCAAAAAATTGAGATATCATATGTAAGAATGAAACATCTCTGACTGGTTTCAAGAAGCTTTTGCATACATGAAGCTGAGCCGTCCTCGCGATATCTCCGAACGGCCCTATGATCACGGAAATTATGGATACAGTTTAGGGTTTAATCCCATCGCCAGACAAGGAAAATCAACATTTTGTAATCCATGATATGATCAGACTTCTTTTGTGCGGCTCAATACTGATCTTTTCCATCCAGGATGTAATCCCTGGTATTGTCTGAGAAACATTGATCTTGGATTTGTGAACCCTGACAATGTGCGTCATCTCAGACTAATCCCAGATCAATCCATTTTATCATGGTGGGTTATGCGTACACCTAAAAGAAATTGGGTTTGATCGTTAATTTGTGCGATCATGGGGGCGGAAGGGGCTTCATAGCTCATGTAACTTACTTTCTCAAACGATTTCCCTGAAGACTCCTCGTCTGAACTACGTGTGTACTCAATGAATTTCAAACAGTTTGCGCGAGAACCTCATGTGAGATACTTGCCCTACGAAGTCAAAAATCATGGATTAAACCCGAAATCCACACGCGGGGATTACAATCCATGATTTTTGTGGATTACATCCTTGACACCATCATGGATGGTGCTGAACACTCTCCAGGATATAATCCTCGACGCTGTCCAGCATTCAATCCCTTTGTTCAACAGGGATAAAGCAACCCCAGGCAATGCTCATAGCCCGAAAGCTTGATGCCGTTCAGCGCAATGCAGAAAGTCCACCTTACGTATAATCCGCACTTTGATCGAGGATTAAGCACGATATTGTCCCGCCGAAAACCTGAAGGCAACCATCAATCTCGGCTTGGATAATGCTCAATACCATGGTGGCTTTCCCCCTAATCTCTCCGTATCAAGCCCGTCTTCCTCGTGCATACCCCAAAATCGGGATTCAGGATTTATACGATGACCTTTGCGTACAGCTCACAATGCTATCCTACGCCAACCCCGTAAAGGAATGTGCATGAGCAAGTGCTTCAGCAGTTTGTTCTGGAATTTCCATGAGCGCTGGAACCGTAGGGAATACGACTTTGAATTTCCCCCACACTCCTCGCATTTTTCTATGATACTGCTACCATGGCCATTAGAATACTCATAATACACTTCATTTTCTTGCACTTTTGCCCCTATAATGCTGCGCATTTGCCCTCAATTTGAAACAATATTCCTGATTTTCCAAGAATCTTACATGATAGAATCATGTAAAGATCATGGACTATGCATGATTAAATCAAAAGCAATGGGTGCGCAAAAGCCTGAGAAAATCAGGCACAATCCATGACAAAACATCAAGGATTAAGCCCACCTTTTTGTCCACGATTAGTTTTGACATAGGGGGGATTTTGAAACCTATCATTCTCACGACCGAAGGGACGTTTGCAGGTTCGACATACAACCTGTCGGACAACGTAGAGAAGGCCGCAGAACGTAAGTGATGGCAACTTGATAGACTCTCCGGTGGAAGTCCGTTGTTTATTGCAGGAGAATGTGGGAGGTGCAGTGACGAGGTCTAGGCGATACATATATTGTAATGCCTTTGACTTGAGAAACATTGAAGATATGTGAGAACTGAATAAGAAAAGGGTGAAGTGTGGACTTCTGTGGGTGATATACAATTTTTCTACATTACACTCTTATAACTAATAAATGTATACAAAGAACCATATTGTTTTTTTATAATCTTCCACATTTCAATGCTCAGACCATACAAACGCACATTCACTGTGCACATTCCTCCATGTTTACCCAGATTGGCCCACGTATGGGTAGTTCCAATGATCTGATTCTGGATAAATCACGAAGAGAATGGGCTTAATCCCAGAAGACATCATGGAAAAATGCGAAAGAGTGTGGAGGGACGTTCACAGAAAGTTTAGGCCAAAAGAGCAAGATTACTTTCAGATAAGTAAGGGTCTTCTACATACGTAGGTTATGTACTTATTTTTCAGCACAGCCACAGCGCAGTCCTGCACTTTAAACTAAAATTCATGAGGTTGTAATGATTGCACTTATGTGTCACACATGATAGCATATGACAGCATTTATGATATCTGTGTTGATCATGTCCATGTATAGAAGGAGGGACCTCTGGGGTAGGTACATGAAACGTCTGTAGCAAGCCTTCAACCTTTCAAGACATGTAGATGTTATTTTGGCAAATTTTTCCAGGTATTTTTGCTGTGACTGTTTTTTCGGCAGTGAATCGTGATAATATCAGGGATTGTAATCCATGATTTTGTCCGGGATTTCTGCCAGGAGAGTAATCCATGACGGAATGCGTAACCAATGCCGAATTCTCAACGAATCTAGCTGCAGGCAAGTGTCCTGGAATGTCCTGGGTGCGCCTAAGTAAAGGCAGTTTCATAAGTTCAAACAAAGGCGCGCGGAAGTTGCACCACACTACAGCCCAAAATCACTGCCGGCAAGGCATGGATGTTTGTAGAACTAATCGCGACTGGGTGTCCTAGATTAAGTGAAGGTCTACCATTCTGCCCGTGGAGTCTGTTTTTGAATAGATAGCAGGAGTTATGAGTCAGTGCTGCAAGTTGGCTGCAAGTTAATGTGTGTGGGCTGCGCGCAATAGTCTAAACCTATGAAACCGAGTATAACTTCATTCCGATTACGTCCACGATCTGACATTCATAGGGTACCGGTAGTTGTGTACAACAAGTATCCGATTTTTCAAGAATTATGTGTGGGCTGGCACTTTGGTGGGCTTTCTTGATTTTGACAATAATCACAGGGTTGTGCCATCTTTGTCGGTACCGATGGCCTAACTCACTGTAGACATCTCTGTATATGCCTAAATCGGGAACTGTTACTTCCTACATCAGCTACTGATATTCTATAAATATAAGCTACTAACTTCCAAACTCCCTTGGCAGCAATGACCGCCTTTTCAGCGGCTGCTACTACTAATACCCTACGAGACCCCCAAATTCTACCAAACACGATTATAAAACACGAATAAAATTATCCAGTAATAGAAATAGAGTTGTTCGAGTTAGTGGGATTTTTCTGGGCACAATCTGGATTGTTAATTCGTCTTGAAAGTAGATTTTCTTTTTATACGATTTACCACTACTACACTGTTATACTATTCTTCCTTATGACTGTACAATGCACAGACATGACGTTCATTGGTCCCATCTATCACAGGTCATCAATCTATGCCCATTGGTATTATTATGAGATTCAAATGATAACGATAGCAGTTGACTGTACAGAAATGCCTGTTCCACCAGCAAGCAGCAGCAGTTCTGTCTGGGTTCCCACTCACCCGAATAAGAGGAGACATCAAGCAAGAGTGTCGAGATCAAACAACCATCATGTTAACCTTTCAGCAACAGCAATCATGTGCCCAGTTTGGGCTGAGAGAATACAAGCCATAGCATCGGGAGAACAGATGGGAGAGAGCCAGGGACTCGTACATCGATAGCCAACCTCACAATCCAAACCCGGACACTAGAAATGCTCTACTTGAATACTTTCCCACTTTATTCGTGTCTTTCGTACAGTTGAATGACTTATTCAAGTGCCTTTGCTGGAAGTGGAATATGTTATTCCAGATTTGTGCAATCACGATTCACGTATTCGTGGCAGTCGAATTCGGGGGGCTCGTAGGGAGTCATTGGGGGGGCACACAAACAAAAAAAACCAACAAAAACCAAAAAACTTACCGGGCATATTAGGCCCCAAACTCTTGGCCTCGTTGATTGCTGGTGGTCCGGGAACTGGTAGGTAGTGTGTAAACATGGCGTTAGTACCCAACGAGACCCCCAAATTCTACCAAACACGATTATAAAACCCGAATAAAATTATCCAGTATCACGAATAGAGTTATTCGAGTTAGTGGGATATTCTGGGCACAATCTGGATTGTTAATTCGTCTTGAAAGTAGATTTTCTTTTTATACGATTTACCACTACTACACTGTTATACTATTCTACCTCATGACTGCACACTGCACAGACGTGACATTCATGTCTTCATCATCATCGTCATCATCATCATCATCATCATCATCGTCATCATCGTCATCAACGTGAAACTCTGGATCATCTTGGAAACTGCGATTGGACGTGTATCAATTTGATGCTCCTGAAGTGCGCAAAATCTTCTTTCCGGGCTGGTTTCTACCACAAACCTTCATTGCCATTGGGTCAGAGCGGGTTAGTAAAACCTGATGAGTAGTCGTTTTGCTGTTGCTGTCGACAAAGTGTGGGACTCACCAGAATAAGAGGAGACATCAAGCAAGAGTGTCGAGATTAAACAACCATCATGTTAACCTTTCAGCAACAGCGATCATGTGCCCAGTTTGGGTTGACACGATACAAGCCATAGCATCGGGAGAACAGATGGGAGAGGACCAGGGAGGCGTAGAAGTTGGTGATCTCGAGGGAGCGAGCCAGGGACTTGTACATTGATGGGAGAGGACCAGGGAGGTGTAGGATTCGATGCTTTCGTCAATCAGTCGTGAGACATCCAGGGAGATTGAGACGAGGAGATTGAGACGTTGATGGTGGTGCGTTGGGTCCTGGTTGATGCTGAGGACTTGGTGAAATTTGCCAGCGCATCAGCGCTTGTGCTCACATGTCACTCTCGAGAGGTGCAGGCCGAAGAACCGCCACCAAAGACCATTGATCCTCGAAGACCCTCAATCATTGATCCTCAGTCTCTTTTTTATTGATGTGGGATATCTTATTCTCCTGGAACGAATATCATTCCAGGTCAAATAAGGTATTCGTGTACCATGAATTGGAATTCCACTCTACTTGAATACTTTCCCACTTTATTCGTGTTTTTCGTACAGTCGAATGACTTATTCGAGTGCTTTTGCTGAAAGTGGAATATGTTATTCCATATTTGTGGAATCACGAATCAGGTATTCGTGATAGTCGAATTCGGGGGGCTCGTAGGGTGAATGAAGCAACGAAAAAGAAACAGCACACACACCTCTCCCTCAATCACGCTCACTTTCTTCCTTCGGCTGCCTAGTATGTCGTACCCCTAAGCACTGTACTTAAGCAGTAGTTCGTCCCTTAGAATCGTCAGCAATTCGGCGACAATTGTAAGGATGGTCAACATGGCCACTCGCCGTATGGGCGTGGGAATGCATGATGTTCGTGGTTTCTCCGCGCCTCACGAGATCGAGAGTTAAACGATGCACATGTACAGTTACTTTCAATGCACGTGTACAGTTACTTTCATCTTGATCTCGGCTGTCAAATCAGACCGCATCCCGATGCGCGTGACTCCCAGAGCGACGGACCCAGAACGGGATATATAACGCTCTCTGAGCCCAACCTCTGGGGACACAAGTTGACATTGTCGGACGCGGATCAAACTGTGAACAGAACTCACACCAATGTCTTCCAAAGTCGTGGCTATTGTAGGTGCTACAGGCAACCAGGTTTGCGCGCCTTATACAGCGACATCAGATGTTGACGTACTGAAGCACTTTCTGACGTAGGGCGGTTCAATTATTCGGGCTCTTTCTTCTTCCCAGGAGAAATACCAGCTCCGCGGTCTCACCCGTGCAGTAGACAAACCGGCTGCACAGGCCCTTGTTGGCCAGGGAGTTCAGATGTTCAAAGGCGAGAATTGCGGATAATTGGATTTCCATGGACATCGTTAACTCCTTTCAGGTGATATCTCTACGCCCACTAGCCTCAGTGACTTCTTCAAGGGGGCTGATGTCGTGTTCGCCGTGACGAATTTTTGGGAACACTTGTCCAAAGAACAGGAGATCAAAGATGGAAAGGCGATCGTGGATATGGCGAAGGAATGTCATGTGAGTCTTCTGATTTGGAGTTCGCTTGACGATGTTTCGAAGGTTAGCAAAGGTAAAGCATCCTCTTCAGTTTCAGTAGGACGACGCTGAGCTGGCTGCTTAGGCAAATATACGCACGTGGACCATTTCGACGGCAAACACGCTGTGGAGGAATATGCACGCTCGGTTGAACAGCCGGCCGTGTTCTTTTATGCTGGATGCTTCGCGTCGAATTTTTCAGGTATGTCGTTTTATGAGTTTCGACAACGATTGAAGACGTAGTCCCTAACGCGAAACCAAAGCTGGGGGTATGGGTCCGAAGAAGCAAGAAGATGGAAGCTATGTCATGGCCTTCCCAGTGCCAGGTTCTACGATCATCCCTATCTTCGATGTCGCCGACACAGGCATGTTTGTGGCGGGGATTTTGAATGGTCCAAAGAAATTGATGGGACAGCGCGTCCTGGGATTCTCTGAATTCATTTCTCTCAATGACATGGTGAAACAATACTCGTCGGGTTAGTAACACCGCCTGCCTTGTCGCGGTTCTTTGTATTGACATCGCTTGATGTTTCACAGTCCGCGGCGTTCAGGCCAAGTTCGTTCAGATCGATTATGATACGTACGAGGCTTATTTTCCGAACAAAACTGTGGCCAAGGAGCTCTACGAGATGTTCGCGTATATGAATGACTTTGGGTATTATGGTGAAACCACGGATGAGGAAGTTAAACAAAGTCATGAGATCTGCGTGGGAAAGCCCACTACGTGGTCTGAATTTGTGTCCAAAACGCAATGGAACGACTGATTTCAGTGCATTGCACGAAATGTTTGCGCGCGACGTCTGGTTGGTTTACATCATATAGTTATGTCATTTAGTTTTTCATATTTTGGGTATTAGTTAGTTGGCCTTATGTGAAGCCGATTTTGTCAAATTGCAAGCATATTTCTAATCTTTTCCTGAACACATTTCCCGCCATGTGTAACACAACCAGTTTTGGTTGTAGCTGACGTAACTCACTGAACGCCCCACAGCGCGTTCAGCTGTTTCCTGCGAACCATCGGACTCGTAAGAGCGACCGCAGCGCAAAGGGCAATCATAGTCAACAGAAGCTGTCCCTTGCTGAAGCTCGCGCTTAATTTGTCAAATGACTGACTTGGCGTCACTCGTGTGAAAAACATATCCAAACCAAAGGCAAACACTAACGAAGTGCTCTCCAAATAGGCAGGACCCGAAATAATATCCTTCACCGCAAAGATCTGTTTCCTGGTCAGCAAGTTTTTCCACCATATACGTCGGGATGGCATACCTCATTTTTGTGCGAAATCACCCATCGCCTTTCGTCAGGGAGGATTGGATCGTAAGGAATCAAGCCTTCCTCCTTTTCCGCGGTGCTCATTTGCTTCACATCCTTCTTCGGCCTCCTGGGATCAAGAAGACTCTTCGGAAGCTCCACCAACATATTCAGATCTGGAAGGAAAGCAACGGTATCGCGTTTAGTTATCCCATATCGGGTCTGAGTCGTCGCTAATGCCGAAATACGTGCGGGGTAACGGTATGCTTGACCAACCACATAAGGTTGCAAGTCGACATCGCGAGACACATAGTCCAGTGGAACGGGATCAAGCCGCTGATTGGGCTTTTCATGTTCATAAAGCTCCAAGACATTGATCTGCGTTCCAGCACTAGGCCCAATAGACCAAAAGGCGTACACAACTCGGTTCTCATCTAGCTCGATACTGACAGTCTTTGTTGTGTCAACGTCACCATGGCGAGCTTGGTGCACAATGGTACCACGCGCAAGATCAACAAGGTAAATCGTCACCGATGATGCAGACGCATCAGTCGTGACAATACCGACCAAATGACTGTGAAGGTATTTGTACATAACCGAGCGGTCACCCAAGACCCTGCCAATACTTGCAACGTGGTTGGCTCCTGCTGCAGAGATGGACTGGATAACTTCAGCAGAGGGAAAGTCAATTTTCCAGAGCGACCTTGCACTTGCAGTAGTTGCATCAAGCTCAAATCCCTGGACTGCTGAGCTGCCGTTGGTAACAGCAAAACGAATGCCAGTAAAAGTAGCACTGATGGCCTGCATCCCCTTGTCTTTCGGGAAGACTTTCAAAGCACCTTCTTGACTGACGACGGCTACGGACAATGTATCTTCAGGTCCTTGAACTCCTTCAATTGCGAAGGCCGCACCAAACGAGCCTGTCCAAGACTCGCTTCCAACTACAGTACCATCTAATGCGTTCAACTCGAGCCAGTCCATGGTACCTTGTCCCTTAAGGAGGACAGCGACAACCGGAGGATGATCGGGAGATGCATTTCGGACAGTCCATAGACCCACGGCTGCATTGCCCTGATAAAACTGCGACCATACCACCTTGCCGGTTGCCGTATCCAGGGCAGCAAGCTTTCCCTTCTCCGTGCCAGTGACAATGAACTTCCTGAATCCGAATGTATCACGGGCGATCGCGGCGCTTATACCGGTTGGCGATACCTCATATTCGCCTTGCGCAAAGCGTGCTGCCCAGCCAGAGAAGAAGGCCGGAAGACGATGAACTTCCCCGATGTGTCTAGTGACCCTCTTCAGGAATGCAGAAAGACCTTCATGAGTTTCCTCGTCCGCCACTTCTTTTGAAACACTGGGATCGGGCAGGTCAACGAACGTAGCATGCGTAGTATGCGCCAAACTCTCGTGTCTCGTCCACAACGGCATAGAATCGCGCCACAGGTGAATTGATCCATCGACAGTAACGAGCAGAACGCGACCCACGAGACCATCAACAGCGGTCATGATCTCGCTTGAAGCAGCCAACACGCCCCCAAAGTGACCCGTGCTATGCGCGTCGGCGAGATCAACTCTCCAAGATTTGACGACCCCCCACTCTGCAACACCGAAAACTTCAACACGCCCAACATCACCTTGAATACACGAGCGCGTATGATATTCCTCATCAGACTCCGCAGCGGAGTATGCACAGTGATCAGAACCCTCGGGGTTCTGAATGGTATACTTCAATACAAGGGAGCCATCCTCTGCAGAGACAGTGTAGAAGGTGGTAGAATGCTGGAACTGCACCAAGATAGAGCGGCCAGTTCGTGAAGAGAATGCACGAGCGTGGCCTACGTTGGCAGGCGCCTGCAGTTCCATAACCTGAGCTTTGCCAAGCGTCACATACTCCAAGGTCTCGCCATTCTTCCAAATGAGGAGGCGGGGTGACAGGTGCAGCACATCGGACGGAGACGTAACAATCGTATCAAGCACCAGAATCTCACTCAAAGCCAGGGCACGTGCGTCTAGAATGGCAGTGGTTAGTGTAGAGGACGCAATGTTCGAAGTCGTGCCCACGACCGCAACATGACCATCTGTGGTGTGGGTAACGTTTGTGTAGACAGTAATACCGTCGTGTCCAGACCAAGAGGCAGCGACAGTACCGTCGGTGAGATCCACAATGCGAACCAACCCTCCATCTGTGAGCAAAACGGCGTTCACATCCGAGACGGAGACACTGGGCTCGATAGCTTCTTGCGACAAGAATGGCGAAGACCACAGCAGGTGGCCTTGTGTAGCAGAGTACGCCGACAGGACAACATTCGTACCGCTTTGTGAAAGCACAACGATGCCTAATACGTCATTAGCAGAACACTTTTAAGGAGAGTATACACGCACGTTCACCCGACGCTTTCGCATCCACAAGATCCCCTTCAACAATCTGCCTCCACAACAAGTCACCGCTCTTCAGTCCGATGGCGGCGATAACATTCTTCTCAGTGCCGACATAGGCAAGCTTTCCCGATCCAGCAACGGGGGCGTGCAGAAAACTGACACGAGGTGTACCGACATGAGCAAGATGGAAGTCGATGACTGATGCTTCATCCGCATATATGGCCGACACCGGCTTATAGAAAGTGAGAAGGAGTGCAAACAGCAGGCTTAGGAGCCCTGTGTGCCATTGCATTTGCGGTCAATGGTTTTCGGGAGTCGTTGTTGCAGCTCTTGACGTCGTCGTATACCGTGATGCACCACAATGCAATCATGCTGAGGATGAGTAGCTGCCAATATGAGCGATCCTCAATTTTTGAGGTCATACGCCTTCGCCTTCGTGGCTCAGCTGGTTAGAGCGCCCTGCTCATATCTGCTACCAAGCGGGTACGGGGAGATCGCGAGTTCGATCCTCGCCGAGGGCACGCTTTTGCTTTAGTAAGCTGCGGACAGGGGTTTTGTAACACTAGTTCGTTCGCAATTTGTTCAGGAAGGAAGCTTTTGTCAAGCCAATGTCGGAGAATATCTCGTCGTTCTTAACCGACACGGCAGTTCGGCGGCCGACGTACATTGTGCGGGGTTACTTAGCGCGCGGACAACCATACCGATATTTGTGGGGACCCCCAGATCACTGAGGACTTTACACCACGGAGAAACAACGATTGAGAATGCCTTACACACCAGTCAAGCCTGAATGGGTCGCGATCTTGTACGTTTAAGCTGCGGCTTTTCCGTGAGAGACGAAGCCTAACGAAGATGGGACAGGCCGGATCACCCCGGGAATGTCGACAAACGTCTCCAGCATCGCCCCGAGCACATGGAACGTTCCAAGCAGATGCACGCAGAGGGTATGGCCTAGTACCACTTTCATGAGCATCTTTGTGCTGATTAGTTGCAGGAACTAAGAACTTTGGCGGTGCGTTTTTCGACAAGCACCCCGTCGGCGATGAGAAGCCGTCATTCAAAGGCAGCATTACCGTCTACGAAGCCGACTCTGAGGAGGAAGTAAGGAAGATGATCGAGCAAGACCCGTATGCGGTAAACGGTGTTTGGGATTTGTCAAAGGTAATGTTCCAGTTGAGGTTGAAAAAGCCATAGCTAACCCCGCGCTTGCGAGCAGGTCCAGATCTACCCGTTCAGGAGCGCGAACCGCAAGTGAGTTACAAGTTAGAATGCAGGTAAAAATGAATGATACATGTCTATACCCGCACTGTATACAAAATCGTAGGAGCCTGGTGAACCCGCTCAGGCCTTAATCTTCGTTGCAGTGCAGGGGCTGCGCTCGGACCCAGCTAGCATGAAGTGTCTCGCCTAGCGTCGATCATCGAGCGACAGAGATGCCGCGGGTGTATTGCGTCCGCGTACTCTGCCTGAACGCTTCAGGTAAACACTGCCACCGCGACTCCTGAACTCCTGAATCCACAATCACCCTATAAAGCCCACTCCTTCTCTCTCTCTTACCTCTTCTGCTTTACAAACAACTCGAACTCAAACTTACAATTGCTTACTTGCACTTACATTGCTTGCTTTCGAATCCACCTCTACAAACACACTACGATGAAGTTCTCTGTTATTATCGCTGCTTTCGCCGCTGCCTCCGTCACTTTTGGGATTCCACTTGTCAAGAGAGCTCACATCACCGATGCCGTTATCCTCCAGTACGCTTTGACGCTCGAGCACCTTGAGGACGCCTTCTACCATCAAGCTCTCCAGAACTTTACCGAGTATGAATTTGCCCAAGACGGCTTTGATTCTTCCTTCTACGCCCAGTTGCAGAGGTATATGCTACCCATGTGCGGATGTATGCTGAACTAAATGCTGACTGAATGCACAGTATCGCCGCCGACGAGCACGCTCACGTCGAGTTCCTTACTGCCGGCCTCGAGGCTGCCGGTGCTAACGCGACCAAGCCTTGCAACTACTCCTTCCCTTACACCACCCCTCGTGAGTTTGTCGCCCTCGCTCGCGTCGTTGAGGGTCTTGGAGTTTCCGCGTACCTTGGTGCCGCCTCTTCGATTGCCAATGCTCAGTATCTGACGGCGGCCGGCTCGATCTTGACTGTTGAGGTGTGCTGAGTTTGTTAGTACTGTCCACGACCCTGTACGCTGACGAACATATCATAGGCCAGACACAATGCTTTCTTGAACACCGAGCTTTTCGATAATCCCGCCCCCACCCCCTTCGACACTCCTCTCGGTTTCTCGGAAGTGTACAGCGTCGCCGCCAACTTCATTACCGGCTGTCCCCCGTCTAACCCAACTCTTCCGGTCACTGCCTTCCCGTCCATCAACGTCACGTACGCCAACTCCACGACGAAACCTCTCGTTGCGGGCTCGAAGGTGAACATTACCACCGAAGCTACCACCAATTCTTCCACCTATGCCGCCTTCCTGAGTGGTCTCGACACCGAACTCGTTGCACTCCCTTCCAACGGAAGCTTGACTGTTCCCAAGACCGTCGCCGGTCAGGTTTACCTCCTCCTCGTCAACACGAACAACGCTACCAAGATCAATGATGAGACTGTCATTGCTGGTCCAGCCATTCTCAAGGTTGAGGCGGCGTAAAGTGTTGGAGTAAGGTCTTGTTTGTTACATACAGGCGGGCGTCGCTATACCATATGATATCCTTTTCCTTTATTCTTCATACCATTGACACTATAGCTATCGAGGCATCCGAATTTGGGATTGTCTGGGAATAATGTACATTTATCCTTAATTCAAGCTTGATTATCATCACGACTTGAACGTAGCCATGGCCATAGACGTAGGATGCGTGAGGTCATCATGACAACATGTCATGCGTACGGACCATTCGATAAAAATTCCGGGCGTTTAGTTTAGGGGTATAACATTCGCTTCGCATGCGAAAGGTCCTGGGTTCAATTCCCAGAACGTCCATTTCTTGTTTGAGTTTTTTGCTTGTTGAGGACTCACGTCACCGCATCTGCTTTTCCCTCACAGTCGACCTGATCTGGCAAACATCGTAATCAATTAATTGTCTTTTGTCGATTTTCCACGCCGGAACTTTTTTGGACTTTTCAACGTCGACGTCTACACGTGAGCTGCACGTATGAGTCTAACCGATTGTAGGCAACTCATAACCTTGAACAGTCGCGTACAGTACAACGTCGAGGACATCTGAGGCTTACAGTGAAGAACGTGATGAGCAATGAAGCCGATTCTCCCCTCTTCAGGGCGTTGGAATCGGTTGCTGCTTCGCCATATGCTCCGTCGTTAAGGGCATGGCCTTCTGACCGCCGTTTGTTAACATTTATGCTGACCGTCGACTTGCAGGCTTTATCACGCGAACTCGAGAAGTCAAAGCCGAGTGAAGTCACGAAATGGGTCAACATATATACGTGCAGAATTCCATCGCTAGCACGTCTCATCATATCAGCGCTGGAGTACGAGCCGTACGCCCCTACTGTCATCGAGAAGCTCGCCGTTGTCGAGCAGATCAGAGATGCCATTCTGGAGTACCGACCTAGTGTCATTGATGCCAGTCTGAAGGCTGCGACTACGAGCGAGAGCAACTTCCAGAAGTATGCTAGCATGTGTACGTCGCTCCTTTCTCATCCACTTCCGTCAGGATTGCCTCATCTGCCGGGGTCACTACAATCCTTCCTCGCTCACCTCGTGAAGCTGATATTTTTGAATCCGAACCGGAGCAACATCCGGTTGTTGTATCGGCTTCTGCAAGGGAAACATGGCGAGGTACAAGATGTTCTCACACGAGGAAGCACAAGTTACGGTCTTCATACGGCGCTTGGTGGATGCCTGTCCGCCGATCAGTCAGGCTTGGTGTTTTTGGCTCTTGCATGCCTCGCAAGAATTATGTCTCGGTCTGAAAGTGCCAGTGAGAATCTAGAGATGAACAGGACGAGTGATGCTAACGGGCTCGAAGCGTCTGCAGGTATGGGTACACCAACATCTTCGGGACGCTCTCTTTTCGCTGGAGACAAAGGCGGAAAGGTTCTTCGCCTTGCGGCAAATGTCATCATATCCGCTGCTACTGGAGGTGACGACGATGAGGAAGTGGTTTCCTTAGCACTTGTAGTGGTCGAGGCCATCGATGCGGATGTGGTGCGGACTTGGGCGGAAAGCAGAGAGGGTATGTTTGCCATGAGGAAACTTGCCGAACTCTTGAGCAACGGCAACATCCCACATTCAGCAACCCTTCAACAAATCGCAGAATTTCTAACCTGTGTAGTCGGCAAAGCCGGTGCATCATCCTTGGGTGCCAAAGTAATCAAGTCATTGCAATTCGCTATCGGAGAGGCACTTTGGCGTGAAGTAAGCTATGCAAGTACACCAGCGGTTGGAGCAAAGTCAAGGATTGCCTCTGCAGAAGCTACGAAAAGTCTTTGCGAGTTACTGTCGGCGATGGATCCATTTGAAGACACGTCTTTTGTCGAGATCCTCAAGTCTGGTTATCTTCTCGCAGCTTCCTCGGGCAGAAATCCCCCATCAATTGCCAACCTCTGTGCGGTTGTTGCGCACGTATCAGCTTTGCAGACTTTTGAGCGCCTCGTTGAGACATGGACGCCTCTCCGAAATGCCTTCCTGTCAGCACTTGCGACTAACGAGTTCATGTCCCCGGTAACACGATTTCTGGACACTGAACCGCTCGATGTAAAGGCAGAGTCTTGCGCTGGCATGCAAGGCAAGAGCAACGCCTGTCCTGGAGAATTGAGGAACGCTCGTCTTGATCTGATCAAGGTCCTTTGCATGTTACCTTTGAAAGTGAACGTTTGTTTAGGGGGTGAACCTACCTCGGCCCCTGGTGCTGTCGTAATCGATCAAAGCGACCATGATTCATTGGACGCGAACTTATCTTGCAACTTCATCAACAAACTCTCGTCTCTTGTCACGGCGTCTCCTCAACAGAGCCGCCATCATCCTTATAACGGTTCAAGCGGAATGTCTTCGAATTTCACAAACGGGTTTGCCGTTTCCATTGTGCAGGAGTCTTCCACGCCATATATTCATGCGAACCCTTCTTACGAATGGCAGCAGCGTCTGCTGTTGGACCTGAATCAGGAGGCTGCTCATCGCCACGAGAACCTGGTGAAAGAGATGGGCAAGATATGTCGTGATCTGGAAGAACGATGCATGAACGTCGAGGCACCTCTACGGCTAGCACAAAGTCAGGCCCGGAAGTTTGCTGAAGAACTTGGCAATGCTAAGAGAATGTACGAGCAGCTGCAAACGACGACGGAGGAAGGCCACGAGCGTGTGACTTTCGAGATGAACAGTCTACGGGATGAAAAGGAGAGACTTGAAACTGCTGTGGGAGAGCTGGTTAGTGAAGTGGAGGAGGCAACATCGCGATCGAAGAGCTTGGAGGACCAACTAGCCAGTCAAGCCGCTAACAACGACGAGCTGAAATTGCTTCTCGGAAGAGAGACAGCCCGGGGCACCGAGCTCGAGCAGTGTCTTGCTCAAGAGCGAGATGCCATGACAAACCTTCGTGTGCATGCTGCTGAATTGGATCAGAACTTGTCAAGCGCGAGAGAAGAATTGAAGGCCGCCAGTGAGGAATTGCAAAGAAGAGCGGAAGCTATGGCTTCGTTGCAAACCGAGGTGCACGAGAAGACAGCTGTGTTGGACGAAGCTCGAGACGAGGCTGAAGCGCATCAAGTACAGATCGGTGAACTGGAGGAACGTGCCACGGAATTGGAAAACATCGTAACGTCCGAAAGAGAAGCGTCTGCCCAAAAAGATGAAGCGATCGGGAATATGCAACAAGAGGCAGAAGCGTTACGTCGTACCCTTATTGAGGTGAACAATAACCTGCACTTGCAACAGGAAGCATTTGCAGATTCCGAGAGAAGCCGGGCTTCGCTCGATTCAAAGCTCAAAGAGGCACGCATGCTTCACGAACATACAGTCAAGACCTCGCGAGAAGAACTGAACGATCTCAGGCAGCAGTTTGCTGAACGTGAATCTGCGATGGTTACGGAAAACAAACAACTGATGAAAAAGCTGGCGAAGCTACAAGGACTTCATGAGAAACAGCGTGTAGAGATCGCGCAGGCGCAAGAGCTGAGTCGGAAACTCAGCTCATTGTTCCCAGGTGCGACAATCCTTGGTCAACGCGATGAGCTTCCTACCTCAACAACCCCTCAACAAACTGAATCTGTACCGCTAACCGCTCCGACCGTCCCGGTCGCGAAACGTAGTAGGCGATCAAGGTCACCAACACCCAAAGCATCTGATTACGGCGATGGAAACTCAGACCAACAGATCAGGGAAACAGGAGAGCCGATGCACGAGGCGGCGAGCGAAGCCGAGAGCGACGGAGATGAGATCACGGCCGATGACACCAGAGATATGACAATGGATTTTAAGGCACTAGTGAGGGATAGCCGGCGGATGAGCAATTACGCTGCAACCCGGTTCGGCTTGACACAAGGAACAAACTACGGCACAGGGCACGAAGACGACGAAGTTCTTGGGGAATTGAATCAATTAGGGATATAGAGGGTGACTATGATACTGGCGTTCTCGCGCAGCATTAGGTAATTATAAGCTTTCAAAAGCTTGCTTCGTCGGCGTTCCTGATAAGTTCGTGATAGAACTTGAGGCCGTCGATGTGGTCGTCCATGCTCATTCGCTCGTTGACCGTGTGGATTCCTTTACGGCCCGAAGCGCGCGATGGCGTGAAGCGATAGATGTTCTGTAAATCATCAGCTTCGTGATTAGTAAATCCAGTTTTGAATGACTTACCTTTGACACGTTCCAGTAATGTAGCGTGTCCGTGTTGCCGGTCATCAGGGATGGTGCCACGGTAATGGTCTCCCCATCCGGGCCAGGATGGCGCCAAACATGTTTAATGGTTCCTTGCAAGACTGCCCATGTCCTGCTGCCAGTGGAACTGATTGGGGCAGGTTCGAGCGGGTTCAGGGCCTCGAGGTTCACCTTGCCTGCCCGCGGACCAATCCTTCCGAACCTGCGTTTGCCAATCTTCGCGCCAAAGGCGTAGAATTCCAGGTCGAGAGATTTGGCTTTGGGAGCGAGGAATTCGATGAGGTGGTCCTGAATGTCGGACACGCGACTGTGAACGGCGATACCTTGAATACCTCATTAGCATTCATTCACATATTGCGAAGCGTAGCACTTACGATAGTTCACAATTGTCTCCGCTCTTTCAGGAAGCGCATTTACCTTATTACCACCCTGCAAGATATCAATCGCCTGTGATGTCTGCATCAGAAAGCGATTCTTCCGGTCTTGACCAGCCAAGCCGCGCGCAACCCGCTCCAATTTCTCAGGCTCACCGGACAGAATTGAATCACGCAAAGTACTCTCCATGGAGTAACCAAAACGAGCCATGCAGCGGAGAGTCTCGTAATATGGAGATTCGGTATCCAGGAAGAGTTCCTTGTCTGGAGGATTCTCCTCGATCGTCCTGATAAGCTCTGATAACAAACCAATTGCGGTATGAGGCGGAGGAATACTGGAGTGACCACCTGGTGTTTCTACGACGATCTGCATATCAACGTAACCCTTCTCGGCGATTGCCGGCAAAGCAAACAAAGATCCATACTGTTCTTGCAGGCCGAGACCGCCTTCATCGAGAATGAACTCGATGGAGTCCTTGCCATGGACTTGCTCAATATGGGCTGCCAAGTGAGCAGCACCATATGACCCACCAATCTCCTCATCAAATCCAAAGCTCAGCAATACTGTCCTCCGTGGCTTGAATCCACCCTGTATAAGTGCGGTAATTGCCTCCATAATGCCCATCAGGTTATTCTTGCAATCACCGGCCCCACGCCCCCAAACTCCAAAGCCGTCATAGTGGCCGCCAAAGGGTGCATGTAGCCATTGATCTTTTGTATTTTCAGCTACCCGCACAACATCTTGATGTGCCATAAGCAAAATAGGCTTCAATGACCAATCTGATCCAGGCCACGTGTACATCAGACCATGTCCATTGATGTGCTCCAACTTGAGCGTCTCGTGTACAGTATTGAACGTCTGCCTTAGAAATTCCTCAAAGTCTTCAAATACATCCCATCGCGAGTCGTTACCCGGTGGTCCCATGTCATCGTATGAAACAGTCTTGATCCGCACAGCTTCCCCAAGGGATTCCGCAGAGATATTGCGGTATCGTGCTGATTCGAAACGATCGAGGTTCTTCTTGAGCTGAGGAGCGTTTCTAGGTGGAAGAATGGGTGCTTGAGGACAGATCATGCGGTGGTCGATGATCCGCGTGCCGACGCCCACGCTGGTTGCTGGGTTGCCGCCATGCCTGTAGAAGATGGTGAAGCTGACCAGGAAGATGAGCAGGTACACGAAGAACGTTCTCCTTTGCCTGTTCATGACATATATATAGCCGATATCTGGTTGGCGTAGAGTTTGGTCCCCCACCCTTCTGATTCTCCATTTGCTTATCGCAACGGCCCGGGAACGTACCGTCGATCAATCTAGCGCTGTAGGGAAGTGTGCATGTGTTCAGCAGAGTGGGTAACAAAAGCCGACGACGAATCAATTCTTGATGAAGGAGAAGGTCGTGAAAGATTCAGAGAAGGAGAACGTTCTTCATCTAGTATTTAATTAACTCTGCTCATTCCTTTGAAAGTGCAAAAAAAAGACAAAAAATGGACGTTCTGGGAATTGAACCCAGGACCTTTCGCATGCGAAGCGAATGTTATACCCCTAAACTAAACGCCCGGAATGTTGTCTGATGCTTCCCAGTTAAATCAACGATACCGAAGAAGAGGGAGGCTGGTCAACGTCCTCCCAGCCCGGCCGCTCAAGCCTATCGATTACTCACGGCAACCAGCCCTTCCAGCGTTCTTCATCCAACAAGGAAAGCGATGTAGGCCACCCCCTAATTGGGAGGACCGGCTGGGACGGCGATGGTCTTGACGTCCATTTGAGACATACCGCTTCGGGGATCGTGCTCACATGGACCAGCCGATGGAAGTCATGACGGTCGCACATGCAATCCAACGCTCACTATCAGAAACGCTGACCTGATCCGGTTCGACAGCCAGCCGGACTGCCTTTGGTTGTGCTCGTTTATATGGGATGAGGGTCCTCGCTGAGCTTGGCATCGAACCTTCGGCCGATCAGTATCGCTGAGGCCTCTGATCCGTGCGAGTTCTGTTACACCTCTTCACCCTTCGCTTGACATGTTCATGACAGACTCGACACCGGCTTCAGGCCCTACGAAGCGCTCCTCGGCACCTCTATCGCGCACCCTCTCGCCGAGTTTCAAGGACACTGTGAAGAAGATCACCTCGTTCCCCGACAACTCTCCTCGGAAGCGCTCCCTGAAGCGATCTCAGCAAAGTACGCCTACCGTCGCAGTTGTCAAGCATGCGTCATCAGGTCTATTCAGCTCAGCTTGGGAATCGAGAAAGTTGCCAGAGATTTTCGGTCGATTTTCTTCGGCGCCGCGACGACGCATCGTATCGACTGAGCCGCTTCCTCTACAGCTACCTTCACGACAAGATCATACGCGCCAGCGTAGGTCACAGAGACCAGCAGCTCATCGAGCTTTATACATCCCGGAGATTATGTCGGCCATCTTCGAACACATCGATGGATCTACGCCTATGAAGAGTAACGCATCCCAGCGGAAGAGACGGCACAGTCAGATGAGCAAGGAGAGCGGGCGCGACAATGAAGAGATCGACGAGACGTCGGGGACTTTGCACAACTGTATGAGGGTTTGCAAGGCGTGGTATCCGCTGGCAAGAGATGTCGCCGAAAAGCGCGTGTCGATGTCCTACGCCGAAGATCAAAGGATGTCATCATGGGTCAGTGGTCCGGCGAAGGCGGGGAGGGCCAGAGAGCTAGTCCGTGCGTATACTTGATGACGTTTCTCTGTAGTAGGAGGGCGGTGCTGACGGGTGTGAATATAGTGCACCAATGCAACATTAAGCAAGGAATATTGGCCGACATCCCAGAACAGCCTTTCCTACGGTCACTGGAGATGTATTGCTGCACGAGCGCGATACCGCCGAAATCGCTCTTGCAGAGCAACCTTCGGTCACTATCACTCCCCGGTTGTAGCCTGGTCAGTGACCAGTTACTAGAATATATCACGCAGCAATGTCGGGGTTTGGTACACCTCGATTTACGGGCGTGTGATCTGATCAGCGACCGTGGGTTGAAAGCCGTCGCGCATTATTGCAGAGACCTTCGGTATTTGAATGTAGGAAGGGTGAACAAGTGTGAGAACATCACCTCTTCGGGAGTTTCAGCCATTGCACGGAGGTGTGTTGCCTTAGAGACAATCGGCTTGGTAGGTGGATACCCCCCTTCTGATCAACCGTTATGCTAATAATTGGAAAGGCGGGAACTGCTGTTTGCGACTATGGTTTGATTGCTCTCGCAAGGGGTCCTTCTGCTCAAACCCTTCATCGTCTGAGTGTAAACGAATGCGCTTACCTCACAGACCACTGCGTTAGCATCCTCCCAGACTTACCATCCTTGATCCTCTTCGAAATCCGCGGCTGTTACATACAAAAGGCATCGGAGTTGGTCCGCTGGCGAAGCGGCATCAGTGGCATGGGACGGAGTAAACGGTGGGTGGAGGCTGGCGAAACATTGAACCATGCCATGCATAGGTTTGAGCATTATGCAAAGTATTGGATGGAGATGGCGCAGCAAGTGAAGGCTTTGTCGGCACCGCAGGCGGTTGTTCCGCAACGGAGGAAACGCCGGCAAAGTTTGAGGGGTGGCAGTTTCGATGGGAGGTTGAGGTGATCATCATTATTAAGGGCGTTGAACGGACATTGGCGTTTTCAGAATACTGGACATTGGGACATTTGTACGGAGACAGGCCGGAAGAAGGCCGCAATCTAATAGACACAATATTAATATACGTGTTGTGCATTCTTACTTTGGCTCTCGCCATACAATTAGCTACTACTAATTACTACACATCCAAGTATGCGGATATGAAGACGAAGTGAGGTGTAAGCGTCCGTCACAGTATGTGGAATTGCAATGCTTGATTGACTGCGGGAAAACACTATTGCTTTGCATAACAAAATGGACGTTCTGGGAATTGAACCCAGGACCTTTCGCATGCGAAGCGAATGTTATACCCCTAAACTAAACGCCCTTAGCGTGTTGATCTTTCACCTGAGATCATAATTTCGAGAATAGGTCGTTTTTCTCTGATGCCCGATTATTTCCCTCACAGGACGATGAAGCATCGAACAGTTCGTCTATCATGCACTCATTACCCTAATGCTATCAATCATCTCAAAGCAAAACGCCATCCGGAGTCCATATTCTAATGTCCTCATGCCATATTATCCTCAATAACATATCATGCCGTTGCCGCAGCGTTCTTCTTGTCATCCGCAGCTTTCGTATGATGCCCTTCGTGCTCCTGCGTGACAACATCCGCAATGTCAGCTCCCTCCGTCGGAGTCTCCTCGTCTTTCTTCACTGTCCCCTCCCTCTTCGCTCGCCGTCGGTCTCTGATCACGAAGCCAACGTGACAAAGGATGATACCAATCTCCATCACGAAAACCAGGATATAGTTGACGGCAGCAAGGATGTCAAACGTCTGGAAGACCAATGACAGAAAGGAGAACAGCGCGCCTGACATGTCAATGCTGAGGAAATAGAAGCTGATTCCTCTCACGCTGCGGTGTTTCCAGATATCGATATAGGGTGGACACAGACCGGCAACGATCAGCACGACAGCGATGACTCCAATCAGTGTAATCGGCCACGTCACACCGTCATCGTATGGTATCTGTCAATAACGTCAGTAAGCCAATGGTAAGTCAAAATGCCACGCGCGTTACGCACCCTCAGTCCAACGATACACCCAGCTTCAATTCCTCCAAAAAGGACACTCAGGACAATAGTATACACCCAACAATTCCACGCAGCGACTTTGTTCTCATAATGAAGACATTGGGCCCATGTGATAAGCGACAGGATACCGAACAGTTGCGGCTGTATCTGAAGGGGAATATTGAGTTGCTGCACGATGGCATAAATTCCGTATGGAGGAGCAGCAACGGCCCATAACATAAGCATCCATGGTGATAGTCCAGTAGTCGATTTGCGTCTCCAGTTCGTCCAGATTTGTGGTACCAATTGCACACTGCGAAAGAATGTGAGACTCCGGCCGCGGTCTGTGGCAATGGTCGAACGGCAAACTTACCACCAACAAACTGTGCCAATAGTACCTAATACATTGGCGGCTGTTCCTATATGTTCAGTCATGAAGGGCTCATCTGCTATTGGGTGGATGTATGCTGCTTTTATTTCGTCGCAGTAAACGGTTCCCGGTGTTGTATGCGCCCTGATTGCCGAACGCTTCGGCCGCGGGGCAAGCAGCTTAAGTCGTATAGCGAGTGACAGGAGTTCGGCAGCTTACGCTTAGTGGATCGTGCGTAAAAATAGACGGTATTGTAGACAACTCCCTATACCCGGCAAATAATCCAAAAACTCCAAACACAACAGTCCATCCTTTTCCATCTCGACACCTTTAACTCCAAAATACCGCTCAACGGCTAAATGGCCTTCAATGCTGTCGCACACACCTTGCAAAGCTTCTTCGAATGTAACACCCCGAACGTCGATGGAACAATCACACAATCCCCACACATGAGGACACCACAGACGGAACAGTTTTGACGACGCTCCATCACCCCAAACTGCATCCTGCAAACAAGGCAAACATCCGATGCTGCTTCCGATACGTAGTGCCTTGTGCTCGTAGTGTCAGGCAGGTTAAAAATGTACAACCTTCCCAAGCGGTCTGCCACAAAAAGCGTGCGTGCTTGACCGGACGGAAGAATTGCCGTCACATCCTCCGTAATCTGCGTATTGCTTATACGGTTGTGTAACTTGAGTTCGTGTAGCGGAGTCAGAGTCCACTCATCGCCTGTCTCGGCTAGTTCTTTTGTCCAGATTGTGATTGCCCCACGATGACCGGTGAAGAGCAGGTCGCGATGGAGATGCTCATTACTGATGCCTTCGTAGAATATGCACGATGTGACGATATCTGCACGATCACCTCCCTGTAGATGTGTTGCTAAGTGTTCGCCGTTTATCGTCCACAGATCAAGCGCAGCTTTTGTGCATGTCAAGATATCACCATTGACATCGTTGATCGCAACCTTGGTAATAGGTCCAGACCGTGGCTGAAGCTTGCGAATAAACTTCAAACGATTGAGGTCCCACACGATAACCGTTTCGTCAGTCGACCCACTAACAGCAAAGCTGAATGCCTTTGACACAGCAAGGCTCGTTATAGGCCCCGTGTGACCACGCAAGCACTCGCGTAGCTGAATATCTGTGTTCTTCCCAGTCTGCAGACTCCATATGCAAACGAGATGACCCTCATCCCCTGCAACTATCATGCGCTGACCAAGGAATTCAACGCACGTCAAGCGATCTTCAGTAAGATGTTCGAAACGAGCACCCATGCTATTGATATCAGGTCCAATGAGCCGTACAGAGCCGTCCACAAGTCCCACGTCGAGAAACCTGTCGCCCGAAATGTGAATCCTGCTAGCAGTGCTGGCCACTAAGGCATCAGTCTGAGGCAGATACGTCAATGATTGCGTAAGCTGCTTGAGGTCTCGCAAGGGAGAGAACGCCTGTATTAGTTGCGTTACGTTGTCTTCAAACCGCCCAAGAGAAGTCGATGACCGCTCTGCAAAGTCGGGTTGCCGCGGTGGGTGCGTTCGCGTGAAGACTTGCCTTGGTGTTTGACCAAAGTTATGAATAATACCGATGGTAGCCAATCGTTCCACAGGGTCTGCGATCTTGTCTAAATTGATCGCACCCTGGTACGACAAGTGATGGAACACATTTGTTGTGCGAATGGCGGCCTCACCGAGCTGATTGGATCCAAAGACGAGATCGACCCACTCGTGAAGGTGAGCACTGACATAATCGCTCTCAAGCGCCTCACGGTGTTTCTGAATAAAAATCCGCGGATCCCCTTTGGCCCATGGAGGCAGGATCACGTCGCTCACTGGCGTTCCAGACCCTTGCAATACACCGAAATCGAATCCATTGGAGTTTTCGAGGAACTCGGGTAAGTAGAAAAATTCTGGGATAAGCTCACGAACGTCGGTACTCGATTCTCTTGATGCGGATAACCATGCCTTCTCGAGCGAATAGAAGAGTCGGTCAGCATGATCAAACTGTCCACCTTGTAAGAGAAGGTAGGACTCCACGAAGGGTCGCAGACGAATCAAGTAAGAGCACACAATCATGGCGGAGCTGTAATGAGTTCCGTAATGGAATGGTCTCGAAGTTGCATCCATCTCTGCAAAAGCTTCATAGCGATCCTGAAAATCCTTTCGCCGTTCTGGAGTCTGGGCACCCATGGGCTTGGAGAAGTCGCGGAACGTCTTCGGATCGGTCAGATCAAGTTCCTCGCTGGTGTAATCCGCAAGAACCCACGGGAAGACAGGATACTGCGTGATGTCGTTATATGTGCGACCGGCAATCGTATTAATCAGCATGAGATAATGGAAGTTCGAAATCTCTCTGTTCTGCCACCTTATTGTGGCCGGATTCTGCTGAACACCAGTGAAGAAGTTGTTGAACTTCATGCTTAACTGGGATGCAATGCCTCGATTCTGGTCATACACCCACTCCTCTTCCGCACTACTTAGTCCCTTGGCATTTAAAGTCCCAAAGGGTAGTGTTTGGTGAAGTAGCTTCGCATGCAACTGATTCCGTTGTCCAACAGAAAGAGTCGTAATCAGATAGCTTCGACCATCCGCAAAGAAGATCTCAAGTGCAACGTCTCGAAAAAGAAATTGGCGTTTGGAGACAGACACGACATCCTGGTATGCCCAGTGGCGCACTTCATGTGTATCTCCAAGGGCACCCGCACTCGGAGATGCATTTGAACTGGACTCTTTGCCGGAGATCATCTGCAAATAAGAATCGCGCTCGGCTTGCGGAGCATCCCATACATCAACAATCTCACCATCGGATCTTTGGAAGTAGAAATCGAGAAGATACACATTGTGCCTTCCAAGAAGAAGCAACCCCTCGCAAGCCTCCAGACCCATGATGCGGGAGACATTCGCAACATCAAGAACGATATCGCCAGGCTGAAGATTACGAAGGACTTTGCGATGTTTATTCTCCTCATAAACTGTATCATCCTCGATCTCATTTCGAGGATCTTCAACCATTTCGAAATCATCTTCCGCTCTGACTTCCTGAGGTTCTCCGGATGGCGACGGCACAAACTGATCGCTGTTCTTCTGCTCATCACTGTTGACAAATGATGCATCTTCGAGTTCACTGATGGTGCCTCGTCGCGACTGAGGTGGTGAGCCATCGGGAGACTGAACCAGGCGATTACTGTCTGCAACTGATTGAGATGAACCTTTGGTAGAGGGCGCTGCTTTTAGACCCTTCAGAGACTTCCCATGCTTTTCAGGAGCGAGCTTCTTCCTCATGCGATTCCTGCCTTCCGTAAGATCAAGTCTCCAACTCTGTGGTTGGCCATCAACTTGCAGAAGCCCCGCCGGTCCAGTCAAAGTATCCGAGAGCGCGGTCCATTTGGTATCGACGAAGGCGGTGTGATCCGCTTGATCCTGCGCAGCTTTGAGAAATCTGACTTGCTCAACGTCGTATATGCTTCTAGTCCACTGCGCCGTCGAGTGGTCATACCGCGCCATGCTTTCCCGTTCCACAGAATCATTGGATATCCACTCCTTCAGTTTCGTCTGCCTCTTAATGGCCCGTGACTTCAATGCTTCCTGGCTAACCTTGTTTTCAGACTGTACGAAGGCATCCCAAGCCTCTGCCATGCTAGTAAAGAAAAAGGTATCTAGCGGATGACGGTGGGCGTCCACCCAATCCAGGAAGCTATTCGCATCGGTCTCCATGATTCGCAGGAAACCTGCTGATATCTGCTTGTACTCCAACGACTTCGCTTGGTTCAGGATGATGGATGTCTCGACGGGCTTTTGCAAGAGCAGCAGACGCCAGATGTTACTGGTGATCAATCGAACAGTCCGGTCGCCTTCCACGAGAAGGACGTAAAGGTGATAGCACAGAAGCCGAAGAAAATTGCCGTCCGTGTTTACAGGTGACAATAACACCTGCTGGTAATGCAACAAGCGATGAAGAAGCTCGGTTGCAGCCTGTTCATGCTCATGTATATCACCCAATTCCGACAACCGCCATAAAGTGAGCCTATGGAAGGCTTTATGGAGAGTAAAAAGCGAGTTCTCACATATTTGCACTGTCCTCAACGACGCGATCTCAGGCTGTTGGAGGAACTCGATGATCTTCGCGATAAACTCGAATAATGGCTCCGACCCCTCAAGAAAGAAACCTTGATATACTGCATCCGTGGACCGCTGTACAAAGCGTGCCACGTTTGTAAGGGTTCGCACCTCGCAGAGCTGTTTCATGTGCAGAGAGAGCGTGTTATCAAGTTGTGCAAGAGCATTCCGTTTCAGATATGTCTCGAAGTAGATGTGATACTCGGCAAAGCTAGGCGGCAATATCGTGTCAAGCTCGACATAATCCTTCCTGCCAAGAATAGCATCGATGATGATAGTAAGCAGTAGCTCGACGAGGCTCTCTACAGCGCGATTGGAATGATCGAGAATGGTTGGTGCCTCACGAGAGGTGTCCGTTTTCATAGCAGGCTCAAGTCTAGCCTTCGTGGGCGAACCCTGTCTTTCTTCTGTCACCTCGGATACCAACACGTAAGAACCTTCACGCCTCAGTGACGTGCGCCTGAGTGTATCTGGTCGAGCTCCTCTTGGGCTGCTTGACGGTGAAGTAGACACAGGGCGTATCACCGGCGCGCGTCCACGATTGCCCGCTAGAGAGTCAATAACCACTTCACCATCAAAGGTCAACGCGGAATTGCTGGACTCCAGCTCGGTTGCGGGCTCAACGGCATCCGCAGCACAGATTATTGGAAATAGGATTGACAGGACCTTTTCCAAGAAAAGGGATGATGCGCAGAAGTCACGGAAAGACGCACTGTTGAAATGAACATTCTGGAAGAACTGAACCAGAACCTGGATCATTCGTCCGTTATCCTGCGGACGACTTGATGCAGGTTCCTTCAGTTGTGAAATCGAGACTTCTGACATCCAAGAGCCAACCGAGCGCGAACGGCGCCGGGTGTTTGCAGGACGCGATGCGTCTGAGGACGGAGGTGACAGGGCTGAGCTTTCATGTTCGATCCGTTCTCGTACTAATGAGGCGATAGAGTTCTTGAGCATAGCAGCAATGGTGGGGAAAACCTCCAGGTACACGACTTCCGGCTCTCCCTCTTTCTTCTGCGTACTCTCGAGTAGATGATACAACTCGATGGGCTCGTCAAGGTCCACGCTGGCTATGTCGACGCCAAAGAGTACACAAATCAGGATCATCCAGAGTGGAGAGACCTGCCAGTGTTGCCGCAGATGCATTTTCATGATCAAAAATCCGTTACTTTTGGGGCTAGCAAACTTTGCTACATATTGGGCGCCCTGAGACACGAATAATCGAGCGAGGATCTTGGCACCCAAGATGACGCATCGGGGGCTGGATTCAGCCAGCAAGAGCAGAGGCCACTTATTCGTGATGGTCGTGGCAAACTTTGTGCAGTACGTTGAATCCGAAGGATCGCAGATAAGTTCAGTCAGCAACTCCACCAGAGATATGCCAATGTGCTGCAGCGACGGCTCGTCACCAGCGGAGATAGGTGAGCTTACTCGCACAGTAGTGCCCAGGGTCATATTCCGACGTGGAGGCTGCTTCCGTCGATACCGGAGTGACTTCTGACAAAAGCAATGCGTGATAAAAGTTGCCAGAGACCGCACCACCTCGGTGGAGAAGTTGACCTTCACCAATATTTTGAGGGTCGAAAAGAATTCATCGGATAGCTCCGGTGTCAACTTTCTCGACTTTAGCACGTTCAACATCTTCTTAACGACGTGCATCTTTGCGAATCGCTTGATGTTGAACTGCTGGAATGTCCCCCCGCAAGAAGCGAGTATTCTGAAGTGCTCCAAATGAGCCTTCTGAGTTGCAACGTCACCTTTTCTCCAGATATCAAAGTCCAAGACGAGGAAGCGGTACGCAAGGGGATTGTTGACCACCGACTTTTCCGTGGCAGTACTTCTCATACCAACAAAATCAAGCGCTAATCTCAGCAAATCTTCCGTAATCACACCGGCATCTTTTTCCTTGAGGAGCTGACCAAGCACCTCATATCCATTGGACCTTTCCACATCATCCGAGTTTCGCCAACTCCTGCGGATCAATCCAAAGAAGAATTTGATAGCGATGTACACTTGCTCAGCGGTATGCGCATTCTCAATCATCTTCAACGAAGCCGAACACCCTGCCATCTTCCATGCCACAGCATCTGCAGGTGTTGGGAGCACGACTGTGGGTGAATTGACAAGGAATCCAAATCCACTTCTCACGGTCAGAGCTTCAACGGGTTTAGGGATAGCGCCGTTCAGGATCACGTTCCCCGCCCCTGCCTTTTGTTCGAAAGAGAAAAGATTTCTTTTCGCTTGGCGAGTCAGAAGATTGCGATCGATCACCGTATTGCCAGCAGAAATATTGAGAATAATGGAACGCTCCAAGATCGCAGGAACACCTTTGCCCTTGACAGCGTTCATTAACGGGCTCTTCTCAGCTTTACTCGGCGGCATTGCCTCAAGCACTCTGTTCAATGCAGTAGATGCTTCGTACGTCTGAAAGCTGCTCAGTGAGTCCTGGTAATTGCCTGTGTACCTAGGTCCCAAATGGTAGAAGAGTTTGATCAATTCGTACGGCATTCCGCCATCAAACAGGTATGCCGGACCCAAGCTCCATTCACCCTTGAAAATACCTTTGCCCAGCTCGGGTGATATACTTGCTGGTGTACCATAATAAGCCTGCACTGGGGCGCCCGATGGTGAATCCGCGGGGAATGGCTGCTTCACTTCTTCCACCTGCCTCCCATTTACGTATAAAACCGCCTTACTTGGCGTACTTCCCGAATGTCGATAATGCACAACTGCGACATGATACCACGTTCCCGCCTCAATCGTCCACTCCTTGAACCGTGAAGCTGATCTCAAAGCAGTCTGCAGCACAATTGTCTTCGTCTCTTTCTCGACGTACAACACTACATAACTCTTCCAAGACTGATCATGACACGCGAAGAGTGTTGTGTGCATCTTATCGTCAAGGACATCAATGTTGATCCACATTGCCACGGTGTATCCGTTCGTGTTCGGTGTAGGAAAAGGACGTCCAAGAGATTCGATTTCAAGAGATGAAGCACCGCGGGGCGCCATAGAGAAATGGATATGAGCTGGAATGCGGGTGGATTCATCTACGCTGTTAAGGAGGAAATCTGCCAACTGGCCCGGTTGTGGTTTGAGTACGGCAGAACGGAACAGGGGGCGGAAGTCGTTCTGTTCGACACCCCATCGTGAGAGGGTTTGGGCCATCGATGAGACAAGTGACCTCAAGTCTCCCTCCAGAACCACAGAATCAGATTCCCTGCCTTCAGGCCATAAAATCCCGGTTATTGCTCCAACCAGACCTGCTCGCCGTAAAGACATTTGGTTCGCACGGTTCTCCTCAATTAACTTTTTCAAGAGTTCGCATGCTCGCAAACAGCCCGAATCATTCTTTGGATTCATTTTCGCGACCAATTCAACGATGATTGGTGAAACTCCGGCATGTCGCAGCTCATGGCTCGCTCCATCAACCAGGAGGTCGAGACACGCTTGAAGTACTTGCGCCGAATCCTTGTCCGCCAGCCCGTCAACGACCAACACCTTCCTCAGCTGCTTCCAACCATCCATATCATACCATCTTTGCGCCGGTAGAACAACGCCCAGCACCTTTAGTAACCCCACCAGCAATGGTGTGCATTCTTCATCCAGGGTATCATTTGCCGACACATGCACCAATTGACTATCTTGACTGTCGCTGCTTGCTGGTTGCCCACTGCTGGCGAGTTGATGGAGTACATCTAGGGCGTTTTCAAAGCCCCTCTCGGTAATAAATGCTGCCCTTGACTCAAGGGAATCCGTACACGCGGTACATATTGCTTCGCATGCGTCTACCCGCTTCGTTATCGGATCATTCGATGAGCTGAACGCGTCGATATGATCCTGTATTCCAATCCTGTCGGATGAATGCGCTGACGATGGATCAGACATAACCCTGAGGTCATAGCAGGCCGGACGTGTAAACGGTATACGAGCCAACCCCCGCGCAGGGTCGTGCAAGCTTCCGCAGGCCAGGCAGGCTCATGCTTGACCACATCTTCAACATTTGAACAGATTTTAGAAGGATTGGATAATGATTCAATTTCGAAATGATTCACGTTTTTCTGCTTCAACGGATTCCACGACACGTCGGCTGCCACCTGGATGCGTCACGGTGCTTTATCATGAGCCCCGCTTTAGCACGTACGCAATCACGTCTATACCCAGCCCCGTATAAGACGCCCAGCATTCACTCCCGCCCCACCATCAATCCATCAACAACAATCCCCACGTCTACGTCCATCTACGAACCGAATTAACGAGCATACATCCTCATCTTTACTCAGTATCATAACGACCTGTCCAAGATGAAGCTCTCTCTTACGACTCTCGTTGTTGCACTCACCTCTGCAACCGCTGCTCTCGCGAGCCCTGCTCCCTCGCTCAGGACTTCTATCGTCGACGGAATTGCTCCTCTTTTCTCTGCTTCCACCGCCGAGACCATTGACAACTCGTACATTGTCGTCTTCCATCCTCATGTTGAGTCACACCACGCATCCACTCACCACGAGTGGGTGAGCGACTGCCACTCCTCCTACTTGCAGAAGCGTGGTCAGACCTCTTTCTCTGCTACTGATACCGAGGAGGTCGATGGTGAAATCTCTACCATGTTCAGTGGTGTCAAGCACGTGTACGACTTTGCCGACGGTGCTCTCAGGGGTTACGCTGGTTCGTTCTCCGATGAAGTTTTGGAGCAGATCCGCTCCCACCCCGATGTTGCCTACGTCGAGCGTGATCAGCTCGTCCACACTACCTCCGTCCAGCGTGGCGCGCCTTGGGGTCTCTCCCGTATCTCTCACAAGGATGCATTGACCTTCTCCACTTTCAACAAGTACCAGTACGACTCCGTTGCCGGTGATGGCGTTACCGCTTACATCATCGATACTGGTGTCAACATTGACCACGTTGACTTTGAGGGCCGTGCCAAGTGGGGTGCTACCATTCCTCAGGGTGACCAGGACATTGACGGAAACGGCCACGGTACCCACGTTGCTGGTACCGTCGCTGGTTCCAAGTACGGTGTCGCCAAGAAGGCGAACGTTGTCGCTGTCAAGGTTCTCCGTACCAATGGTTCCGGAACCATGTCCGACGTCTTGAAGGGTGTTGAGTGGGCCGCTGAGGACCACATCAAGCGTCAGACCAAGGCCAAGAAGGATGGCAAGCCATTCAAGGGATCCACTGCCAACATGTCTCTCGGTGGTGGTAAGTCGCGTACCCTTGACGTCGCCGTCAACGCTGCCGTTGACGCTGGTCTCCACTTCGCCGTTGCTGCCGGTAACGACAATGCCGATGCTTGCTCTTCCTCCCCCGCGGCTGCCGAGGGCCCCATCACCGTTGGTGCTTCCACCCTCTCCGACGAGCGCGCGTACTTTTCCAACCACGGAAAGTGTGTCGACATCTTTGCGCCCGGTCTCAACATCCAGTCCACCTGGATCGGCTCCAAGGTTGCCACCAACACCATCTCCGGAACCTCGATGGCTTCCCCTCACATCTGTGGTCTCTTGACCTACTTCCTCTCCCTCGTTCCTTCCGAGAACTCCACCTACCATGTCCCGATCACCCCCAAGAAGCTCAAGGCTCGCATGATCAGCATGGCTACGCCCGGTAAGTTGGGTGACATCCCATCCGGCACTCCCAACTTGTTGGCCTACAACGAGTTCGCCAATGGTGGCAAGAAGAAGAAGGTTGACGGTGACCGCGCTTCTCGCATCAAGGAGGCCTTCGAGGAGTGGATCTCCAAGGTCGAGGAGACTATTGAGGATGAGGTCAGGGCCTTCTCCGAGCGCTTCGAGGTTGAGATGTAGATGGCCATGGCGTTCATCATTTTTCTCCATTTCTCTGAGGTTAGGGTTCAGTAGGTACGATATTCGGTTGCATTGGATAGGTCTATGGGGTTTTGTTGGTGCTTGTTTCTTCTTTTTCATGGAGGGTTTCATACAGGGTTGGGATTGCTGTTTGGGTTTGCCGTTTACTGTAACTATAATTGATCATGATAAATCACTTGAGGGTGCAAATTGTAATTGTTGCAGTAGATGTCCGAGGGCCAAGCTTCCGGATGCCGTCAGAGGATGCCCTACTGGGTCGGAATGGACGAACTGAGGAGCTCGGAATAGCGGCTTACTTCCTATCATAATGAGCGCACCTGCGCCCTTGCCAGTCCTGTTACACGTACAGATTTCCCTCGTCCACGGAACTCTGCTCCTACATCTTGTTCTCAATTGTCTGATAATTTGTCTGGATGTCGTGCTTCTGTCCGTTTATCACGTACGCGTCGGCTCAGCTCCGGCCTAGCGGGATTTCGGATTCGGGGCTAAGCATCGACCGCACAGATCGCACGTGAGATATGAGAGAAAAGGAGTATATTAAGCGAAGAAAGATCCAAACAAGAGAGTTCCTTGCAATCGAAAACCAGAGATCTTCCACGTCATAAACAGACATCGTCACAGCAGCCCCATGAATCGTTCATCTGTAATCCCATACGCTGCATCTCAGCTACGAATTCCAACAACACGCCCAAAAGCGTTCCAAAGGCAAGTAATACCGATAACTTCATGATCATATATAAGTATAAAAGTGTTGCACCTAGAAATACTGTCGTTCAGAACCAAGCCATTGATACATCTTCACTGATTTGACGACCATTCCACGCTCCTCCTCGGTAAGCCAGGTCGGATACCAGGAGTTGCGCGCAGTCCAAAAGTCACTTTTAGCAGTGGGAGACTTATCCGCCCAGGGTTTCCCAGGCATGTCGTCGGCAAAGTAAGCGTTGGTGCCGCCGACGGCGACGTTGAGGATGAGGTAGAAGTCCTGGTCGAAGGGTGTAGAATCTGTAGCGTTGGCAACATCCCAGGGGTTGTCAATGATCGTGAGATTTGTCTTGTCGATGACATCGAAGTTTCCTCGATCCCAAAACTTCTTGTTGAACTTGACAGAGAGGCCCTGACGGAGCCTACTGTCGACGTATGCGAAGATGTACCTCGGAGTCCATTCAATAGCGTAGGTATGGAAGTCCTGAGAGAAGTCACCGTGGAGCTGCTGAATGACGTTGGAAGTTTTGTAGTACTTGTTCAGATCGCCGGAAGGACCCCAATGGATGGTGCTGGACACATAGTCCCTTCCCTGGAGACCGAAATCAGGTTTGTTACCACGGGCTTCGGCAATGTCGATTTCTCCTGAGCGAGGCCATTCACCGTACACACTGTCACGAGGCATCATCCAGATAGCAGGCCATATCCAATCACCGACAGGCATTTTAGCAACGACTTCCACCTTCCCATACTTAATACCGTAGTGACCCTTGGTATTGAGGCGAGCAGACTGAACAGGTGGCAAGACGTCTCCGAGAGTCGAGTTCGAAACAGCGGCGCAGTCGGAAGCACTTTCGGAAGTGCAGCCATTGCCGGTAATGTTTACCGTATATCCATTGGTGATGGCGTCGAAGCCAAGAACGTCACTGGTAAGAGTCGGCACGATGTGCAACATGCCATCTTTGACGTACGAGTTCCTCGAATCAGTAGTGGTCCAGTCGAAGTTCCCAGTGCCGAAACCGTTGAGCTGAACTTCGTGGTTCCAGATGGTGGGATCAATAGCACCGGCGGAGAAGTTCTCGTCCAAGATGAGCTGGTAGGTGCTTTCAGGGACAGACTGCCAGCCCCACCACCCAATGAAGGCGGAGGCGAGAAGTCCGATGAGAATCCCCACCCATGGTAGGGTTTGCATGAGTCTCCAATGATTCTTCGTTTCCTTCTCCCATCCGGTTTTGTTGATAGGTTCGTGGAGACGGCGCGAGACAAAAGGCTTGGGAAACATGACATATTCATCGTCGTCCTCAGTCTTGCCGTGGGTTGGAACGCTTTCCTTGTGAAGGATCATGCTCATAGGTGCCGAACCTGTGCTGGACATGATCGATCGTGCAGGACCGCCCGAAACACCACGGGTTCTGCCGCGAAGCTGTGGACTTCCAGGAATAGTTCCGATGGGTGATCTTCCCTCGTCAGTGAAGCGTGAAGCCACAGAAATGCCTCCTGGTGAGCCGGGCATTCGTCCGCCAGAGGTATCGAAGTTGTCCATGGTAAGAGAGTCGAGAGAGGCTGGGATGGAGCGATTCCCACCGTTGTAAATGGGTGCTGGCAGTGCAGGGGGCTGGGTATGCACCGTTTCGCTGGTGATCTCGTCTTTCTCGCTCTGAGGTAGTCCCGACATGTCGAAAGGCAGACGGTCTCGTAGCGATTATTAACAAGGTAAGAAGGATGCGGCGCTTGTTATAGAAGAAAAATGCGAAGTCGTAAAAACATCCTTAGAGTATAGGATCCCGTCCTCGCTCGGTAGACTCAACTTAAGTGGCAAGGCATGATCCGACCGTATCAGGCCGTAAACGGCTCGTTCGGTTTACGACTTGAATCCCTTAACACTCGGGAGAACAGAGCGTCTGATCCACACATCCACACATCACCACTTTCTTCGTGGAGTTCCAGGACATGAGTTTCTCCTTTGCCCGCGGCGGCGTCCTTCACTCTATTCTATGTTTCGTTGTGATGATAACTCTTAAAACTCATGAGTCAGACAATTGCAAGGCTGCACGCCTCGTGCAGTATTGCTCAAATTCTCGAATGGGAGAGCACAATTGCGCGAGCGGGTGCCTATTGCTTCTCGACAAAAATGAGTACTTTTCGTTTGATCTGGGCTGCCACTGGACTTCAAGGCCTTGACTCCGTCCTACTCGTTCACCTTTCGTAGGCCTTGCCAACCTCCAACAGAAGCAAGATGCACACGATAGAAGCGCATCACCTTGCGCTTCACTTTTTTCGAAACCCTCGAGGCCAACGACCGAAGTTCTCGGATGTGGGAACAGCCCCCCGGTGCCTTACAGGGCCGGAACCTATAATATTAACGCCCCTCGAGCTCGGGCCTGCGGCTCGGCTCGTGTATGCTCGCTTCCTACGTAGCTGAGACACGTCGAGTTCAGTTCCGTAATCTTATTCTTGATCTCTCGTCGAGACAAGCTTCATACCGCCTACCCTGAACCTTGTTCGCGATATCGCTGCGGTTGGGGCCCGCGCAGCGCTACAGTTTCGTGTATAGTCGTTCATCCCTCCTAACCAAATGCTCATCCCTGGGCCCCGGATCCACGGGGAGGTGAATGCGTAAGATGCGACAGAGCCTTTAGGTCGATCGAGCACGGACCGTTTATTCTTCCTCTGCCGCCGTTTTACATCTGTCTCGTTGTCCCTCCCCCAGAACGCCGCCTTTGCAATTGCGCGGCCGCGGTGGCAACAATTGCAAGTGAAACGTCCCGCGCGGCTACGTACTTAAGGCGACACCTCAAGCAATTACAACCCTTCGATGACATCAATCTCTCCTTAAATGAGGTCAAAGCGTATCTTTCTATGTTTGCAAGCCTTTCATTTGAGGCCTTCGTTCCGGGGAAACTTGTAGCCAGCCCGGGAATTCTGTGCCCCACGCAAAGCTTTGGGCAAGCGTTCAGGCTGAGGGCCCTCATTTGAGAGCCTCACATTTGTTTGCCAGTGAGGCCCATTCGAGGGCTGTCGCGATGCACTCGGACGTTTCACAGCAGAACAGCCTGCCAGGCGCAGGAAACTTAAAATAAGAGGGTTTACAATAGACAGAGGTGTCCCAAGCGCCCAAGCAAGACAGAAACAGAAGATTGGATCATGGAGTGAGGCACCTTTACACTTCCTCCCGCGGAGGCGGTTTCCTTCTTTACGGGGAGAATCGGCCGCTGCGGCGCATACCTCCATTACCTGGAGACAATCAATTCTAAACCCGCCGAGTTACGTTAAGAGCTCATCGCTGCTATTGCTGGCAGGATATACTCATTTCCGGGGGGAGCGGGGCATCTTACGCTGATTCTCCGAGTTGAAGGAGACGGGTGAACCATCCAGCCGTCGGTGGTCAGGCTTCGTCGCACTCAAAGTCGGAAGGGCTTCAACATGCCGTCCCAGAAGTCATGGCCTCAATCTACGGCTGGAGAGTAGGGGCTTTGGCGCTTCTCTGTGCGCAGAGTACACCTTGTACGCCGCGAGGATATTGCAATGGTTTAAGGAAACTCTCCACCGAGATTGAACGGCTCGGCTTTGAGTATCCTAACGCCAGAACATGGAGGCGGCCCCGGCTCTGGAGAAGAACCTGCTTGCCGCTGTTTAAGGGTTCGGGGAAACTTCGAGCCTCGGTATTCTCGAAGTGCCCTTGAGCCCGTTTTGCAGTCCGCTCGCTTGCTGAATAGTCTTAAAGTCTCGCTTCGTGCTTCTCTGCGTTCGCAAGAGTCTATAAAGCTTGCTGTCTTCCTGGGCTTCTCTTCGTTCGTCAAGGACCGCCAGCAAGACGCACGCTTCGCAACATGGGTCAGTCAACAAGTCACTTGGGCCGATCTTCCGGAAATCACGGCACGATCAGTTACCGCGACAACTCCGACACTTCCTCCGTCCTCTTCGAGGACGAGAAGTCCTACAAGCACAACCCTATCCGCAGCCTCAAGAGCTTCTACATCAAGGAACAGGAGATTGGAAGCGATGGATCTTTTGACGTCTATGCTGAACGGATGTTTCGGTACGCTGCCATGAAGGGGATGTTCGGCAGTGAAGGCAACTACGGACGTTCCGCTGTGTGTCTCCGCGTGGATGACGAGTATACGATCTACAATGCCAGTCCCGAGGCTACTGTCATCAATCTTGGAGCTATCCTCTCGCGCATTGACGTCGCCTCTGCTATTGTCATTGACAGTCCTGTCGTCGAAAGTGTCGCGAGCAAACTCGCCAATGCCAAGGAAGACATCATATTGTCCGACGGCCAGATGCTTCAAGTCTTCGAGAGCCTTGCCCAACTCCCTAGAGCAAGGCTAGACCAGCCTGCTGCTTTCGTCCGTCAAGAACGCTTGATCATTGTGTGGGCCGACGATGCCCAGGACTGTATGAAGATCGCCTCCTCGGTTCACAGTGGTATCCTTCAAGTCGTTTGGAACGACGAGAAACCCGTAACACCTAGTAACGTTGGGGATCGTGAGCCGGGCGACGTTGAAGCCGCCGAGGAAAACACCGCCCCCTTGCGCGAACGATATATCCGCGGTCACATCACTACGATGATTGCACTCGTTATTGAGGGTCTCGCTTTCGGGCTGCTCGTTCGTGAGCTTATTATCGAGTATCGCTACGACGGAAAACTTCCTCGCTTCGCTTTGATCGCATACTTTCCGATTACATTCGCCATGTCGTTATTCTTTATTCTCGTCATCATCACCAATGTCTGGCAGATTGTCGGACCAATGGCGAGCGCTTTCAAAAACTCCTTCTCATACTCTGCTGAACCCTTGAAACGCATGACCGGCGCATTACCAGACGTGACGATCATCTGCCCTGTATACAAGGAATCTCTTTCGGGTGTCATTGGTCCGACGGTTGCTTCTGTGAAGACAGCGATGGAGCGCTACAGGAAGCAGGGAGGTCAGGTGAACTTGATCATCTGTGATGACCGTATGCAACTCGTGGACGAAGCATCGCAGACTTTCAGACAAGAGTATTATCGCAAACACCATATTGGATGGGTGGCTCGTCCTGGTCATGGGCAAGATGGTTACATTCGAGCTGGTCGTTTCAAGAAGGCGAGTAACATGAATGCCATGATGGGGATCTCTGTGAAAGTTGAGGAAGCCCTCGGGAAGGTCGAGCGTCCTGTTGAAGGGTGGACCGCATCCGAAGAAGAGCAGGTTTACAACGAGATCTTGCAGGACGTCATTGCCAAGGACGGGCGTCTCTGGGGCGAGGGTAACATCCGTATCGGAGACCTTTTTCTTCTCATTGACTCCGATACTCGCGTGCCGTCCGATTGTCTTATCGATGCTGCGTCTGAGTTCGGTAAGCTCTTTTCAGTCTTCCTCCCGATGTCTCAAACTAACTCCTCCTTAGATGCTTCTCCTCACCTTGCGGTTCTTCAGCATGCGTCTGGTGTGATGAAGGTTTCGCACGACTTCTTCGAAAACGCAATGACGTACTTCACCGACCACATCTACCGCTCGATTCGTTTCTCCTGCTCGGGTGGTGATATGGTATGTGTTTCTAACAACGAGTCTCACTGGCATCTACTAACCATGGCGCTAGGCTCCCTTCGTTGGTCACAATGCCTTTATCCGCTGGCGAGCCGTGCAAGAGTCGGCCGAATGGATGCATGAAGACGGCAACCCCCGCTGGTGGTCCGAGTCCCACGTCTCTGAAGATTTCGAAATGGCTCTGAAACTGCAATGTGCCGGCCACAGCATCCGGCTTGCGGCTTACACCAATGGAGAATTCAAGGAGGGGGTTTCCCTTACTCTGTTCGATGAGATTGCTCGCTGGGAGAAGTATGCATACGGGTGCTCCGAGCTCATCTTCAACCCGGTGAGGACTTGGTTGTGGAAGGGACCTATTACGCCCATGTTCCGTCGTTTCGTCTTTGCGAAGGAGATTCCAATGTCACACAAGTTCACGTTGTTGTCTTACATTGGTACCTACTATGCGCTTGCCTGCGTTTGGCTTCTCGTCCTGTCGAACTACTTCTGGACTGGATGGGCTGCGGACATGATCGATCACGCGTGGCTCGACTCCCTCCGCGTCACTGTGACTGTCGTCGTTGTCTTTACAGTCCCGCTCGCCCCGGCCATCTTCGCGTACCGCATGAAGGACAAGGGTTTCTTCCAGGCACTATGGGAAGCCACAAAATGGACGCCGTTCTACATGTTCTTCTTCAACGGCGTCTCGTTCCGTATTTCCATGGCACTACTCAGTCACATGTTTGAATACAACATGCAGTGGGGTGCTACCTCGAAGGAGACAGATGACTCGGACTTCTTTAGAGAGTTACCTCGTATTCTCAGGGAGTTTAGGTGGACTTATGTCTTCTTTGGGCTTCAGATCCCGATGATGATTTACCTTGCTCGGTTTGCGCCTTACCAATGGCAGATCCCAAACTTCTGGAGTGTTTATCCTTTGGCGATGAGCGTCGGTGGGCATTTGGTTATGCCGCTTGCTTTGAATCCGAAGTTGTATCCGTTTTGAGGTATTGCCGAGTATGATCACTTAGAGTTGTATTCTTATGTTGAAAAAATCTTCTAATTAATAAAGTTTGATCTCTTTTGAATCGTACTTCTAATCCATCCTGACTGACTTTCTGCGGTTTGGCGGTCGCAGGAAAAAGTACCTTCCTCGAAGCGTGCAACGAGACAGCTACAGCTGGTTGCAAAATGCTTGTCGTAACTTTCCCATGTGCGCGCGAATCGCAAACTCCATATGACAAAAACCCCTAAAACAACATAGATAAAGGCCTCGGAGGTCGAGTAAGGGTTCAAACTGATCATAACTATCCTTAGCAATCACGTCGTGCCACCGGTTTTGGGCCATAAGGCCTCCCTCAGTCGCTTCATGCTGAAAAGGTGATTTCAGGTTTAAGAAAGAAACGGACCCTGGAAGCCACTAAGGATGCAGCTCCGGGTTCCATGAGATAGAGGGAGCTTGGATGAACAAGTTCTACGTGTGGTTTCTTTGATTCTAACAGGTTTTGAGGTTTGTGGGTCCAGAGAGTGTTTTCATTGCTTTCATGCATGTTCATGCAACATTATGCACCTGAACCTGATCTATCAATGTCTCCCCTGAAATCGCCCTCCCAAGCCTTGTCTATGAAGATGGGGGGGTTCATGAAACTATCCCCGCGCAGATAGGCGGTAAAATGCGCCGCGTCAAGCATTTTGCAACCAGCAGTAAGCTACCCTACATTATTTTGAGGTCGTTCACGGTATACTATATTATATTATAGCAATCTTCACGTTTTTGTCAGTCAAGTGCCGGACTGCAAATCTCACAGCATCAATTCTGCCCGGCTGGCGCAATGGTAGCGCGTCAGACTTCTAATCTGAAGGCTGCGGGTTCGAGTCCCGCGTTGGGCTGAATTCTTTTTGCTTTTCTGGCTCAGCACATTATCTGAACAGGACACTGGTTGCTTTTTTGCGGGTAATATAGTCATGATGGGGGCCCGTGCTTTGTCTGGTTCTGGGTAATGGGGTTGAGGCGGTGATGTTGCTTGTGAGAAGCATACCGGTACCGGTAGGATGCCATTCCGGCGTCACTACACCGTCCAGAGAAACTTGGAGAATTAACTCAGAAGACAGAAAAACCGTTCGATCATTACGGATAGCAAACTATTACCCAGGGAAGCCATCAAACCCTTCGACGGGACCTATCCCTCCTAAAGAAAAAAAGCAAACCGTACACAATATCCGTACGTAATCCCTATCGTTATCATCCCTCCTTATCATGCTCGTGCAATCTAATACTTCAGAATGATGTAGAGAGCGTGGATGATTCCAGCTGTGTTCCCATCGTTAGTAACGTGTATGAAGGGGGGCAAATGGAAGAGACGTACGGATGTAACCAAGGATGGTCAACAAGATGTTGATCAAGAGATCGGCACCGCAACCGCGCTCGAGGAAGACTCCGAGAGGGGGGAGGATGATGGCGATGATGATCTTGCAGATGTCGCTATGCCAGTATTAGAACGCGTTTCGCGGAAGATGAATGCGTGTTTGTTGGGGATGTATGCTACGAGAAAAGCCGCAAAGACGAACAAAAGCGCAGCATACAGCCAGCATAACAGCACACTCCCTCCAATTGCAAAGGGCAGCACTCACGAAGCGGTGAAAGCCATGGTTGTGTTTGTGTTTGTAGCAGGAGTAAGTTGTGTCGTGACGTCTTTTCTATTCTGTGCGGGTGGCTGAGCCCTTTATACAAGCCGCCGGCTCCCGACGTATCACGCTATGACGCACAAGCACATTCATCCACGGCTGTCCGCCAAGTCCGCGGCCGACTAATTAGGCGACCTCCAATTGTAATGTAGATTTACTGGGAGTAATACAGCAGCTGGTCACCGCCGACGACCCTCTCCGCTCTGGATAGCCCTAAACCCTTGGATCAGAACGTCGCTCCCCTCACACATCTCCCGTCCCATTGACCCCACCGCACTCCCGTCCCGGTTGAACATAACCGCATTCGCACACATCCTCATCACCTCCACGTGGAACTCCTCTGCCGTCTGGATACTCCCATCCCTAATCCGAGCCTTGATAGTTTTGAGCGAGGTCGGGTGGTAGACTGCGCTTGTATATCCCGGCGCCGATGACTCGGTCGGATTCGTGGTGAATACTGAGGCGGATTTCTGGGCGGATATATCGTTCCATACCGCGGTGATCATTTGTTGGAATTTCTTGCCTGTTGCGGGGGTTCCCGGAACGCCTCCAGCTGGGGCGGGTGACGATTCGTCGATGCTTGCACCCGTCTTTCGGCGGGAATTGCGTTTTGGGGTTGGTTCGATGTCACCTTTGTTGCTGCTTTCCAGTGTCCTTGATCGCTTCCTGCCTCGAGTGACTGTAGCTGATTCCGCCTCAGTCTTAATCTCGGCATCTTCCTCCTGCTCTACATCGACCACCGGCCCAGCAGGCGTATGTACCAAATCCACCGCAGACGCGGTCCGACTTGGCTCTAATGGCGCAGCAGCTGGCTCAGTGACGTCTCGTACCTCCTCCGCGACGTCAATTACTTCTTGATCTGTCCTCACACCCTGATCTTTTGCGATCTCCGGTAGCTGTGGTTCTTTATCCGAAGCTTTGATTTCGTCGGCTGGCTGCACGAAGTCTGGCTCTTTCTCTACTTGTACTGGTGTCTGTTCGGGTTTGGTGCCGATAGCGACTTCATCCTGTGCCAACTCTGCAAACTTTGCCGGGTCATCCTCGGTGGCCTCCGCAGCGGGGGCTTCGGGTGTGAGTGCCTCAGCGATTGGCGTCACAGCTTTTTCTGTCTCGGCTTCGAGTGCAGCTGCGCGTTCATCCGCTTGTTTTGCGAGGACCTCATTGATTTGCTCGTCCGTGACCTTCTCCAGTGCTGCGACTGCGACTCCCTCTGTGGTGACGTTTTCCTCGACGACGGGTACGGCGTCGGTTGGTGATCGCACGACTTGTTCCACTGGTTGGACGGTTTGTGCTTGTTCCACGCCTTCCATCTCGTCTTCGGCGGGTGGTACGACGGACGCGGCCGCGGGTGAAGGAGCAATCGCGTCGAGTGCCGCATTAACTTGTGTCTCCGTCATCTCCTGCATCGACGCATCCTCCTCCTCCTCCGCACCATTCTTCACCGCCTCAGCAGTCGTCGCAGTAGGCACACTTTCACCCATCTCCACATCACCATCGCCGGCTTGACCGAGTTGCGCAGCGAACTTCTCGTCCCATTTCCCGGCTTTGATGTCTTCCAGTTCTTGCACCAGGATCTTGAATTTCTGCTCTTCGTCCCGGATTTCGGCTTTGAGGGCTTGGACGTGGTGGCCGTGGAGGATTGATGCCAGTTTTTGGAGGGATGCGGATGCTGTACACTTCTTGTTAGCTCTTCTCCAATGAAAGTCCTACAAGAGGAGATACGTTTAAATGTCGGACCAACCGGCGCACAAGCTTCCCGCTGTAACCCATGCTCACTCAACAACTCCTCATACCGTGCCTCACACTCATCCGCCGTGACGTTCCATCCACTGAGCTCCGGGTGTGAGACGACTTGTAGGAGGGGGTGTTTGATCAGGGAGGCGGCGATTGTGGGGAACGATGCGTCGCCGTGTTTGTAGATTGTTTGGGCGAGGAGGAGGGAGGAGAGGGCTGTCCATTGAGCCATCTTGTATTGGGGGTGTAACGTAGACACGACGTCGTGCTTGCTTGTGCTGCGTTCCCTGCGCGCACCGGCCCGGTGACATCGTCGTCGCTGAATGTTGCGCACAAAACACAACACCATCATCCATCATCCCTACAATTACAAGGGTGCCAAGGAGAAGGGATGGACCTCTCAAGTCTCAGGAGAAAGGCTTCCGTGGCTCTCAACCTCGCTCTCAACCCCTCCTCATCACCCTCCCCACCTCCCACGGATCCTCTCCCAACCCGGGACGACATCTTCCGTACACAGTTCCGATTACCGGATTCAGAGCATTTACTCCATGATATCGCATGTGAATTCGCTTTACCGCATTCGAGTGTCGCGAATGGGTCGAATCAGTCACAGCTGCACTACACCGGTCGAATCATGTTAAGCGAAGCCTACCTCTGCTTCTGGACCAACGACCGGAGATCCGCGTCTTTCGTACTCCCGCTCTATACCATCCGCCGCGTTGAACGACTTCATTCCAAATCATACCTCTTCGCACTCTCAATCATCACTTGGCACGACTTGAAACTCAACTTATCCTTTATTGGATCGAGGGGGACGTGTGAGGCCTTTTGTGATGCGTTGAAACATAATTTGAGAGGACAGTTGAGTGAGATGAAGAGTTTGAAGCCGTTCTTGGGGACGGTTTGGAGTGAGTATATGATGACTACTGCAAAAGAGAAGGAGAAAGACAATAATGGGACTGAATCCGAGAAGGAGAAGAAAGGCCCGAGTACCGGATTGGGTGCGATATATGGGTATCCAGGCGATGCCAGAAAACTGAGAGATAAGAGCAAGATGCGTCTGTGGGCGGAGTATCTCAGAGAAAACGGCCGCAACTTGACCCTCATCCGCTTTCCCACCTTCTCCAAACTCATCCGCGTCGGACTCCCCAACAAACTCCGCGGCGAAATTTGGGAACTGTGTTCAGGCTCCATGTACTCCCGCTGGTCCCACACGGGTTTCTACCAGAAAATTCTTGTTGACAACGAAGGGCGGACGAGTTTGTCATTGGAGGAGATCGAGAAGGATTTGAATCGGAGTTTACCGGAGTATGCGGGGTATCAGAACGATGAGGGGATTGCTGCGCTTAGGAGAGTGTTAAGTGCGTATTCGTGGAGGAATCCGGAACTGGGGTATTGTCAGGCGATGAATATCGTCGTGGCGGCACTCCTGATCTACATGTCCGAAGAACAAGCATTCTGGCTTCTCGACCTCCTCTGCGATAAATTCCTGCCGGGGTATTACTCGACGACGATGTATGGTACCTTGCTGGATCAGCGCGTGTTTGAGTCGTTGGTGGAGAAGACGATGCCGGTGTTGTGGAGTCATTTCACGAGTACGGATATTCAGTTGAGTGTGGTGTCATTGCCGTGGTTCTTGAGTTTGTATATCAACTCTATGCCGCTGGTCCTGGCGTACCGCGTGCTTGATTGTTTCTTTTTGGAGGGACCGAGGGTGTTGTTTCAGGTCGGTCTTGCGATATTGAGGATTAACGGGGAAGAGCTGTTGGATGTTACGGATGATGGCTCTTTCATTTCGGTGTTGAAGAGCTACTTTTCGAGGTTGGAGGAGAGTGCGCATCCAAATTCGAGCAATCCGAAGTTGAGACAGGTTACGCGGTTTCAGGAGTTGATGGTCGTGGCGTTTAAGGAGTTTTCGGGGATTACGCACGAGACTGTCGTTTCCGAACGCCGAAAGTACAAGAACTCGGTCCTGAACTCGATCGAGTCCTTCGCAAAACGTACTCAGCTGCGGAACCTCCACAACACGGGGCGTTTGACGCCGACGGATATCTCGAATATCTATGATCGGTTCCACACGGCGATTTTTACGCGGAGAGTAGGGTTGGGAAGTACGACGGAGTCGAGGATGGATTATGAGGCGTTTAGGGTGTATTTGAGTGGGATTGCGTCTTGGGCACGGGATGACTCGTTGGAGGATTTGCCGACGGGAGAGAAGAGGTTGGTGATGACTGCGACGCCGGCGGATCACCCATTCCTGCAAAAGATCTTTGCGAGGTGGGATACGACATTGTGTTCGGCGTTGTCGTTGCAGGATGTTGTATCGGGGTCTGCGCAGCTCGCATTGGTGGATTTGATGCATTTGATACAGTGGTGGTTCGAATTGTTTGACGATGATGGTGATGGAAAGGTTGGGCGGGAGGGGATCTTGGGGATTGGCGAGGCGATGTTGTGGGTTACGAGGAATGACGTGGAGAGGGATGAGGGGTTCTTGAACGCCGTGAGTGGATTCTTGAAGAGGACATTTGAGTATGCGGAGAAGGAGCCTACGCCGGCATCGACGCCGCAAGAATCGACCTTGATTGATTTTCTGGATGATTCCGATGCGGAACCAGAAGAGGACGAGAAGGACACCAAGACGAAAGAGGCACCGGCGAATGCTGACCAAGCACTTGGAGAGTTGTCGATCACACTGCCGACGTTGAGGATGGTCATCCTCGCGGACGAATACCTAGAGAACTTCTTTGACCACAAGTTCGCGGAGACGATCACCTTCGCACCACAAGACACCTCCGCCTCAAGCGGAAAGACTCAGCAGCGTCTCCGGGGTATGCTCGATACGCTCGTCACGGACGGTATGCGCGTCGCTACCGAAGTTCGTCGCAAGATGGAGGAAAGTCAGCGTGAAGCGCTCAAACAGCAGGCTGCGCAACGTGCTGCGGCGGGTGCGGGACAGAAAGCGAAAGAGAGGGAAGAGAGTTTGGAGGAGGAAGAGGCGGAGGAGGGGGTGCAGGAGGGTGATCGGGATTTGTTGAGTACGGGTGATTTCATGGATTCGCAAGGGGCTAGTGGGGGGAGGAGTCGGGTGGGGAGTATAGCTGGCCCCACAGGCGTCAGTATTCATTGAGAGTGGGATATGGGCATCTTGGGGTTTTTGGCTTTTGTATTTTTTGGCGTATTCATTTACCGGGTACCATGTACCATGTGTGTTTCAATCCAACTGCAACTGAACGTGAAATGACAAGTTTAAACTGTATGATTAGACAAGGGCAACAACAATATGAAATAATGCAAACAAAAAGACCAGCTCCTATCGTTTTCTCCACCTCATATCGCCGCTCTCCGTCTAGTCATCGTAACCGGTCAAAGTCGTATCCCGTGCTCTCTTCGGCACTGTAGGTTTCGTTAGCATACCGAATTCGGTGAAGCGCCTGGCCAACGCACGAGGGTATCCCATAGGAAGGGGAATATGATCTGGGTATCCCAATTTTCTCCTGATTGGTGGGACGGTGTAAGCGATGACGGGACCGGCGAGACCCATGAGCATAGAGTAGAAAACGGCGGGGTGCTCAACGGCAGCCCAGTGCTGTAAAGGAAACACACGTTAGCAGGCGGTTTCTCGTTACATGGCCTTCCGAGCGCAATCCCGGATAATCCATCGAGAGCTGCGCGGACGTCACCGAGGCATGTGCGATCAGCGCAGCTCCAACGCATTCAATCTGGTGATTGCTGGACGGTCGTTGGAAGGCGAGGAGGGTGAACATACGCAGTACTTGACAGGGTTTGCCCAGAATCGTGAAGGAGCCATTTCGAATGGTTGTCAGTTATCGACCGTCGTTTCGCTGCGTATGCGGGGGTTCAGCTGTTGCATGGCATTAATTGTTCAGGCACGCGTGAATTAATCTATAATCTAATTCCAAATATTCTACGGATCAATGGCATTTCTGGAAGCCAGTGATGATACATTCACACCCTCCTTCTGCTTCTTCGTCTTTACAGCATTTTTCTAGGTTCCTCATTTGGCTGACAAGGAAGTCCACGACGCTTTCCATGCCTTTTTCTTGGATGAGGGCGGGTTCTCCGCGGTATCTTTGGAGGGCTCGGATGAATAGGGTCGTCAGAGCTGTTGATTGGTCGTCTCCTGATTCTTGGATTGTTTCGTATACTGGTGATTTCTTGCATACGGTCCGTAGGCGTCTCCATTCCTCTGCGTAGGCGATTGCGTCCTGGCCTTGTTGCACGGCTCGTTCACTAACGGGGATGACACCGGATGATTTGACGTAATACAGCAGATCGTGTACGTCTGAGGTCTTTGGCATGTGTCGCACAAACCGTGACCAGGTACTCTTGTTGAAGTTCAGGGTCACCAGCGCTCCGCTCGAAGCCTCCTTCAGCGAGTTAGGTGAGAGGATAGAGTATCCCCTACTGACACCACTGACCGGGTCAACCTCAGCAAGCGCCTTCCATAGCAGCTCCACTGACACCCAGTAACATGGGTACTTGAACCGTGCGACGTCCAGTACGAGGACCATGTCATCTTTCCGGGAGTAACCACCTATTGGCGAGAAATGGCCCGTGCCAGTTTGTGAGAGTGCCTTCCTCGAATACGAGATAGCCATATGCACCGATGGCGTCGTCGACGCCAACTCAATATCCCTCCTAAACTGCTCCAAACTCGTCGAAGTAGCATAATGCGTCCTCTCATGCAACGAATTACACTTCGCCAAACACGCAAACTCAGCAAGCGTAATCCCACTCTCCTTGATATCGGCCAGCGGCCGACAACAATCCAACATCTCTTGTTCGTACCACCGCCAGGGTCCTTTCCATTGTCGGCCGGGGTCGACGTTGAGGGCGTTTAGGATCATGCAGAGGGTTCCGATGCCGCAGTATGCTGGTTCGTTTTGGGTGAGGAATTGTTGGGCAAGGGGGAAGTAAGATTCCATGGTGCCCTCGACGAGGGCTTTGGCGAAGAACTTTTTCCCGTCGGGTGAGTCAAAGGGGATGCAGGAGGCGGGAAGGGAGCGTTTGTAGAAGGAGGATGAGGGTGGTGCTGGTGCGGGCATCTTGTGTGGGGTCAAGACAAGAGCGGCGGCAGAGATAGCGGGAGAGGAATGTAGGTTTCTGCGTGCGTTACAAACTTAGTCAGTAAGTGCCATTCCATATGGCATCCTAGATCACCTACCTGGCCCGAGGAAGTGCTGTCAACGATGTAGAGGACGGTCGAAGCAGGCGACTCAACCCAGAAGGGTGAATGGAAGCAAGACGACGAACGACTGTATTCGATGCCAAACCGGCCTTCTGTCCCAAGAACCTTAGAGGATGTCGATTTCTGGAGTAGTGTTTTGTCTTCGGGGGCGAATTCGAATTCGAATAAAGTTCGGATGACGGCGGGTACCTTCGTATTGCGCAACCCTGCATCCTACGAGACTCACCGCCAAGGAAAGATATGGAGAGATGACTTGTTTGAATATGTATTTTTAGCAATATGCTATATGCTTCTTGCACGCTCTCTTACCCTTGCAATTGATGACAATCGCATGCCTCCTTTAACCTTTCATATATCATACACCAACCATCCTACGCACTCATACTCTCCTTGGGCTCCTTAGGAGCGCTAGTATCCACGATCCTAAAAGTACCTTTCCGAACACCTTCATACGCCTTCCTCTGCACAATACCCTCTACCCTCATCCTCTCAATCCGCTCCATCTCATCAGCCTTCGCAAGTGCTTCCTGCTCCAGCTCATTCATGGTCTTGATCTTCATGACCTCCGCAGCGTCCTCGGAGGTAATAGAACGAGATTCAGGGACCATCGTCATACGAGCGTAGCCTGCTTTGGTGGGAGACATGATAGTGACGGCGTCTTCGGGCTCGGTGGTGTTGGTGAGGTGAGGGAGGTAACGGTGGACTTCCCTTTCGAAAGTGAAGAGGGTATGCTGGTTCTGTGTAGATCATTAGCTTCTATTTGCTAGATAACTTTGATGATGCTCCGTGTCTGGCATGATTGACGGTGTACGATCAATCCAGGAGAAGTGCTTGTTCGCTCAGGAAACAGGTATAATTTGGAACCATGTGGTATGTCTTAAAGACTAATCGTATGTTTGAGCATCATGCGAGACAAGCACATCTCCCGTATTGGATTGATTTGTCGTAAACCATCGCACAGCCGTTATCACGAGCAAATCGGAGGAGCAGAACATACCGAGTCAATCATCTTGCGCTCAAAGTCAACCAACCTCACAACAGCCTTCACTCTCTCCAAGGAAAGACTTCTTTGCTGAGAAAGCTCAAGAATGGACTTCCCGTTCTGCCACGCCTCGTAAATCGAGTCCTTCTCTGCACGAGAGAGGACAGGTCTGGGCCTGAAGGTAGGGTTCGAAGGGAAAGGCACCCTGGCCTGGTTGATGTATGTTGGACCGGAAGGATACTTCAACGCTAAACCCTTCGTCTCCTCCCATCTGAAGAAAGCAGCTCTCAGCCTGTTTTTGACCGGCCCTCTGGGCTTCGCCTGGGTGGCCTCCTTTTCGACTGCGGTATCTTCAGCTGAGGTTTCGGCTTCTTCGGCGAAAGCTGGCCGCGATGAAGTGAATGTCCGTGATGGTGCAGCAAAGAAAATTGACTTGTTCTTGCACACAGAGGCGGTTATTCTTCGAGGAAGCATTGTCGCTATATCGGGGTTATGGAGGTCGGAAGAAACAGGAAGAACGCCGGAAAAAGAGATGAACGCCGAAGGACGAGAGCTGATCAATCGATGTAAATGAGCACGGGAGGCTCTGATCAGCTATGCGGATAAAGAAAGGGCGATTGTTGGAGTTTCTCCTTCTCCATCTGCCAGCGATTTCGCACTGGTGCCCAGAAATTTAGGACAGTCACGTGCAGGGACTGCCTGGGAGCGCTTCAAGTAAACAGAAGGAGCACGCAACGATTACGACAACCAGCGACTTGATCCGTGAATGATTCACGCTGTTAAAGTGTTTTAAGGTTGAGCGTGAAGCTGGACTTCCATTGGAATCAACGTATACCGCTGGACTGGCCGTAAAGGCACTTGTTGTGAGTGACCTCATCCACACGGGAGCCGTCCGCTTGCTGACTTCCATTGTAGATCGACCAGTTTTATACCTTTTATTTATTCGGTAGCCCTCCATGTTAGCCGGCAGACATCCAGCGTTGTCAATCCTCCTGCCAACAGCGGTGCCGCAAGCACCTCCACCGACAATCAGGGAGGATGACGACCCGGACATGGTCTTTGGGGAGTTACATGACGTACCACGGCCTACGACCTCGGCTGAGCCTAATCAGCAAACGCAGAGATTGAGGATGATGTTTTCGTGCCCGGATTTCAGTGCTGGGACGACGAGGGGTCTTGGTGGGAGTAGGATTTTCATGCCCGAGGTGATTAAGGAGGAGCCGGAGGATGCGCCTACGGATGTATCGTCAGAGAATGAGGAATCGGATCATGAGAGGGATAACCATGAGGAAAGGACGGACAATGATGACACAGAAGAGGCAGCTCCGAGTTGGTCCCACACGGTCACCACCCAGTCTGGTTCCGAGGGCGCCGTGATTGGTTCCATCCCCATTACAACATCAGCATCGAGAAGTAGGAGGGGAAGCCTGAGCGAAATGTCGTTTCAAGGAAGGAGGACATCGTTGTTGAGCGAGTCGTTGAGGGTGGAGAATGTGTTGCAGGAAAGCAAGGAGCCGGTTCATACACCACTGACGAGACCCACAACGGCTCGGCCTACTACGCCTACACCTTTACCCAAGGAAGACAAAACGAAGAAGAGTGGTGAGACGGCCGTTTCGTCTTCGTTGTCATCCAGCAAGTCTCCAAACCCATCCCTCGCAGCACGTCCTTCTCCAATCCTGCGCCGTCGTTCATCCGTCATCAACGGAAAACTCCATTTCAACCCCTCGGCACCCTCTGTCGCAGCCCCCGCTACTTCCACTGGCACCTCCTTCACCGACGGCGCGGCCCCCATCATGACTAACATGCGTTCAAGACGCAACTCATCTGTCGACGGCAAACTCTACCTGCACGATACCCTAGAGCGAATCGAAGGAAGACCTAAATTCAAGAACGAGGAAAGGGAAACACGCGAGTTCCGCGCCGCAGCGGCAGTTGCGGAGCCGGAGTTGGTTGTCGGGAAACCTGTGAAGGCACAGCTGGGAAGGAGATCAAGTACGAGTGCATTGCGCGACTTGGTTCGGACGGAGCCGCAGAGGCCCAAGCGGGGAGAAGTGGCGACTTTGGAACGTCGGATGCCGGAGAATGTGAGAGCATTGGGATCTGGTGGGATTCGGCAGCCAAGTGTGAGCGTCGCGCAGGCTGAGGTGAAGGCGGACTTCGCTGTTGGAAACGAAGAGGGTGAGGCGGGTCCAAGTAAGGGACGGAGGTTGGGGAGGAAGTCAAGCGCGGCGAGTTTGCGGGAGTTGGTTGCGCTGAAGAGAGGTGGAATTGTGGTGGAGTCTTCGAAGCCACCGACGGTTGCGGATGTCGAGCGTCTCGATATCCCGGCAGACACTGGAGACAGGAGAGCTTCTGCAGCGTTTCGTCGCGAACCGGAATTCACGCTCACGGTTCCTAAAGTCCGTCGGAGGCCGTTGAGAAGGTGGCGCTCGAACTTGTCTGTTTTGCTGGAAAATGACTGGGAAGTTGAAACTGAGCGATATGGCTGTTCGCCCGACGAGGTCAAGGCAAAGCCTCCGAAGAAGGAGGGAGACGTAACAACAACGCCGGTGAGGTTGTGGAGTTTTCCGGAGATCATTGAGCCGCCGCAAACTCCGGAAGAACTGAGGAGCCCCAACCCGACACTTGAAATCATCATGCCTCCTGGCGAGGATGATGACACCGAAGTTCAACCTTTCCGCATTCCATCAACCCACTCCTCCTCATCCAGCCTGAGACCGAAATGCACTAGATGCAATCAAACCTTCCACGGCCTCCGTAAACCCTTCACTTGCGTTGGCTGCTCTAACGATGTTTGCCGAGCATGCTCCTCCCGCGCTCACGCCTCTCGCGAGAAGTATCGATTGAGGGTGTGCAGTACCTGTTCACCCGATGGTATTGCGCAAAAGTTGAAAGCGCACGCAAAGGGCAATGCGCATCGGCGGAATGAGAGTTGGGCGCCAGCGAGGGTGGAGAGAAAGGGGACGAAGGAGAGGGCGAAGAAGGGGTGGGGCGTCAAGATTGTGGAGGCGATGCTTGGGAACGGGAATGGGTGGATGAGTGTGCTTGGGAGTGCAAGGGGGGAGGAGGCGGTTAGGGAGGTTGGGCAAAAAGTGAGGTTGGTCAATGCAGGAGCTTTGACGATGTGAGGAGGTGATCTGCGGAACAGAGGTTACAACGCTGGACGACTTTTTGGATTGAGATATCAAGTGAGCATTGCATAGGTTTTGGGTTTCTTTGCGTTATGGGGTGTTATTTGTCTGTCCTTACTACTGGCGTTTTTGTATTGCTAATGGGATATCTATTACTCGAAACTTTACGGTCGCGCGGTTCCAGCTGTGATGTCGGCATGTTTGTAGTTTGGTGTTAGTAAAGCATAAGTGATCGCCATCACTTGCAAGACCCTCGTCAAATTGACCATGCCAAAATCCAAGGACATGACCGTACAGAACAAGGGTCGTCAGATTTATTGGATTAGGATAGCACCTCTCGCCCAAACACCAAGCCGTACATGGAAGACCATATGCGCAATTCACCGACGGAGATTTTCGCAAATCCTCTCAAGACCCTTGGAGAAAAAGCCTTGGAGGACTTGCAAAGCGATCCATTCTGCCCTGAAGACATCTCCGCTTCCGACCATGCCCTTGACATTGGGTGCCAGATCATCCGCGGTTCGACAAAATCCTCGATGTGTCGACTGCGCTCCGCTGAAGACTTCGAGCAATTGAAGGAGACCGTTGCAGACCTTCAACAGCATGGGGTAGGTAAAGGGAAGAAGTGTGCTGTTCATATTACGCTCAAGACTGATTTCAGACCTGCCGACGGTATCGGCGGTGAATCCGACAGTGAACTACCCAATGCTGCTAGGACGAATAAGGGTGGACGCAATGATAAAGGTGAAAAGAAGTACGGCAACAACCCTACGAAGCGTATGCTAAAGGATATTAAGAAGGCAAACGAGAACAATCCATTCAAACAGTCGGTTTTGCGAAATGTCGAAACCCTTTGAGATCAGTGGGTCTGCACCGAGCATGAAGGTGGCCTGTGCTACATCAATCCCTTCACCCGCGCTCATCAACGGCTCAATTCTCACCATATTTACCTACTGGGCAGAGGCCATGACCATACCAAATGCGGACGTCGGCTTGACAAATCCACCAACTACCCCAGCCTTCGTTAAGTTCAACAAGTCTACACTATCACAATCAGACTTCTACGGGACACCCTGCGCTGCTTCTCTTCCGACACCAGCAACCTCCATGGCGCACCTAACTGCCGGAGGTGCTTCGACCAGATATTTTCCCACGCCTAATGAACCTCCCTCGAGCCCATTGAAAGCCGCAGACGCCAATGTATCTGCCCGGTTTCATGAACTTTGTCAACAGGCTTACACCCACTTATGCTGGTTTTGAACCCTTGGTTGTTGAAGAGGCGCTGAAGTACAATGGTATGGTGTTGGATGATACACCGAATCTGCCACCAGGGCAAGAGATTCCAGGAGTGAAGCTGGGCCATCTCATGGCAATGAAACGTCACTGGCCAGCATTCAAGCACAGTAAGAAGGCCTGCCGTAAGTTGGCGGATGAGTTATTTCGCATGGATTAGGAGGTCTTCAAGCCCGCTGTCTCAGAGACCTTCCACCACCTCAAGGATGATGGAGAGCTGTACAAGAGATATAGATAATGCTCGCGGCGATTGACTTTGAGGCAGGGTCTCGTATTTTTGTAATCCGCAAAAATTGACGAGTGAGGACAAATCCACTAGTAGCAGATATTTTTTGATGGGACGGCCGCTGCCTTGTAGATTGGAATGTTGCCTTCCAGTAGAACTAGTTTTTGTACCAATCCGACGTTTTTTGCTGTTGTAATAAGGTTCTTGGTGGATCATTCATGGTCCTCAAGTTTTCTGACGTCCAGAACTGCGCTTGTGCCTGGTTCATCCAGGAGTCTCCAATTAGATAGTGAATGCCGAAAATTGTATAGGAAACACGCACAAAAACGAGCATGAACTATCGTGAGAAAGCAGCTGCGTAAAGGTCTATGAAGTGTATGTTTGGCTAGATGTACTATGCTATGTGATAGCGAGCCGACCTGGAGTCTCGTCATACGTTTCATTTACGCTAATATTACCCCATGTACTCGCCTCAGCTGGAGTCAAGCTGTACCCGCATTTATGCATCAAGTTGCAACACTTTTCAGGGTAGGCATTGATTGACAAGTCCAACCCTTCACTCAAGAAGTATTCCGGCTGCTCCATAGTCCACCGGTGCTCACGGTTGCGGTTGATCCAAGCCTTGCGCATCGGAAATGCAATTTCTATGGGGTTGAGATCTGGCAAATACGGTGGTAGGTACTCGATTCGACATCCATGATCGATGATCAGCTCCCGCACCCCAGGATCCTGATGAGTGCCACAGTTCACAGTTATCCATGACAACCACACTATGCTTTGCTGGGAAGGGTTTCAGTACATTCAGCAGCTTATCGGCCACAAAATCCACGAACCTGTTCGTATCAAAGCTCCCTTGGTAGACCGAATGGCAGATCATCCCTTCTTAGGAAATTGCAAGCAGTAATGACCATCTCAGACCTCTTGAAGGCCTCAATCTTCACACGCGGGTGAACCATGCGGAGCATACCCAAACTTGCAGTAAGCAGACCTATTGTCGACGGCCGTTTCGTCAAGGAAAACGAGTTGATCCATGGTGTTAGATGTTGTGCGCAGTGAGCCGCTCATGCAATTGCATACCCGTGACTGACTCAAGGTGGGCACCATTGTTCTGATATTTATCATCGGGTTATATATTTTTATGGGGTTTCCACGACATTGCCTTCGCCTTCGTGGCTCAGCTGGTTAGAGCGCCCTGCTCATATCTGCTAACAAGCGGGTACGGGGAGATCGCGAGTTCGATCCTCGCCGAGGGCACGCTTTTTGTAGTGTACTTTCTTTTGCTTTGCTCGGCTATGTACTGTACCCACTCATCGATCGGTATGCGAAGAAAACAGCGAAGATCTCGAGTTTTATGTTTCAGACGCGTCGGCATTCCTTCCTCCTTCCAGATCTACCTACCCCAGCTGAGCTACGCGTACAAGCATGGCGCGTACATCGGCAAAAGTTGCCCAAAACCTCCCCAGAGCAACTTGAGCCCCTGAAGCATTCACTCCCAAACGACTCCACCAAGAGAGTCAGTCAGCGTTCAGTCGTTGAAGAAGAGCATACATTCTCTACAGCATGGCGAAAATGCTCAATTCTCTTCTCTCCCTTGCCGCTCTCCTGACCACGGCTTTTGCAGTCAACCCCATCGAGATCGTCAACAACAAGTTCTACGACTCAGTCACTCACAAACAGTTCTACATTATCGGCGTAGACTACCAACCAGGCGGCTCGTCCGGCGTAGGCACAGGTTCTGATCCCTTGTCTGACCCAACACAATGTCTCCGCGATTTTGCGCTCTTGCAGAAGTTGGGGGTGAACACCATCAGAGTTTACTCTGTCGATAACACCTTGGACCATGATTACTGCATGTCTCTGCTCGATACAGCGGGGATGTATCTGTTGTTGGATGTCAACACTCCCCTCTCATCTCAGTCACTGAACCGATACGAACCTAACACGACGTGGACTGCCGACTATTACTCCCATATCTACTCCACCATCGACGCATTCAAAGCATACGAGAACGTCCTCGGATTCTTCTCCGGAAATGAGGTGGTCAACGACGCTGCGTCCCTTGCCGCCTGTCCCGGATACCTGAGAGCCTTGCAGAGAGATATGAAGGCGTACATCAAGAAGACCGCAAACCGTATCATTCCGGTTGGGTATTCGACCGCGGATGATGCAACGATCCGGAGCGAGCTGGGGAGTTACTTGACGTGTGGGGATGATGCTTCCGCTGCTGATTTCTATGGGATTAATACGTACGAGTGGTGTGGAGATTCGAGTTTCACTTCGTCTGGGTACTCGACCCTTACATCCGCTTTCGCGAACTTCTCCGTTCCAATCTTTTTCTCGGAGTATGGGTGTAACACCGTTTCGCCTCGTACATTCACTGAAGTTACGGCGTTGTATGGTGATCAGATGAACGAGGTGTTCAGTGGAGGGTTGATTTACGAGTACAACGAGGAAGACAACAATTACGGTTTGGTCAACACAGGTGGAGACTCCGCACAGTTGTTGCAGGATTACGTCAACCTCCAATCTGCCTACACCAACCTCTCCATCCCCAACATCACCCTCTCCTCCACCACCGCAACAACAACTCTCCCCTCCTGCTCCGGCCTCAACCTCGATAACTGGACCATCCCCGCAGCGCCATCTGGTGCTCCCACGGCCGGCGCAGGGAACTACGGAACGTTGATCGAGTTGACGGCGGAGGAGTTGGTGGTGAATTCTACGGTGACGGATGTGAGTGGGAATGTGATTAGTGGGTTGAGTGTTACGGCTGTTGGGAGGGCTGTTAGTGGGAGTGTGAGTGGGACGAAGAGTGCTAGTGCCTCTGCGACGGGGGGTGAGGGGAAGAGTGGGAATGGTACTACGACGGTGAGTGAGGCGGTTGGGATGGGCGTGGGTGTGGGTATGGGAATGGCGGTATTGGCGGCGGTGGGTGCTGTTGTCGTCGTTTTGTAGGCAGTTATATGAGATGTAGAGGGTATATCATTGGAGACTGGAGACTGGAGACTGGATGATCGGGCGTTTGATTACACATAATACTTTGACATAATACTATCACGCTTCACTATCGTACACCCCGCACTTCCTCAATACCTACGAAAGGTATTGCTTCGTGGGATACCCACGCACAATCGGCTTCCCACTCGAATCAAACACCCTATTCTCTAATCTCGCCAACTTACTTGTATCGAGAACCGCGGGGAGGGCATCCTTCACCGCATCGTATGCCGCAACGAAGAGTGCGGCTCCTAAAAGACCGACGCGGATATGGTTCACCTTGGCGATGGCGCCGAGGTGTTTATTCGCGTCGGAGGTAGTAATCGTCTCACCATGTCCACCCTCCACAACCCTCTTCACCGCTTCCAATTTCGGATGAAGGAGAACGGCGCCCACACCCGCCGCTCCCACGATACATCCCAACGCAACCCCATCGGAGATTTTGCGGGTACGGTAGGTTAGGACGGTGAATGCTGCTGTCGTGATGCCTGCGAGGAGGGGCATGATGGAGTTTGCGTGGGAAGCGATGGTGGAGAAGAGGGTGAGGTTGTTGTGGCCATTGGGTTGATGGCCGGGATGAGAAGTGGTTAGAGAGGGGATGAGGACGGAGGAGGTTAGGGTTGTGGAGCTGTACGCTTGGTGTTAGGTGGGTTGATGCGGGGAGGGAAGGGGAGGAGGGAGGGGCACCCGAAGAGAGCGGCGGTTCCGAAGAGGGCTGTTACGCGGAGGATGGTGTCGAGGTTTTGGAATTGGGCAAGATAGGACGTTAGGGTCGACATGTCTGGCGAATGGAGTGGTGGTGGTGGTGGTGGTCGTAGGGTGCGGTGCGAGGGAGTTGAGGCGACGGTGTCCCAATGCACAGCACGTAATGGTCATACGAGTCTCGTGTCGACATCCTATCGTACAGTCACTATTCCTATGGTATATATCGTACAATCAACAACTTCCATCTTTAATGAGCCGGCCTTGCAGTGGGATAGCCCACGATATTCGAAGACTGCTGCCTGTCAAACGGTCTCTCTCCGATGATCCTTCCGGATCCCTTCGCCGCGGACGAGCGTAACCCCGTAATAACCCCATCCCTCACAACATCGTAAATCCCAATGAAGCACGCAAGACCAAAGCATACGGTCTTAACGACGTCCAGGGCAGCGACGATCTTGATCTTCTCATCCGCCTCCTTGCCAGAGTCATTTGATTCGCCCTTCGTAGAGATCTTATGCAACTCCTTCCGAGGTCCGGCAGACATGAACACCTGCGCCCCCAACCCCCCAATCACAGCCGTGAATCCAACCAAATCCGACACCCTACGATTACGATAGTACAACACCCCCAGTGCCGTCGAGGTTACACCGACGAGGGCCAAAACGGCACGGTTGGCGTAGATGACAATTTGGTTTGCGATGTGGGATTTTTTGTTGGGGGGGAGTTGGGAGGAGAGCAGGGAGGGCATGACGGCGTAGGAGGCCCAGAACGAGGAGCTGTGAGAAGCGCCTTAGTTATGACCCATACATAGAGGGTTTCATGAGAGAGAAAGGACTAACCCGAAGAGGCCTGCGGTGCCCATCAGGGCTCCTACGCGGAGGATTGCATCCGGGTTTTGGAAGGACGAAAGGTAGGCTGTGAATGAGGACATGATTGGATTGTTCAACTGATGGCGGGTGAGTTGAATTCGGTGTTGGTTGGTCGTGCGCTCATCATGCAGCAGCTGAGACCGGTACGGCGGGGACAACTGCAACGTAAAATCGGGAGAACTTGGTGGGCCATGGGTATCATATTGTCGAGTAATTATGGGAAAATCCGATCTCTTTATACTTGCACTTGTAATTGAGTGAGCATCCTCAGAGATTGGGTACTCGGGCTGTTCTTGAGTATCTCATCTCATAGCTGTTCTCCATCGAGGACTAAAGACGATATAGCAAAGCAACTGACCAACTGACCTAACGACTAAATATCACCGCTAAACCAAGGAAAACCAACCTGATCGCGTTCGCCCTCCTGAAGACCTTAATCCTCTCATTGATCGCCTTCCCATCATCATTCCCCTCACCCTTCTTGACAAACTCATTAACCACCGAATCTCCCTTCGGAGAAGGTCCGAACCAAAATTGAATGGGCAAGGTTGCCAACAAAGCTGTGAAGGCAGCGATGTCAATGGGCAAACCCGATCGGTAGGCTTTGGCGCCGAGGCAGGCGAGGGTGAAGAAGTAGGTAGGGCGGATGTACTTGCTGGCGTTGATGAACATGCGGGTTGTGAATTCGGCCTTTTTGTAGTTGGAGTAGGGTACCGCGAGCATACTGGGCATGATGACCATGAGCACTTGCAAGGTGCTCCTGCAGAGGAATGATCAGGTTAGTATACGGTTGCCAAATCGTGAGAGATAAAGGGCCGGGCCTACCCAAACAGTGCAGCGGTGCCAACGTGAGCACCGTAGCCAAGCAGACCATCGATGTTCGCAAGATCCATTTCGTTTGTAGTTTGTGACAGAGTACAGAGTTACGAGGGTTCCACAACCATATAGAGGAATCTGGGTTTGCTTGGCAACAAGGATCACGGGGATGCCTCGAGTGGAGCTGAGCGCACAATCGTCACGATGGGCCGAGGTTCAAAATCGTCTACGCCTCGGCGAATTGGCAAGAGTTATGTATCACGCGACGACGGGTAGGCAATTTTGCCGACGAACCGTCACAGGTTCGAGAAATTGTGGATCGACCGGACCGGCCCGTTGATGGTTTTTCACAGCCGGGCCTCAACCTTGAGTGCTCCCCGGTCAAGAGATACGCCGGTTAAAGAAGTAGGCCTTTATATCACAGATGATCATTTTGATTTTTACGCTCGGTCTACATGCATGTTCCATGGTCTTGCTGTTCAGAACGGTTCTCTAGATGCCCTCTGCCAACTCTGCCACGTCCGGATACCTCACCTCCGCATTCTCCTCCAACCAATTCATCCATCCCTTAAGGAACCCACCTCCCCTCGCCACCGTCTCCGAATCACCCACAACACACAACTGCCTCTTCGGCCTCGTCATACCCACGTTCAAGCGTCGTTTATCCTTCAGGAACCCGACGTCGCGCTCCTCGTTACTCCGTACAAGCGAAAGAATGATTGCTTCCTTCTCTCTTCCCTGGAAACCGTCCACGGAGCCGGTTTCGAGGGCTGGGTAGCGTTCTTTGAGAAGAGTTTGGAGGAGGGAGACTTGTGCGTTGTAGGGAGTGATGACGGCGATATCTTCAGGTCGTACCCCAGCTTCCACAAGTGCTTTAACGTGTCGTCCGACGATGATCGTTTCGTTCTCGTTACTCTTACTTTCCGCCAAGAGACCTCCTTTCCCTTTCACGTTTGGGTTGTCTGTGTCTTCAGCGTATTCGGGACAATCGTCTCCCTGCGTATCCCAGAATATGACAGGGACGGAGGTATCCTCCGTGTTCTCCACTTCAGGCAGGTCCTTCAGTAGCCTCTCTGCAACGCCTTCGCCAGCTATCAGTTTCCCTTCGTATAAAGCGTCAGACGGATACCGCATGATATCCTCATGCATGCGATATTGTACATTGAGCAACTTCTTTATCCCCTCCCCATGCAGCTTCAACAGGCGATCAAAAAGCGTTGTCTCCAATGCGCCAGCACTCGCCGCGTGTTTCGTCTTGATCGTGGGCGGTAATTGCAGGTGATCGCCAAACAGTAGCAATTTGCTCGGTTGATGCCGTAGGGAAAGCGGGATCCAGCACTGCGCTTCCAGTGATTGGGACACTTCATCAATGATGACCACATCGAACTTCTCGTGCGCAAGATGATACCCACCCGCACCGTGTAGTGTCGCCAAAACAACTCGACTTCCTCTCACCAACTCTTCCACACACTTCCGTTCTCGAACACGATATTCTTTCCGTAGCTCTTTCATTTCTCCGTATAATGCTCGGCGTTCGCGTCCATTGCGAGTCTTGCTCACCTTTTTCAGCGTTTCATCCATCTCCTTTCGAACTTCGCCTACGATGACGCCCTGGTCTCCCGTTCGTGTAAGGATGTCGAGGGAGTGGTTGAGAACACTCGGTAATAGCCTTGCTGGATGGCCTAATCGAACCATCGGGATGCGGTACGGGGAAAGTCGCTCGACGATGTTGTCGACGGAGATGTTGGAGGGTCCACAAACAAGCACTCGCAGGTCGCGTGCTACCAGCTGGCGGATACATTCGATGAGGGTATACGTCTTTCCTGTCTTTGAGAGAGTCAGTTAGAGCTTCGATAGTCCCTGACGGATGATTTCACCCCAGGCGGCCCATGGATCAAAGCGATATCTGGCGTGCTCAAAGCAAACCTGACGGCATCCTGTTGGCTCTCGTTCAATGTTTCATCCAGGAACTTCAAGTCTTTCACTGCACTCTTATCCTGTGGCCCGGGCTTACCGAGGCCCAACAGAACCCTTACCAACCCACTCTGCTCTGACTCCGACATCTTCTCGAGTCTTCGCATCGCATGGGTCATCCGCGAATACGTGACATCGTTTGCGAGCTTAACGACCCATAATTTCCCAGTGGGTGGCTCGTCATCTTCTTTGGATAGCGCAATCGTAAGTTTCGCTTCGGTGACACGAGTTACCACGCCCTCAATGCCGGCGGATTTGGCAGCAAGCTGAGTGGTTTTCCGTGCAGTGGCTGCCAGCTGCTCTCGGATTGACACGATATCGCCGGTACGGAGGCCATGGGCGGGGAGTTCAGGCGTTGTACTCATCGCTTCAAGGTCAACTAAGCTGTACACAAATCTCAGCATAAGACAAAAAGTCTTTTGCAACCTTACTATACCTCTTTCCACCAAAACCAGTCCGCGTTCCGCCAACTACCAGGTTCAACACAGCCAACCCTTTCTTTTGCAGAGCAGCAGGCTGACATGTCTCCAGCACCTCAGTCGTCTCCTCGACCTCAGCCTGTCTTTCCTTCTCAATCAGCCTCTGCTGCCCGCTCGCAAACACACTCAATTCGACCATGTCTTTTGTAGGTTGGGGTTGGTTCTATTTTTAGAATCGGCTGCAGAACGACCTCATTGTGCGTTTCTCACCTCGAACCTCGAGCTCTCCTTGACAAGAACAAACAATATCGCAATGAACAGATCGATCCGGAATACATTCGAAGGCATCGCGAGAAGAGGTTTTGCTACGAGCAATGTACTACAAAGGGTCTGGACGCCTGTCCGATCAAGGACGGAGTTTGAGGCGATACAGGCATTAACAACAGCCAACAACGTCCCACTGATTGCGAACTTTACTGCGTTGTAGGTTGCACAGCCCAATTACATCTGCGATATGACTGACAGAAGCGATCTAGCTGGTGCCCGACCTGCAAAGTCACTGGTCCGATCCTTGAAAAGGTCGTGGAAAAGATCAGCGAGCAAAGCAGGATTGATATGGTTAATGTCGAGGTGGACGCACCTGAAGCTGCCGAATTGATGGTGATGTACCAGGTTTGTGGTCTCTAAAAAGCTCTCGACTCAATAGCTCACGATAATCATCCAATAGGTCCGCACATTGCCGACGTTCGTCTCCTTTTACAGGGATAGAAAAGAAGACTCATTCGTGCCGGGTGGCCATGGATCGCAGTCAGAGCAACAGATACAGGATTGGGTTAGTATGACGGCAAGGCTTGGTAAGGGACAATAGACTTGACATGGGGTCTTGAACAGATCGGATGATGATTAGATAGTATAACTCCAATTCGCAGGCTGCTCGCCGCTATTCACATACACCACATATGACAATCCGCCCCATTCCAACATCAACATCTTCCTCCTCCCCAACCTCGTCGACGACAAACACCAGACTCCATCGTTCCCACGCACCCTTCTCCTGCCACATTTTGATGAGTGCTTCGTAGGCACCGCCTGTGAACCGTGGCCTCTGTAACGTGGCGGCTTCGTCGAGGAGGGTGGGAACAAGAGCAGGATTGTAACACAATGGTACTGGCTTGTTGCATGTTTTGCAGATATGCTGACGGCGTTGTTCAGAAGTAGGAGCCGTGTATATGCGTTCGCAGCTGTGCCAGTGTCAGCTAAACGTCTTGAAGTTCTTGCTTCAACTTGCACCATTCGCCTCGAAACACTTTCCCCTGTTCTTCCAATTCCTGGTACTCCATGCGTGGTATAATCACGTTAAGAAAGCCCATCAAGACATTTCCTGCTTCTTCCTTCTCACTCGCTTTGTCCAAGTCCTTTGTCTCAACATCCTCTCCTTCCTCTTGAGCTTCAACATTACGATGCACTTCCCTCAACGCCTCCTCGACCTGCGCCAGAGTATACAATACCTTTGCCCTACCCTTCCATTCAACCTCACCATCGACCCATGGAACCTTCACCTTCTTTCCTTCATCAGGAATCTCGACTTCACACTTCTTCACCAATCCGCCAAGGTTCTGAGCGAATGACTTCAACCAGCGTGCGCATTCAATGGGCGGGTCAACGTCAATGGCTGTGTCACCTCTCACCACGACCTGCTTCTTAGTACCATACGTACTCTTGTGAGCCCGGTCAATGACCAGCACGGTCGAATATGGCGTGAACTTGGTCGCGGATATGCACATTGCATCACCCCAGAAGACGAGATCACATGAGGCGGACTCATCAAATACCTCCACCGCAAGCGTCTGGATTTCTCGACCTTGCTTGGTGGTGATGGACCGGATAAATCCGAGCTTCTTGACAGCCGCCACGAGTTTGAGATCGCGCATATCGCCTTCGACTTCCTCCTCTCTCAACGACAAGAATTCCTTTAAACTCAGGATTCCACCACGGGTGATACTCTCACTCTTTCCATCGTCGTTCGTGTCCACGGAGACGATACCCGTTGTGCTACTGCCACTTCCCAAGGAAAGAAAAAGTGGTACAGTCGAAACCGTCTTCCGCTCCATCTTGTCCCCTTTCTGATTCTCTCGTTTCTTGCCATCGACGGCGGCAGTAAAGGTAGAATACACGCGGACTCGAGCTCCGAGATGGAGAAATGTCGGCGGAGGAGCGGTGGTGGGAAAGTATGCCTTTACCTCGATGACGTGATGACTCGGGTCTTTAACGCCCAGTAGGACGAGAAGTGTCGATTGTGATGGGAAGGCGGAGATGGAGACGACACGACCGGTGAGAACCTGTAGGATTACCACATCAGCGCCAGATAGATGGAATACGAGGGTAACAACCCCACCACATTATGCTTCCCCAGCTTCAAGTTCGGAATCAGCGTCTCCTTGTACTGCAATTCCCTGGGTGGCCTCCATTCATCGCCATGTCCGTTGAACCCCAAGTCCGACGCATTTGGAGTAGTTATAAAGCCATCCCCGGGATTGTATGCTGGCTGACTATGGTCAGGAGCATGGGATGGCTGATGGGACCGGTCCGAGTTGGGAGGTGTGCCATAGAAGGAGCCAACGCTGGGAAAGGAGATGGTGGACTGCCACATTAGCAATGATAGAGAAGCAATCGAGAAACAGAAGAAGAGATAGCAATTCAAAGTTGCTGAACGGAAGGATTGCTGTATAGCTGCGATGTTGGTGTAGAGATTGCGGCCCGCAGTGACTGACGGTTTGCGCGTTCACGTAGGATCAAACAGAGGGCCGGTGCGAAAGCTGAGGAGTAGTGAACTGAAAGTGCACGAATATATACAAATAGCACTACAATATCTCTCACCTAGCGAGCGAAGCAACCAGCAACGTCTAACCTTGGCCAGACGTGTCCTCCGAAGCAATCCCAGCGAGCCTATGATCAACGTCGACGAACGACATCATTATCATGATCAAGAGGCAAACTCAGTCAACTGATGATTCCCGCTCTTCAAAGCGAAATTTCATCGACCAGCATTCCGGGTCTTGGCGTTACTTCAAGACCTCTGCTTCATCAAAGCCCTCACCCAAGATCTGACGTCCACATTATCAGATTTATCGGCAAAGACACACCAGAGACGCCTAGAACTCTGTCACACCCGCCTGACTCCTGAATGCCGTCGTCGCCTCACTCCTCACACTCCTACCGTCATCATCCATGTTTCCACCAGCGGTAGAGTAGGCAACAACACTGTATGCGTCATTCTCACCCAAGCCCATCTGACTCTTATAGTCGGTGATCATAGTTGGCGCTTCGGAAGTGACACTGTTCCTCCTTCCAGGGATGGACTGGAGGTTAGCACCATTCAATCTGTCGGACTGGTTGAACGAAGTCTTCTGCTGGGGAGGCAATGCGGGCCAGCTGTCCAACGCGCTCGAGAACACGGGGCCAGCAGTGAACATAGGTGGGTACGCAGATCCATTGCCAGTCGGAACGCTGTTCGTAGCAGCCGAGTACACCGAACTGACATCGTCAGGAATATACCCACCCATCATGCTAGCCGTCTCACTAAAAGCATCAGCACTCGGCCCAGCCCTCTTCGCATTCGGGGATCCAGGCGCAAGCGGACGGGACATGGTCATCGTATGCCTCTCCGGACCCTTGAAATTCATCTTTGGCTTCGAGAACTGAATCATCGAGATCTGCAAGTTAGACAAGGGTCCCTCGACGAGACACTCGTTCTCCTTGTAATGCATCAAGAGCTGGTACCAAAGGGGGTGCTTAGCAAGGACCTTGGGGTTACCGAGGATAACGACACCGTATTTAGCACGGGTAAGCGCGACGTTAAGACGACGTGGGTCGTTCAAGAAACCGATTCCCTGGTGATCGTTGGAACGGACACAGGAGAGGATGATGTAATCCTTCTCACGACCCTGGAAAGCATCGACGGATGCCACCTCAATCTCCTTATACAAATCCTTCCTCAAAGATCCGTTAACCTGCATAGAGCTCACGATGTAACTCCTCTGACCTTCATAAGGCGTGATGATACCAATCTGACTCGGCACAACACCAGCCTTGAACAACTTCGTCACGACCTTCTCACAGTTACTCGCTTCCGTCCTATTCAGATACGAAGTACCAGACGCAGAAATCTCTTCCTGTCCAAGGTTCGAATGGAACATCATCGGCGTCTCCATCACAGGCCAAGGGAAATCCACATTCTTGGCACTACGCTCCGAAGACGAAACTCCATTCTGCAACGTACCCTCGTAAAACATGTTACTCGGGAACTCGGACAAACACGGGTGCATACGATACTGCACCGTCAACCTGATCGGCGCATTCCCCAAGATAACCAACCTCTCAAACAAAGACTGGTGCAAACCAGCCCTCGCAGCCTTCTTGTTCATGATGACAGGCCCAAGCTGCTGGTGATCACCAACAAGAACAACCTGCTTACACCCCATAACAAGCGGAATCATCACCTCCGGCTCCGTTGCCTGCGTTGCCTCATCAACAAGCACAGTCCTGAACTTGAACTTACTCAACCTCGGATCTCCCGCACCGACACTCGTACAACAAATCACATCCGCATTCATCAAGATCTCACGTTCCGCTGCGCGTGTCAGGGACTTGAATTTCTTTTCGTCAGAGGCGGAGAGTTCGCCGAGTTCGGTGCGGAGTTGGATGAGTTTTTGGAGTTCGACGTTGGTGTCGTTGTTGCGGACTTGTTCGTGGAGGGTGAGGAAAGCGACGGGGTTGTCCATGTCTTCGCGTGATTTGGCGGATAGACGCACGACCTTCAAGCCAGTCTTGTGGATCTTACCGGCCAATTGGTCGACGGCGACGTTAGAGGGTGCAGTAACCAAAACCTGTCCCGGGTTCATCTTGGCCAAATGGTAGACAATAGTCGCGGACGTCACGGTCTTACCCGTACCCGGAGGACCCTGAATGAGCGACAAAGGCTTCTGCAACACAGATTTGACAGCATGAACCTGACTCACATTAAGCTCAGGCAGATTCGGCGCCGAAAATCTCTTCGGCATCTGCGTTTTCAAAACCTGCTGCGCGACCTCATGTCCGAGCAACTTGTGGTAGATATACCCAGACACAGACGTCTCATTGACAGCAAAAGTCTTCATCGCGAGTTGCATACGGTCGAAGGAGGTACTCTTCCACACGTAGTCCACCTTGAAGTTATGCGTGCAGTCGGTGGGAGGACGGTCACCCTTCCCACCACTTCTCAACTCCAAACCGATCTCGTCGCTGATGTTGTTGGGGATCTTGATGACGTACCCGACACCCTCCCATGCTGCTCTTAACTCTCCGTAATACCTCAGACGCATCTCATCTCCCACAGCCAACTTGTAATCGCCCATGTCCACTTTGGGAAGGACGAACCATGCGGTGTGTTTCTGGTTAAGGCCCTGATCCCATCGGACGACGATCCCGTCCTGCGTTTGACTTTCCTTCAACTTCCTGTCGTAGTCCGCCTCGATCTTGACCAATGGACCAAAGATATTCTGGTACTGGTACGCGTCCTCGTATCTCAACAACACCGGCATGGGTTCGTCATCGATTCCGGGCTTCTCCAAGTCCTGTAGGGAGGCATTCGCGTCATCCTTCCACAACTCCTCTAGTTTGGTAATCTGCGAAGGGGTGATCTGGCGTGCGCGGAGGATCTCGTGGTCGCCGGGGACGGTGACGAGCCAGGGGAGGAAACAACGGTCGTCGATGAGGGGTTGCCATTGTGCGAGGTCCCAGTTCATGTCTTTGGAGCTGGGCATGGAGGCACATGGTTGACGACACAAGAGAACGACGACGGTGTCGGACTTGGCGGGGATGAAACCGAGTAAGAAGACATTGCGCGTTCCACAGTTGTAGCATTCGAGGGTAGTCTCGCCCAACGCACTTGCCGGGTGCAGACACACCTCCTTGTGCCTACTCCTCACCAGATGGTTGATGATATGCGACGACGAGGTATTACCGCGGCTGTTGCAAAAGTATTTCGAACACCCAAGACATTTGACCACACTGCTCGGCGTATGAATCCCACAATAAGCGCACGCATGCTCCGGCAACTCTCCCTCTCCCTCCTCGAGCAACTCCTCATATTCGCCACCTTCCTCACCCTCTTCCCTAACTCCCCTCCTTGGCGCCAAGGACAAACTCTCGACAGTGATATCGTCCACAATCGATTCCTCGTCGTCCTGTCCATACTGATGCGTCAACGACGTCGATTCGGTGAGGGTATGCGAGTGAATCGAGGATGTCTCGTCATTGTACGCGTGTCCGTGACGACTTGGAAAATGCGATGTCCCTAGATGAGTGAAGGCGCCTTCCATATTGGCGGGTTCGACTCTGTGGGATCAATTGCTGAGTATCCTTTAACGATTGTCGCCTTCGTGTGTGCTGTGATGACTTGAGGTGACTGCTGACTTCGGGAATTCCGCAGCGCGCGGCTGGACAACGCAGGTGAGCTCAACGTACGGCAGATGGACATTGCAATTGGAGGAGGGTGAACAGGAGGCAGATATAAGGATAATATGATTGTATTATTATGACCATTCACAATGAAAGGGAAGCGAAATGCGACACAAGCGAGTTTCCCGAAGGGGATCAACAGGCAGCCGGATCTACGTCGACGTACGTCCCACCGACTATCCCCAGTGACTTATAATGGTTCCACACGGACCAGGTCATCAGGCCCAGGACACCGAACGAAGGAAATCCTGATCCTTGTCTAGAACCAGTACGACCCTTACGCCAGTCGTGGTCTTCGTGAGGGTAGATCGGAGCGCTCCTGATAGCACCAAGGGGCGATCACCGACCCATGTACATACGATTCATCCATCAACCGAATCCGAATATGTAAAGTTCCTTAACATCGAGTTAGCTACATGGTCTGAAGAAGAACAAGAGGAAGAACAGCGATGAACAACGACGAACGTGATCAGATAGGAGCGAAAGACAATGCTATCGGTTTGTCAACATTGGTGTAGTAGCACCTCTGTTGAACTATGCTTGATGTTGATAAATCATCCTCTCGTCCGCCATCGTCCATCTGCCATTCTTCCCGTAATAGCAAAGACTTACCATCTGAGTTGTTCCCTTTGATTTTGTATAGGAGCGCGCTCGAGGCCAGTTTTTATAGGGAGCGCGGCTCGTGGGCCAAATTCGAGAGCTGCGCCACACCGCTTGGGAAAAGTTCGACGGGGACGAGATACTGGAGAGCCTTGTCCGTTTTTCACGAGTCCGCCAAGTCAGTAAGTCGCCGTCATGGTATGTTGTTCTTCGTCGTCCTGCGATTCTTTCTATCACGTCAATTCATCCGCTTTACGTTGTGCATGGGATGGATCGCTGGATGACTTTGTCGGTTCGAAGGGTTACAGGGTCGCTAACGCTCCATTGGACAGCCTTTCGCCAAGACCGTCAAGAACACCGCCTACTTCAAGCGTTTCCAGACCAAGTACCGTCGTAGAAGGGAGGGTAAGACCGACTACTACGCCCGTAAGCGTTTGATCACCCAGGCCAAGAACAAGTACAACTCGCCCAAGTACCGCCTCGTGGTCCGCTTCACCAACACCGACATCATCTGCCAGGTTGTCTACGCCAAGATCCAGGGTGACCATGTCTTGACCGCCGCTTACTCTCACGAGCTCCCCCGCTACGGTATCAACCACGGTCTTACCAACTGGTCTGCTGCCTACGCTACTGGTCTCCTCTGCGCTCGTCGTGCTCTCCAGAAGCTCGGCTTGGACGAGAAGTACCCCGGTGTCGAGGAGATCGACGGCGAGTACTCCCTCCAGGAGCCCGCCGAGGGTGAGGCCCGCCCCTTCAAGGTCTTCCTTGATGTCGGTCTTAAGCGTACCTCCACTGGTTCCCGTCTCTTCGCTGCCGTGAAGGGATGCTCCGACGGTGGTATCCTCATTCCCCACTCCGAGAAGCGTTTCCCCGGTTTCGACATTGAGTCCGAGGAGCTCGACGCCGAGACCCTCCGCAAGTACATCTTCGGTGGTCACGTCGCTGAGTACATGGAGACCCTCATGGACGACGATGAGGAGCGTTACCGCGTCCAGTTCGCTGGTCTCATCGCTGACGGTATTGAGTCCGACCAGATCGAGGACATGTACGCCGAGGCCTTCGAGAAGATCAAGGAGGACCCCGCTGCCAAGCCCACCCAGAAGAAGACCAAGGAGGAGTACAAGGCTGCCGGTGCTCAGTACCGCCAGAAGAAGCTCTCTCACGCCGAGCGCAAGGCCCGTGTTGCTGCCAAGATCGAGCAGCTCCAGGCTCAGGAGTAAGGTTCGAGTTTTGGGATGTTTATGGTATGATCGGTTTATACTACGGTAGAGAATCTGACGTACTTGAGACTCGTATTATCATGTCCATGCTTGTAAATTGTTGAAATAAGAGAGCTTTGACTGTAATTCCTTGTATAAGGTTTGCCGCTTACGTCTGGTGCATGCAAAGTCTCCACACTCCAAGTTGATCACCCAACAAACTCACCACCAAAAACAACAGCCGGCGATAAAGCAGCATACACCCAAGCAACTGAAGAAAAGGAACGACCGCATACAACCCAGTCGATCTACAACGTCTGCCAAGGTGTCTTCACAAGTCATCGCCCACGGAACGTTCGCTCATACCCCAAACCAACACGACCGCAACAAACATCGTTCACGTCTCGCCAGCATCATGCTAGGCCGCTCATCCTCTGTTAAAAACAACCAAAAAGCACATAGTCGAGATTCATCCGGCGCTTCCTCCCAGTCCGCCATCGAAGCTCTCGAAGCGATCAAAGCACAAGATGAGAAGAACCACGTACCAGGCGACGCAGGCGCGCCAAGACCCGACGCGAAGGAGAAGGAGAAGGAGAGGGATAAAGTCGGAGCACCAAACTTCTCGGCCATTATTTTGACGAACAATTTTCGGAAGTTTTCGCAGAGGATCGACCCGATATTCAATACGCAGGATCGGATCAAGAAGATCTTGGAGTGGGAGGATACGCGGGAGACGTTGTCTTGTTTGATTATGTATTCGCTGTTGTGTCTTAACCCGCATCTCATCCCGGCCATCCCGCTTTGTGTGGTCTTGTTCGGGCTGTTGATTCCGGCATATACGCAACATCACCGCGTGCTACCTACAGAAGCCGGTACGATCCAACCTGCTCCGCGTCCAAACAAGGAGCTGTCGAGAGACTTTCTTCTGAATATGCGCGATATCCAAAACTCGATGGATGACTATACGACGCTTTACGACACACTCACGACACATATAACCGCCTTTACGGCCGAGCGCGTCGCAGGCGAACTCGTGTTTCTCCTTACACTTGGTCTGTTCGCACTTGTGTTCTGTGGCAAATATGTGCCGTGGAGGTTTGTGTTCTTGGGAGCGGGATGGATTGTCGTCATGAGCAAGCACCCAGATAACATACTTCCACCACCAGCGGAGCAAGGCATGGACCTCGAAGAAAAGATCCTGCGACACCGGTACATCGAGCTCGACGTCATCGAACCAAACCCAGTCCTCAAAACCGTCGAGGTCTACGAGCTACAACGTGCTCCATCCGAGTCATCCTCGAATTTCTTCACTGGGTCCGGAGAGCTCAAGTCGACTTTCTTACCGAATTTGGACAGTGGGCCTGGACAGGGTACGGGGAGACTGGAGAATATTGAGCCGCCCCCGGGGTGGACGTGGGGTGATGCTGGGGGTGGATGGAAGGTTGAGAAGATGGGGTATGTGAGGGATAAGGAGGGGTGGGTTGAGGAGGAGGGGAAGAGGTGGAGGAAGTTGACGAGGATTGTGATGAAGGTTTGACTGGATTCTTGGGGCAAAGTTTGTTCGTGTTTGGTATATGCCTTGAGTGCAGTTCTCAGTTGGCATCTGGCGTCGGTATTTCCCACGGATGGTAACACACTTAGAAATGTCCCGGGCCCGCGATCGACCGCACATTTGCCCAGACAGCTTCTTGATGAGCTCATCCTTCCAGAACACGGTCCGCTCGCATGCATCTCGAAAATCCTGGTGACCTCTTAGTTACGTCAATCGAAGTTGAAGCTTAGGATTGGCGAAGGTATAAGATAGGGTGCCGTCCTGTTGCAGTCGAGATGGTCCTCTTCACAACACGAAACAGAAAACACTCATAACAATCAGTATGCCTCAATACAAGGAAGGAGACAAGGTAACAACCTGTTAGCCGCCGCGCACTCCCACAAAGTGGCTAACTCGGCGTTACAGGTTGAATACCGTCCGTAAGTTTCCCACACCAATGCTATTCTCGAGACATCGGGACTGGCACAAGCACGTTCTGGATTGCACGGATCGGTTCGCTGACGCCCGTCATAGCATCGGCGGCGAGAGCGACAACGTTTCTCACTCCACCGGCGTGATCGAGGAGATTAAGGAGGAGGATGGTGTGACCAAATATACCATCAAGAATGACAATACTGGGAAATCTACTACTTATCAGGTAAGTGGTGCCCTTGGGTTCAACCCACCATGACACTGTTTACAGACTATCCCATAGGAAATGAACATCGTACGTCTATCGTCTGCGCCTTCAGCTCTGTAGCTGGCTGAGGGGTGATTTCGAACGAACTCTTGTACTGACAGAGCATCGTTTTCTAGGTCGGCAAGGCGGAGTAAGCCTGGAGCTGTAGTGGAGTACAATACAGATATTTTCAGGAGTCGTTTGATACCATATGCCAGCATAAAAGTAGCAGATTGCTGTTGTGGCGGGACGTTGGTATATGAGGGCCCCCCGGAGCCAGTGGTACTGCGCGCCCCTCCAACCGAACCGCGTGCCCGCTCTCTGGAAAGCTGCCGAACTCAAAAAGTCGTCCAAGCTCTACTCCAAGCACGACAAGCCGATCAAAAGGAGCAATCATGTCAACTGAGGACCGAGTAAAACAATTCGTCACGGATGCCCAACAACCCCGCTCCCCAAAAAGCGTTAAACAAATGTCCACCCTCCAAAAATTCCTCTTCAAAAACCAGGTCCGGCCCGTCCCCTCTCCCTCCCTCCCATATCCCTAACATCCTCCATGCCCTCAGTAGAACTACCGCTTCCACGAATCCTCCCGCTCCCAACTCCTCGCTGCAATCGAACTCTACCTAAACATGTTCGACCGCGCACCAACCTACGTTCCAGACGAATCACCCTCTGCGGAGGGGTTGTTGGAGGATGCGCTCAAGGTGCCGATATTCAATGGGAAGATGAAGGGGAAGATGGTTAGGTGGTTGGAGGAGGTGCAGGCGAGGAATGGGGGGACGCCTACGGAGAAGGAGAAGGAGAAGGAGAAGGAGGATTGGGAGTTGGATTGGGATGATCCGAGGGCTTGGGGGGAGGGGAGGCACGATGGGGAGGAAGAGGAAGAAGCGTGATTGGCATTGGATGGACAGTGGAAGGGTCAAGTACGATGGAACGACGTCATGGATGCCGTGCACTTGGTCATGGCGTGGTGCCTGTTGACACGCCGAGAGTCGCAAGCAGATAAAAATAGATAACGGTGGAAATTGTCCTCAAACATAACCTACGATGCGCATTTATTGATCCCCTGCCGAGTGCGCGACTCGAGCTCCATGTGATGTGCCAAGCTTGAGACAGCAAACAGATCGACCTGGAGGAGTGTACCGCCAAGCTCTTTAGACGGCACGACGCCTGGGGAATGTTGACATCCATGAATCCGTCATGATTGGTTATTTTGCAATTGGGGATGATCTTGACCATGATCACGATGCTGTAAACACTCATGAGATCACAACAGGCTCAAACACCAACAGCTTCACCGGTCTGATCAACGGTGTTACAAACAAAGGGCTAGATAGATTGGCTGCTCTAATGGGTAAGGGGAAGGCTTGCATCCGGCGCTGGATTTCGATGCACGGGGCGGAGCAACCCAAGAGACAGGCAGGACCCGCCGCGTAGAGCGACTTGGGGGAATAAAACTGTACGCTGGGCCTGCTGCTCCAACCACCACACAGTCACTGCTACAACAACAGTTCTTGGTCAATCGACAAGAGCGTCCTTTCCTTAAATCAACTACACATCAAACTGCTGTCGTTTCAGTTTACTCTGCCGACTTCAATCAACAGACGCGTCCTTATCTCGTCGTCTCGAACCAGCATTTAGACTACCAGATTACAGCCATTGAAGAGAGAAAGAGCCGGTCTCCGATTACTTGCATATACACAACATCTCAAAATGAAGTTTACTCTTGCTTCCGCCGTTGCCGGTTTGGCTATCGTTGGGAACGTTGCTGCCGACTGCTCTTCTTCCTTGAGGCATCAGCACCACAAGAAGAGGCAGGCCGTTACTACCGTTGAGAATGTCGAGATGGTGAGTCAATTGGTAGCATACATCCCCGTGAAATGCGTGCTGATCGATGGTTTGATAAAGGCATACACTACCGTTTACGTTGACCGTAACGGAAACCGCGTTGACTACACTGCTACCACCGTGGCTGAGTCCGCTGTCACCACCGTGACTCCCTCGTCTTCTTCTTCTTCCTCCACTGAGGCCCCCGCTGCCGTCACCTCCTCCTCCTCCTCCTCCTCCTCTTCCACCTTTGAGACTCCTGCCGCGCAGCCCACCACCACCTCTTCTTCCTCCTCCTACACCGTCGAGGACGCGCAGGACGCTGCTCCCTCTACCGAGGCCACCATCTCCGAGACCGCCACCTCGTCTTCTTCCTCCACCACCTCCGCCGCCTCTTCTACTTCCACCTCCGCCGCCTCTTCTACTTCCACCTCCGTCTCTAGCTCCGCTTGGCTCGACCTCTTCGTTGACCCCAGCACCCCCTTCCCCAACGGTTACTACTCTTGCGACGAGTTCCCCGTCAACGAGCAGGGTATCGTCGAACTCGACTACCTCGGCCTCAGCGGCTGGACTGGTATCCAGCTCGGCGACGGCACCTCCAACACCTGTGTCGAGGGCGCGTACTGCTCTTACGCCTGCCAGCCCGGTATGTCAAAGACTCAATGGCCCTCTGCACAGCCTGCCGACGGTCAGTCCCGTGGTGGATTGTTGTGTTCGGGCGGTAAGCTCTACCTCACCAACTCCGACTCCCAGTACCTCTGCGAGTGGGGCCACGAATCTGGATTCGTCGTCAACACTTTGTCCGAGTCCGTCTCGATTTGCAGGACTGACTACCCTGGAAGCGAGAACATGAATATCCCCACTACCATCGCTCCTGGAGAGAAACAGCCCCTTTCCGTCGTCGATGAGGATACGTACTACAAGTGGCAGGGCGCTCTGACTTCCGCTCAGTACTACGTCAACAAAGCCGGTCGTTCCGCCGAGGAAGTCTGTCTCTGGGGTGACTACGGCGACGATTTCGGTAACTGGGCGCCCCTCAACTTCGGTGCTGGATATACCGGTAACACGGCGTGGTTGTCCTTGATTCCTAACCCGAACTATACTGGTGATCTTGGGTACAAGGTTAACATCACTGCTTCGCCCGGGAGTGTGATGAATGGGGAGTGTTGGTATGCGGATGGGGAGTATTCTGGTGGATCTTCTGGGTGTACTGTTGCTGTTACCTCTGGGTCTGCTTACTTTTATCTTTATGAGTAGACTACTGCGCTCCTTCCTTGGTCGAGGGCTTCGAGTTCGTGAAAGTGGGGTGAGGGTGTGATTTGAATGTTTCTTTCGTTGGACCTTTTTCTTATGTATCTATTTCGGTTTTTTCTTTGCTCTTGTTGCTGTGTTTCGTGCGTGAGAGAACTTCGGGTGCTCCCTCCGACTTCACTGGTGGAGAGAGAAAGGGGTATGTGAATGTAGAAAATGTTTAATCTCATCTGAATGTCTACGAAGCTCTTCGTTCTCTTCCCTTGAAATTGTGTTCGTGAGAGGAGACGCTGGTGGGCGGCTGGTATACCGGTAGGCGGGCGAGGGGTTGCTCGGTTCATATCCGGCGGTGACCGAACTCCGCAACATGTGGGAACCCTGACGTCCGCAATGTAAACCACAGAAACAATTCGTCAATTGCTTTCAAAACGACAATGACGAGACTACAGATCAAGCGAGCTGCTGTTATTGGAGCCGGGCCGTCCGGGATTGCGGCGTTGGGGGCGTTGGTGAGGGAGGGGTTTACGGATGTTAGGTGTTTTGAGCGGAGGGGTGAGGTTGGTGGGACGTGGTATGTTTCGATGTTTGAAGGAGTACGTGTTATATTTTTTGGAAGTACTGATGTGTGTGCGATAGGGTCTACGACGATGTACCGAAGGATTGCGACGTGAGGCGGGATGATCCCACGGCGGATCATTCGTGGAATGCGATTTATCCTACCTTGGTCACCAATGTTCCGGCGGTACGTATTCACCGAACTGAAATGTGGATACTTGATCTGACGCGTGATGGATAGGAAATCATGCCGTTTACCTATGCACCATTTCCCGACCTTCCGCCCGGATCGACCATTAATCCGTTATGGCGACACTATACAATCGTGATGTCCTATCTCCAACGACTTGCTGCTCCATTTCTCCATCTGATCTCGCTCAACACCTCGGTTGAGTCCGCACGCAAAGTCGGTGACGAATGGGAAGTGCGAGTGAGAAGAGGAGAGGAGGAGTGGACGGAGACTTTCGATGCCGTCGTGGTGTGTTCCGGGCACTACAGTGTGCCCTATATGCCGGATATCAAGGGATTGAAGGAGTATGAAGCGAAATGGAAGGGGCGCGTGAGCCATACAAAGGAGTTTCGTGTACCGGAGGCGTTTCGTGACAAGGTATGTGCCGTGTAGACGGTTTCCATGCGAGTGCGGTTGGGTAACACGGGAGATACAGAACGTGCTGGTTATCGGTGGTAATATCTCTGCGTTCGACTTGTGCAAGGCGATTCTCCCCGTTGCGAAAAGACCCGTTCACGTCTCTACCCGCTCGCGACATCCAATGTTCCCCGACGCGCTGTCGTCCGCGGAATCGGTGATCGTCCCGCACGGTGTCGTATCCGCCTTCCATCCCGAAGACGGGTCCATCGAGTTCGCGGATGGGCAGGTGTTACGCGATGTCGATCACGTCATCATCGCGACGGGATACAAGTGGAGTTTCCCATTCCTCGGACAAGGGGCGACGAATAAGGATCTGCGCATTAGGAATACGTATTGGCATACATTCGATAGAGATGATCCGACGCTTACGTATGTCGGTACCGCTGCGAATTCGATTTCGTTTCGGGTTTTCGAGTACCAGGCCGTCGCTATCGCTCGGGTATTTTCCGGTCTTGGCAGGCTTCCTTCTGTCTCAGAAATGAAGGCATGGGAGGATGCGCGAGTTGAGGCAGTTGGGGATGGGAGTTTGTTTCATATTGTTGGATGGAGGGGTGCGAAGGCGTTTGCGGGTGCGATGAGGGGGATTGCGGGGCTGGAGGATGGGAAGGGAGGGGAGAAGGTTTTGCCGAGGTGGAGGGAGGAGTGGGAGAGATGTTTGGAGGAGGGGATTAAGGTTAGGAGTGAGACGTTGCTTGGGGATTTGGAGATGAGGAATTGATGTTCTGAGATTGAGGATATGGTGGGAGCGCAAGGGGAGGCGTGCACGATATCATGACGGAGGCTCGACAAGGTATGTCGCTGGGATATGTCGTTCACGTACGAGTTGCTAACCGGCTGAGGAAAGGCCAAAGAAGATAGCCAAAGTTATGTTCAGTTGAATTGAATTTTATATAAACAAGCTTCTCTAGTGACTTGCACGCGCTCTTGCGCTGCAGATGCCGCACATACCCTATCGATATCTGGACGTTGCTCGAGGGTCGACTTGGATGACCATCTGCTTTCTGTGACGATTCCTTTTGACGGTCACCGCGCTTTACATGTTCCGGATTACCACTCCCTGACCCTTCCGGAAACACGCAGCCAGTGCTAATGTACACTCAGGTGCACGGCGCGGCTGAACCTTCCTGAATGAGCTCCTCGGATCCTCAAAGGTTACACGGTGATTGTGATGTGATATTCACAGCTGGGCAGCGGCGATATCTGGAGTCGAATTCCCGACGTTTGGGTTAACGAGCGGCCGGGGCTCAGCACGGCCGCAGTGCATCGAAGGGGCCGAGGAATGAGGCGAAGTTACGCGATCCCCGCAACCCCGAGCCTAAAAGCTTATACTGGTTAGGGTTTCGGGGCGGCCTCTGCTTAACCTTACCTTGGGCAAGGTTGCCTCCCGCGGCGGTGCTGGGGCCCTCTGGCACACACACATGATCACGGCGAGCAGCGAACGACGGCATACCGACCGACCATGTATTGCGATAGACCTCGTCGTAGTGTCCTGCTGGCAGGATGTTTGTTAATGGCGGTTATCACTATCCTTCTGTGTCTCAGTCTTTTCAATAGTTCCGGGCCATACGGTTGGCCGACATCGATTGCGACCGCGGCGAAGGAAGAGGTTGAGGATAACTGTGAACCCTGGACCGCGGCAGCGCATTTGAACCTCAATATCACCCATCAGCTCTCGACCAACCTTCAATCCTACGATCCCTCGTGCCAGGCTTCCAACAACTGGGTCTCGCGTCTTAAGGACTCTGTCACTCACAAGACGCTCATCCCGGAGCTGATGAACAAGGAACTTCTTCTCGTCGGAGACTCTGTGGACCGGCGTACGCTCTCTGATGTTTGTGTGAAAACTCTTGGTCTTGAGATGATCAAACATCCGATGCACTCGTATGCCGAGGTCTCGCCCGACGGGAAGGGTGGCATTCCGCATACGTGTCGAGTCGAGCATTTGAATTTGACCATGCACAACTACTTCTTTTACGGTTTTGATGAGGCGGATATGTGGAAGGGTGTCGGGCCATACAATCCCCCAGGGAAGTTCACGGAGCGATTCGAGATGTTCGAGAAAGCCGTGCGGACATTACCCAGCGGCGGACGACCGAACCTGGTCATCGTGAATGTCGGCCTATGGGAGTTGATGCGACATCACGTCCTGTATGCACACAAAACCCCAAATGATCCCGTCGACCTTTTTCCGGAGTTTCAGGAAGCGTTTTTGGGGAATACGGTCAAGTTCTTGAGAGGGGTGAGGAGGGCGGTTGGTCCTGATGCAAGGATTCGGTTTAGGGAGAATCATACACCGGGGACAGACGAGAGTAATATTTTCACCTCACCCGCGATTAAGGAGGGGAAGAAGCGTGTCCGGTATACTGGTGTGCGGATCGATACGATGAACGCACTTATCGATCGTGCTATCAAGATTGTGAACACCCCGGCGGTCGGAGCTGAGGAGGATGGGGTGGGATCTGAGGGAGATGATATCCGTCTTTGGCCAGTTGGGAAGTTGATGAGACCTTGGCCGTGGAAGATGTGGGTTGAGGACGATTGTCATCCGAAGCCGGGCGTATTAGCTGGAGTGTGGGGAGAAGGGATGTTAGAATACCTGGCGCGGGCGCCGAGGGTTGAACGTGTGTAGGTAGCTGTGAAAGACTTCGCATATTCGGTGGTTTCATCTGATGATAAGACGAAACCATATACACCGCTTGCGTTTGAACAACCGCGAGCCAGGCATGATTCTCAGGATGCACAAGACGCACACCGGGTCACGTCGCACTTGCTCGCACCTAAAGTTAGGTAACAGTGCTTAGAGACAGACGCATTCGTTCGGATATAACCAATATGACCCACCAATATCACCGAGTTACCCAAACAAGGTGCTTTGGTATCGGGATGTCTACGTTACGAGCGCGCGATGAATTTGCGTGTCCGGATGCGGAAGACCCTGACAAATAGTTGATCAACCCACCAGACCGCATCAGTTACCTCGGCCAGCCCTTCGCTCCTGGATCTCTTCGAGCGTGGCTCTCTTGTTGACTCGGTTCAAGTACGCTCTCTGAGCTGGTCCTTCCGTTGATTCGATCAACTCCCGTCTACCAACTCCTCGGTTCATCTTCAAGCCTGGGTCTCTCGTCGTACTCGGTACTCCGTCGATTGGTCTCTTAATCCACTTCATGCACCGTCCTCTTCTCGATTCAATTTGATCGGCTCTCAGTTTACGCATCCGCGAGCCCCATCGGTTCAGTTCTTTGCACAACTACGCACTTCCTTGACAATATTGGACGAGTCAGGCACCCCATACTTGATCTACGTTTCCTTTCAGCATATCCTCCACCAGGTCGCTGCAGAAGCCTGATACTCGTACAGGAAATGCTCTCGCTACGGATACTCAAAGTCGTACGGCCGATATGTCGCGTAACGGCCCACTACCTCGCCTGCAGACCTGCACTGTCATGGCACCGCTTTACATCCAATGCAAACTCCACCTCTGATTCAGTTCTAGTCTCTGACACCGCAACACTTAAACCCCTCAGCGACACCAGCACCACGGCGCAGAAGGGTGTTGAGAAGGTTCCAGATGGGTTGAGGAAGGGTCCATGGTCTGTTGAAGAGACCCAGAAGTATTTAGGGTATATTGAGAGCAAGGGACAGATGAACGCTTCCTGGAAAGATATTGATTGGAATGAGACTGCAAATGACGTCGGGACCCGCACATGGAAACAATGCCGAGATAAATGGCGCGACACATCCTTCAACCCTACTTTCAACAAAACTCCCTGGACCGCCGAGGAGCAAAAGATTCTCAAAGAGGCTTATGAGATATACGGCCCGCAATGGACATTGATCGAACAATTGCAATTGCTTCCGGGACGCAGTGCCAGACAACTATATGACCGGTCTCATCGATCCGGTCTGCAGGACACACAGTATGAGAACGGATGCTTTACAGGGGAGATGCTGGCAAAAATCCAGACGTTGTTGCATGACCTCAATGGGAAATATTACGATGACAACGGCAAGATCAGATGGACACTGCTGAGCCGGGACCACTTTCCCAGCTGGTCACCGCATAATCTGAAAAATGGATTCCGTCTGGCTAAGATGAAAGCTAACTCTAGTCATGGCTTATGGTCCAAAGAAGAGACGGACAAACTTCGGTGTGCAGCCGAGAATTACCTCAGCAACCCTACAAGGACGTATGGTGAGCAGTGGGCCGCAATCGCCGAAGAGGTTGGGACACGAAGTCTTGCTCAGTGTCAGAAGAAATGGAATTCTATACAATCTAAAGCGGCCACCAGCAAACAATCCTTGCATCATACACGTTGGACACTTGACCAAACCCTCCACCTCCTCTCCCTCGCCCAACAACACTCCTTCAAATGGTCTCTCGTCGCCCGGGACATGGCGTCAGCAATGGAGGAGAAAAGCCGCAGACTCACTGACTCTAGGCTTTGTTGGGATAAGTTCTGGTACTTGGTAAAGCAGAGCAAAAAGAAAATGGAGCCACTTTTGGAACAGCACTTGACGAAGTGTCTGGAGAACCCCGAGATTGTGGAAAAAGTGGAGAGGGAAAAGAGGAAGGCCGGGAACGGGCCAAGGAAGAGAAAGAAACTCGTGTGGCAGGATAGGGTTCTGATTAAAGAAGCCAAGGTGGAGGGGAAAAAGGAGGTTAAGAAAAGCAAGGCTCTCAGTCCCACGCCTGCTGAGCGGGGAAAGAAGGAGCGGCGGAAAAAGGCACAGGGGAAGACGCTGACCTTATGGTGGGAGTAACCTGATTACTTACAGTTACATAACCTATTATTAGTACATCGACAGGCGACGGCATCGCCCGTCCGTTTGGGGCACTGCTAGCCCATTGGTGGAGACGATCGGCGGATGACTCTCGCGGTTGGGCTTACTACACACTGTGCCTGCTCACCTGATTTTGGCGCAAAGGGTCGTGAGAAGGCATATCGCGAAATCTTAGGAACTGGGTAGACGCGTCCGAGAAAACGATCGATAAGGTAAATTAGTCACGAGATTTGACTACTCGGTCACCGCACAGGCGCTGAGCCGGACGTTTGAGAACCGGCACCTGCACAATCATCCGCATCAAACTATTCACTCTTCATTGGAGCTTGCAGCTCACTGTTGTTTCCTCAACACATACCCCCAGGGAGACCGAAGCGAAGTTCATCACTGACAGGTGCATTGCCGGTAGCACGAAGGGGACCGAATACGAGATTCTGCTTATTCAACTGATTATCCTTTGCTCCTAGAATGGACCCTTCGCAAAGTCCATCCAGACTCGGGTTACGAGTACTGATCAGAACATATGAAAAGCTTCGTTCACCGGCAAAGGAGTTACGCAAAAGGCAGAAGCTGCCGATGAAGATGCAGAGCACAGCAACCCCCAGACCGGCTCCTGAAGAGACCCAGAAGATGAACCGTTCGTGGTCGCTATAATAGTAGATGTTGTGAACCACGGTTACCGTAGCGTTTCTGGTAAATGTTCTCACCGCGGGGCTCTTCGAAGAAAGCAAGTTGACGGTGACATTTCGAAAGAGCTCTTCAAAACTGCCAGCCAGGTTGGGAAGAAAAGTCACTTGGTTTTCTGCGCTCCCATTGAGCCCTGTGACGAGACTGGTGGACAGAACAAGCAAGCCAGAATCTGCCACGGGCGGTACTGTACCCTGACCGGAAGTCACAGTTCCGCGAAGATATTGAACGAAAGCATCCTTTATGGCCACGAAGTTCAGTAGAGACCATGACTCCTCATCCATATACGGCTCAACATTAAAGGTTTGTCCGCTAACCATCGTGGTAGTTTCAGGATACCCCAAGGACGCATTCAACGCATCCTGCAGCTTGTCGTCCACCAGAGTAGAACTCAGGGGTTCATGGACCACGGTTTCGATGTTAACCTGAGGGATGTTGTTGACATAGTTCACATTGAGGTCGTAAGTCGCGTTGTGCAGCACGCAAGTGAAGCACTGCCGCTTCTTAGTTTCCTGGTTTGACGTGGTGACATCGAAAGAATATAAATCCCCACCGGAATATTCTGAACCATTATAATAGTATGCGAAAGCACTTTCGAAAGCACTTGATCGAAAGCAATGCCGATTGCTGTTACCAATAAAGTCTTGAACAAGAAGCCGAAACCCTGCGTGATACGCCCGATCCAAGCTTGACTCAATCTGTGTTCATCGACGATTTTACCTTGAAGGTGGAGGTAGAACAAATGTTGCCCAAAGACTAACACAAAAGCCGCAACCACAAAGCTGAACAGCTTCAGAACCGTACCTTTGTACGGTACGGCATGGAGAGATCTCGTGGTGGTAAGAGGCACGCGCGAGTCTTCGACCTCGTTGAGGAAAGGTTCTGCGTCCGACTTGAGGCCATCGCGCAACAGGCTTGGAGACGGAGGAAGAGCCGACATCATGACCATCAAGCGGCGACGAAAATGGCGATAGGTCAAGAAGAATATTGACCCTGCTGATGCTTCTACCGGTGACAGCGGTAACAGGGAGTCAAGGAGGACTTTATGGAACGAGCTCACATAGCGTAGATTGCAACAAGGACATGACGTCTCCTCAACCCCACTCGTACACCATCACGAGCCGTGTGTTCTGCACGGCGATATTCGTAACCTTGGTCTTTCCTAAGCCGTCTTTCAAACCTTGCTTGTGTAAATGTACCGCAACACCAGCTGATGAGCGCTCTCGATCTTCCGAGCGTCAACTCAACCTTAATTGCACACGCCCCGGAGCCGCGTCCCCGCATAGCCAAGCAATGCGCGACAATCATCTGACTGCAGTCAGAATTCGGATGCCGATCTCAATAGGGGTGATGTTCGTTCTGCGGCATGCGACGGAGAAGTCGGAACAGATCTCCTCAAGTCTGGACCTCGCATATTGAGCCATTGCACCGCTCTTTGCACGGCACCATCCCAATTCAGCGCATGACACAGCTTTTGCAGGACTGAATGCTCAGTGTTGATTTTCAGTCCGGTCCGTCAAACGTGGTCATATACCTTTTTGTATTTGCGCTCCGCACGGCCCGTGATCAGCGATTTTGACAAATGGATCCGAAAAAATGTAAGGCAGGAGCTATGTACTGCCGAAGGCTCTATGAGACAGCTTTCATTCAAAACCAACCGATTTCTCAAAGCTACAGACACCAGCTGGGAGGCCGGGACTAGGCCTTGACTTCCTCCGCGTGCCGGGGTTCTTGACGATCCAGCGGCTGGCAATTGCACGATGCACCCGAAGAAGAGGTATCTGGTTCATATCGGCATTCATGCCTCCCGCCGTCCAGCTGCTCTCAGGGTAACTCTTGGTGTAGCACTTCAACGATCGTTTGGTCTGTGCTATCGCATATCTCGGCCCGCTGCATCCGATCCCGAAAGCACTAGCGCACCATAACCCGGTAACCCTAGCCAATTAGCGACCGCGGCTAGACAGGAACCGCGCATGGACCGTCTAAGGTGTAAACAGCCCAGGCCGTAAGATGAGCGACTTGGGGTTGGAGACCTGGGGTAACGTCGAGTAACCCGGTAGTGTCACTGTGCACGTGAGAGCGAGGGTAAGCGTGACGACAAGATAGAGCAGGTGCACAGCTACGAGTAGGTAGGACGGTAGACGTGGCGTAGTTAATTTGGACACCTGGTTTACTCAATCCGACGGTAAAATGCATTGAAACCCGTGAGCCTTTGCGGACCGAGCAACCGTTGGGCGAAACCCGTAACCGCTTAGGGTTAAGCAGTAACCCTAACCGGCCGCGGGTATATACCAGATCATGTGATGTGATGTGATAACGTAAACTGGAGATTGCCCTAAAGCTTAAGGCGCTCCAGCACGGCAGTTGGACATGCCCCAGCCTCTGAAGATCATACCTGATAACTAGCCATCGCACGCGTTTTCGTACCGCGGCCGCTTCCGTGCCCAACATGTGATTCTGTGATTCTCCATATACTTACCTAGATACCTGCTTCGTGAACCTAGGTATAGCTCGTGATTGACGGTCCACATGGCGCGGCCACTTGCCACACTGTTGGCCTCGTCACAGCTTTCGTGCTCTGGCTTTCGTCACAAAAATTAGTATTGATCGCGGCTGTCATTGGGATGTCGGGAAGCCTTGTGATTACTACATTCTCACGACCAGTCGCTTAGGTGTGGTCTTAACTTGAATTGGCTCAACCTCTGGCGATCGAATCAAGAACTCACTGCTACTTGATGTGGGAATCGCACGCCGACGTAGCTGCAGCGCCATCACACTTGTAATGGTGTAGCACAGCTATATCCTGATCGGAAGACGGATGGCCTGAACTTGGTGTTGCGGAGGTACGGCCGGATAACGTTGCTATGACGTCGGATTCTGGTAAGCATAGTGTCATCTTGAACCAACGCATAAACCCAGTCCCACGACACAAACTATATAAGGAGCTTGCCAGTGTTTTCTTCTGTAGGAAGTACCGTTAGTGAGCGGAATAGCACCATGTCCGGCTACCTGCCTCCGCACTCCAGGGAGGGCCCGCAGTCGAGTTTAGTGCTGACTGATTACGACTTGCGCATCGCCAATATTGATGGCGAAGGTGGCTCTGGTGGTGAATACTGGCTTACGCTCCCTCCTGACGTCGTCCCTACCACCAAGACCTTGATCACGATCGGCCCGAAAGAAAAGCCTCTTCTCAAAGTCCAACCTGTCGGTTTTGGCTGCTGGCCATGGGGTGATGTGCTGTCATACGGCTGGGGGCCCAGTGGCGGCTACGACCAGAATCTGAACGATGACAGTGTGCGAGACGCGTGGCGTACCATCTTCGCGCATTCCTCGATCGCCATGCTCGACACGGCGGAACACTACGGATACACCGACGGCTACTCGGAGAAGAGCATCGGACGCAACTGGGCCTTCGACACCGAGGAGGGGAAAGCGGACCGAAGCAAGATCGTCTACGCAACAAAATACCTGCCTACCCCATGGCGACATCCGTGGAAGTACCCGGACATTGTTCTCAACGCGTTCCGTGGCAGCCTGGAGAGAACTGCGCTGGGGGACATCGACATCTACCAGATCCACGGGCCATCCCACTTCGGCGTATGGCCTAGATTGGATACGTTGCTTGACAGTCTGGCAAAGGCGTATGAGCTGGGGCACATCAAGGCAATCGGGACATGCAACTTCGGGTTCGAGAAAGTAAAGTATGTGTACACTAGGTTGAAGCAGGTGAGTTTTCTTGTGGAAGGGAGCGCGCTCTTTGAGTTGTCGTACTAAACACAACGTCGGACAACGCAGCGAAATGTGCCGCTTGTCTCAAATCAAGTTGAATTCTCACTGCTCAGGCAAGACCCTTGGTCCACTGGACTTATCGAAAAGTGCCTCAAGTTAGGGGTGAGTTTCGCTAGTTGAGTTGGAGGCATACCGAAAAGTGACACTGACATGACTTCCAACAGATCATCACCATCGCCTACTCACCGCTTGCTGTCGGCCGCTTGACTGGCAAGTATTCCTCCTCCAAGCCTCCACGGGGTAACCGTAACTTTGGTGATCTTGCCTGGGCCAAGATCCAGCCTGTCGTTGACGAGCTCAGCCGCATCGGCGCAAAAGAGGGCAAGACCCCAAGCGCAGTAGCGCTTAATTGGGTCATCTGCAAAGGTGCCATCCCGATACCTGGGGTAAAGAACGGAGTGCAGGTCAAAGACTGTTTGCAGGCCATGGGATGGAGGCTTAGTAAGGAGGACGAAGGCAGACTTGATGTTCTTGGGCTTACGAACTCGTGGGATTGGAACTTGCTGAAGCATTTCCAGAACTGGTGAGCCCCCTCTCCTCATTTCTGTCTCTTCGCGCGTTACTGACTTCTGCTCAAGGTGGTGGCAACAGGGTTAAGCGGCCTGTGTGGTCTATCCTGAAGACACACGTACGTGTTCGGGGGAGGGAGAAAGGTGAAGGCTGGCGGAGAAAATGCACTTAGTACCTGAGCCGGATTAGCGAAGAGGCTACCTCTGGAATATTAACTTTGGCAATATTAACCTCTTGTTCCAAGTGGGCGTTAACCAAGTGTTCACGAATCCTACGGTCCACCAAGGTCCCCGACGCCTCCCCTACGGTTCCCTACTGTTCCCTACTGTTCCCTACCGTCCCTCCCGTCGATCGTCGTTTTAGGGTTCCTCCCTTTGGTCTCCGATTCTTACGGCTCCCTACGCCTCCTCTACTACTAGTCCAACGCTCCTTCCCGGCGCGCTATCCTAACCTTAACCTGCACCCCAGGTTGACGACGACCTGCGCGCTCCATCCTACGCACTACCGCGATGTCTAATGCTACGTCCATTCGATTCAAACGATCACCAGCCAGTCGATTCGGAATCAATTCCTGACTCGCCTACTCGCTCCCTGGTCACCTGATCGATTCGATGCGCTACCCTACGCGCTTACCCTACGTCTACGTGTACGGCAATGGCAACGTCTATGTCTACAGCCTAAGTCGACCGCGATTGTGCTGCGTCTACGGCTGCGTGTAGACCCTCCCAGGTCCCCTTAGTCTTCAGACACCCAGCTACGTCAGATTCGATGCCAACATTCAGCCAGTCGATTCAGACATTCAGCTACACTCTTCCTGGTCCTCCAATCGATTCAGTCACTCGGCCACTCAATCCCTTACTCCCCTACACCCTTTCTTGCTCGCCCGCGCGCTCTCTCGTAGCCTAGCTGAATGCCTGTACTCTAAACGAATTGATGAGGATTCTGCGAGTCTATGGTTTGCGCACCTCTATCCCACACTGCAGCTCAGGCTCTCATGAAGAGAAGATCATTATCGGGAAACACTAGCATTCTCGGAAACTGCGCCCTCAAAGACGTCGCCACGATGGAGAGTTAGATACCTGCAGGCTAGCAGAACAGGTGTGGTGGTGACCCGCATCGAGCGAAGTGGGAAGCACCTTGCACGAGCGATCGTCATCAGCTTGGGTTCCATCGATTCCTTTCGACTCCGAGGTCGTGGAGTACCCTAAGCCGTCGCCGTGCCTTTGTCTTGTGTGTCGCCGTGTGCATGCAAGGGAGGCACTGATCCCATATCAACTCTCCCCGTCTTCTGTTCTGGTGCGAGAAGTACAATATATGCGTGTCCTTTGTCAAGGTTCCTTTAGGCCGGCGCTCCGTTTCCCCGAAAACACTCCGAAAAGACCCCGAAAAGACAGCCTGTCTTTTCGCAAGATGATCTTCCTTCCAATTGCGGATGCGCGGCATCCCGGACACCATAAAAGTAAGCGCTTGAGGGATTACTGTGGTTACCCGAGTACACCGCAAAGAAGCAGCTCCTCGAACGTACATCCGATATCCAAGACAGTCACTACGGAAACTACGCAGACAGCTAGCTACACCGTGACGAATATCAATGGCGACCTCTGAATCCTTTCTGTTACCGACCTCGTCCGTCGAAGAACTGCCTATCTCTTTACGGTAGTGATATAGAGGGTCCAGGTGGCCAAACAGGGCGCCAAGGTAGTCTCTTCACCTACCACGTTCTCAGCCGCCAAGCGGCAATGAACTTTCGGTGGAGCGAAAAGGCTATCGTTCTTTCCGGGGCAGCGGCGCCGTTCGGCTTAAGACATTCTCGCGAAAGGATCTGGTCCGTTACATGTGGACGAAAGACCGAGGACGTTACACGGCGTTATTGACGGTCGATTGTTGACGGAGTTAGTGACACCTCAAACGGCGGCCCAGAACAATCTTGTTCCTGAACAGCATCGAATCCTCCGTACTTCGAGCGCAGGCGCTGAACCTGACGAAATCATTCATATGTCTTTGGGTTAGTAACTTATGCATGATGTCGAAACGGATCACCCCGCACGCGGGTTACAAAGCGGGCGCCAATCATTCTTCCCCGGATCCATATGCGCTCATCGTACTTTCTATGTTATATATGACCTTCGGCCTAGTTCTACTAACCCACCACAGGTGTTAGAATGATTATAACAGGAAAGCCGCCGAGCTAATCAATCACTGACTGAATAAAGAGGACCTCTTGGGTTATGAGGCTTGACATCACGTCCGATGACCAGTTCCTTCTGACGCTGATCTATGCTGTCTCCAAGCGAAACTCCATAAAGCATGGCCTCTTTAACCCGATAGCGCACACAACTCTGCCAAGATGACAAGTACCCAAGTGTCCGTTTCACTGTATGTTTCCCCAGATGAATGCCGTCAGTCTAGGATATACTTGACGAGACGATATGCTGCCACCATGATACCACATCACAGCGTGTATCCGAGGTGGAATTTCTTGAAATCGCACGACTTGAATGCTCGAAAAGATAGCGAACGTATTTCTTGAAAGGCTCATTTATCCAGCCTCAGCGGAAAGAGTAATTACAGCGGAAGAACCTTTGATTTCGTGGCCTCCACTACACTTGGCAGTGAGGTCCTTTGTGCATATTACTAAGTGTTTCGGTTTGTTTGGGTGTGTTTACGGAAAATCTATCCCGAGGCTTGGTCTTGGCGTCGTACCTAGGTACCGGTACCAGGTATACAGGCCGCTGTCGACCGTCGAATCATGTTGTAAGGCTGCCTAGCCTTCTTTCCCTCCGTATGGTCAAACTCGCTCCTCGGAGGTCGCGATGGACGGAGTATTGGTGCGGTGTTGGAGTTCAGGGACGTTACGGAAGAGCGCGAGATGGAGAAAGAACGTATACAGGCTATGGTCGATGTGGAGCAAGGGTTGATTCGTGCTCCGGAGGCAGAGTGCACAAACAAAAACTCAGTGAGTTTTATTGATTATGTCTGTCATAAGATCAGGGATCCTAACCAGATGGTCAGAACCATGTGCTTGCAGCCTCTGAGAACACGCGAACGGGAGACACCCAACTGACGGCTTAGATGATACCTCGGCGATACATTCACGATGCCCCGGATCGCTACATACCTGCAGCTGCAGCTGGATTGGTGCCATATACTATACAGCCTTGGAATGATGGTATGTCGTCGCGAGGGAGGTACGTTCGGTGGCAGGTACCCGCGCCGAGGCCCGAGGCGGCCACTCGATCTCGGTAAACTCTACCCCGGACCGGCCCTAGGCCTCGGCAAACAACCCTCAGTTGATCTCTCCATTTCTAGTCCGCCGCGATCTACACCGCCTTGCTTTTTTTTCGACAGGCTGGAGATAGGTTAACAAGTTGTGATGGCGCAAGGAGCCGGCGGACTCTGCCAGTGCCACGTCCGCATGCTCGGCTCGGCCTGCATTGCGCTGACATCGAGCCGTGGCCTGTCAACAGCTGACCACTCGCAACATCTGAACTGCCTTATTCCTTCCAAGGTTCTCTTCCGCCACAGCAGCCAGAACGGAATCTCATGAACGTCAAGTGCGACTGCGGTTCGACTTGACGGTCCGTGTTTCTGGCCCGGCCGTGTCGTACCTCTTAAGGTTCCTATTGCTCAAATTCTGCTCAGTAAGCATATGGTGTGCACGCAGCATTGTCGGATACGCTGTCCGTCGCAACTGGCGAACAACTGAATTCTCTGCCGTGGTCTCAAAGCGGACCTACCATAAGCAATTTGTGTTGTATCACACTCTCGTCAGCTACAGTGAGCTAAGTTTTTGGGCAGATTTACCGACCCGACTTATGTCAGCACGTACTTATGTATTTACGGACCGCTGCTTCTTCAACGTGAACGTACAGTCGAGGTATATGATCCAAGCCGCCTGGGTGTTTCCCGTTTGCGTGTTCTGAAACGCTGCAAGCACATGGTTCTGACCATCTGGTTTTGCCCCGCTTTGCAGAACGGTAACCCAGGCATTTGGTGGATGCACTACTCCCCCCAACTATAAAATGGCGGGCTTTTTACCACTTTCTGATTCCACATCTCCTCGATCACCCTACTACAGTTAACTCACCACGAATTTTCCAGCCAAAAAAACCTTCAAAGTTCAAAATGCAGATCCCCGCCATCATCTCTAGCATTGTCGTTGCGCTATCCTTGGTTTCCGCTGTCCCCAACCCTAATCCTGGGGTTAATCCTCCTCGTTCCTCCTCCTCATCCACTGCCTCTAAGAACGTAAGTTCTTGCTCTTGCGTGAAATTGGGTTCCATTACATTTTCTTTCTTACCATTGACGCTCTGATAGTGCGCTCAGATTGATGGGGTGGTACAGAACAACCTTGGCGTCAAAGCAATGGACCAGTCAAACTTGAAGTTGAAGGTTTCTGCTGGTGCTTCCAAGGATTGCACGAAGCTCACCCTCGTCTCCGTTAACGATGACGACGACCCTACGAAGATATTAGGCCCTCATTTTGACGGCGAGCTGGTCGTTAGGATCAGAGACTTTACAGGAGTGGCTCCCAATGGGAAGCAGCCGCAGGGATTATCCGACTACTTCATGGGGACGCAAGATACGTTCTCTTTGCAGTGGAAAGGTCGGTTCAAGGGTGATTGGACCGCTGATGACATCGTGTTTGGGGTACACAATTACAAGAGTCATCTACAAGAAGCATACCGCTAACATTGACGCAGAATGACTTTGACCATCCCATCAAAGATAGTCTGCCAACGAGCACGTCCTTGGGTTTGAAAGCTTTGAGTTGGATTGATCCGTGAGTTTTTATCCATCGCTATCAACTGAACTTTGAAGATGCTAACGTATGCGGCAGAACCTTGGAAACTGACTTGTACGGGAACAAACCTTGGGCGCTTTCTCCGCTATTATCAACGATGAACATTATCAACGCTTCTCCCTGTGACGAAGCCGGTGGTGCATTGCATCGTATTACCGAAGATGCGTCCGCCTTGACTGGAGAACAACAAGATGCTGCTGCACGTCGAACGTGGTTTGCAAACCAGGTGAATAGGAAAAAGACAACGATTCCTGAGGACATGACCATTCAAGGGGACTTTAGCAACCCCTTCGTGGATTTCAAGTCGATCAGCGCTCACTTACCTTATGTCAACTTGAACATCAGTATTTTGCAATATTGGGATGGTCAGCCGCTCCGTTATGTATGTCGAACGCGAAATGATCAGACGATCTTCTTTGTTGTTCTCCTGGAACTGGTCGACGATGAGGGTCAAAATGTTGGACCGGAGGAGGTGAAGGAAGATTGAGGGTTAGATGTATGAGGATTTTGGAATGCCATCTTTGGGTGAGGAGACAGTGACGGCATAGGTAGGGTAAGGTAGGTTCATTTCAAATACGGAATACCTAGTACTAGTACGTCGACGGTTTAAACCGTCCGCGCTTAACCCCTCCCCGTTTGCGAATTACCGACTGCGGCTAGACAGGAACCGCCCATGGACGGCCCAAGGTGTAAACAGCCCAGGCCGTAAGATGAGCGACTTGGGGTAACGTCGCGGGGCCCGCCCTCCTCCCCTCCCGGCGCGCTATCCTAACCTTAAAACCCCACGCCAGCTGGACGACGACGCGACCTGCGCGCTCCAGCCTACGCCCCATCTGCGCTCCATCCTACGCTCTACCGCAATGTCTACTGCTACGTCCATTGGATTCAAACGCTCAGCCAGTCGATCCGAACACTGGGCTACTACTTGATTCGAACGCCTTATCCGGCTACATCCTCCCCGGTCCTCTCGTCGGTTCGGAAGCGCGGCTACACCGTCCTGGCCATCCAGTCGATTCGAAATCAATCACTGGTCGCTTACTCGTTTCCTGGTCACCTGATCCATTCGATGCGCTAAGCTACGGCTACGGCTACGGCTACGTGTAGACCCTCCCTGGTCCCCTAGTGGATCCAGACACCCAGCTACGTAAGATTCCAACGCTCGACCAATCAATTCGATGCGAACATTTAGCCAGTCGACTTGGACATCCAGCCAGTAGATTCAGACACTCGGCTACACCCTCCCTGGTCTCAAATCGATTCGGACCATCCAATCGATTCAGTCACTCGGCCACTCGGCCACTCAATCCCTTACTCCCCTACACCCTTTCTTGCTCGCCCGCACGCTCTCTCGTAGCCTAGACAGCGCGTTGCTGTGTAGTGAATTTGAACACTTGGTTTCCTCAAGTCCGTTACTCGTCTACAGCCTCCCTCATCTCTCCACCTCTGACCTACGTGTTTTCGAAGCATTTCTTCCACCTCCAACCTTCCGGTCGCGGATCTCCTTGTTTCCCTGAGACGATGGCACGGATCGTGTGAACCCGGCCCGGGAAATGCGCTCGCTCTTGCGGAAGGGGCAACGAGACCAACTTTACCGGTGTATGGAGCGCTCTCATCCCAGTCTCGTCTCGTCGGGTTCTCGAATTGCTGGGATCAGGACGAGCCATCAAGTAGACCCTCCCGCCAGGAAACTGTCAAGTAAAGGTGTGGGCATGGTTAAGACTAACCGGTAATGTAACTGTGAACTTGAGCGTGGGTGAGCGTGAGGACAAGATGGAGCAGGTGCACAGCTATGAGTAGGTAGGACGGTAGGATAGAATGCATTGAAACCCGTGAGCACTTGCGGACCGAGTAACCGTTGGGCGAAACCGGTAACCGCTTAGGGTTAAGCGGTGACCCGAAGGCATTGCGGGTACAGTTTATTCATTGGCTAACGTCGTCATAGAGAAATCCTGGAAGGAAAAGAACAGAACTCTGAGTAAAGCGTTGAAGAAGCTGCTCGTATGTTCGGTGTTTTGGTCCCTTGAGCAAAAGGACAAGTTGACTCTCGTTTCCGGCTTGCAGTTCGTGGTTAGGGTTAGGGTTAGGGTTAGGGTTAGGGTTAGGGTTAGGGTTAGGGTTAGGGTTAGGGTTAGGGTTAGGGTTAGGGTTAGGGTTAGGGTTAGGGTTAGGGTTAGGGTTAGGGTTAGGGT